CCCCCCCCCTTTTTCGTTTGTACTCCGTACGAAGTATATGCCATTTGGACAAGATAACTGACTTTCTTGCAAAGGAAAAAAAAAAAAAAAAAAGAAGACAGTACAACAAAACACCGACGTGGCTGAAGTCTCAAACCGGATACGTGGTAACCAAGCGCTCACCGCCAGGATGCTACATACTTGCCTACATACATGCAGTATGTATGCCGATGTCTGAATAAATCGGGATTTCTTAGCTGCAATGCACCTAGCTAGACCTTGATCTAAAGCATGAGGCGGAAGGCCCGCTGCAAGTGCCATGCAGCTTTAACGGTTCTAGAGTATAGATAGAATCAGGCATCAATCACAAATCAAGTATCATGTGTCCAGTCCAGTCGATTATTTGTCACCACTTACGACAACGAACTAGTTAAAACAACTGGTGAGTCAATGCTATTCAGAATATACTTGGTCATTCTGATAGATAGATAGAATAGTTAGTTACCTAGTTGTCAGAATAACCGCCGTGTGCGCGCTGAAATTTGCACGTGCCCGACAAACAATGATACTACTGAGTAAATGTTACATGTGACATTTTTCTATTCTTCAGAAAAGAAAACTCTTGACAAAATGAATTAGTTCCTTCGATTTCAAACTAGGTAGTTAGATGCCTAGAGGCTTACGGATCGTGCCTAAAACTGAGCGCCCGCCGCAACCGTAGCATTTTGTAGTTTAAACGGAATACTGTGCGGACTCTCGGAGTACTCAGTACCTAGCTAGGTACTCTGGTAATTCGTATTTCGGTATTTGGTAATTTACGTATGATGCGTACGCACTAACAGTACCGGGAGTACGGAGAGAAGCTGGGAGATACCTACACAAATTCCCTCAAAAGAAAGGAAAGATAATTATCCGGGTCAATATAACCAGAAAAGAACATAGAACATGGAGTCGGCACTTGGTTTTGTCGCCGGTTATGACAGCATACTCGGAACGCACTCCTTGGTACTAACAGTAGAGAGAATGAGGAGAATGAGGAGAAGACCGAGATCGCCCAATAGTTACTTATCCCGCACTAAGAATGGTGGCGATCTCCAAGTTCATCCATGGATAGATACGGTGCAGCGTACCTGGGGTCGCCGAAAACAATGTATGTATGTATGTAAACCTCGGAATATGTCCCGGGTATGTCGTCGGAAGTTAGGAAGTTCGGAAGTTCATTATGTGCCTCGACGCGAGGCAGATACCAATACTACGGATAGTCTGTTGTATCTCGGGCAATGTGTTGATAATCAAGTTGTTATGAAAATAAATGTTAAAACTAAATACTAATCAATACATCAATGTCCGTCCCAGCTCAACCTCGAGAAAACACTGCAAAATAGGTATGAAACGCAAGAAAGGTATTGAACATGTTAAATAAGTACCACCTCGGTACCAGTCGGGTATCGATCACTGTTCACAGATTCTTGTTAGTACATAGACAACATCGAGATAAGTGAAGGTAATACTCACGGAAATCTCGGCCATCGCCTCATCTCCATTCGCCGCCGGGGCAGTGCCGTTCGTGGTCTCTGCGCCCACAGGTGCGTTCTCAGAGCCCGCAAAGTAATCCACCATCTCGGCGTCCAACTCTTCGGCTGTCTTCTTGCGCTGACTGGGATTCTTGGCCTTTCGGGGACGGCCGCGGCCACGGCGGCCTGCGGCGGCGGTGTTCTTCGTGGCAGTGGCGGGTTTAGGCTGAGCCTTGGATTGGCTACATGGTAAAAAGTGTGAGAAGAAAACCATAGCGACATTTGGACGTCCGTCCACTTACGTAACTCGCTCGCTCAAAGGCTTGGGTGCCGGAACCTGAGGCGCATGGGTCGCGTCGACGACGACCTCGACCTGAATCGCATGAGCAAACGATCAACTGAATATATCGAATCAAAATCATATACCTTCATTGGTCGTCCATCAACAAGGGTTCCATTCAGCTCCTTGGCTGCCTTAGCTGCCGTGTCGGGCTTGCTGAAAATAATAGACGCAATGCCGCGGCTGACGCCGTTCTGGTTGTAGGTGACTGTGACTCGTTTGACAGGGCCAACTGTTTTGACAAAATAGTCCTATAGCGCCAAGACTGATCAGTATTTCTAATGCAACGTACGCAACCGAATATTGAGACGCCGAGAACAGAGCGAAAAGGAGCGCGCGCATAGACATCGAATCGGGATCAGGACATCAGCGAGCACATAATGATAAACTGCCCATCATATACACATCACATAGATCAGAGAGATCAAACCGCAGTCAAAGACGCGAAACTGCAAGTACAATAGCCACGTGGTATGGTATTCCTTGTCCTTTATGACCAGATAGAACGTGTCGAGTGCTAGCCAGACCGCACCGTTGAGCATCGCGTCGACAGTTATCGGGATTATGGTGCATTCAACCCCAATGTACTTTTCTCCAGGCACAGCTCCAAGATGAATCACCATTTTGAAGCAAAAACCAGCCAAGTGCCAAAATATTTTCAGATCAGGACAATGGCAATGACAATGACAATGCCAAACGTAAGGAGCCAACGTGCTTATTTTTTAGACGAGACGATCTCAAATGTATGCCATCATGTCGAACCACCCATGTGCTCACTGATGCCCCAAACCAAACGAAAGAAAGGATAAATAAATGAATCCACCAAGGTAGCATAGATTGAGCGGTAGTATTCAGCCACCTCCAGCACCGTCAGCAAGCGAAATAACCGGCAAGTCGGCTAGGCCAACGCATGCGCCACGGTTTTCATCGCGCTTGACGCGACAGAGCTCGACTCCTGCAACAAGGCGCATTTCCAGCAGACCGTCGCGCTAAGAGGAGCACCCGTCTGGTACTGTACTCAACGTTACGAACGTCTCAAACGGAGCATCGCAACAGAAGCCGACGCGCCTCAAAGGTTTCGAAACAGAATGGCGACGAATACCCAAGGCGTAGCCTCTCGATTAACATACCTTGATACTGGCTTCGCTCACATCGTGCGGCTATGTCGAGTTAGTACATGATACGCTAATTTCCTGCCCTCGACTTCTGAAAAAACTTACCAGTCCGCTGACGATGATCTTGCTCTCATTCACTGGGGAAGTAGGGCCGATGGCCGTTCCCTTTGCAGGGCCTCTGGCAGGCTTAGTGCTCTTCTTGATTCCTCCAATGGGCGCCTTGGGAGCAGTAGCTTTGGCGGCACTGCTGCGGCGACCATTGTTTCCACGGCCACTCTGGCGACGGGACTTGGAGATGTCCTCAAGGGACTGGTCGAGCTTGGAAGACATGACTATGGAGGAGGAGACAGATGATAAGTATTGAGGAAAAGAAGTTGGGTGGTGACGAGATCTTGACGGTTTGGCTTGCACCGCAACTGTAGCGCGGTAGCTCGGCAGATAAATCGAATGCGATGATATTCGGGCTGGCTGGTATTTCTCGCGAGACAAAACAGTCGATGAAACAGTGTTGATACGTGTGTAGACTGGGCTGGATGGAAGACGCGGGAGGAAAAGAGGGCCGTCTTGCTGGGGCGAAGCTGGCTGCCTTACCCGGACTATAGTTGTTCCGGTGGTTTGTCACGTGGTCATGAATGAAACCGTCGTCATGGTTGACTCGATCAATTAATTGATAAAGAGAACAGAGTCCACGGACACTGAATAGAACCAAGGTACATGAATGCAAAGACAAACTAGTCCTGTCTGTCCCAAACCTCGTCCTCCTCCAGCTCAACGCCCCAGAACTTCTTCATTCTGTCCCTAAACAGCTCATAGCAACTCCCCTTGCGGAGAATCTTCATCTCGTCAAAGTCCATCACAATCGAGGCGCGTCCGTATACGTGATACCTCTGCAGCCCATGGTCAACAATGAGATCCGCTACCTCTTTGATATCTTCCTCAATGTCCTCCACTCTAAACTTCTGCCCCTGACCCGTAAGATTAGCACTCGAACCCACCATCAACTGGCCGGCTTCGTAATTCAATCGACAGATCTCCCTCAAAAGCGAACCGCCGCCAACAAACATAGCTAACGTGCCGTTTTTTGTCGTCTTCTCCAGCGTCTCCAGCGTAACCGCATTTTGTATCAATGGATGATCGGCTTTGTATGGCGCGACGATTCCGATCCCCATATCCATATCGTCAGTGAGCACACGAGTCATTTCAAATTTCTCATCAGACATAATGTGCAAGTCGCGATGGAGTTCGAAGGAACCTATTAGTCCCTGTGCATGTCCGGGCTTGCGTTTCTTTGCAGCAAACGCTCTGTCTATTGCTTCGGCTGAGGAAGCCATCAGCCCGTAGCCGACTTCAGAGGGGACGATGGCGACGCCGCCGGCCTTGAGTGTTTCAAAGACAGCCAGGGCGTCGCGTTTGGTGTTGGGGACCTCGCCGGGAGAAGGGATTATTCTAGTTTGTTTGGGCATGTTGCTTGTAGAGATCGTAGAGTACCTGAATTCCAACATGCACGGTTATATAATTATGTGGCACGGCTGAGTGAGCACTAATAAAAACACCCCACTGACATCCATGGATATTCTATGCCTCGAAAAGACCGTCGAGACCTGCAACATCTACCCGAATTGTAAAATAAAATATACACCCGTTGGTTCATGAACAAAGTAATGAGTATGTTAGGGTGATAGATTGATAAAGGTATAAGGCGAATGGATACATGAAAATGGCATTTGACGTAAGAAATAACAAGATAAACGTGGACGACGGAGAAATAACGCTCTTAAATTTCAAAAGGAAACTTCCAATGTGCATGAACGATCATACCGAAAAAAATGCTCTGCTTTCAAACAGTCCAATCACTTGCAGCCCTGCGCCATGAAACCGAAAGCCTATAGAAAAGAGAAAGAAAAAACAACCAAACAAAACGAAACTCAAAGCACAATATCTCCCAGTTGCCGATACAAAGCCCCATGCTCAGCTCTTCAGCGCCTCGAGGCGACCTCGCATCTGTTCAAGCGTAGCTTCCTGCTCTTCAAATTCCTCCTCTGGAGTAGGCGCCTCCTCCACGGGAATTTCTGGACGAATCGGTTCAACCTTGGACAGTTTGCCCTGTAGAATCTCGTGTAGAACTTTATCAACCTCCGAGTCCGCTTCTTCCAGTTCGTCTTCTAATAACTCGTCGTTGGGCAACGCATCATCGACGACTTCCTCAATAATACCGGCTCGTACTAGCTCCGTAGAGAGCTGTCGCATTGTGCTGTTGAGCTCTGGCAAACGCACAAGTGTGTTCACATCCTTCATGATACCAGCCGACTTCTTGAGGCTTCCCTGTATTTTCCGTACCGAAAAGGCCTCATTAACCTGCATCTGCACGCTCTGCAGCTGGGCTCGACTTGTATTAAGGCGCGCGCTCTGTTTCCGAATGCGTAACAGCTCACGGGCATAGGTCTTTGTTTCCGCAGTTGCCTGCTTCGCTTGCGAGGGATTCCTCTGAGCCCGGCGAGAGGCATTGAGGATCAGCTGTCGCGTCTTGGAATCGAGGGACTTTAAATTCGCAATGTCGCGGTCGAGCTGCCGCGTGTTCTGCCGAATGAGTTGGTTGCATTTCCGCATCTGCAGGAGTCAGCAATGGACAAAGGCAATGGAATAGACAGTAAACGGCGTTGGATAGGTAGGTACCTGTACTTGCGGGTCTGGACCGAAGAAAACCGCCTTGATTGCCTCCATGCCGGGACTTTGCGCTTCGTGAAGCGTCTTATTATAAATGCACGAGAAAAGCCAAGCGGCACTCCATCAATGTGATGTGGTATTTTTGCGTGTTGTCGCAGACTCTGGCAGGGTTCGTTACAGGCAGCGACGTGCGAGAGCCAGCCGGGTGAGAGTGTTTTGCTGATAGTGGCAGGTGGGGGGCGCGGCGCCAGTGACGTCTCGAGTCTGGCCCGTGACGGACCGACGACTTCCTCCTTCTTCTTCCCTGGACGCTTTGCCAGTCTGCCTGCTATTATCTTTTTTTCTCTGGATCTGCTCCCCCCGGCCCCCGACTAGGCTAAACTTCTTGCTACTCTTACGCTGCTTTCCCTTGCATATATATAATTTGTTTGGTTTTCTTCTCCGGGGCCGCCTTCGTATACGCGTCAAAAACTGATTGATGGCCTGCATCAATGGGATGTCTTCATCTAGGCTTGATTGCACAGAGATCAGTCCGCGAAGACAATGTAATTAGAAACCGGCGACAAATATTGCCAATGCAGTTCCTCTGGAAGGGAAATTTCCGTGCAACAGGAACAGATGCTTCTTCCCCTGTGAACCACGCACCCTGCCATGGGAGCCGGAAACGTGGATAAGAAGCGACTCTATAGCAATGGCAAGTTTTCGTGCGAGCGATATATCTGTTTACGAGACCATGTGCTCTTTGAAGGACACGTAGGATAGCTTTCTGATGCAAACATTGCCGCTCCTTAAGCGCGAGTCTCACATCAAGCAGAACCGTCCGCTGATATTGTGTATTAGAGCGTCATCGGTCTTTGAAATAGCTGCAAGAGCTACTGCGATATTTACGCAGGAAGCGAACCACAAAGACGCCGAGTCGAGTGGACTCGGAACTGCCGCCGCTGTCGAAAGACATCAGAAGACTTGGTGCGAGTGCTCCGTAACAACAAAATTGTCACGGCGGCCATATGTCCTGACATGCCAATCATCTAGTTGGTCATCGAAGGAGCCCGTTCGGTTATATACGGCATGAATGGTAGTCGGGGCGATGGAACAGTCGATTGTTCGGAAAGGACCCGCGCTCCTGATGACTCCTGATAGAGCCAAATTCACAGTTGATTGTATTCGCTACCCGCCGTCAATCTTTCTCTGGTGCATTCACACATGGCTGTGCCGATGGCATGGGTTCTCTGCTTGCGCAGTCTACGGGGATCGGCATGGCATCACCGATGTTCTCTGCCCTTTGTTCGCCTCGTCGGCGCCGGTAGGATAGTGAATGGTTGTTTAGAGACGAATTACAATGCGAATTTGACACATAATGCGAGGAATCCGGCTAGATAAATCGGTAGGGTAGATAGATGCCGCGCGCGCGTGTGTGATAGCCGCTGTAGAGAGGATCCGTCCCAGTGACTGACTTCCCACTCCTCCAACCAAGTAAGCTCCTCAACCTTCGCCGCGACAACACTCCGTCAACCACCAGAGACCATGGCCATGTCCTTCTCGGATACCTCGTCGCTGTCATCGGCACCGCCGACAGATGACGAATCCATGTCATTAACATACGAGGCCAATGCCCCGATCACAAATTATTTCAAGCAGGAAATCCCTCCGCCGCCCAGGCGCCCAGCGTCACCACCGCACGAATATGTCCTCGCGGACAACCCAGATATCGCCGTATGTGTATCTAGCCGTTCCCTCTCCTGGCGTTTATTGACGCGAGCAAAAGGAAGCATGTCACCGTTGCTAATACGTTGTGAATCCTCTGCAGTTCATTGTGATGTTTCGCGCGCGTTTCAGTGACGCCTTTCCGAAATCGCTCCCACACTACGGTCCGCAGGACATCGAGAGCGGTGTGCAAGACACAACACCTGGCGAACATGTAGAGAGATTATTATGCGCTTTGATTGGCCTGGTGCTCAATCGCAAGAAAGATGTTGAGTATGGGCTTCCTACGCTCGCTGGTGGCATACCCTAGTTACCCTTGACACGGACCACCTCTCCTGAAGAAACGAACGAACAGAAAGCTAATGGGGGAACTGCTGCGATATAGGAAAGGGCATTATCAACGGGCTTTGGAGGAGGCAGTTCAAACGCATTCCTCCCAATGGCCGCGTGCTTGGGAAGGGAAGAACCCTCTCCATGGCGGCCGCACATTCAACACCATGACACCCGAAGAGAGGGTAAGAGATTTCGATGGAGATATACGTAATTATCCAACTGACAGTAAGCCTAGCTACGCCTCCTCAAAGCTCTGATCTTATGGTCACTTTCTTCCTCCGATGCGATACAAGCGAAGATCAAGGAGTCGTATAAGCAGGCCCGACACGAAGACGACCTTAACCAGCCTTTGTCGGTACAACCATGGGGGAGAGACGAACTAAAACGACGTTACTGGCTTATAGAGGGTCAGGATGACACTCATTTTCGCCTCTACCGAGAGAGCAATCCAGCGTTGAAGACGAACACCTGGTGGAGCGTAGCCGGCACCATCGACGAAATCCGGGCTATTGCAGAGAGATTGGCGTTGGAAAAACCACAAAGTTCCAAGAAACTTAGCGAGCGGATCATGAATGCAATCCCCCGGTTTGAAAGTGGAGAGGAGGTTTGTGTTTTCTCCCTCACAACAAGACAAAAAATAAAGTCATTGTCCGCTAATTACAACTTAGAAACGGAGGCGACGTGATTATCGACAAGCACGCAAAGCCGCATTTGCTCGCCCAGAACCAGGCTTCTCGCTATACGAAGGCCGTACGCGTGGAAAGAAGCTTAAATATACGTATTCTGATGATGAAGATCTCTTCTCTGAGGACTTAGCTCCCACACGACGCTCCACGCGAAATGTTTCTGGCGTCACGAGCCCAGGAGAGCCGGCAGGACTGACGTTCACAGCTAGTGGTCGTCAGGTGCGAGCCCGCGCGGGAGGTATATACGGCGAATCTGCACTGAGTGGACAACGTGATGTGGAGCAGGACGACGACGAAGATCGTCCTCAGCGTAGCACGCGTGGTCAAACGAATGGCCACACGTCAAAATATACGAATGATGTGAGCGATGAAGAATCCGATGCTGCTTCTAGCTGGAAAGGCGATGACGAGTCGCACAATGAAAATGATTTCGAAGGCGATGACGAAGATGAGCCTAGTGAAGACGAGTCGATGCTCGATATTGATGACGATGAGAAACAACAAAGCCTTGTTGTTCACCTACATTATGGCAAGACGGATCAACAACAGGGCTCCACCAACGAGTCACCTATTGATTCCAGCCATATTCCCCCCGACTCGAATTCTATCAAGACAGAGGCTGTGGCCGATCTGTCTAAAAATACACTCGAAGAAAGCTCCATAGATATCGAGCCCTCTGCAGAAGTCACCACCAAAAACGGGACATCAGAGGAGAAACACCAAGAGCAGGCAGTGCCCAGCTCTTCGGCACTTCCTCATTATGAATACTTCAAGGAGAACGTGGCCGCCAATCATGGTCCAAAACCCGAAGAAGTGACCACAAAAAGTACACAGGAACTCCCTATGACACCTCTTGAACCGTCGCGGATGCAGAACGGCAATGAGTAGATTTCATATTGCTCTTATTTTGTTCGATCTAATGCTGTCCGGGGTATAAGAAGGATAAATTAGATCTAGTACAAGTTATAATAACTATTAATTTGAAAGGAGTTCAAAGCCACGCCGGTATTCTCTTTGCTTTGAGTACGCTTTGTATGTTGGGATAGGCTTATAGCGGGCGTCTATTGCTTTTCATCTTTTGCTTCGAGGGCTACAAAGGTATACCTACACATAAAAGTTGTAGACTCAAAAGACTGCATGATTACCTATTCTATGTCCCCATTCACCATCAAATAGATGTACACAGCTGCCCGAAACTGGCAGCACAGATGAATACCAGAAAAGAAGAACAAGAAGCAAAAAAACATCGCTATATACTCCGTAACTTCCCATAATGCAATGAGTGTTCAATACACAACACGTAGTTAGCTTGACATCCTTCTTAGTCGTATAGTCAATCACTTGAGAATTGCGCAGTATAAAACTAGAATGGTCTCTCGTTAGATGGTGCCAACGAATTGAACCCGCGACGAAAAGGGAGGGTCTGAGCTCACATCTTCAATCCGCCCAGCAACCCTCTTGTCAGACTTCAATGACCGGGGATGAATTGGCCAATTGTTCACTTCATACCACCACCGTCGCAGCCGTGTGCCGAGCGTAGTGCCTTGAAGCTGGGTATTGCGATTCCAGAACCGCCATCCTAAAAGTGCAAGTGTCCACACGCTACCTTGAATCAAGGGTAGAAGGACCTGAATTCCGACGAGGTGGTTAGCAGGTCGTTTTGTACATTGACCACCGGGAGTACTAAAGATATGAGGCATCGTATATTACTAGCACACACCTGATCCCTAATGGTAATCCAAGCTATACGTTGCCATGTCTCGGCCCCCTTCAGACTAGCCAGATAGCTCTGCTCGAACCTCAGGTCTGGCAGGGGCGGCAGATTCGGTCGACGCGGGACTGGGCGCAGGGGCGGCCGGTCGACAATATCTGACGGGATGCTGGCTGTATCTGAATGAGCGGCTTCGTAGAGTTCCTTGTCCGATGCAGCGGTGGCTGGGTTGATGTCGTGTGCTGGGGATGGATGACGTTTGAGGGAGGCGCTCTGGAGAGTCTCCGCGATGCCCAACGCGGAATGGGACATGGTAAAAGACAGAACTAAGGCCGGCAATTATCGACTGCGTCTCGGGCCTGAGCAAATAAATTGAATCGGGAATAGTTCGCAGACGCGCGTTGTGCGGTTGTGACATGTGTTGGTGAGCAGAGAGAAGGTGAGGTTCCCGGACACCGAAGGGCTGCTCCTATTGCTAAGCTAAACACTTCGGCGGCCCCTCCAGTCCCGCCGCCCGCGACTACCACACCCCCACGTCTTTTTTTCTCGTTGTATGAGAAGAAGAAACAAGACGCTTTCTATCCTCATCCTCTCTCTTCCATTCAAGCCAATTGACCGTCGGTTGCTTTGCGACACTTCCACACAATGGCTGCTGCACAAGGATACCCTCTTCTCTGCCTGGAAAACCCTCTTCTCGGTGCGTTGGAACGGGCCTCCATCTCATGCGTATCGAATTGACAGCTAACTTTGTGTCTCCATTCCAGACATCCAAGGAGTCGGGTACGCTTGTTTTGCTCCCTGCCTCACTCGCTTCTCGGTGGGTATGCGAACTGACATAAATCCATAGAGATGAGGCGCTTCTGCAGAAGTACGAGGTCAAGGCCAATGACGCCATCCTCGCCGAGGAGAAACACATGGGTCTCTATGAAGATCTACTCCAGAACCACGATGCCAAATTGATTGCAGGTGGTGCTGCTCAGAACACTGCTCGAGGTGCCCAGGTAGACACGACCTTCTTTGCTCTCCTCGACTTGTGTCGTGTTTCTGGGTCTAACCTTCCTACCTAGTACATCCTCCCCGAGAACTCGGTCGTTTATATTGGCTGCGTCGGCAAAGACAAGTACGCCGATATCCTGACCCAGGCCTGCAAGACCGCCGGCGTGCACACCGAATACCGTGTCGACGAAGTCCAACCCACTGGAAAATGCGGTGTTATCATCACTGGCCACAACCGTAGCATGGTCACCCACCTTGCTGCCGCCAATGAATACAAGCTCGACCATCTTAAGCAGCCCCATGTCTGGTCCCTTGTTGAGAAGGCCCAGGTGTACTACGTTGGTGGCTATCATTTGACAGTCTCTGTTCCAGCTATTTTGGCTCTTGCTGAAGAAGCCGCTGCGAAGAACAAGGTAGGAGTCCCTCAACCTTCATTACGTTTAAAGAAACGACAGCTGATATTGTATTCATATAGCCATTCGTCTTCTCGCTTTCCGCCCCCTTCATCCCTCAGTTCTTCAAGGACCAGCTCGACCAAGTAATCCCATACGTCGACTACCTGATTGGCAACGAAACCGAAGCTCTGTCCTACTCCGAGCACCATGGCTGGGGCCTCACTGACATTGCCGAAATCGCCAAGAAACTCACCACCCTGCCCAAGAAGAACACCCAACGCCCTCGCGTTGTCATCATCACCCAGGGAACTCTCCCCACCGTCACTGCCGTTGCCACTGCCAGCGGCGCCGTAGAGACCAAGGAATATCCCGTTCACGAAATCCCCAAGGAGAAGATCAACGACACCAACGGTGCTGGGTATGTTTGTATCTCTTTTCCCCCATTTTCCCCGTTTAAGATTCCCAACTAACCTCAACTGCCTACATGACAGCGACGCTTTCGCCGGTGGTTTCGTCGCCGGTGTTGTCCAGGGTAAAACTTTGGAACAAAGCATCGACCTCGGCCAGTGGCTTGCTAGCCTCAGCATCCAAGAACTGGGACCATCGTAAGTTGACCTTTTTCTTTCCTCTGTCCAACCACGAAACTAACACTACTACCAAAAAAGATACCCATTCCCCAAACAAACCTACTCTCGCCAATAGATTATCGATAAATGATATCCACGCCATTTATGTTTGACACTATTCCCATCCTATCTATCTAATGATTCAACCCATTATTTATTATACCCGGTCTTCTATCCTCTCTCTCTCCCTCTCTCTCATTTTCTTTCCATGGTTTTGAAAGCAAAAAGGAGGAAAAAAAAAAAAAAAAAACGAGGGAGAGGCGAAGAAAAAAGACCCATTTCTTTTGTCGAAGAATTATCCACTTTCTCTCTCCTCTTCTGTGGGAGGCTGGGTGAAGATCAAAAAGGGAAAATGAAAGAAAACAACAGCAAGTTTTCTGCTATTCAAAACTAAGAGAAAGACTTCTTCTATTTTCAAACTAGAAGAAAGATTAAAGGAAAGAATTTTAAAATGCATGACGTCTTCAACAACGATACATAATTACATATACAAACCTTTTCCTCCTTTGCTATATGCATGCGTTAAATGTAGTACACGCCTAGATGCTTCTGGATTATTCGTATTCAATATTTAAGGCCATCTGGCCTATGATTTGAATTTCTGAGCTTTGAATGTAAATCTCATTTCGAAAAAAGAAATAAAACGCATGGCGCGTGAGAGACTCCTGGTATAATACAAAATCATTGCCAACTGGATACATATCATAAGAAAAGAAGTCATGGATTCAAGCAACTCGAGCCATGAATATCCTCGTGCGTTTCAAACCACGCACCCATCGTATCATACTAACATAGCAGCATGAGTGAAGATGATGTTCAAAATGTTCGAAACGGCATCACCCACCAATCCATTCCTGCAAATCACAGTTGCTTTAACGCATCCTGCATTCTACCAGCATCTTAACGCTGGGAATCATCTGCTAGTTATCCACTGAGAACCAAATGTTGGAGGTGAAGGACCCAGCTCGCATTTGGATGTCTAGAAAGAACCCCCGAGCACTCTCTTTTCTGAGTTTGTAGCAATATATCCTAAATACAACCAAGATAGCTTCTCATCCCGCTTGTCCACAAGGCGGAGTCTGTTGGCCTATAGCACCAAATCGACTGGGACTATCCTGAGAACTCTGTCGACCGTCAGAGGTGGGAAATAGAGACGCGGTTGACCCAATAAAGGCATGATCGTGCGAAGACGGAAAAACGGAGCTATTTGGCGCTGGCTGAGAATAGGTATTGTAGTGCGCTAACGAGCCATATAGAGGTCGATCATGTGTGGCTGGAATAGACGGTGTGGTTGGAATAGATGGCGTCCAATTTGATATGACCTGCGATGATGATCGCTCTTGAATCTCCCTTTGTTGCAACAGTAACTCCTGTCGCATGGCAGTCTGGGTAGCGCTTGTTGCATCCAATAAGAAGCCATCCTGTATTCCCGGGGACATCATGCGAGATTGAGAACCGAGCCCCGATAGGGCTATTTCGGGTCTTCGCTGGGGGTTAATGTCATTGTTAGATAGAGACGGGTGATTAGGGCTCCATATACTCGAGCCCGTAAAGAGCGGAGAGTACGGTTGAGGCTGGGCTGGAGAAGCCTGCAATCCGAGCCCAGGGGGTACAATTGGCGTTTGATACGAGCCGTGTTGAGGAAGTAGATTGATCCCATTGGGATAGTTCGTTGCGACTTGAGTTGGCTGCAAGATTTCAGGGAGCTGGGGCATCGCCGGTGGTGCTTCATAGGTGTCTGACTCGACCAGTTTCTCGACGCCTTCAACGATACGGTTGAAGTTTGTCGACACTGAAACGGAAGCTGACTGAGAACCACCAAAGGCACTCCGTGTCTCTGTCGTGGGTTTCTTTGCTTGTTGCGCATTGCGTATTTCTTCCCTTTGAACACTCGTTGATGACATTGTGGGTTGATGCCCTTGCGGACTCGCGTAAAATTGAGAAGGGATTCCCTCTTCCTGATAGATAAAAATCTTCCGCTCATTCTCATCAACAAGCGCGACTGGGATACGCTATTAAAATAAAGTAAGCAAATCAATATTTTCAGAGAACAATTCTTGCAGCAACACTTACACCACTAACAACCAGATCTAGCCCGTCAATAACGAACTCGCGGATTCGATACAGCATCTCAATATTAGGATGATTCCTCTCGACGCCTGGATCAAGCATTCTTGGTTTATTTTTGTCTCCTGTTTCGGACAAATACCGCCGACTGGTAGCATTGTTGAGTAGTGGTTTAAAGCCAAGGGTCTCCTCGTCTTCTTCAAGAAGATATTCCACTTCTGGAAGACTCGTGACGTCGAAAGTCGATGCCAACAATGTCAACGTATTTGCGTAGATTTTCCAGAGCTCTTGAATTTGGACGGAAAGAACAGAATCTTTATCCTGCTTCTGGGCTTCTAATGAGCCGCAGTTGGTCAGCAACCAAGAGCTGTAGTTTCGAAGAGCGGGCAGAACCCGGCGTGCAACAGCAGTAACTTTGTCGGAACCATGTTGAGACTCTCTAGAATCGCTGTCCTCACTCGCAAAGCGCTCTAGTTCAGCCAGAAGAATCTGTAGGAGTGTAAAAAATGTCTTCACGTTGATTCTTTGAAAAAATAGCTGTGCATTATGAGTTGGCTCGTCTGTAACATAACGATTATTAGTTGATATATTCGAATTTTGCTAAATCAACTCACTTAACTTACCACTCGATCTGACTTTGGCGAACTCTTCTGCTGCAATGTTGATCAAAACAAACTTCTGAAGGATACCTTCGAGTGACCGTTCTTTGAGATCAACGGCTAGTTGACTAAGAACCTCGTTCTCTAGCTCGTCATGTTCCTGAAAATCCAGACCCTTGTAGCATTGGGCGTGAAGATACACGAACCACGGAGTAAGGGCTTTCCCTGGAATTCCAGCGTCTTCGCGTGGAATCAGTTCCCTCTTAGCCCAAGCACCCAATATCTTCTTGAATTCAATTTCCAAATTACGCTTAACCGTAGGGTGAGGTTCTTGAGCCGACAAGGCTCGGTACAAATGGTAAGTAGCTCTGAGATGGTTGACATCCTCCATTGCGATTGCAGCGAGTTGGTTGTGGGAGGCCCCGGAAGCCGGGTAAATGATGCTAGCTAGGTCATAGTAACCTATTGCAGGTCCCCAGTTGCGTTGTTTACCGGAGACAAGTTCTGTCTCACGGTAACGGGAGAGATCACCCAAACGGATCAGCGTAGCGTGGCATGAAAGGAGTATTTTTCTGCTAAGGCCTGAATCGAGTTCGACAGGGGTTTCAACGGAGAGCTCTGTCACTCAAAAAGGATTGTCAGCTTGATAAACTAGAGCTCAAAATAAGTCAATTGATGAAAGCATTACTTTCGAAGCTGAACTTCCTCGCTACCTGTTCCAGCTCTGGGATACCGTCATAATGTGAGGATAGACGCTGGATGTACCCTCGGTAGAACTTCTGACTGAGTTTTATAAACTCGAGGTAGTGCTTTTCATGCTTTCTCTTTTCGACTGGCTTTTTCTTGCCTGCCTCGTCCCGGAACTGAGATGGCAAGTTAGACCAATGCTTATATAATAATAGCAACGCAAAAGCCCACCACTTACTCGAGCCAGGAGATTGCGAAAGCGCTTATTGATCTTGAGATGAGCCTCCCATAGACGAATTTCTGCTTTTTCGGACGCGGCAGCGTTGAAATCGAGGAATATGGCGTTTTGACAAGCCACGCGAAACCTGCATGGTAGTCAGATTATCAGGTGAGGAATCGCCGAGAGCAGTGGAATACTGACTCCGTAAGGCAGTGCGCAATTTCTGCAAATGTAGGTTCCTTTTGTGCAAGTGTTTTCTTCAGTTCGTTTTCAGCCTGGTCTGCGGATCTATATGAAATGCGTTAGCGAAAGAGCCGACAGGTTGTATAACACTATAATCACTGGACCGATCAATGGAAGAAGATTGAAAAAGACATACTGCCAAGCATCTTGGAATGCAGTCGCCATGCTCGGGAAATGCGAGCGACCTCACAGATCAACTTGTGGTCATATGCCTCGCTCCCTGCTCTCGAAGCGCCAGTTCTCTGAGCGATCCATCAGTGGTTGCGAAAGAATCAAGATCAGCGAGAGCGGCGATAGAGGGAAGTGATCAAGTAGCGACCACGTAGTGAGTGAGCTAGGAGATGGAAGAACTATCCCAAATAGCCCATCCGCTATGAAAGCGAGAGAGATAGAGACAAGAGGTAGACGGAGGGACAGCGCGAGAGGTGGAAGCCCGAAGCCGCGGGTACATTCTTTCCTTTTAATTTAGTAAGAATTCTTCAGTCTGATTGGCCGCTCGACTCGTCCCTGTGGCTGATGCCCTGCTGTCTCCAAGTGGGGCATATGTGGCGCAGGACTGTATGCATATCGAAGGCCTGAGGCACCTGTTCGCTTGTCTTTAGTTGCATGAGACGTCTCCAAGTCACTTGAAGCAGACAAGAAGACATGGCGAAACGCTTGAGAACCCCAGATCCGTCTCAGCTCCAGCTCTCAGAGCAAACAAGCTCGCCACCTGCCAAAGTCACAGTCTCAGATGACCCTCAACCTCAACTCCAACCCATGTGGTGCTCCTTACCGCCGCACCGAGACACAATAGCATTTGCGTCTTATAACGAGTACGAAAGTCACTATCTGAGATACCACGTCAACCGCTGCTCCGAGTGTGGCAAGAATTTCCCTACTCAGCATATACTCGACATTCATATTGAAGAACACCACGATCCACTCATTCTAGCCCGGCGGGACCGAGGAGAGAAGACTGTAAGTGAATCACCTTTTCTTACCCGTCGGAGAACGTCCTAGCATGAGGACCTACTGGGCTAACCGGAGGGGAAATAATCCAGTTCAGCTGCTTCGTCGAAGGGTGTGAGAGGAAATGCTCAACAGCGCAAAAGCGTCGGCGACATTTGATTGACAAGCACATGTTTCCTAGGGTGAGTGCTCTGATTCGTCTTGTCTCATTCAGTCAAGAAGTCAATATCCACCTTCAATATGGCCGCCACTTACATCAAGCGGGAATATCCCACAGAACTACAACTTCTACATTGTCAATGACGGCATTGACAAGCAGAACTCACTACTGCGAACATCTAATAATAACAACCACTTCCGACGGCGCTCCTTACAGCAGTCGCCGCAAGAAGGACGACTGAGAAACCGGAAGACCTCTGTGTCCTCCTCTGTTCCTCTTGTACCCGATCCAGGAGCAAGGGCAGATACTAATATATCAATGAATGATGCACACACTGATGAAATCGATGCCTTGACCTCGTCCCTGTCTGCTCTGAAATTTGTGCCGGCCAGTGTGACGAAGCGATTGGAGTCTGATCGTAGACGGACGGAGGAGGGGTGACGACGTACCTACATAACGAATAACGAACTTAAATAAGAAATAGAAATGTGATACTGATTTAGTTCTTAGCATCATCAAAACGGATCAACTGCTTTCACAAAACTCATCAGAAGTGGTAAATATGTACTAAACAAAATACAGAATCATGAACATTTTCTGCCACGTTCCTCAATGGCAGTGTTAGACTAGCAGGTAACATTGAAATCATACAGGGACAGGATAACAAAAAGGAAGGAATACATTTTCTGAAACATTGAAGGCGTTCGTTAGACTATGGTGGGATGTAAATCATTTATCGGTTGAGAGAGAGGGTATCAAAAAAGGCGTGAGGGAAGGGGAAATAAAAAGGCCTGAACCAAAGAGAACATATTTCAACCCTCTAACAGATCGGCATATGCTTCAAGGCTCGACCCAATCAGGTCAACAATAGCCCAACTCGTGTTTCCTTTGAATGTACGTGCCCAAACACGCACAACGGCAACACTTAATTGCCTGACCTTGAAGGGGTCTTGAACAAATTCGAGATCATGACCATCCGTTGGTACCACCATGTCAGTTTCGTCCATCATGCTTTTGATCCAGAGAAGCAACTTCCGTTCATGGTCAGATAGCCTCTGTTCATTTTGTGTCAATGGGATGGCAAGTAGCCACCTGCTCAGAAGGAATGCACACTCTAAACTGCAGAGCGAGTGCTGAATACTCCAGAAAAATGAATGTGTTCGTGCAACAAAGTCAATTCCAAGTCTTACGGGGATGGAAAGTGCATGAGCAGAGTGAAGAAGAGCCATGATTAGTTTTGGGCTACGCATAATTGGCGGAGATTCATTTAGAGCTCTTGCAATTTGAAAGGGGTCTTGAGTCACTAGATGTCGACATGGCCCCAGGTCCAGGTGAAGTCGGATATAAGCAAGTCCCAGGAGGGCCGTAGAGGTGAACGCAATAGGCCCTGCCGGGTTCTGAGGATCAATGCTTGACCCAGGTGTTCTCTTCCAGCCTGCCTTCCAGGCAGTCAAAGAACTGTCCAATGCTGCTAAATCCTCGGGGCGGAGGCTGGTGTTTGGCATATGCGGTGCCGAAAGGCGTAACTGACGAGCGAAAAATATCTGTTGGATAATGGCGTGTATCAGGATGTAGTTTCCGAGAGGAGAAATGGGACATGGATTCGAAGGTGGTGATTTGAAAAAGAGCTTCGCAAATGCTTCTTGGAACGTGACTACGGGCTCATGCCACGAACGATAAATCCGTCGCCATTGTGACGCATTGCTCGCCTTCCAAATTTCGTGCGCGCATGGCATTCTCAGATTGAGTTCCGAGTTCAAAAGGAGTGGTGGGATGTTATACATTATAGAGTGTAGGTTAAAGAAGCAATATACAATCAATTTCGTGCGTCGGTTGCCTTCCAATCGAGCCCACTCATCCCAAGCCAAGCTCTCAGAGACAATGTTTGACTCTGACAGTCCGTGTTCACGCACTAGCCTGGCGAGGGTACTTTGTAGAGCAAGAATTTCTCGGAGTAACTCGGGTTGTCTTTCCCAGGATGCGAAAACCGTCAAGAGCAGGAACGTGCGAATAATTTCCATATGAGCTTCAGACTCGTCCATAATGTAGCTCATTATTTCCGGTTGGTGGATGTATTTATGGCTCTGGAAGGGGCTATTTGGAGTATTTGAAGCAATAGTCGAACTTCTCTGGGAGGGTGTCGCCGGAACGTAAATGTCCCACGTCGGTGTGGGAACTTGTTTCGCATCCCTCCGGCGAATACGCTCGAACAGGACTGCCTTGGCTGCATGGAAGAGTTCAATCCCTCGACTGTTCTCGAACCTGTAATGGGAGCCCGCGGCAGCAAGAGCCAATGTGAGTTCGGGAATACTCCTCACGACTGAGAGCGTGGGGACATGGATAAAAGGAAGGTGCTCATTCAAGCCATTAATGTAGCCCGCAATGAAGCGTGACAAGGCATGTCTAGAAGGCGGGATAAATCCCCGAGGAAGAACATGTGCAAATTCCTCTAGCCTCGAGAGGAACAACTGTCGATCTGTATTTGAGATATCCCATGCTGGTCGCGGGTTGGTCGGATCATCAAGCAAGCTCGCTCGCTCATCAGATTCATGGGGCTCAGGTTGTAAGGATGGAAGTCGAGACCCAAAGTTAGAAAAGGAGGGAGGCTCCTCTGCCGACCCTCGTTGTTCATTCAATAGGTCTGGATTGAGTCTTTGCTGGCCATAACCCGACTTCGAATCAAATGAAAGGGGGTTGGATAACAGCGGATCTGTCTCGACCGACGAAAAGACGCCTGAATCCCAGTCGGTAGATAATCCGACGCTTTCGAGAAAGACAGTGAAGTCTTGGACTGGGTCCCCGAGATCGGCCAGATCTAGTATTGATGGCTCGACGCTATATGCATCAGCTATGCTTTTCTCCTGTCCAACGGGCTGTAACTGCGGCGACGGGCCGGATGGCACATGCGGCTTTGGCATAGATTCTAGGGCCAATTCCTGTTGGTTCTCAAGGGCCACGTGGCTGGCAGCATGCGAAAGAAGGTTGAGGTCATAGCCCCAAGAAGGATTAAAATGATTCTGATCTATGATTGGTGCCGGATGGACCTGCGCTCCCGGGGGAGGGGGAGGGGGAGGCGGTGGTGGAGGTTGAAGTGGCTGCTGCACTGAGACCGAGGTAGGCATGTCCAGCATGCGAGAGTCGCCATGAGGCGGCTGGATCATAGACGAACTAAGCGGTACTACCGGCTGGGGAGCATCGCTCCCAGTTCGGCGCTCTCCTCGATGAGCAGCAGCTTCCGCAGGGTGCACCAGACGTTCATGTCGGACAAGCAGATCACTGTTTTATCTCAGCTATAGGTTGATGATACCACGTATGTTCCACAGCAGAGGGATAAGCATACCTGCGGGCGAAAGACTTGGAGCAAATGTCGCATGAGAAGGGCTTTTCTTTTGTGTCTGCAACGGCGTTAGCGAGGGTTGTCAACTTGTTGACGGGGGGAGGGGGGTTGTCGTGTAGGCGGGGGGAAGAAGAGGAGCAAAACTGACGCGTGCGGAGATGGCGTTGGAGATGCTCGAGCCGCGCAAACGAGCGATGGCAGTATTCACACGCCAACGACTTGCGATGCGAGGCAGAAGAGGGCTTCTTGCGGGCCTTGTCTGGAGAGGGCTGGTCTGCCTCCATGGCTCAGCTGCAATGGCAAAGGCATCGACTGGACTGCAGGAAGGGATGGACAGAGGAAAGAAAGCTCTACCTCTTAAGCGGGGAAGGAGAAAACTGTGGGGTGAGGGGAGCATAACCACCAACTGGCCAGACACGACTATTGCTACTACTGCCTACCGTGTAGCATAACAATAGCACACCGAGGTTCTTTACACGATCGTCTTGCTGATGTTGCTCTGTTATTGGCGTTCGTTGTGCTGCCAGGAACGCGCTCGTGCCTCAGGCACCAACACTCCTGGACTGCCTAATGCATGCGTCCAGGTCTGTCGACAGGATTATGACACGATAGTAATATAACTAACCATACTTTCATGAGCCGCTTAATTTAGTTTCCTGGACCGAGGGAAAATAATTCTATTCTTGTTTGATGCAGGGTCTTCTGGCTGTATCCATGGCTGAACCGCGCGTTTCAGGCTGTTTCAAACATCAGCACAAGCAGACGGCGAAGGGCAAAACCACGCCTTTCTTCTAATTATCGCGCGTGTAAATAATGCTCATTCAAGGCCGAAATATCAATGAACGAATGGCCAAATGCTGATCTGAGTGCGTCGCTATCTCGTCCGGCGGCGCTGATTAAATCCGCTTAGCCGTGCGACCCCCCAAGACTTCCTCCTTCTTCCTCTTCAGAATCCGCGGTTGTTTGAACATCCAAACCCGCTCTGGGGGGGCGCTTTTTGTCTTTATCGTGCGACCATTTCTCTGTTTCTGGCTTTTCCTTGCCCCCCTTTTCCCATCGCTTAAGTCTTCGCCTCGCTCGACTTTCGCTATTCGCAGAGTTTCAACGCATCGCTATCTGTCTGCCCAACCGACGACCAACGCGGGGAGCAGTCTCCCTCAACGATAAATACCGTGAACCCCAGTGGGCCTTGCACCAAAACGTGATCGTGATAATATTTCCTCGCCTGACTACCTCGTTTATACTCCTTGTCGTTGATTTCGAGGCCGCTGTGGCCATGTTCCGCACCCTCAGTTGACCTGTGGTCGGGTATATCTATCTATCTACCTATATATATAAATGAGCGCAAGTCGGTTATACGTTGGAATCTAGGAAAAAAACAGCAATCTCGACCATGTTGGCTTCGAAGACAACATACCCACCTGCCTTGGGTCTCTCTGCTTCCCAGGCGACCCCTTCATATCAATCGACAGGCTTTCTTCGAACCGAAACTCCGTCGCTCGCAAGCGACGCGGGGCTTTTTGTTTCGCCCACCGAATCCGAGTTCTCAGATGTCCATGATAGATTAGATTCAGTCCGGTAGGTGTTGTCGGTCATCTCCCGTTGGCTAGTTTTGATGCTAACCACGCAGTTTAAGATCGTGGGATGAGCAAAAGGTCGCCGAATGGCTGCACAGTATAAGATGTGGGCAGTATGAGCCGCTGTTCAAGGGTATGCCTGCTCTGCGCATCCCTTATCAAACGTCGGATTGCTTGTGCTAATCACTATGAGTAGCAAATAATTTTAACGGGGATAATTTGCTCGAATGTGATCAGAAGATCCTCCAGGAGATCGGAATCAAGAAGATTGGTGACCGGGTCCGTATTTTTGTCGCTATCAAGCAATTAAGAAATAAAACTATCATCAGCCGCAAGCCGCACAGTCTAGTGAGTATCTCGAGATCACCAAGCGCAATTTCTATGGTTGCTGACAGGTCTTAGGACCCTCTTACTGCCCTCGAAGCTACGACCTACACACCTTTGTCGACTTTATCAACTGATGCTTATTCTTCCTCGACTTCCCGCAGCCAAACCCATCCAGGCAATAAACGGTGGTCTCGTCAACTAGATTCCCTGGGTGGCAGATCTACATCGCGTCCTTCGTCTCCTCTAACCACAGAGGATAGAATACGAGCATTCCGATACAATACTAGCCCAGTAGACGGCTCGCGACGAGAGGGTGGTCCGGGATATTTCAGTCATCCGTCTTCCGCTGGATCGGGGCACCGCTCAGCTACTTCTGGCGATGCTTCACAGTCATTGCACTTGAGACAAAACCCAAGCATTGATGGCTTGACGATAGGCTCTCTCCCCGCAAACTCTCACGTCATTCGGGTAATCTATACTGGCGGACAGACAAAGGCTATGAACGTCAAAAATTGCAAGTCGGCGGACGAAATATTGCTTTATGTGCTCAGAAAACTACAGCTTCCAGAGTATCAATATCGCAACTATTGCTTCTATGTCTTAGATGGCCTGGAACCAAACCCAGCAAATTGTAGACGGGTGACCGATTCTGAATTAATGAGAATCTGCGAGGGCTCGCAGAAATCAGAACGCGGCCGTCTCATTCTACGAAAAATCCACGCTGGGGAGCCTGATGCCGACGAACTTCGCCGTGCAGCTCAGCTCGCTCTCGATGAGAGTCAGGCAACTCATCTCAACGCTTTGAGCAGCTCTAATCCCCGCAACCAACTCAAAATCCAGCAACTGACAGGAGAGCCGTGGCACAACATAAAGCAACCAATCTCTCCGCTGACGTCTTCGAGGCATATCCCAAATGATGACCATGATGCTTCTCCCACGTCTTCTGTCATGGAGCGTCCATCTGCGTCAAAGCTGCGCTCTTTCTTTGGTGCCCGGCCTCCGAGTGAAATGATTATTCACGAGTTGACTTCGTATTTCCCGAGTCATCAGCGAGAGGACATTGAGAAAACGATGCGTCTTTCTGTGCGAAGATCCCAGCGATTGAGTCGAGCTGCGAGCCGCCTCAGCGTTGTCAGTAACATCAGTTTTGCATCAAGCTTGAAGGACGCACCACCCATTCCCAGCATTGCCGACACATGGCTTACTGGAGGCCAAGCTGCGCGCCCGTCACGACCGTTATCAGTCGTGAGACCTCATCTTCCTCAGGCCTCGTATCGAGATTCGATTGCTTCGAGTTCGTTGCAGCCACTCCAAGAAGAGTCTCCAATTGAACCATCACCAATTGAACCAGATCGCAAGTCTTACGTATCGTTCGGAAGTACGTCCGACCCTATGGTTGGTGACACGATGTCAAACCAAAGGAGCTTCCTCGATGAAACATTAAGTGTCGCAGCCACTGATGGCGGAGGCTCCCTGAATGAACGCCTGAGTATGATCGTAGCCGATGACGGCGAGGAAGAGGACGTCGGCCTCGCAGACTTCTTGGCAGGGGACAACTTTGCGGCCAAGAACTGGATGAAAGGTTCTCTCATTGGTGAAGGCTCATTTGGAAGTGTCTACCTCGCTCTGCACTCAATCACTGGTGAGCTCATGGCGGTGAAGCAAGTTGAACTCCCGTCGGCGACCAAAGGCACGGAGTTTGACAAGCGGAAGAACACCATGGTTACAGCCCTGAAGCATGAGATTGAGCTTCTTCAAGGACTGCACCATGCCAACATTGTCCAATACCTCGGTACCTCCGCGGATGACCACAACCTGAACATTTTCCTAGAATACGTGCCTGGAGGTTCGATTGCCGAAATGCTCAAACAATACAACACCTTCCAAGAGCCCTTGATCAAGAACTTTGTCCGTCAGATTCTCGCGGGCTTATCTTACCTACATAGCCGGGATATCATCCACCGTGATATCAAGGGTGCCAACATCCTCGTAGACAACAAAGGCGGAATCAAAATCTCAGATTTCGGTATTTCAAAGCGCGTGGAAGCATCCGCCATGCTGGGATCGAGCGCAGTCAGTGGCAAGGGCCATCTGCACCGCCCCTCTCTCCAAGGAAGTGTCTACTGGATGGCCCCCGAAGTCGTGCGACAAACAGCACATACCAAAAAGGCCGACATCTGGAGTCTGGGCTGTCTGATTGTGGAAATGTTCATCGGCGCTCACCCGTTCCCCGACTGCAGTCAGTTACAAGCTATATTCGCCATTGGTAACAATCAAGCTCGACCACCGGCGCCTGAGCACGCCAGCAAGGAAGCTCGTGCATTCTTGGATGTTACGTTTGAAATCAATCACGAGAAACGGCCTAGTGCTGATGACTTGTTAGAAAGTCCTTTCCTTGCTGCGTCCGTTGCATGAAATATTTTTGTCTTTCTTCTTCTTCTGCCCCCCCTTTTTTTTTCTTTCTTTTTTTTTTTTTTTTTGGATAAATACCGTTTATTTAAATATATATTTCTGTATGTATGTGTATTATGTTTTACCGTTGACGATATATACCTACGCGAGCCCGACTTTCGACTTTTGACTTTGCAAAGTCGTGGTTTACTTGTTGCTGGACTAGCATGATGCGATGTGATTTCTTCCTCCGAGCCCAAAACCACGTGCGTGAATGAATATTAGAGTTATTTCGTAGAGTTCTAACTTTTAATAAGCTGCTGTAAAGAAAGCTTTGCCTTTTTCTCCCACCTCTGCTTTTCTTGTCATATTGACTTTGGGGAGTCTGATTCTACTCATCAATGATCCCACCTCGGTTATATTCGCTTATATATATATACTTCAATCTTTGCAGCGGGATTTTCAATTTACCCTGGATATTTTACATGACTTGTTGAAAGCTTCAAAAATCTTTTAATTGCTATATGACTGAATGGCTATTCCGCGTATTTTAGCAATACTAGACGGCATCAGGTTGCTGAAATTGAGCATCTGGCTGGCGTTGAGGGTAAACTGGCGATTTCTTGTCTTCGGAGACTCCTTCAGGATAATTCGTGATGAACCCCCATTTGCAATGCGGGATGCGAACCTGCCAGCGGCCTTCCCATTGTTTTCAATCTGTTGCCAATCCGAGCAGTTGCAAGTATTGTTATTGCTTCATCGCCATGACCAAGTCCAACATAGATATTGATTTCCCAAAATACTCGACATACGTTATGTTCTGGATCTGGACGGCTGATACACTAACCCTAACCCGGTTAGGCCCGCAATCCTTTCTTATCCAATTAGAAGCTGTCTATAGACCTCCATAGTCTTAATCCTGCCTTAGCGGAGCTCGGAATGTTTTCGGACTGACTTTCGGAACTCAGACACCGACCTCTTCTCAAGTCCGTCACCCTCGAAACGACGTATTCCCAAAAAAAAGAAGAAAAAGAAAAGAAATTCACCCCCCTGTGCGAATGCACGCTTGACATTGTGGCGAAGAAAGGGCTTTGTTTAACAAGAACTACAACATCATGTCAATTCCCTCCCTATAGACAACCTCTAGTTTGGGCTCAGGCTAACTATACAGCAGGAGCTCTTCGCGTCGTCGAAATGGCATGCCCGCCAGCTGCGAGCCGTGTCGACGCGATAAAGTGAGGTGTGACCACAAACTGCCTGTTTGTACTCGCTGCCAGCGGCGCCGCATTACCAATGGATGTTTCTACCATCCCGCACCGCTGACTCGGCGAAGAATACTCTCACCAACGCCAGTGGCTCGAACACGTCCAAGGACTTCCAGACTTGTAGAGACACCGAACGCTCCATCTAATTCGGAGCAGCACGATTCATACCCGGAGATAATGTCTCCTCTGTCTTTGAGATACCTTGGTCCTACCAGTTTCGCCGCAGAGTTTGGAGCTGATAGTGGCTCGCCTGATGACCTTAGCATCGACTCCTCATCTGCTGCAATCGAGAACTCAAATAGACTGCAACCGTATTGGTTTGAGAAAATTGCTGAAATATTGATGCTTCTGGAGGACTTTTCGTCCATTGAAAGACTTGTCTCGGACTTCTATGCTCTGAGTCTAGCTCCTGTGATCCCTGCACCATTTGTGCTTAATACGTTCCCATCGATTCGCAGGCTGTGTAAAGAGTATGTGCCTGCGAAAGTCATACGCTTAGCTTCAAAGTTAGTGGAAAATACTTCAAAGACCTTTCATATACCTACTTCAACCCAAGGTTGCGACTTTCACAGGTTATACACCGGCGTCGATTTTCGTCTCGAGATATTGGGGATAATATTGTCGCAAGCGGGTCGAAGTACGCAATTTGGAATAGGCTTTGGGACATTTGCCATCCGCGGAGAATCTTACACACGCATGCAGCTTGCTCGAAGAATGTATTCTGCAAGTGAGGTCATATTACAGGTCTGTAAGATGCTGACACCTACGAACGATCTGTTTCTTTGGCTAGTATATGAAAATATGGCATTGTCAGATATTATCCATGGCGCTTCAAGTCAGTATTCTCTTCCAAACACTACAAAAGTAATATGTCTGATATCACTGAATTGAATAGGCGAGACTCTGTGGGGTCAACTTGGTGATCTTTCAACCAGGATATTTGCTCTCGGCGTCCATAGAGAAACACAAGGGTCATCCAGCATACCACCGTTTCTGGCCCAGATGCGTAAACGACTCTTTTCCGCATCGTATCGGATCGATAAAAACATAGCAACTTTCCTGGGTCGTCCCCCGCGACTATCTTCCAAACATTCGGATTGCGGGCTACCGCTGTGTATTGACGACGATATGTTCAATGCTTCAACTCATGCTTTCAACCAGGCGATAAATGATACTGATGAACAAGGATGGCGTGTGCAGCCGACCTTCTGTCCCACTGCATGGATCCGACTCCAATGTTCAATTGCTATGTTTCGTGAAGAGATCTTAGATATTTCTATCATGCCTCTCAAACCAGAGACCGTCCAACAATTGCAGTTAGTTCGCATTCTTCCAACTCCTTAACTCAGTTCTTATCTTCTAATGAGCGGAGAAGTGATATTTCACGTCGCTGTAAAGAACAATGGGAATCACACCCTTCGTATCTCCGTTTTACACCAAACGCCTGCAACGAGAATGGCAATGAATTCATTCCTTCCATGATCGTTCTTTCCTATCTTACCCATCTATACAATGAGTTTCTGATCCAGAAGCTTCTAGCCAGACAGCATCATACTCTCAATACCTCGCTACTCTTCGTGAGCTGGCAAATTTTATCAACTAGTCTGTCGCTGAGCCGCATCTGTGGCCATATGCGTAATATCTATGTTGATCTAACACCTAGTGTATGTCTTAATGACTACGATGTGAAGGAAATTGATCTAATATGTACATCGCAGATCCGGCTGTATGGCTTCCCAGCTGCCGGCGTCCTGATTGAGGCCCTTCATAGGGAAGTCAGCTCCGGCATTACATTTGAATTTCCCATCCCACGACCCGAGATTCTACGTAATCTATGCGTCTTTGTTGCCCATATCGAGTCGGCGGAGCAACCTAGGAACAGGAGCGACACTCTGTTCAAGCGTGCGTCGAAACACTTCGCGAGCGTCATTGATGAGGTGATCGGGTCAAAATTGGTTGCCAATAACAATAGTCTACCTTCAAATACTCATGAATCTGCCGCTGCGTGGGACCAGGATGATTCTATGGATTTTATGAGAGACTTCATTCAAGTAGAAAGTATGGATTTTGGAATAATGTTTGATCAGCTAGTTTGAATCCAGTGTGATGATGATGATGATGATGATGATGATGATGATGATGATGTTATAAGATTCTTGATGCCGCTTGTTATACGAGCATGTGAGATGTGACCTGAAATGGACGACATAGTTACTCCGAACATTGCGCTGCTTCTACAGCATCCGCGTATAGTTTTACGATCTCCTCTTTGCCAACGTCTCAAGCTTGAGTCGACCTCTGGGGCTTCTTAACACTTCCCCATCCCAGGCCCCAACTGAGCACGAAAGCAGCGGCTGCAGTTCCAGAAACCATGTAAAAAACATGCTGAACGCTACTATTATATGACATAATCACGCCCTGCACACTCGCGGGAGGTATAGACGCTGATGATCGGATTCCAGATACGCCGGCCGATATAACCTGCGCGGCAGAAACGCCCGGTGCGTAATGGGGCAGAGAGTTTTGAAGTCCAGTATTGAGCACTGTCTCGGCAAAGGAAATCCACAGTGCGCCACCAAAGTTCTGGCAGAAATAAGCTATGGCCATGCTGACAGCAATTTCGGACGCGGAGATATTATTTTGGATTGCCATGAGCGGCTATTTCGCCAACAAAGTGGAAAGAAAGTCAGTTGAGTACTTGATCAAATGTATCCGAACATCATGAGAGGAATCTACCATCTGAAGAGCGCAACCTCGTCCGACCCCGGCAATAATCTGATAACAAATCCATGTGGCAGTACTCGTTGACGGGGTGAATGTGCTCATTAACCCAGCTCCGACTGCCGCTAGAACCGTGCCCAGGACTGTAGAAGGCAAGTAATACCCAAGGCGAGTCACTGTTTTTATAGGAATAGTTAGCAACTGCTTTCCAGGCAGGGATCTTCATAAATACCTGCTAGACCGCTCAGAATCCCAGCGGTCATTTGCCCTATAACCCCTGGCAGCATAAACACGCCACTGAGAGTTGGAGGTTTGTTTCGCACGCCTTGGAAATAAATTGCGAGGTAGTACGAAGTTATCAGGCTATTCGCATATAGGAAGAACAAAGTCAAACAAGAACAAAACATAACCCGCTTTCTAAGCAACTCAAGAGGGATCATCGCTGAGCGTCCCTTGTTATATTCCCAAGCCAAAAACAAAGCGATATTGCCGGCGGATCCACAAAAGAGGCCGATGACGATAGGGCTGCCCCATGAATACGTTGATCCCCCCCATTCAAGGGCGAGAAGAAACATGACCAGGGCTGGAGAGAACAGCAAAAAGCCCACAATATCGAGATCATGGAAAAGAGAGGTGAAGGTCATCATCGTCGGCTCTGCCCTGCGTAGGCTGTATTTGGGCAATGGCACAAAGATTAGAGCAGCCATAGCTAGCCCACCGACAGGAAGATTGATGTAGAAGCCTGTTTATTTTTGTTTTTTGTTTTAATGACTCATTAAGCGAGAGGAATGTGGAATTTGTGTACATACACCATCTCCAACTTAAGTATTGTGTTAATGCGCCTCCTATTAAAGGGGAGATAACAACGCCTATTTGCCCGCCTGCGAGGATCAGTATCGAAACTAGGCAGACATGGGAAGTGAAAAGCATACAGGACGCGACAATGCCAAAGTAAGCTATTTTGGGATGGTTAGTAGAGCTTTGTGGCTGTTTTGAAGAACGTACTTGGTCTCTTTGCAAGAGGTACAGAAGCAGATAGTATTGTTGCTGCACCATTTCCCACACCCGAACTGCCCATGCCTGCAATTGCTCTTCCGATAATGAACATGCTGGAGGAGGTTGAAGTGGCACAAATCAATGAACCGACTTCAAATAGACTAAAGAATGCCAAATATGTATACTTGACACAGTATCGTCAGTGGCTAGAGTGGTAGAATAGGTTAGGTTTATGATAAGCAACCTTGATATTCAATTGCGCAAATAGTTTGCCTGATATAGGCTGCAGAGCACAGCTTGTAGTAAGTCAGTACATCGATACGTATGTAGATTGAAGACTTCTAGTGGAAAATGACCTTGTTATTAAATATGCACTCCCGTACCAACCGACATCATCAACAGAGTGAAATTCGCTCGTGATATTCGGCGTCGCCTGTTGTTATTTTCTCTCAATCAGCAGACACACACACATGAGTGATCGAAGTACTCGCTCTGTGCTCACCGTAGCAATTATGGACATATCGAGCATTATAAGCAAAGCAATTGAGATGGTTGAAGCTAAGACTACGGCGAGTCTCAACCCATTTACAAATTGGGCTTCATCTTCCGTCTCTTCTCCCACTCTATCCACACTGGCCATGGTTGGGCTAATGTGACTGTCGACACCTTCGAGCGGTGGGTTTTTAGATTCGGCCTCACTCGGAGCCATTGGCATATCGGAAGCAGATTTGGAGCAAGCTGTTCGTCCCCTTATGCGCAGTGTTGATGTTCAGTACGGATGAGTATGCAGAAAATCTGTTTCGTTTCGCTCGAGAATAAATTGTAGCAAGAGGAATGAAAATGATTATGAGATACGGAGAGCAAGTAGGCATGTGGTAGTATTTAACGAGTAGGAAGGGCCCAGCGTACATCAAAGAGGAGAGAGATCTCCAACTCCGAAATCAACTCCGAAACCAACCCCGAGATTTCTATTGATGCAAACACACACAAAACTCCGTGTTTGCTTCGGAATACAAGAAAATATTCATTTCTATACCATGTCCTGCTGATTTAATGAGTCATGGACGTTTCATGTGTTGATCTGATACAGTCGCTGGCTAGGGTTTATATATATCGTTGAAGAACGGGCAACATAATGCCGATTTTTCACCTCAAATTAGATAGATTGATAGTTTTGAGTCATTATAGACCCTACGGCCTTATATGATTCCATGGAGCAGGATTGTCGATTTCGTCGTGGTGAGAATACCCAGTCTTCAGATGTTGCACGTTTACAAGTTTCCCAAAATGGCAGCCACGGTCCCATGATAAGGAAAGCCCTAAGTCGATACTAAACATATATATATATATAGCCCCTGCCAAGGTGGCAGGTCTCTCGTAACATGAATTAGTTCAACAACTTCATCTACGTATACTTTGTGCCCAAGTCGATTTTTTTGAGTTAATAAGACACGCCATAGTACGTTTTCCAACATCACCCGATTCTACTGTTGCTGAGTTGGGGCGATAATGATGATAGAGGCATAAGATGCTGGATCATAAGTATGTATTCCTTCGACACGAAAGCCTGATTGTGCCGCCAAGTCTTTCCATTGCTGTGCACGGCGTTCTTTACCTGCAAATACCATCATCAGTGAATGTAGAAATATTGTGCAGACGGATGTACGGCAAGCAGTTCAAGGAATTCAACCCTATTGGCTCAAACTTGGAACATCCCCACCAGGACCCTGCAGGAACAAGGTTTTGGTTGGCTACGCAGGCTCGTAAGTTACATGTATATACATGAATGCTAATCACGGCCTTCCTGATGCTCTCTGTCAATTTCGGGAATTTCATAGGGACAGCTCCGCAATAGAAGGTATTCGAGGACATCATTTGTGAGAACTACAAGCAATCCCTCGATCCGAATATATATATTTTGACGGCAATATTTGCAAATCAGAGCCGGTATAGAGTGAGCTTGCTTTGATAAGTGGATAGAAGAACACGCTTGATGTATTACCAGGCATGAGCCTCTCCATCTGTTCAAACAATAACTGAGGCTTCAAACAGCCCTTGCTCTGACCATGCCTTATAGTGTTCTAGCAGATAAAATTAGACGAAGGCCTTTTGTTATCCTTTCTACAGCGGCGACAGCTTCGTGTGAATGCTGGCCGAGAGTTCTCTGTGCGGAAGCCGTGGCTTGTTTACAACGCCATTATACCGATTATTACAGGTTGGTTCAACTGGCCTCTCCGCCTGATTTGGTTGACAGGGGTATTCCGAGCACCCGGAGGTGGTGGCCAGTTTGCTACGTTCATGCTAATGACTATCATAGCGGACGTATTCAATGAGGAACAAAGGTACTTGAGCTCTCTAGTTTGAAGAAAAAAAAAAATCGTATATTAACTCGAAGCAGAGCTACATCTCTATTTTGTTTGGTCTCATTGCCTATTATCGCCGAGAGGGTAGCCACTCCTATAGTTAAGTGCAACCACCATGATTATTAACTCGTGGATTCCATTCATGCTCAGCCCAATTATTGTTCTTGTCGGAGCCGCATCCACTGTCATATTGACTGTTATAACTAGTCTACGGTGTAGATAATGCAAAGGTTTTGTTCTCTTCTTGTTTAAATAAATAATAATCTCATTGCTATCAGAATCAACTAGAGTAGGTAGGCTAGTAGATTTATATATTACACTGTAATACACATATCCGTTGTTCGATGGAATATTGCTTGCGTTCCGGTCAACCGTAGGTTATTGCTCCAAAAAGGTATTCATACATCTATATACTACACGGGGTGAATGAAATAGGAACACGCGAAAATAAAAAAGAAAGAAAATGGCCGATTGCTTATATCGCCGAAATGAATCGACAGTCATTCCTCCGCCAACTTCCCGGCTTCCATATTCCTGCCTTTGGGATTTGGTTAATTAACATGTTTGCCATAGAATGGAATTCCCAGAGCACTGAGCAGTAGCCTTGCGTCTTTGTCGGTGGTGGCAGATGTGTGAAGGGTGATGTGACAACCAGGGATCATTTTTGTAGGATACCTGAGAGAGAATAGATGTTAGTATATTATCCTCAAAAAGGTGATGAATATATGTAAACGTATAAAAAGACAACTCACATATCGTAATTGACCTCTATTTCTGGGAAAAGGGCCATTTCCTCAGGCTCCAAGCCAAATGTGATGTTCCCACTGCTGTCACCGCTGCTTCCCTTGACACCCTTCCACTCCTTGATTTTGGGCAGGACAACATCGACCAATTTTCCAAGGAAATGATGCATATTCTCGGAATACAGCTCAGCCTTGACGGCAACCGAGTCCCTTCCGGGAACAATGCCCCAAGGACCAACACTGGTTCTGGATTTGAAGGTCTCAACCCGGACATTCGAGATGGCTTGGACAGCCATTCCAGCAACGTGAAGCCATTGGGAGCCTTCTGTAGCAGCGTGCTTCACGTAACTGTGGATTGTGATCCGCTCAACTTTAGGCAAGTTCCGGAACGTGACGGGTTTCCGCAAGAGTCGCAAGACATCACCACCACGTGGCCCGCGCAATGGTCGGTTCTTGTGATATGGCGAACTGTCGTCCCATGAGCGTAAACGCGGCGCTTTGACTGGTGCTTGAAACCCCGGTGGCTTGTGGACGTAACAGAGCGTCAGAATATCCGAGGCAATCGTCGACTCGTAAGTTTGCTGCACACGCGGCAGAGAAAACGGCCCAGGGACGAACTGCCGTGAAGAAGGATCGGAGGGGGGAGGAGGCCTATGAGGATGAAGGGGTCCTCGATCGTATTTTGGAGAACGGAATTGATACCTAGATGGGTCAGTCAAGAGCAAAACTGGCTATCCTGCGCTTCGGGATGACCCTGGATAGTATATCTGTCGTTGAACGAAGGGAATGAACATACCGACTGCGAGGAAGTTTCTTCTGTGCTGCCCTTGCCCGCGCAACAGGATTATATGACTTTATAACGGAATCCGGAACAGGGGCTGCAAAAGAAGACGCGGGTTCGACTTCAACCACCGAGGCTGGGGCGGATGCAGCTTGGTTCGAGGCATTGCGTATGGGAAAGGAGAATTGTTGATATTTATAAAGCCTTGATGGGCGCAGAAGGGCCCTATGAAGGCATTTCGAGGGCTCGCGAGCAGCCATCGGGTCTGAGGTCAGGAGTCTTCCCGATTCTTAGAATCATGAATCGTCTCCAGAAAAATGTTCCCGGACCGAAAGGGTAAGCTGGCTCCACTCGGAGTTGTATCACGTGACCTGACAGACACGCGCCAATCAGAGTGCCGTCCGGTGTACCTCCATCTCCTGTCAATCTCTTTGGAGATGCAATGCAGGAAGTTTGTCTATGCGTTTTATTTTCTACCCTGGTTGATAATTTGCTATTAAGCCTTTTATTCTGTTGATGGTTCATCCATCCCTGTGTCCCACTGCGTATCTACTCCGGCTCAATGGGTTGCGCAAATACGCAATTAGCCATGAAACTGCAGTAAATGCGGTAACATAGTCGAAGACTTAGTCTAATCTTATTTAGCGAAAAGAATGATAGAAGTCATACTTCGTGATAGCTATCAAGGTTGTGTTGGTCTGAAACCATTTCCCCGTAGGGTGTCTGTCCTCTAACGTGTCTACCACGCCTCATTCATGCCAGCCAGCGATCGCCACTGCTGAAAAGGCATGACCGTCCACAGCAGCGAGCCCAGAGAATCCAAGCCATCACACCAATTAAGAATGTCAGGCACAACATTAATTTTTTGATCCCGCGACACGTCCCTCAGAGCGCCCGCTTGATCTAGCTCTAACAAATCCCCTATGGTCAAGATCTTTTTGGTCTGACGCCGGGAAAGGTACCTTTCATATTCGGTTCTCCAGACGAAATTTGACTGTGCCTCCCAAAGATCTCGTGTCGCTGGGAGTGGGATGTTTTCAAGATTGTAGCTGCATGCATGGTATACGCTCCTCTCTGGCTCCAAGAGACAATCCATCATAAGGTCGATAATCACAAGCAAGGTTATTGTTCTATCATACACCCATGCACCCAGTGTAAGTGAGATCGCTATACGCATTGCTGATGGTTGGGGAACATATCATACCTTCTCACACTCTCTTCATGAACCCACTTCGACCATAGAGGGGTCTCGTGTATGGTGTCAGTTCCTGGCTTGTTTCTTTGACCGACGCTCATGCAAATATTCTGGTTCGCAGTCAGTCGAGAAAGAAATCTAAATTAACTCTGTAGTGCTCTCTGTCATTCTTTGTTTCCCGTCAACGTCAAATCATCAACTCACAATCGTGGTGGTTAAGAGAGAGGAAGCTTCATTGGCCTCACTGGTTTCGACATCTTGAGCTTGGAGCAGTACATAGATTGCTAAGCATTGTAAAGCAGCGAGCTGCTGGTATATGTCGAAACTCTCATGCTGTGCAAGGAGTTAGATTCCTATATTCTTTGGTCGGATGTTCGGATAATGCTGACCTCTTTTTGCAGCCTCTCTATCTCGGCATATATCGTCTTCCATACAAATTCGGAATTTTGTGCCGTTCGAGAGTAGAACATCTCTACTGTGCCGGCGCATATTGCCAACTCCTTGGGAAGGCAACAGTGTCTCCTGCTTTTCACACAATCGAACGCGAGCTCTTCATGCAGGTGGCACGGCGGACAGATGAACGGTGGTAGACGGTCGCCTTGTATCATCATTTTTGGAAAGCTCGCTAGTTGCCCTAGAGCTATCCTGCTTAGTGCACTGTGCCTGAGTACCCGCCGTGCCTGAAAGGTTCGGCGAGGTGGGAGCAACTGGGTGGACGTTGGTGAGGGTACATGAGCTGTGATGTCTGAGCCTGGCACCGCGATCGCGTTGTCCAAATTATACTGATTCGAGACATTTTGATGATTGTCTGGGATTCCCATAATTGCAACATCGGATGTCTCTGCCTCGATCTCGGAGAATCCTTGTACCCCAATCCACGGAGCAGACATGGCGGGCATGTCTAAAGCCGGACCTAGCTTTGGCATGCTAAACGATCTTTCAGCAGAACTGTCGACGACGACATTCCAGTTTAGATCAGAACTGCCAGGAATGATATTCGCGGTCTGAAGTGGGGGATTCGTGGGCATAGATGTTATGTCACTGGGATCTCCCAGTTGGGGAGCATTCTCTGGTAGTTCCTCCAACATCCCTAACGATGTGGACGGTGTCCGAGAGGTCCTGAACACTGGCGTATATGCGTATGGGACCCTGTTGTCAATCCTCCAATCATAGACGCAGCGTATGCCTCTCTCCGCGCAGCGTGAGCAATTAGGAGTTTGCCGGTTGCATCTCAACTTAGATTGCCTGCAACACACACAGGACTTTTTCCTTGAGAGCGGCATTCTTTGAGTGAGATAGAATGATACTCCACAAACTCAGTTATGTTTAGTCCACTCTTAACCCTTGGACTCCGTTGAATTGAACACTGCTTGCGAATAACCAATTGACGCTTCTACGAAGTCCGCGGAATTCGGGTGGAGCCTGCCCGTGCTGGAAAGAGACCGCAATATTACGCATAAATGCTGGTTCTTACCCAGTGCTGAGTTTGGTCTGCTCAATGTCAGTTGAGCATGCGAGGTCAAACGCCAATAGCGCGTAAGTGATATTGATCGCGAGTTGGGTTGAAGCCTGAAGGTCTTCGATACAACCTTCCAGAAGGCCCACTCGGAGTTGAGGTGGGTCCAGCATGAAATCTAAGAGTTGTTATTGGTCAGGGGCACTGCTAGTCACGTTAGGGCTAACTGCCTGTCTGGGACATCATCGATGACGATTATGAATGCTTCAAAACCGCGCAACTTGGCTTTGGCTTGTATCATGAGCCTGTGTGACATGTGGTAATTCCAAGGTAAGCCCAATCGGGCCCGCAAGAGTGCTCCAAGGGACAAAGCTCTGCATATACAGAGTTCAAGGCCTTGAAAGCAACCAAAAGCATTTCGTTCGACCACACTACTTCAGTTCCAATTTCATCCTACACCTGAATAAATACACTACAAGGTAATTACAATTCGTGTTGATACGTATTGTCGGTCTAAGCACTGTCGTCTCCTCCGGCCCATGCTACACAGCTGGGGACTTGTTCACCTCGCCTCTCTTACCAGCTCTCTACATTACAAAGTCGTTGCTCTGTGCAACTCCACCGTTAATAAATCCCGCAAGTCAATATAGCAGAACAAGCTCAACCCTGCAACCACCTATCTATCTCTACCTGGCATGGGATTCCGGAAGACTTAGAATACTCTGTGGATGTGGATTCTGGACCAGGCCGTGTCAGTATAGGGCTCGGTCATGGTACGTGCTTTCAATTCAATTCACTGATGAAATTTATCTTGGTACTACCGCAGTAACCGACAGATTCCCTTAGGTTTGGACCCTGTTTTGGCCATACTTGGCGAATTCAAGGACGTCCAAGCCGTCTTCAAGACTCATTGCAAAACAGTCCATTTGTTTGACGCCGCCGGCAACGTCGTCAGCAATGCCTATAGAGCCACTGCCACTGAATCAAAGTATATCTTCATCCAGAGCGTAGTTGGAGCGGCGTTGCGGCATCAATCAATCAATCTGCACTGCAACTATAGTCAACGAGCTCGAATTCACCAGTCCGACCAACGACTTTATTCAGGGTGAATAGCCTCACGCCAAACTATTCCTTAAGAAGAAGTGACAGCGGATTATGATAGCTATTCCATGTAATCCACCACCAACACCGTATTTCTCAGGGGTGCACCTAATTGGCCAGAATAGGCATCGGATACGTGTCTCAGTTGACCCCTATTCTGACTATAAATATGGCCTCAAATGACCCCCTGAACATTTTCTTTAGTTAGATATGCAGATTATATAGTATTCCCAATACTAGCGAATGCAGCGTTCCGAATCCGTTGTTAAGAAGCAAAGTGAAGCCGGAGAGGTCGGCCCCGAGCTTAAATGAACCAGACCATATTAGTCTCCCTGTTCACGCCATCAATACAGCCCATTTATACGAGTCGTTCGCGATGGAGACGAGGACGGTTACCCGTCTATTGAGTCAGCACAAATGGTACATTGTCTCATTGAATGGGTTAAGGGAGTTGCTGTGTGGACTCCTTAAAGAAATATTGGATGGCTGTTCAAAATGAAAATTGACGCTTAGAGTCCATGTTAAACCTAAAACTAACCTACTCTTATCTTTCTTCAACTATAAGCATATCAATCAAAACGAAATTGAGTATTGAACACAGCAAGTTACAACAATCTACACATACCATCTTACTAATATCGGCTTTGTTTTGTATAGTTACTTATTTTTCATCTTCTTATATGCGTCAAGGATTTACATGGTCTAGACAATCTGCCTAGAATACAAGTCATACTTATAAATCATGGCACGTTACCTGTCCATCAGTGTGTAACTGTCAGCCGCTCCATTGTCGATTGAAATTGCGCCGGAAGTCCTGTTTCCTCATAAACAACACCCTCTCTAACCATTCTTGCAATAGCCTGGCTAGTCGTGAATATCATCAGCATCCCAGCGCCATTGAACCCTGCCAGTATCCATTGATTCTTCGAGCCAGGTACCTTGCCCACATGAGGGAATAGGTCTGGAGTAGCTGCCATGACTACAAACGTTCAGTACATACAATTAATTGACCATACATACATAGTATTAGGTAAACTTACTTCCGCTCCAGACCAAATCGTGACGTGCATCGGCATTCTCCCAGCCGTGAAAGTGGTCAGACATAACTGAGTCAAAGTGGCTAGTAGCGGTGTCGTTGATCAATGTTGAGTCATCGATATTGTTCCACCATTTGTCTCTATCACTTTCAAAAGTCCACTTTGCTCCACCGAGTATAATTGTTCCGTCTGGCCTGGGAACTAGATAATCTGCATAGCGCTCATTGAAGTGTAGGTTGTATGTATTGTTGAGGACTTTTGGCGGCGTGAAAAATTTTCCAGGAGAAAGATGAGAGTTTTGACCCTTGAAGGGGGTAATTATTGCTTCATACCGGGGCAGCAAGGCAGCAGTATAAGCATTAGTCGCAAAGACAGTCTTACGAGCATTCAAAACTCCTCTAGAAGTTGTTAAGATCGTTGTACCGGAAGCATCTTCGTCCACTTTGGTCACACAAGTCTCGGTGTAGAGCTGACCACCAAGCTCAATTACTCTTGAAAGCAGAGCTGTAACGAGCTTATACGGCCACAAGGACACCGCAGGAACACTGAGGGCACCCTTGCTATTTTTGACACCAGTGATCTAGCAACCCATGTCAGTCAACGGTTGTTAACTTTGAGAATTGGAGACATACCTTGTCCAGTTCGTCCTCGTCAATCCACCGGACCTCCTTGGCCCAGGAAGCTCCTTCGGTCTGCCTGGTATGAAGAAAGTCCCGGAATTTCTCTGCATGGCCTTGGTCAAAGAAAATGTCAAACGAGCGGGTTACACGCAGTTCACAGTCTATTTTCTCGTTATCGACGACATCTTTGAGCGCAGCAAGCTGATTTAGCTGGTGACGAGCAACTTGCTCGACAGCTTCGGGCCCGTCAGTGGTGTGCAATCGGCGGATGACCGTCGTGGCTAATTTTGTGTGGCCGCCTGTCGTAGTTAATTTGGCATATTTCTCTTATATCAGGCCTGTCAGGGGGGTGTTGAACAACACTAACCATTACGCCCTGTTGCACCGGAACAAGCCTGGCGTGCTTCGAGGAGAACAACACGCGGCCGAGGTACCCCGATGTTAGGGTCCGTAAGGATGTGGTAAGCCGTGGCTACGCCGGCCATCCCAGTACCAATGATAGCAATATCACATTCTTCCGGAATGGTTTCTGAGTATCGGTAAGATGCCAAAGGATGGGGATCCTTAAGCCAGTAAGAAGTTATCGGGTTCTCTACTGGAAAGCCTGGGTGCCGGCGAGAAGACATGATGGTGGGAATACTACGACAAACCTGAAAAGATGCTTCGAATTCAAGGAGCAAGTTAAGGCAATATTTATAATGCAATAGAGTGTTGATAAGGTCACGTAACGGCGGGAAATTTAGGCCAATAGTGGTTTACGTGCTAATTAGTATGCGGAATCCATTAACTAGAGCGGTGGTACTCCGATACCTTTTTTTGTACGGAGTAGTTGACAGCAGATTATTATTACCACTTGACTGTCGGGCTTGACGTAGTATTACCACAAAAGCCGGATCAATAGTAGTACTCCACGGAATACGATTCGAACAAATTTCTAGGAGAATTGTACATATGTATATGATTCTGTGCTTGTTCTGACGGAATCATTCACAGTAGCCCATTACCTAGGTACTCATCACCCAGCTATGATAGGGCTAGGGCTAGAAGGTCTTGCTACAATTAGATATGTAGTATACGGTGGACGTAACGTGCGGTTGAAACGTATACATGAGGCGGTATAGGCGAAGGGTGGATACTGACTAATGGTTGGTTGTTTGTAAGTTGTTTTCTCTAAAACATTGGTCTATAGATAAAAAAAAAAGAGGAAGCCCTAACTACCTAAGTTGGCCTAATTTTGAGTATTTATAGCAATCCCTCATGCACTAGGGCTCCTAGTAAGCCCTAATACCTGGTTATGAGCAATATAAGTGATCTAAACGGGGTAATGTTGAGTGTCCCAGAATTAGGTTGAAAGCTAGCTAACTAGCTGCCTTTGTGATGTTAGCCTAAGAGTCTGTCCTCTCTAGTTTGTGTTGATGAATGCCAAGCTAGTCCAACAAACAATGGTTGGCTCTTCTCAGATCTTCATCTGTTTATTAGCTTGATTTCTAATCCTAAGGGCTAACACCACCTCAAATTTAGTTGCCTAGTAAAAAGCCTGAAAACTTCATGCAGGGGTACAAAGAATACCTAGGTATGTGCATGGAGACCTAAGAGGGGAGCGCAGATTTGTACTTGATGAGTGCATGCTGCTAGGGATGGAACAAAGAGCTTACATGTTTTCTCGTACAAGGATTCCCTAGAATTGTGTCTGCTCACTTTATGTGAATCATCATTCCTAGCTAAGAACAGAGATTGGCACTTGCTTGTCTTGATATTCAGAATGCGATGCATATGAGCATTGCCAGAGGCCCTTTTTGGTGGCTCAATGGCATTCTGAGGATGTATAGCAGCAGAGATATCCCCCAGGCAGACCCTGCATGGTAATAGACAAGAAATGTCCAAAACAATCAGTGCTGCAGTCAGCAGTCAGTAGGTAGTTAGGTAGTTACTTAGTTGCTGGCTTGCAGTCAGCCGCTGAGTCAGCTGGATGGATCCAGTGCCCCGCCTCCGCGTGTTGACCTTTTTGAATTAGAACAACCAACCACCTTGACTGCGTACTGCACTTTTCGCAATGACTCCCTGTCCGAGCATAGCTGTCAGTGTGCACGCTCCTTAGCTTCCTGGATGACGCTGAACTGAGTCCATCCTCTCCCCTATCATCAATATGCAAATTCTTGGTTACCTGGCTCTCTCATATCACGCTGCAATTTTGGAGCCTGGACTCGTGTCCTTCTGAGAAGATTTGCATAGAAGAGAGTCTCTGCTTCCATTTACAACAATGAGTGGCATCCAGCGCTTTCTCACCAAGCGTGGAGAGAGATATAGACGCCCTGGAAAGCAGGACAAAGAGGTATGTTTCCCTAGGCACAGGTTTAACATATAACTATATATATCCCCCTACGTATTCACGCCTATGAACATGTCTGACATCAGTTGCAGCTTCCAAATCCAAGTGTTCGCAGCTATTTACGCGGCCTAGTCATCAAAAGTGAAACTGTCTCCAGCCTGGACAGAGATGATGAGCAGAATGTGAGATTCTCCTTCTGTCACTCATAGGACATCCAATCTGATTTGTTGTAGGTTAAGACACTAGAGAAGAAACTCGCTTTTGTAGGAATTATTGATCTTAACAATGAACAAATACGGGGCGCTCTCACATCGGATTACGCGCAGGGTGATGTGGAGAAAGCGTTTGATCTGCTTATCATTCTAGAAGACTCGATCGAAGGTATACTACGTGATTACAACACAACCACCAAACTCGTGGGGGCCGTGAATCGAAAAGGTGTTACATGCTACTTGGATTCTCTTCTCTTTGCAATGTTCTCGAGGCTGGATTTTTTCGAGGCTATTTTGTACACCCCTTTTACCGAACCCAACGATCCCCGGAGAAAATTGGTTATTATTCTGCGGCTGTGGGTGAATATGCTGAGATCTGGAAAACTTATCACGACCGATATTGTGAGTTGATCATTGGGTAATAGCGGATTGAATTTCATCGGGCTGATTGTGCGCAGACGGAACACTTGCAAGCATCTCTCTCTGAATGCGGCTGGAAGGAAGCTGCAGATCTTCGTCAGCAGGATGCATCGGAGGCCTTTACGTTTATCACCGAGAAGCTGGAGTTACCTTTACTGACTCTCAAGATGGACATATACCATACCGGAAAAGAAGATGCGGCGGACGACCACAAGTTTATCAATGAAAGGCTGCTCGAAGTAGCGATCCCGCCAGAGCATATTGACGGTACACCAATCACTCTAGAGGAATGTCTGGAGGCATATTTCAACAACAAGATCGAAGTTAAGAGGTATCTTGAGAGACGTGGAACGATAAACTCCGTGAGATCCTTTGACTCCACTGTGAAAGGAGGCGGCAGTGTACATATCGAAGCCGTTGAAGTGGGCTCATCAGCGCCATCTCCTGTCAGGACAAGTTCTCTTAAAATCGGGTTTCCGCTGTCTGAGACTCCCTCGGTGCCGTCGATAATATCGCGAAAGTCAAGCATTGTCCAAGAGCGATTTGTTCCCGATAAGGATTCTAGCGATCATTCAACTCAACATGGTCGGGCACGGAAAGGAAGCTATCGAAAAGAGGTGATGATGCCGGCGTGGCAATTTTTCAGTTTAATTCGTATGTATTGACTAAGCGCATTGAGTGTCCTTCTCTTCTTACTAACAAGTTTCTTTGTCAAGCATGGTACACGAACAATACTCCCATCAATGATGCGCAGGTCGCGGCCCATTTCTCTTCAAAAAGACCTATTCTTGGGATGTGTCTGAAGCGATATTCCGTTCTACCCAACGGTAACGCAATTAGGTTGAACACATACATTGATATACCGACTCAAATAGGATTGCCTCATTTTATTCAGGATGATGCGCTGGACGAAGATGGACTGTTATACGGCAACTTCAAGCTATTACTTCAATCTGTTGTCTGCCATCGAGGGAACTCGGTTGATTCAGGCCACTATATCGCTCTCGTGCGGGGCACAAATTCCACTGCTCTTCCTTCGACATCACATAGCACCGATTCCAATTCGCTCTTTAGCTCGGATAATCCAGAGCAATGGATGCGATTCGATGACTTGGCTGCCGAGCGCATCACGCGTGTCGATATTGAACAAGCACTAAAGGAGGAGTCGCCGTACCTTCTTTTCTATCAGATTGTGCCAATCGACGATAATAGTTCTATGATAGAGAGTGCTACCGATAAGCGGGCCTCTCTTTTTAAGGAACCGGAAGAAGTGAAAGCTGATGTAGAACAAGAGGCGACTGATAATCTAGAGCCTCCGCCCGATACGTCTGCGCCCTCGGTTCGGCTTAGCTTTGACCTCTCGAGCTTACGCCCACCGCAAGAGAGCACCGAGAACCTCGAATTTTCAGATTCTCACGATAAATTGATGGACATTAACAACGGCAGACAAAGCAATGCCACCCTCCGTGATGCATTCACTCACCGTCGGTCTTTATCCCTCCCCCGCCGGACCAAGGATTCGCATAGCCGTTCACGAAGCCGAGGTGGTGACCAGTCTGGAGAAAAGCGCATTAGCACAGCGTTTTCAAAACTGACCATGCGGATGAGCAGGGACAAGGGCACTGATGGTAACAATGATGGGCTGACCGACGTCGAGGACAGCGTGGCACCGCCGCTTATGGTAGGAGACACAGACGCGAAGGAGGAGAAGCGAGGCCGCGAATTGACATTCAGGAACCATAATGGCAAGCAGCGCCAGAGGTCCAAGAAAGGACGAAACAACCCTGACAGGGAATGTGTTATGATGTGAACAGTGGTTGACGTCTCTTTGAAGCTTTTCAGAATAATGATACCCTTACCTGTTGTTTATATTTCCTACTCTATGGTTAGCATCGTATCGCTATGTCTGATTATGAGCGTCTGTAGAGCATTGACGATATAAATATCAAGGGTCATACTCAACCGAGGACGTATGGACGTACAAGTTCCTAAGGAGGCTGACGGCCTGAGGCGCCCCACCGTCACGGCGTCACCCGTAGACCCGTAGCGAACAAGCCGCAGCTTAACGACCAACCATGGCCATCGTCTACGTTAGCTATCATTCATCGCACGATAGCCTCAAGGCTCACCGCCAGCCCAACCACAGCTCCAACCAAAGTATGATGCAGCTCTAGGACCATGGTGCTAGATCAATCTAGCGGCTATGTTGCTCCGAGCAATGCCTTCGAAGCTCCTCCTGATGCCTCCCTGCCCATCTTCGACGTTCGAGACGTCCAGCTGCAGTTCTCGGTCGCAGCAGACTTTGTGGCCGCGCAGGTCGCCAACAATGTCCTAATTCTGGCTCTTGCGACCGGGCGAATACTGCGCATTGACCTGGACAGTCCAGAGGATATCGACGGTAAGCAGAATGATCTCGTTGTAGAGCCAGTGTGGACCGACGTTCGTATGAATCGCTAATACATCGCACCTTGAAGACATCGATCTTCCTAAGAAGGCCTCAGATACTGGAATTATTCGCCGGCTTTTCCTTGATCCATCCGCCTCTCACTTGATTATCACCACCACCCTCGGCGATAACTATTACCTGCACACCCAATCCCGCCAACCGAAGCTATTGTCGCGCCTGAAAGGCCTGATCGAGAGTGTAGCCTGGAACCCGTCAAGACCGACGGCGTCGACAAGAGAGATTCTAGTTGGAATTGCGGATGGAAACGTGTACGAGGTGTACATCGAGCCCTCCACCGAATTCTATCGCCGCGAGGAGAAATATGTCACAAACGTCTATCGCGTTCCCGATGCCTCTATCACAGGCCTGTTTGCTGATTCAATACCGGGAAAGCCGGACCACAGATGCGTGATCGTTTCCACACCGACGAAATTGCTGTATTTCAGCGGCCACGTCGGGCGTCACGGGAAGGACAGTGTTTATGCCGAGTTGTTCCAGCGAAATACACCCACAGTACAGGATGGCGCGAAAGCGGGCAAACCGGCCCCTTCATCATTGGCTGTTTCACCGCAGCCTGTGGACGAGCACCATGTTGAAGGACAGTCGTCCGAACTGCGCTTCGCATGGCTATCTTCTCAGGGCGTGCTTCACGGCGTCTTGGACCATGCTTCGTCTGACACAGGGAAGGCCGTCGAGAATGCCAAATTGATTCCTCGCACCGTATTTCCTGCCTCGGAATCTGCGCGGGGTGGAAGGAAACTCATCCAGGATCCAGTGACTGCCATGAACCTGTCACAATGGCATGTGCTCGCACTGGTTGAAGGACATGTGGTCGCTGTGAACGTTTTAAGCGGTGAAGTGGTGCATGATCAACCCGTGCTGGAGCCTGGACAGAGTGTTCTTGGGCTTTTGAGCGACCGTGTCAAGAACACGTATTGGCTCTTTACACCGCAAGAAATTTACGAAATTGTAGCATACGACGAAGATCGCGATGTATGGCGTTACTTTTTACAAGATCAGAAATTCGATGAAGCTCTCCGATATGCGCAAAGCGCCGCCCAAAGAGATGCCATTGCTACCGCTTCGGGAGACTACCTTGCCGAGAAGGGTAAATATCAGGAAGCATCTGTAGTATGGGGAAAGAGTAGCAAGAGCTTCGAAGAAGTGTGTTTGACTTTTATCAATGCTGGCGAACATGACGCACTGCGGAAGTATCTTCTCACGAAGCTTGCTAGCTACAAGAAGTCGGCAGTTATGCAACGCGTTATGATCACAAGCTGGCTTGTGGAGGTGTTTATGGCAAAACTGAACTCTCTCGATGATACGATCGCGACAAAGGCAGAGCTTACAGAGGGCACGAGCCCTGGGGAATCCAAAGCGCAGCGTGACAGCATTCGAGCTGAGTTTGAGGATTTTGTAACCAGGTTTCAATCAGACCTAGACCAGAAGACGGTCTACGATATTATCAGCAGTCACGGGCGTGAAGCAGAGTTGCTCTATTTCGCAAATGCCACGAATGATTATAACTACGTTTTATCGTATTGGATACAGCGCGAGAAATGGTCAGATGCTTTGAACATGCTTCAAAAACAGACGGATCCCGAGGTTTTCTACAAGTACAGCACTGTACTCATGGTCCACGATGCGGTAGGGCTCGTGGATATTATGATACGACAAACCCATCTTGATCCTGAGCGGCTGATACCTGCCTTGCTCAGCTACAACCACACTGTCGAGCCAGCTCTGAACCAGAACCAGGCAGTTCGCTATCTCAATTTCATCATAGCGAACCACCCTCATCCGGCGGCGGCCGTGCACAATACGCTGATATCTATATATGCCTCGAGCTCCTCTTCAAAGGAGACGGCGCTTCTCAATTACCTGGAGTCGCAGCCATCAGACTCGCCTCCGTACGATGCTGATTTTGCTTTACGTCTATGCATACAATACGAAAGGGTGCAGTCCTGCATTTACATTTACAGTTCCATGGGCCAATATCAACAGGCAGTAGAACTAGCGTTGAAATACAACGACATTGAATTTGCGGCCATTGTCGCCGACCGGCCTGAGGGCAACGACAAGCTACGAAAGAAACTATGGTTACTTGTTGCCGAGAAGAAGATTCGCCAGCCGGGCACGGGCATCAAGGATGCAATCGAGTTTCTGCGACGATGTGAGCTGCTTCGAATCGAGGACATGATTCCGTTTTTCCCCGACTTTGTCGTAATCGACGACTTCAAGGAGGAGATCTGCAAGGCCCTGGAGGAGTATTCGATTCATATCGATGAATTGCGACAAGAAATGGATACCTCGGCGCAGACAGCCAGTCAGATTAGAGGCGAAATCGCGGATTTGGACAGACGATATGCTATCGTGGAACCCGGCGAGAAGTGTTGGATTTGTTCGCTACCGCTCCTGAGTCGGCAATTCTTCGTTTTCCCCTGTCAACATGCCTTTCACAGCGACTGTTTGGGCAAGGAAGTGCTCGAAGGCGCCGGCGGGAAGAGGAGGTATATTCGCGACTTGCAGGCGCAGATTAGCAAGGGGAATCTCTCAGCGGGCAAACGGGAGAAGATGATTCTCGAGTTGGACTCGTTGATTGCCGAGGCATGGTGAGTTGGCACACATACAAATCTACACACACACACACACACACATATATATATATATATATATATGTATATATATATTGGAAAGCTGCTAACAATCAATAAACAGTGTGTTATGTGGCGATCACGGAATCCGGCAAATCGACCAGCCGTTCATAAGCGATGCAGATGACGCCGAGGAGTGGAAATTATGAATATAGCTGCCTACTAGTCTACTTTGTTTTATGCCAAGTTACCTAATTTATGCATAGCATATGCAATGAACGAGTGCTGTTCACAGAGATCTGTACGGGGTACTGAGGTAGCATTGCATGTTTGCCTAGGGCTAGCACTCTTTTAATCACACTATACTCAATATAAAATGGCGGGATAAATTTCTCCACCATGCGATCCCATGAAGCTCTCCAGGGTGCAATGTGGATGGCACGGTAGAACTCCCAATGCTCCGACCAAACTCCAGCTAGGTAGGCCCCAGTCCAACAGAACACAGTACCATCCGCGCGAACAATGATATTTCCCGGATGTAAATCCGCGTGTGTAAAGACGATCTTGTGATTTTTGAGTTCCCGCACCGTTTCGTACAACATGTACTCCGCGTTGAAAACGTTCGATTCGATATTATGTTCGCGTTTGGTCTCGCAGAGCTTGAATGATTCCTTCGTTAAAGCTTGCCTCCGACTGGTATGGGCCGTAGCAGTACCTAGTGGAGTCACCTGATTTGAGATGAAACTCAACGTACTTACAGGCTGGCAGTCTGAGAGACTTAGCTACCCAGCGCCGACAAATACTCACTATATATATATATATATATATATATTCAGGGATTACGGCCTGTCAGTAAACATCTGGGGCCGCGGCGACGCCAAACTCGGCGACGGCCCCTCATACATGGGCATGGCCATCTACGAGCACGGCTCCTCAACCTGCGAACTACACCATATACGCAACCCCACCGACGACAACTTCATCTATGACCCACGCACACAGCCGCTCGAAGACCCCGTCCTCAAGGGCCGCTGCGAGCTGGCTTGTCTCTCTTCGGCGCAGGCGCAGGCGCAACAAGCTACTAGCCTGCTCGCTACGTTTGGCAACGACAAAACCAACATCCCCGAGTTCGGCGTCGGGAACTGCCAGGACTGGGTTGCTGGTGCTGTGGGGGTGCTTGAGCGGGCGGGTATCGTTGTTGTTTCTTCTGGGGAAGAAGAAGGGGAGTTCTGGAAGAGGATGATTAATAGGAGTTCGGAGGAGATGAAACATGCATGCCTTGCAACGGGCAGGAAGTGGATTGACGGTCCGGAGTCGACGTGGGAAGGCGAGCCTGATGCAAGGTTTGGGGATGGAGAGAAGACGCCGCCTGTGGGCAAGTTGGTTCAGAATGAGGCGTTTCGCGCGCGGATGCAGTCGCTCTCTCTGAGTCGTGATAATGCTGTCGAACGGCCGTTCTATGTATCGAGTCCTTTTTTTAGCAATTCCAACAAACAGACGAGTGATTTCGAAGGTGGCAAGTGATAGGCAAGGGCGGCAGTTATATGTCTCAGGCACGCAGTTGGAGAGCAATCGGTTGGCGGCGAGGCCGTAAGGCAACGCGTGTCATGGCGAAGATCCGGTCTGGGCCTGTTTCAGAGGGCTTATCGGTGGAGCCGGCGATACCACACAACACTGCCTCAGCGCTAAGGCCGCTAACCCCTTGGCTCTACTCCGTAATCAATCAATCAATCAATCAATCAGTCAATCGATAAGCAAGTCACGAATAATGCACCGTTAATAAGAACTTAATCCAGGCATAACTCTCTCTCTCTTTCCCCCTTTATTCACCACTCGCGGCCCTGCTCTGCTGGCATTCACCCTCTTTCCTCGTCCCCGCGCTTTCCCGTTGCGGCCATTCCTTCCATCGCAGACGCTCGCGGAATTCCACACACAATTTCCCTCGCTTTGTCCCTCGTTGTTTTCCCATCTTCTCGTCTGGAACGACTATACCACCATATTTCTTCCCCCGCCACGCAACTGCAGTCGACTCTCGTTCACACGCGCACCACCCAAACATGAACGTCAACAAAAAACTAGACCGCCTCAAGCAATGGGCTGGCGAGAGAATGGGCGGCGAGGCCAAGACCAATGTCTCCGACGACTTCAAAGCCCTGGAGACCGAAATGAATCTGCGACACGAAGGTCTGTCATGGCAGTTCGCCCTTTGAATTGCAGTTCTGCGATGTGCTAACTTCAAATCAGGCATGGACAAAATGCATCGCTCAATGACTGCCTATGTCAAGGCCATTTCCAAGCGCACGGAAGGGGACGATAAGGAAAAGACTCTCCCGATCGCTCACCTCGGAAGTGTCATGATTCAGCACGGCGAGGACTTTGATTCGCACTCCGAATTTGGCCGGTCCTTGACTTGTATGTTTGCATAAGACCCTTTGTTTTGCGTTGTTTGTTTGGTAGCTTACTGACTGCTTCCCCGCAGTGACTGGAAGGGCCCACGAAAGACTTGCTCGTGTTCAGGTTTGTTACTCTTGGGAAAAGAACCGTGGATTACCCTTTTTGTTGGAAAGCAAGGGTTGACATTTCTTTCTTGCCTGATAGGACAGCTACTCCGTACAAGCTAGCGCGAGCTGGCTCGAGGCGCTTGAACGAAGTCTGGCTTCGATGAAAGAGTACCAGGTATGACACCATATTTCCGAGCGCGAAAAAAAATAAATAAATAAATAAATAAACTGCTTCTAACTTGATCAAGAATGCCCGGAAAAAGCTAGAGAGCCGCCGTCTGGCCTATGATGCCTCTCTCGCAAAAATGCAAAAAGCCAAGAAAGAGGACTTCCGAGTCGAGGAGGAGCTCCGTACCCAGAAGGTGAAATACGAAGAGACAAACGATGATGTCTACCGCCGAATGATGGACATCCAAGAGGCTGAAGGTGAAAATTTGACAGATTTGACGGCTTTCATTGATGCTGAGCTCAATTACCATGAGCGGTGCCGTGAAGTATTGTTTCAACTGCGAAACGAGCTGCCAATGGCGTAAGTGGTGCCTATAACTACCGCAACGGAAAAGAAGAGGCTAATCAGCTTTTTGTTGTAGTCATCCCACGGCGCCCTCTGGCAACAGCCGTCGTCCTAGCCGCGCGCGCTCAAACACAGCCCATTCGTATCAGGAAAGGTACGAGCCTGTCCAGGAAGAGCTCACACCGTCACCACCTCGACCAACGATTAGATCAATGCGATCTGCCTCATCGCATAGACTGCAGGATGATGCATCGCAAGGTAGATCTGATTCGACCTATTTGCGACCCGCGGTCCACCGCACCTCAACATTTGAGGGTCCTACACAGCTACGAAATGACGATGTCTCCTCTCCGCAACGAGCCCAGACTGACCTTGCAATTCGCCCGACCAGAACGTCTTTGAGGCCAGTCAGCAAGATCTATGAAGACTACCACGACAGCTCTTCATATGGAAATGTAAGCCCGTACGATGACAGATCAGAGACCTCTGGCACATCGCCAGGTAGCTATTTCTCGCGCACCCCCAGTTCGTCAACGTTGAACACCACTACTCCTGGTATAAAGAAGGGACCGCCACCCCCTCCGCCATCGAGAGCGACCAAACCAAGACCGCCTCCCCCTCCACCGCCAGCCAAGCGCAACCTGATTGGGGCGTAGAATGCATTACTTGGACGATCGAATGTTGCATGCGTCATGTTATTTTCTCATCATGTATTTGTATCCGCCTATTTTCTTTGCATGGGTCCACGGCTGGCACCACGTCGGACCTACCTCATGGCTTCGTTGACTGTCGTTGCGTTGTTTTGTGGGACCTGGCCATATGTCCTACAGTGTGATGTGATTGTTAAAAGCTCAATATCCATAAATGAATGTTTTCTGTTCTGCGCATCTATACTTAGGTTTTCTAGACTCGGGAGTAAATGCCACTCGCCAATCGGCTAGGCCAATAGCGCCGCACGTATCACATGACAGACGGCCCTGCCCCATCCGGACTAGCGCGGCCAGCTCTAGCGGCGCAGTCACGTGGCGGGCGGGCTGCCTTTGCTGGCAAATCTTCGCCCTCCCCGGTTTCCCTTCGTGCTGCGAGCGAAGCCAGGACCCCCGACCACCAACTCCGTCGCGTCGTATCCCATCCATCACCATTTTTATCCGCCCAAGGCTCTAGACGCCCTCCCAACGCGATTTTCATTGCATTCGGGGCCCTGTGGCCCGACTGCCATCGTTAATCTCGCCGGCTTTTGCTGGCTGCTGGCCTTTTTTCCCTTCTGGCCTCCTAAGAAGGGCTCCCTCCCGCCATCAGGCTCAGGCGTCGCTAGTGGGCGCATTTCATCATTTCACATCTCCTCGCACCCGCGCAACCCATTTCGCAATTGCGACTTGCGCTTTTTGACCCTGCCTGTCCATTATTCGACGCGTTTTTTATTCCCTCTCAGCAGAATAGTGCCCCCCTCCCCTCTCCCCCCCCCCCTTCGCCGTGCTCTGTCGCCGACGTGAAAAATAAATACCCTTCTTTCGGAAGGGGCTCAACAGCACGATGGCCTCCATCCAACAAGTCCCCAATAACATGGGGAATGCCAATGCCAATGCTAACATGGGCTTGCCCTCGGACCTAACGCCTGCTCGTTTGCAGGAGGTCTACCAGGTGAATATTTCCAGGATGCCCTCCTTTGGTGATCTTGACTAACTTTTTCTCAGAAATACCGCGAAATGCAGAATTCTGGCGTCCGGCATGATGATCCCGAATATATCAAGGCGCATAACATCCTTTCCGCCGTACAAAAGCAGCAGGCGTTCGCTAAGCAGCGGCTTCAACAGCAGCAGCTACAGCGACAACAGCAATTGCAGCAACAAGCCAACGGGAACAATGCCGATGGAATTGTTAATGGTGCAAATGGTACGCGATCTGTTTTATCCCACGCTGATTATGTGACTAATTTTTTTTTTTTTTTTGTTTTTGTTGTTTAGGTCGCTCTGGCTCGGTACCATCTGCGCCTAATGGATTCCAAGGTCCAAGCTCCGTTGCTACTGGGGGCCAACCTTCTTCCGCTCAAAATGCGCTCCCTGGTGCTGCAAGGAAGGTGCCAGCACCGGCCGGAAGCTTTTCAATCGAACAGCTGAATATCCTTCGAAATCAAATTGCGGCTTTCAAACTACTTGCCAAGAACAGCCCGGTTCCACTGCCTCTTCAGAAGCAGCTATTCGGTCAAATAAAGAGTCAAACGACTACTCCTGTTAACAACGTGGCCGCCGCAGAGTCTGTTATTGAAGCCGCCACGGATGCTCAAGGTGACAAGCCAGTTGACACTGCCGAAAAGGAAGCACAACTCAGTAACTTCTATGAGAAGCTTCAATCGCCTTACGAACTGCTGTCCACAACAATTGGCTATTCCGACCATGCGATCAGGGCGAACCGGCCTCGCATTCCGAGCATCTTCCCTACAGGTGTTGATCTGGAACAAGTTCGCGAAGACAGGGAGTTGCTCATTTACAATAAGATTACCGCTCGGAAAGCCGAGCTTGCAAAGCTTCCTGCGAATCTTGGAGTTTGGGATACTAGTCGGAGTGAGCTCGCGGCTCCTGATGATTCGTTGAAACTGAAGGCTTTGATTGAATACAAGATGCTTCATCTTCTACCAAAACAGCGTAAATTTCGCCAACAGATTCAGCAGGAAATGTTCCATTTTGACAATCTTGGAATGACTGGAAACCGCTCTGCCCATCGTCGAATGAAGAAACAGACGTTACGTGAAGCACGTATTACAGAGAAACTAGAGAAACAACAACGTGACGCCAGGGAGAACCGCGATAAGCAGAAACAGGGCGAAAAGATTCAAGCAATTCTGGTGCACAGTCAAGAAGTACTGCAAGCTGGCGCTCAACAGCGTGCTCGCATGCAGAAATTGGGTCGCGCAATGCTCCAGCAGCATCAGCACATGGAGCGAGAAGAGCAGAAACGTGTGGAACGTACTGCGAAGCAACGTCTACAAGCTCTTAAGGCCAACGATGAAGAGACTTATCTTAAGCTCTTGGGCCAGGCAAAGGATTCTCGTATTTCTCATTTGCTGAAACAGACCGATGGCTTCTTAAATCAGCTAGCTTCCTCAGTGAAAGAACAACAGCGCAGCCATGCGGAACGATATGGAGGCGATACTCAGTTTGAAGAAGAAGAGGAAGAAGAGGAGTACGACACAGATGAAGAGGGCGGCGGTCGTAAAATTGACTACTACGCTGTGGCTCACCGCATCAAGGAGGAAGTCACAGTGCAGCCGACTATCTTGGTTGGTGGAACTCTGAAAGAGTACCAATTGAAGGGCTTACAATGGATGATTTCACTGTATAACAACAACCTCAACGGTATTCTCGCTGATGAGATGGGTCTCGGAAAGACCATTCAAACGATCAGTTTGCTTACTTACTTGATCGAAATCAAGAAGAACAACGGCCCTTTCCTTGTCATTGTTCCTCTGTCTACACTCACAAACTGGAACCTAGAGTTCGACAAATGGGCACCATCGGTAACGAAGGTTGTCTATAAAGGCCCGCCTACTGTGCGAAAGCAGCACCAACAGACTATTCGCTACGGTCAATTCCAGGTTCTCCTCACCACTTATGAATACATTATCAAGGATCGTCCCCTGTTGAGCAAAATCAAATGGCAGCACATGATTGTTGATGAAGGTCATCGTATGAAGAACGCCCAGTCTAAATTGAGCAGCACCTTGACCCAATACTATAACACTCGTTACCGTCTTATCCTGACAGGTACTCCTCTACAAAATAACCTTCCAGAATTGTGGGCCTTGTTGAACTTCGTTCTGCCAAGCATTTTCAAGTCTGTTAAGTCATTCGATGAGTGGTTCAATACGCCTTTTGCCAATACCGGTAGCCAAGACCGAATAGACTTGACCGAAGAAGAACAGCTGCTCGTGATCCGTCGCCTTCATAAGGTCCTCCGACCTTTCTTGCTAAGACGCCTGAAGAAGGATGTCGAAAAAGATCTTCCTGACAAGCAAGAGCGTGTCATCAAGTGCCGTTCTTCGGCTTTGCAGGCCAAGCTTTACAAACAACTTCTCACGTCCAACAAGATGGTCGTCAGCGACGGCAAGGGAGGAAAAATTGGTATGCGCGGTCTAAGCAACATGCTCATGCAAATGCGGAAGTTGTGTAACCATCCTTTTGTCTTTGAACCTGTCGAAGATCAAATGAATCCAACCCGAGGCACCAATGATCTCATTTGGCGTACTGCGGGAAAGTTTGAACTGCTTGACCGTGTATTGCCTAAGTTCAAGGCCACTGGCCATCGAGTCTTGCTCTTCTTCCAGATGACACAAATCATGAATATCATGGAAGACTTCCTCCGCTTCCGTGGTCTCAAGTATCTGCGTCTTGATGGTTCGACGAAATCTGACGACCGTTCCGATCTACTGAAACTGTTCAATGATCCCAATTCAGATTACTTTTGCTTTCTGCTTTCAACGCGTGCCGGTGGTCTAGGTCTCAACTTGCAGACTGCCGATACTGTCATTATCTACGATTCAGATTGGAATCCCCATCAAGATCTGCAAGCCCAGGATCGTGCTCACCGTATCGGTCAGAAGAACGAAGTCCGAATTCTTCGATTGATTACGTCAAATTCGGTCGAAGAAAAGATTTTGGGACGAGCCCAGTTCAAGCTTGACATGGATGGTAAAGTTATTCAGGCTGGAAAGTTCGATAACAAGTCAACAAACGAGGAACGAGAGGCTCTTCTCAGGACTCTTTTAGAAAGCGCTGAAGCTGGTGACCAGATTGGCGGCGATCAAGATGAAATAATGGATGACGATGACTTGAACGTGATCATGGCTCGCTCTGAAGACGAGCTAGCAGTCTTCCAGAAGATCGACCAAGAACGTGCCAAGACAGATCATTATGGTCCTGGTCATCAGTACCCACGGCTGATGGGTGAAGATGAATTGCCCGATATTTATCTTGCGGAAGATGTTCCGGTCAGTAAGACTGAAGTTGAAGAAGTCGCCGGACGTGGAGCCCGTGAACGAAAGGTCACACGTTATGATGATGGTCTCACTGAGGATCAGTGGCTCATGGCACTTGATGCTGATGACGATACTATTGAAGACGCCATCGCCCGCAAAGAGGCGAAAGTCGAGCGAATGCGTGCCAATAAGGAAAAACGAGGTCGCAGAGGAACTGGCGCCGAATCATCACCCGAGCCATCTCGTGAGAGTTCTGAAACTCCTCAAATCAAAAGGCGTCGCAAGGGACCTCAAGGTAAACGGAAAGCGGACGATATCGCTGACGATACACCCGCTACCAAGCGGAAGAGGGGAAAGCCTCCAAAAGTTGTCGATACTCTCAGTAGCGGTGATCGCGCAGCCCTGCAGGGGATTTTGAACAATGTCTACCAGACATTGATTGATCTCGAGCAAGAGCTTCCACCTGACGAGGAAGACAGCGATGACGAGCCCATGTCAAGATCCATTATAGAACCATTCATGAAGCCGCCACCCAAGATACACTATCCCGATTATTACATGATCATCCAAAATCCCATCGCTATGGATATGATAAAGAAGAAGATCAACCGAGAAGAATATCAAAGCACTCGAGAGTTCAGGGCTGATATCGGACTTCTGTGCCAAAATGCCAGGACATACAATGAAGACACGAGTGTTTTGTTCGCAGATGCAAACCAAATCGAGGTGGGTTAACTTGTCCGAGCACATCATTAAAGATTTTTTCAATTTCTAACGTTTTGCAGAGCACATGTCTGGCAGAATTGAAAAAGCACACGGCAGAATATCCTCAGTTCGCCAACTTTGAAGGAGACGACGAGGCTGCAGGTGGCGTCTCCACGACAGATGCTTTTGATAGTGCTGATACGCCGTCCGGTCAGCCCAAGATAAAACTTACATTCAACAGCAATCGGGACAACTCAGGAGTAGCAAATGTCGGCGCAGCCAGTGATGACGAGTGAAAAGATGGCTTACAGCTTCGAAGATCTAATGTGATCAAACCAATGTTTCATTGACGATTCGAAATGCTCTGCCAACGCCACCTTTGTGATTTTTCTGTTTCGACTGTTACTTGTGCCATAATACTCTCTTCAAGTTATTTGAATCTTTCCGTTTGATCATAGGATACGGCGTTCGTTTATATACGCGCTTCCGGATGTGTATGGATAGGGATGGAGTATGTATGGGGGAGGGGCCCTAAGAACTATCTTTGATCGTGCCCCCTGATTTTTCTCTTAGCGATGCATGTCTAGGTCTTAATTTCTCTTCTATTTTATTGTCTCTTTTACGACTACTCGTGTCAAATTTCGATGAAACCATGGGTCCGCACAGTTTTTTTACCAAAGACTTAGCCGACACGGTGTTTTTCTTGTACCTTTCTTTGGAGAAACTGATTTGCATACTACTAGTAGCTTGTCTTTTCTAAATCTTCCTTATTTGAAATTCACGCATGCAGAATTTTGCAAATCAGATCAGATGTATTATTGACAGACAAAATTTGAAAGATTTTAATTATCTTGGATATCTTTTTCTCTAGCTACCTAAGTAGTTCTTTAAGAAAAGGCAGAGAGTAAACTGAATTAAAAGGGGTTAAGAGAATCAGATATTAGGCAATTATCGGAGACATCAGAGATATTATTGAGTTTCGCGATAAATAAACAATAATTGAGGAAGGTCGAAGAATAACAGTTTCCAAAGAAATACCAACATAAGAGACTAAGAGAGAAAGAAAGTCTGCAGGATGGATATGCTAGCGTCTTACATATCAAGGCTTCTGCAATTGCTCCTTGCGAGAAAAGAAGAAGCAGAGCACATTCACCGATAACAGAAACGACAAGCAGACCCAAAAGTCCGCCTTTGAGAGGGCATCGTGAAGCCCCGCCGAGAAATCAGGGAAAACGTCGCCCGGCCCAATCTTGTCAGGTGCTGTAGCGCGAGCGAGAATCGTGCTGATGGATCCTATAACCTGCGCAGCGAGCAAAGTGAATGCAATGTGGAAGCGGGTGAGGGTATTAAAAAGGATCATGCCAAAACCTATCAATCAACAATCAACCAAACCAATTCTATCAACTCTCACACAGATGTGGAAGTAGAAACTCACCCACGCCTTGCAACGCATCTAGTACACCTAGCCATAGCCAAAGACCCCGTCCTAGAAGCGTACTAGCCACAGAACCCCCAGCCCAAGGCACATACGACCCTATATTCGACGTTGACCAAAGCATCTGACACCACCTTGGCGCACCAAGACCGATCGCGAAAATCGGCACAAACCAGGCATGTCGCTTCGACAAGATACCCAGTATCCAGAGGGCGAGTGCCCAGATGACGACGAAGAAAACCAAAATCAGGATTGTAATCTGCCATGCGTGTGTGTGTTTGCTAGACCACAGGTAGAGCCAGTTTCGGCCGTATGGTGCTGATAACCAGTAGTTTTGGATGAAGACGGCGTAGAAGAACCACTATACATGCAAATCGTCAGTGGCAAATTTCTATCTAAAAGGATTGGCAAAGGAAAGCGAGAGAACGTACGAGAACTTTTTTTCGGCGTGGAAGCGACTTGTAGAATGCAGGGACTTTGCCCGGTGACTGGCCGTAGTAGTCAGGTAGCCCTAGGAAAAGGAATTTATGCCTACTATCCATAGAATAGCTGCAATTCCCAGGCCAATACCAATAATAAGAAGTCTAGGCTGGTAATTTGCTAAACTGGTCCTGGTATGCTCTGCTTGGGAAGCAGCAGCCAGCATACTACCCCAGTACCACAGGAATGAAACATAGATCTGCTGGGTTCCTTGGATGACGCAGGCTCGGTATACCCAAGATCCAATTGAAGCGTTGCCTAGAAGATATGTTGACGTTAGTTTCCTTGTTACAATCTGAGAAAAGAGAATGAGTTGACCTTCATCTCCAAAATTGAGCGCAAAGTATATTGATCCGCTAGAAGACGCAGCAGCGTAGAGCCCAGTAGCGACATTGTGCACCCACAACCGCCCAGTTGCCCCAGACACAGAAGGCGAAATACCGATAAAAGCAAAAGCTATCCCGTAGAGCTAGGATAAGAGGTCAATTCAATGTTCACCATGTCATCAAGGCTTTCTTACTAGAAATGGAACAGATAAGACGAAAATCGACCTCAATGAACGATAGACAATCCACCATACGACCGAGAAAACAAGATAGATGGTTGCAATAAGGTATAGCTTTTCGGCAGGTTCACCCACTTCTCCATTCAGAAGAGTTATTTGGTAGGAATTGGCCGCCAGGATTTGACCCTGCAAATAGAAGAATTAGCAGCACGTTCGTTCTATCAAGTCATGGCCTAGGTAGGATGAAGCCTTGTATGACTCACAAATGCGAGGAATATTGAGTAAATCGGCCAATCGCCAATATGATACAGCATGATCTTTTTCAGACCGGAAGGTGGAAAGTAGTCTTGGGGAAGTTTCAGCTCTTCTTCTACCTCTGCAGAAGTAGCTTCTACTACGGGACTTCCCAGGACAGTTGGCGTGCTCCCGCCATCAGTATCCTCATTAAATGATGCTCTATTAGCGAGAACCAACGAAGCAACAGAAGATGTTGCACGATTGGGGCTTCGCCCGAGCTTCAAATCGTGGTATTTTCGAAACCACTCCTTTTCGCTTTTGGATAGATATCTTTCGATGCAAAGTTGGTCATCATAATTTTTCCCGTTCAGATGAACAATGAACAAGTCGCTTCTCAAATTTTTGAGAATATTCCCCAGAGGAATCTGTAAAGAACGGCTTGACCTCCTGTAAATTGAACGTTTGGTCCTCACGAATGATATTTTCGACGCTCAAAAAAAGACTCAAGCTTGATGAATTTCGATTTTGCTCACGCAATGAAAGGTGACTTGTGACATCTTCAGACACTGTACGGGTTTGATCGTTCAAACTAAATGCATTTTGCGCGTTAGTATCCAAGCTAAATGACGTGCTTTTTCTGAAAGACTCATTTCCACTCCGTCTGGTGATAGGCGGCGTCGGCGACATTTCACGGTATGTGTATGTTCCTGATGAAATGGAACGCGGCGCATGACGGGGTCTCTGGGTGTCTGAATTTGTGTGTCCATCAACAGAGGAGTAACTGCCCTCCTCAGCTGATGAATATCCACGTTCAACATTGAGCAAACTCATGGATTGGGACCGTCCACGCCTATGAAGCTCGGGTATATTGTGAGCGGGCCCGTTGTGAGTATATAAATGTGTTGAAAATTCAGCTGGCTGTGCAATTTTTTGTGTGCTGGCTCTGCTCATGGTTGAGAAACTCATGCGTCTTGATGAGATGGTTTTGCAATGGTCCCCTCGCTTTGAATGCTTGTCGTGTTTGACAATTGCTGATACATGCAGAGTTTCTAAGTTTTCAACCCAGTGTGCCACGGGGAAACGTTGTCTTCTGGACCAGGCACGCATGATAGCTCGGTCTGATGGATTGGAATGCAATGCCTCATATATGGCCTGTTTAAATTGGCCATTGAGATGCTTCGATGTCATAGATTCACTATGATCGTTAAGTTCATGCCTAGCCAGGAGAAATCGATATAGAGCTCGAGGCTTACATGGTATACCACCAACCGGGCATTTGTCCTAAGCCACCAACTCTGTTGTCGAAGTATCAGTTAGGTAACACGCGGTAATGGGATTCGATAGTGTGCGTAATACTTACCTAGATCCAACTCCAAGAGTGCCTTTCCTTCCAAACTCCACTGCTACAAGCCCAAATGGCTCATCTCGTGACGGTATCAACCCGAAGTCAGCACCGCTGAAGATGCAAGGCGGCAAAACAGTGAATTGGGGGTTTGAAAACACTCTCCCCGGATATAGGTCCGCCGTTCTACTCAACTTGATGGCTGCAAATCGGCCATATAGATCGATCACAGGGCCGACGCAGATAAGTTGTGTTTTAGGATAATTCTCCGGGACAGAAGGGAATACATCGGCCATGAGGTCAATTCCTTTCTGCATCGACCATCTTCCAACGAATACAAAAAGTTCTGCGTCCGGGCTCTGCTCTAGCCCAGCCCAGATTTGAGCCTGTCTTTTCATATCTGATCGAGCCGCTTCAAACACTGGGTCAACATGCGCTTCCCCGATTTGTATATCTTGATTCCAGTCCTCGGTATCGGATGGATCAGGATTAGGCAATGAACCAATCTCTTTCAGGCCCCAGAATATGGGATATCTTGCCCAAGATCTTTTCCCATATTTCCTTGACACCCCTACCGCACCGAAGCCGTTTTGGTGAATCCGTAAATAAGTAGCTCCTGCGTGTAGCAGATTGAACACATCCCCAAATTGCACATGCTGTTTGACAATAGATGGATCCAAATTAAATATCAGAGAAATCTCTTCGCACTCCTGGAAAGTTCTCATGGGCCAAAGTCCTTGGAACTCTGAGTTGTGGAGGGACAAGCAGCACGAGATGGTTTTAGGGAGTAAATGCAATTGTGCAACTGCACCTTGGTAGTCGTTTATATGGTAAATATCGACTGGAAATCGCTGCAACGCCTCTGCAATACAAGAGTTCCAGGCAGAATAATAGATCGCAGAATCAAGATCGTCCATGCGAGCTGGATAAGGCTGGGACTTGGTCTGAGCCCTAAAGATTGGTGCGTCTAGAAGGACGTAGGTAATATTTCGGAAATAGTGGTACTGGACGTGAACCAAGAATGTCTGATCCAAGACCGTTATCCTCATGGGCTCCGCCACCTGGTCAAGAGGGTAGTCAATACCCCCGACACAGGGAACTACCCATATAAGATTTTGATGGCGTAGATTTGCGCCCATCAGCTGAGCCATAACACCCAGGCCTCCTATCTTAATTTTGATGTCCCAATCCTCAATATCATACTCCATTGTAGCAATGAGCACAGTTCTACGTAAATCACCGGCATCCGCGTCCAATGCTCTGCTCTGAGCAGAAGTTTTTGATAGAGGCAGTCGAAAGATATTCCTCCCCAAAATGTTCACAAACCTTTTTCCATTGTCAACAGAGAGGTGAGAGCAGTCGGTTATATTGTAATCCGTCAGTTCGCATCCGTGTGGTGGCCATTTGCGCTGTGCATCACCGACAACGATGCATTTCACTCGATAGTCTCCACGATAGGAACGGCCATGGGGGAGGTTCAGTCACGTTAATGACGTTTTTGATAAGCGAGATAGGGGGGATGCGATCTAAGATCATATCGCCATCAATGTCCCCAAAGACTTGTGTTATGTCGGGCCGGCCATCTTCATCTATGCCCCAGGCATTCAGAGACATTTAAGTAGGCCATTCGGTCATGAGATTGTACTCCCAGTAACCAGTGATGTTGCTGAGATGCATCTCGCTTCGGTATCCGGAATCGTACCCATACTGGTTAAAGTCTCCCTGAACCCAAAAGTGAGGAAAGCGTCGCGGCGGTGTATATTTCCAATCTAGCTCCCCTTGTTGGTAATGGTTGCTGCTGCCAGTTACTTTGTTCCAGTACTGCACAGTTATATGTTCACCATCCCAGGCCTGCAACTTGGTTCCTACCCATACTTTTGGAGGAATAGAGATATTCGCGCTTGTATAAGGCATCCAGGGGCTATATGTCATTCCGAAGTCCAATGAGTAGCGCCATTTATCGGCCCCTGGCGCCTTGTGAGACACCTAGAGTGTTCCGTTATTTAAGGCGTTAGCATGTAAGAGACTTCGGCTGTAGTTTGCTTGATTCGGCCATACCATAGGGTTTTCCATTGATCCTATGCGTATGATGAAGTGATCAACAGACTACTCACTGGTTAGCAGTTATTCTGGAACAGAGTAGGCTACATAATTTTTACATTGGTACTACCATTCCGGGCACTGTTGCTGACGTTGTTCAAGATTATCTCATGAACACCATGGAACACATTTTCCAGCTCAATGGAGTAGTTGAAGGCACCCACGGGAGTACCCGTATAAGCAGCGCGTTGGCTCGTCGAAACTGGCTGACAGGAAATGGAATCCTTGTCAAACTGGGCGATTTTCCCATTCATCGCAGTTGAATTTACCGAAATTCCGTTGGTAATACTATTGCAATCCATTTCCTCCGAGAACTGAAAACGGATTGGGAGTCGTTCGCCTATTGTCGTCGTAGATGGTATCCGCGCGTCATGCCCCGGTTCAAACTTGGTAATGAAGGGCGAGGGAGCCATAAACGCCGCTTTGGGAACGAATACCTTGAAACCGTAGGCAGGAAGCGTCATGTTTGTTAAACAGCCATTAAACCTCGTCGAATCTTCTAGTCTAAGAAACTTTTAGTGGGACTTTGGCTCGTCCGTCGATGTTGACGGTATAATCTTACCCTAATTTGTGGATACTCGAATGGAGAGTGTGTTCTTCAAAAGGATGAAAGAGATTCTTCACTGTTGTACCCTCGTCGAACGGAGAGACCAATGCTTCATTCTCATCAGAGCAATCGAATTGGTAGTCTACCGTTTTATTGTCGTTGTGATAAACCAGCCATATACTCTGATTGTCCTGTACCGCTCCTGTGAAGTCCTGAGTAGCTACATAACGCGAGCGTAGTATGCTCCACAGGCCAGTCTCAGTGCGTGTGCCATTACTGCCAGGCAGGTATATGTTGTGCGTCATGTTTGAGAGTTGCTCCAAATAGTACCCGTCATTAAGAACAGGGTAGTTCTGACGCATCTCAAACATCGTTTTCACAAGCCCACGAATTGGGTGCGTGGGATCACGGTGGTCAAGGCTGACACTGTCATCCATACAACCACGTAGAGTGCTGTCAGCTGGGAAATCATGATATATGCTTGAACCAATTTTATAACAACCATGTAGTTGCCATGCCAATGAAGAGGTCATAGGAGAACGACTAAATACTATAAATTCATCAATAACCTATGTATATTTAGGACTGTCACATCTTACCGTAATTCGCATTCATGTTATCAAGGATATAAAAGGCCTGTTCCTCGCCCCATACAAGCGCCGGCATCCCCGGGAATAAAAGGGATACAATATATAACGCGAGGGCTTGTCTTTCTATTCCATGTGTGATTGAAGGCCAGCGGAAAACGTCTTGATTAGAGGATCCATAGAGATGACGGGGGTCAAAATGGCCAGTATTTGTGTTGACCATATCATTTGTTTGGACTAAAGCATTCCACAAATCCACAAAATTGACTGGCGGATCACCTTCGGCTTCGAAATTGCCATCCATTCTGTACAAAAAGGGGTCAGTCAGAAATATCTTCAAACTGTGATAAGAAATAATTACCCTAAGAATCTGGCGAGCGCTCTGTACACTGTATATTGAAAGACAGCGGCATCCAACGCTACTTTATTTGCCGGACGTAGGTAAAGACCAGGACTGGAGACATTTGTCAGCATAACTACCTCCGTCATTTTATTGATGGTCTGGTTGGTCTGTTGACCCCGGCCAATGTAGAGAGCACCGAATGCGTTTCCGGACACTATCTCCCCCGGTATGAAGAAGTTTTCCTTGTTGAACCGACGGGCACATTGGCGTACGGAGTCCGACCAGTCTCCTTGCGCGTCAAGAGTGACTTGCAGGGCCTTGTCGATACGAAAACCATCAATATCTAGCATCGCTATGGTGATGCAGGAGAAGTGCCCCAGTTTTTGTCTCACATCCGGTCGCCATTCACGAAGGCGATCCTGAACGGCGAACTTTGTGATTTGACGCTCCCACTCGGGATAGTTACCAAAGGAAGAAACCTCGCCATACTATTGCGGTCAGTTGCCATCATCTGTCAGTGAAGTTACGAATATGGAGATCAGCAGTACCTGGTCGAATTCACTATCCCGACAACCACGAACTAGGGTGGGTTCTGTTAGACCTTGACCGAAGTCGTCCCAGAATCTGGGGTATTCCCATTTGCACTCATCTAGCCACTCATCCCCAGGTTGGAAGTCATGATAACGACGTGACGTTTTCCAAACATGATCATATTCGTACGGATTGAAGGGCGCAGAGGTATTCAAGTAGCCTTCAAAGCCTATCAGATCGCCCATCCTGTTGACAGTGAGTGTTCTTTGCATCAAGAATGCGACACTTTGCGAAAATTTAGACTTACGTCGCCATAGTATTTTCTAGAACGACATACATTCCTCGTCTATGTGCCTCCGAAATCATAGAGCGCCAATCGTCGATAGAACCGAGATGATGGTCCAGCAGTGTCAGATCCAACGGCGAGTAGCCATCAGCAGCCCAAGGCTGATTGATATGCGGCATACCGGCCAAGTACAGCCCTTGCAGCGCAGGTCAATACCCGCAAACAATATCAATACGAGATCTGCAGAGTACCTTTATTCACATGCCTTGCAAATAGTCAAAACTATCCATTAAACCAAGAACATCGTCTCCATTCCATAGTTGATTGAACAGTATGTCATGCTCCCATTGAGTTCCATTGGCATCATCATTCGCTGGGTCGCCATTTGCAAACCTGTCGAGGAACACTGTATAGAAAGGCATCCGTCAATTAATTGGAGATGGGTAATACTCGTGAGCTTTCCATTGTCCCCAGTATTCAAGGGGGTCGGCGGTAGTGTCGTTTTCGTTAAGGTTGAAGCCTACTTGATCTGGCGTGTAGGGCAGAGCTGTAGCGAGTGGTGCAGTCAACAAAAGAAGTGGAAGCCATCTGCACAATGAGAAGGACCGACTCATATCGCAAAACTCTTTTAGGTAGCTCCTTCTTCTGATCCGGGAAAATATCTATTAGACGAATGCGTTCAACGACAGTAGTTATATCCAAAGGGGACAGACAGTTGAATGGCTCTCATGATATACAAAAAGAACCACTACAACCAAGTCATAACAAGGGGCTTCCTCACGACATCAAAAGCTTCGAGTCTCATGAAACCAATAGATCTGGCTAGACCACAGTGCTATCAGAGAGACATTGATTGATATGTCCCTATGTCTTGTAATTTAGTTGTTTGACCTGGGTATCTGAGTTGACTCAAGTATAGAGAAACCCCTGCTCAATAGAAAATATGCGGCAAAAGTTTTATACAATTTAGCCAGTGAGCAAAGGGGTTCACCCAGGTCTATGCGCGAGTTTGAAGAAAACTTGTAATATTCCGAAGGCGATCATCTATAGATCCATCTGGAAATAACGAAACACAATGTGCCCTCATTTCGAGAAGAGGGGACTTTAATCTGAATAATGACCGAATTGTAATGAGAATTGTTTGGTGTGTTTACATGTAGGCCATAATGGTTCGGAGAGCATTGCGTCAGAACAGAATTATGTGAGAATGCTTGCACCAGTAAAAATGCTGGTACACAATCTTGAAATCTTGACTGCCAAGTGTGCGATGGCATTAATTTGTAATCGCAAGCTCATTCGGGGTATTCGTTCAGTTCCTGCGCATGCAGGGTAACTACATGCTGGATGGTGTCGTGTCGCTAGCTATCCATGCCAGATCCCAAGAAGCGGTAAATGGCGTCATACAATGTGTTTACAATTATCTATTACAGGTTAGTTATAGATTCAAGGGGTAAAGAGAGCAGGAAAGCTGGAGAAAAAATAAAAGTAAAAAATAATGCAGCTCGAGAATAAGAAACGTGAACATTTTGAGGCACGTCCAAGCGCTGCCACCGCTCTAATTTGTATAGACCAGAGTAGGAGACTTATAAATTCCTGCGGTGGTTTATAGGCAACCGGGGACCTTCAGAAAATCCGTACTCTTTCAGATATCCAGTCATATTTCTATTGGCCCCCGATGTATGCCTAGAGGCATAGGTGCCACGGGGATTCAATAGACTTTGTAATGGAAAGTACCAACATGATGTTGTACGACCAAACATTGAGCTTCGTCTCATCTAATTTTTGTGTCTCGAGTATTCATGCCCCTGTTACTTAAAGCCCCATAGTCAATATTGGAATCACAAACGGATAGGACGATTTGAAGAAGCGATAATGGCTGGGTCTGCATATTTTGATAGAACAGCCAATGTAGAGAGTTGATAATGGAAGCCAACTTGGGGATTTAGAAGCACATACTTATGAGGTATGAAGGGAAAAAAAACGTTTTTGCAAGTAATAGTATAAGCCTTATTTCGTATCCGGATAGAGAAAAAGAAAAGGGGCGAGGCATATTGTCCGGTCAGTCTTCGATTCGGCCGAAGATGCATCATGGATTTAAATTTGGACTATATACAAGCTGTATTCCCAATTATCCGATTTAAATGCCTGCTATTGGTTGGTAACATTGTCTTTGCATATGCTGTTGAATAACCCATGGTAATATGGTAGAGGTATTCAGAAGTCGGAATACTCTGCAGGGAAGCAAGCACATGTAGAACAGTTGCCCGAGAAAGTAACCGGAATGACAGATTGCCGCTCGAATAAGATTGCAGCTGAACGACAGTCTCAGTTAGCCAACCGAAATGAGTTTACCCTTGTTGATGCCCCAAGAATTTCTCATGGAACTTGCTTGACACGAGTGGTTATAGCATGTACAGGCTAAAGTGTGTGGGGGTTTCACTTGAATTCTGTTGGGTAGGCTTTTCTTTTTCTCGTCAGGTCATTTCACGACCTTAGGCTAAGGGTGTCACACTTTGATGCATGACAAATTTGTCATGCAAATGAGAAAGTATAGTTTCTTCTCGTGGTGTTGTCTTTGTCAAGCTGTTCTTGAAGTTAATGCACCTCGGGAAGTCGCATTTGTATGTTAATGGCGTTGCTGGGCGGATACCAAACAGCTCTAGCAGTTTGAATGTTATAAACATGCAAGTGCCGAATGAGATGTCTTCTTTTCAGAGAACGAAGACTCTTGACGCAACGGCGACGTCTAGGGTGCTTATCTCTACCAACAGCACTAGATATCCATGAGCTAGATCTCCTTTTCTCACCAGGTCTCCTGTTTATAGCTCCCGGTTTTTTCCATTTCCAAAAGAAAGTGCTCGGCTTGTTCACGAGTGTAAGCATCTGTGGCAGTCGCAGATGCGTTTGGATTTTGAAAGCATTCAATTAGTGCCTCACGGACTGCCTGCGGCATTCGCCCGGATGATCCACAAATGAAAACGGACCCGGCCTCTTCATGTAACGATTTAAAAATCACGTCGGCATGTTCTCGTATCCGGTCCTGTACATATACTTTCTGTTGCTGGTCGCGTGAGAAGGCCGTCAACACTCGGAGATCTAACAGTCCTTCTTTCTCAAAGTGTTCCCATTCGCTCTCAAAGAAGTAATCAGCGGCACGATTTCGGCCACCGAAGAGTAACAGAGTCTGGCCAATGACGGGCAAGGGATTCTCTACTTGGGCCTCGCGAGAAGCTTTTATTAGTGCTGCCTTTTCCCAAACCATCGCTCGTAGGGGTGCTAGGCCGGTACCCGGTCCAACCATAACCGAAGGGCCCACGAGTTGCTTTAATGTCGGATTGAGCCCTCCACGCTGCAGCTGCACTTTCAAAGTGCTCCCCGGTCTTAAGACTGAGAGATAGCGAGTGCAGACGCCTTCTCGGATTTTCTTGAGAATAGTTTTATACTTGACAATTGCAATGAGAAGTTCAAACTTCGTTCCATTGGTCTGGTTTGGGATGCGTTTGAGTTCGCCACCACTAGCGATGCTGAACTGTCGGCCGCGAATTACCGGAAGAACAGACGCGGCATGTTGCCAGGGAATCTTCACAGTATCAAAGTCATGTAGCACCTCCAGAATGCTTCGACGTGGACGCGTGGTGTAATCCCAAAGTTCGTCGATAAATTCCGGATTAGTAAATTCGAGCAGTCGTTCTTTGTGCTGCTCATCGGACGTATAGTGGGCAATATTGGCAAAGAACGAGCGCCGTGGAATAGCACGGATGTCGAGGTATTCAGTGAGAAGGGTGCGAAGAGTTGTGGGTGAAGACTCGGATGTGACAAGATATGGAATAGGAGGTGAAGGAAGTTCGTCTCCGGCCTTATCTCGTAGTAAGACACCGGGGACAAACAAGACTGGCTTGTCAGCAACGTCGGTCCAGTTCATTAATGTCAATATTTCATCGACATCCACAGAGAAATTCTTCGGTGTAATCGATATCATATCACCGGGTGAATATGGTACGGTCTCAGAGGTGGTCAAACAGATATGCCGGACATCCTGCCAGTGCCCTTTAGGGGTTACTCGTTTATTCTGTGTCAGAGTCGATATTATTGCATCCGGGATAGGCCTTTCATCAGAATCAAGGCGATATAAATGCGGCTCGCTATCTTCTGCCACTAACAAATCCCGCTCTTGTTTATTTTGTTGTGTGAAAGACGCGGGGATCGCTGCCGTCTCTTCCAGAATCCATTTTGGTGGAAGCTGGACGTCGTCTGGTATAGGTTGCAAGCCTGCTGGAAGGGGGTATTGCTCCAACAGATGCCTACGCAGATTGGTAGCCCAAGGCAAAAAGGTTCCCTCAAGCCTGTTCAATTTGTTTAGAATCTTTTTTATGTCAACTAAACGCATTTCAGGGCCATAGCAAACTCACCCTTCGGGATGTTGTTCGTCGGCTTCTCCGCATGGATAAATCTCAGCGGCACCGAGCTGAGCAAGGCGCCTACGAAGTTTACGCGAAGCCCAATTGAACCTGTCATTATTCTTAATATGATTCATAAACGTAGTGAATCGACCACAGGAACATACTTTGGATAAGAGCTATCGCCCAGTCCGAATTGCGTATATTGAACGCCGTTGAGAAAAGTTGCTGGGAGTCTTTTCAGCAGGAGGGTTCTCCAAAACGCACGTCCATTGAGCGGGAAATCGCCTTGACCAGTAGTTGATACTACGAAAATCACAAGCGAATACGAGGTCAATGAGTCCTTATGGATTGTCAATACATTGTTGAGTCCATAATGGAATACCAAGGGTGCAGCACTTACTGCCTTGACGCTGTTGCATTCTCCGACATGCGTCACGAATCGCAGCCGTTCTGCGGTGCGACCCAATTCCTCGGCCACCTCCTGTGCGTTTCCCGTCTCAGAGCCGTACAAGACGAGGGCTGTTCTGGCTCTCTCAAATTCGGCACTCATTCTTCCAGCATCGCAGGTTTACTTGTGTACCACGCAGGTCTGTGTAGTTGTAGTACCTATATGGGCGGGGTGAAAAAGTAGCTGGAGGAAGGAATGGAATGTTGCTCGGGCCGGTGTCGGAGAACGGACAACCCATCAGGAAGCAGCTCCACGCGTATTGTTCTACTTGGGATAGTACAGTGTTGAACGATCAGCTCGATAACAGACTTGAATTAACTAGGTGGCGAATTATTTGCCTTGTTAATATTGACCATCCCATCATGCACTAGGTCAACCGAACCCCAGGTTCACAACAACGCCGATATTTATATAGGATTGCTTGGGTATCTTTTCTATAGAAGTCGAATAGAACACAGAGCGCGAGTCAGTTTTAATAGAAATCGTCGTCTCCTCCACCACCGCCGCCGCCGCCGCCATCGCCAAATCCGTCTCCATCGCCTTCATCGTCACCGGCATCAAAGTATTGCTCTGCGTTATAGTCGCCACCCATCTCATCATCATCCTCTGAGAAGTCATCGTCTTGCAATTCGTCGTCTTCCTCACTTCCTTCTTTATCGCCCTCATCGTCAAGATCTCTCTCGTCCTCTTGCTGATCATCTTCCTCGCCGCCGCCAGCCTTCCGCCGCTTGACAGCCTTGTCCTCCTCGTCAATGTCGTCTTCGTCGTCGTCTTCAAACTGTGCCCTCATTCCGGCCCAGCGGATTCCGCTGGCTTGCCCGTCTGGCCTATCTGGTTTGTAGTCGGGTTTTACAACGCGCCACAGTTCACGGGAGAAAAATTGCACGACTGTTATAGAGACATCAGAAATTTGTTAGAAAGAAGTTGTTGCCAGTTCTTCCTTCTCCCGGAGCTCAACAAACGTGGTTGAAGAAAGTTTGACGACTTACGATAGTTTCTACCGCTCATCTTGGGCACCGTCCTCTTTCTCTTCTGATATCGTGCGCTGTATGAGGGCATGCCGTGGAATGGGTCAAACTGGGCCCTCTCTTTGGTACCTCGTTTTGCAGACGTGCTGGCGGCATTGATAACGGCGTAATAGGGCCCGTTTTTGAATTGGTCACAATGCGCAAGATATCGGTCAACTCCGGCTCGTTCGCGTCTGTCTAACTTCTCGGCTTGGGGAATATCATAAGACTAAGTAGAAAAGTAGTGTGAGATTGCGCCGATGCTTGCTTGGAGATGTCATTGATGATGGGTTGGAAATTACATACTGGGAAAAGAGGAGTAGGGGCATTATCAGGTAGCTCTCCTGGCAGTTTTTGCCAGTTGAATTCAGAGCCTGGAGGCAACGGCTTTCTAGCACCACCTCTTGCACCGGCACGAGACATCGTTGGCTGGCCTTTTTTTTTTACTCCAAAGCCTTGGTTGGTTTTTATTTATCCATATTTTTCAAAAGCTATCCACGATGCGCGGGAACTAAGAGGAATGATCCACGTGATCGCCCATGCACGTGCAATTTAGGGTTAAAATGTTCTCCACATTGAGTAACCCTTACCCTATAGTTTCTCCGGACAAAGTTTCGAACAACAGGTTGGACAACATTTTAAATTCATAATGGAGGATGTAATGCGGTATGGTGCTAAATACAAAGCCCCCAAAGTGGTAAATGACTCCTTTTATTGGATATTCAGTACATATCCTATGACCACGAGATCTGTGACTGGCAGGATCTCGCCTGAGTCAAGAGCCTCGTCCTTTGTTACACGTGCAGTCATATTGCATAGGGTGAGATGCTCTCAAAAGGGCTGCTACGTCCAATTGATATCAGAAAACATGCGGCTCTCTGAGATTTTTTATTTACTCCAGCTCTGGTTTAGCAGCTTTTTTGAATTGCCAAATAATTTTTAAATGTGAGAGGGTGTCATTAGCTTTGAAAATAAGGAAGCCGCCATGTCGCCCTTACTCAAACCAGAGAATTTAGACAGTGCCTTTAGAAACTCTTGCTCGGTCATCCCTGCCTCTAGGGCTTCCCATGCGAAATAGAAAAATGATTTTGAGATACCAAGGACACAAGGTGGTCTCTCAAGTAAACCAGAGTGAAGCACATTGGGTCCCAAATTCCTCATGGCCCTTCCACGAGAGTGATTGATAAACGGAGAAATACTCCTGGATTGAGAGAAGTCTGTAGAGATATATCCCTGGAAACTCGGAATGGAGTACATCAGGATGCCTGCCGTTCCATGCATAGCCTCTGAACGATCATGTTGATGAACATTTCATCGAACTCCATTCTGTCAATCTTCGGGCGGATCTGAAGACGGAGCTTCCGTGATTGGCAAGTAACTATGCCCTGTATTTGTGTAAAGTGTAACCGGGTCTGCGCCAGAAGTTGATGAAATATCAACAACGAAGAAAAGTAGGTGATGAATATGCGTCATTCATTCTAAGTGAGAAAGAGGTGCCCGGTGGCGTGACCCAGGAGGGAACCGACGCAGGTGTGCATCTCAGGCGGGCGGTGATGAAAGATTTACAGCCTTAGGCTACGCTCAAATCAGAACCCATAGATGATGGCCTTGCAATCTTTTCAATGAAAATAATCTTTTACGGCATGACTGTAAATGCGAATGCAAAATCTATCTCCGTCCCATGCATGTAATTCATCTGAAGCGATTTAACCTGTAAAAACTACAGCTCAAGCGCCTCAACACGGCTGCCAACTTGCGTTGCAGGTCCCTGAGGGCCATCACGTATGCGTTGCTCCAGGGTTTTCACAATGTCTTCAAAGCCCTCAACTTGAGCCGAGGAAAGCTTTAGTATTCTATGGAGATCCACAAGCACATCGTATTTAGCGGTGGCCAATTTCCATACCGCACTTTCGGGATCTCCTGCACCACCAGCCACAAAATTGCTATACGACAAAGGAGGTTTGAAAAGGTAAGGGAGCACAGTGGTCAGTGCTGGGGGTGTTAACACAGCCCATGACCCAGATGTTGGCAGCATTCCAGGCCCCGCAGCAGCTTGTCGATTTAACTCATCCTCAGATGGTAGCGCGGATACCTTCTGGGCGTCCTCAGTTGACAGGGTCTTCCAATTTGCAGTAACAACCGCCCTGATTAATGCAATGGCAGCAAGAGCCACGTCCGGCATAGCGACAATATCCGCAGCAGTGACCACATTTTGCCATAGGCTAGCGTGCGTGTTCAAATATGTTAAGTAAAGTATGCGTGCTGCAACCGATTCCTTGTATGCATCTGTTGGTGCATCACTGACAGTGATTGGAGTATCTGATGGTGATGGTGAACCGTGGAAAATCCTTGCCAAAGTGTTGTAACAGTCTCTATTTGGTGGATTCGAAGGAACAGCTTGCAACGGGTTGAGAGACTTCCTACTAGCTTCGACGAGCAAGACCCGTGGGAGAGAGCCTAGAACTGTGAGATCACCTAGTGGTATCTGCCCATGCGCCCACTGAGCAGACGGAATTTCAAGAGACTTATGTATTCGAGACAGTATTTTGTCAAGCAAATCACGTGGGTTTTTCAGAAGATGGTTTGGGTAGAGCCGTGCATATTGTGCCACATAAGCCATTATGGGAGTGGCAAGAAATGCCACATCAACAGCATCTAGCTGAGAGAAGTCAAGGTAAAAACTCAGGACTCTTTGATGTAGACTTTTGTCTATCAAAAAATCAAGAGGCCGAGAAGAAAAAGCCGATACTTGATGCTTAGGAAAAGCAGTATTGAGCCCAGGAGCATCGACTTGAATCAGTTCCCGAAAGAAATTCAACAGTGTCATATGCATCAACACATCGCTAGTGTCAATCATTTGACTTACTGCAAAATCAAGCAGGCCCCTACTCCGGTACTTAGACTCGACATCGGGGATTTGAGAGGCTGAGATGTAATCCCAGCGAAGTGTTCCGGCTTTCACAACAAAGTCTAATAGTCGCCCTTGCGCGACTGTCTTCTCGCGTTTCGAGAGTTGCGGCGTTGTTTCGGTATCGGTGAGACTACAGATCGAGAACAGGAGACCATAGACACTTTTGTCCGTAAATATCCTTCTCCACAGTAAACCTTGACCGACAGCAACACTTTGAGGGGACCCAACGACAGTTTCATTGTCAACATGGTCGACCTCCAATAATGACCATAGCACATCCAAGGCAGCCTGGGAGACCTCGGTAGTGGGTGTCGAGAGCCACAGCTCTAAAAGTGTTGCCACCAAGTCTGGGTCTCCAGCAATGATAGCTGCATCGCTTGGGGCCCGATTAGCCTTGGAAAGCAGGGACAACGCTAACAAGTTGATTGGTGGCGATGGAGTTCGGATTCCCGCAATTATATTGACTGGAGGATCCACGACTTGGAGGTCTGAGAATTTGAGGAACGCTGTAGCTCGGATTCCGAGGGTCGTTAGGGGAGTGGGATCGTATTGCAGAACCGGCAGCAGTTGAGATATTTGGGTGAGGATGGCTCCAGCCACACTTGGGCTCGTATTCTCGGTGAATTCAAGCTTAAGCTTCTCTATGGCGGGGATATCGAGAGCTGTTGAAGGATCGGAGAAGATCGCATCGAGGTTGCTTTTCACTGCCACATACGATGAGGGAGTAGCCATCGTATCTGTGTTGTACGACCAGGCAAGATGAAACGATGCAAGTGCACAATAGTTATGTAAGAGGGAAAGATGTTTTGGAGAAATAGTTGACTGTTGGATTAAGCTTGCTGCTTACATGATACAGGACAGATGCGGGGCTATTATTTTAGGATTAGCGTACTCTAATATTCCGTATTAGGATTGGCGTCTCCATGCTAGCATTTAACTCTCTCGTAGGAGATCTAAGCCAGCAGCTTCGGCATCAAATCATAGCATTACCGCCGCCAATAAGATATCCTAACCCCAGAGGATTCGTTGGGCCATACAATAGACGGCTTGCAGCAGTAATCCACGCGCTACCCTTCACCTGCGACACGGTGCTATGGAAGCCACTTTCTTCAGATGTCGAAACGACACGACCATAATAAAGCGTTTGCAAGATACTCGGCAATTACACACACGTTTATATCGGTCGGCGTTAAATTGCCGAAGAAAACATTTACCTGGGCGCCTATACGTAAATGGTATGTGCGGCGACCTTCAATCCCTCCTCATGCCATTTATCCTCATCTTCAAGGATCCACTGACTATAACTATAATGCATACTACCTTAAGTGACTTTGACACTCAGTCGATGAATATATCCACAATATCAACTAAAATTGATGTCAGACCAATTCTAGACCAGTGTTCAGCTAACACGCTCATGGCGTCTGATGGCAAACCTAAGTATAAAAGGCTTATATGGGCCTTGACTGTAGTATAATATCCCCATTCAGCTGTGCTCTTTGTTTTGCACCTTCCATTTCTCTTCAAACTCGAATATTGTTCCTTCTCGTCTTAAAACCCCCCAACAAAGCCGGGTTGTTTGTGCCAGCAAAATCCAAAACAACTCCATGTTTTGAGGCAGAGAATGATGGTGTCTGCAGTATACTTACAATGGAAATAAGAAAAAAAATATGTGCCCCGATAAGGCAGATTCTGTAAGCGGAGACAATTTTTTCTCGCATTGGATGTGAAACTTATGCAAGCGAACTATGGTTCGCGCACTCAAGTCAACGTCGCTTTCTCGAAAGGGAGGCTGTCCTCTTTGTACAGTCGATGGGCCTATGTTCTTTACTAGCTAGGTGTTATAATACAAGTGCATACACGTTAGTTTGATTCCTTTGTATCCGTATGTACATCTGTTTGACAAGGCTGAGGCAGCTAGCTACGGGGCAGGGGTCTAGCCGCCTCCTTGTCTTATTTGTTACTCCTGAAGCTGGTCCACTTTTGCATCTCATGCGCCCCCATATTTTCCACCCGCATATGAACGCTATTGGTCAGCTTCTATATGCAGCCCCTGATTCGTTACAACCCGGGGATATTCCATTGCTATGCCTGGGTATAAATACTGGGATGAGATTCCATTCCATTCAATAGCTATTCAACAGAGGCATTAACAGTTTCAAAGATGTCGGATCCCGAGGAATTTGATCTCAATGAATTTTTCTCCACTGTCCCTCTTCCAGATGGTCTCTTATTGCCGCCTACCTTTCTTGAACCTCATGAACCTCATTTTGTGCCTTGGCCTCATGGATATCCAAATCCAAATGACTATATGTTTAGTGGTGTAATGGAGCTCTCTGGTCATTTTCAAGCAGGCAATGATTTGCTCATGTCAGTGAACCAAACTCCCGGGTCAACTCAACACGTCCCTACAGATACTGTTGGCGATCCTTCAAGCAGACTCCTTTTAGAGACTTCAAACTGTGAGTGTCCATCGTTATACACAGACGTAACTTTCTGTGTTCTTTTCATCGGGCAACTAACCTTTGGTGAGGGACTTGCGAAACCCCTACGTAGTTTGTTGATCCAACTCTCCTAGTACAAAACGGCGATGAGCATATATCTGGTCTGACATACGATATACCTTTCCCGAACTCTTGCTTCTTCGATGGGGAAGCTGATCCCCTACATCATACTGAGCCCAGACAGTCCGAGAGTATGAGTTGCAGCATGCCGCAATCGGGACCAGAAAGTCTTGAGAGTCGGGTTATAGAATCTCAGGTTTCCATACCCTCAGGTTCGGAAGTACCAATCTCGAGAAACATCACACCTCAAAAGAGGAAGTCTATTGGGCCTTCTCGAGAATATGAACTTACCCCTTTGAAAAGGGGTGGAAAACGTGGGAAAATGACTCAAACAGAACAAGAGGGCCGCGAGAGAATTAGGAAATTGGGTACGTGCATAACATGCCGCATGAGGGAAAAAAAAGGCAAGTGATCTCTACGATGATTTATATTTATTTTTATCTATTTTTTAAATTTTTCTTTCTTTCAAAACTCGCGAAGAAAAAACAAAAACAAATTCTAACTTTTTTGTGTTTGCAGTGTAATGGCGAAGTTCCGTGTAGCTTTTGTCTGGGGAATTTAGGACCAAAGCTCATGAAACAGCCTTGTACAAAGGCCACGTTCATGGACATAGTTGAGCAAAACCCTTGCTTTGAATGTAAGTATCTATTGCTAGTTTTTTAACTCTGTCAACTATATTCATATTGCTGTGATATCTGGGATTATAATACAGGAGTTGATGAAAGAGTTTAGTCTCCAATCTTTACCAGACTCGGGTTATTGAAACATCTGATAACATGTCTTTCTTCCTGCAATTTGTCACAGCCTTGAGTCTCGCCAAAGAAGGGTTTTACCTAGAACTCATTCCAGATATTCCACTTTATGCAGGAGTTTCTACTATGTGGAGTATCGCAGCTCCCATGTTTATGTCAGTTCTCAAAAATGCGGAGTCTACGGGCATCAACGTACTACCACGGCTTGCGCCCTTCATGATGAAAGCACCAACTGAACTAAAGAAGTTGGAAGGCTTTAACGGAATACTACCATATTTCTTCGGTCCCCCTTCTCAGAATTTTCATGCTACCACTTTGTTTGTATGTCAATTATGAATCTTTCCTGAATTACTGAGGCTTGACTGATTCCTCATAGCAAAAGAAACTATTGTTCTGTGCATCTGGTCCCCGCACCTTCAGAGTATACGACTCAACAGGCAAGCTACATGATATGGGTGACAATGAAGCCGTTCGAAATGCGGCCCAGCTACTTGATTGGCTTGCAATACGACACTTAGAAATGGACATGTTTTGCTACCTGCAGAAATCAGTGAATAAGCTACATGAGCTTTCAGCTTCGGACCTTTATGACATCATTCTTGAGCTTATTGGACTAGTTGGGCTACTATCAGGATATTGGGAACATTCTGTCAGTTTCTCTCCAGTATGATACTAGGAATCGGAATACAACTGAGGATATCCAGCTAACGTCAGTAGGGGCGAATGGCACTTGACCAAGAAACAATCGGACCATGGATTGACCGCCATCAACGCCTGTATATGGCTCTCTTTGTTTATCTAAATATCGCGATTTCAAAACTCCCGTCTTGGTCCAGCTTCTGGGAGGAGCTAGAATCAAAGCTTACAGTCAAGTTTACGTCACGCGAATTTCGAGATATGTTCAGTGATTTTGAATCTTTCAAATCAAAGCTGGAAGTCAAAGGAAGAGATACGGGGTCATTTAGACCGCCTCAGACTCCGAACTAAAATACTAAAAGAATTTGACCCTAAATTCGAAGATGATGATGATGATGATCGGTGGGGATTATCGGAAGACTTCTTCGAATTTCCGAGGAGACTTCAAAGCAATTTGGTGGACCGAGAATTTGAGAAATTTGACCTACTTCACATGGATGGACTACTGTCAGCAACCATATCCGGAAATTTTGACGAAGTGCGGGTATCCAAGTTCTTCAGTCTTGCAAATATTGACTGGGAACTCGCAATTGGGCGTCTTTCGTTGGGGTATTTTGACCCTGACGATGTCAATGACATGTTATTATTTCATTTGGCCAACATATTGAGAAGCCGCTTACAACTGACTCGGCAATGCTCTCTCTTCAAGGAAGAGTATGCCAAAGGCGGTTTGGTTCCAGAGGAATTTGTTCAGTTGACTGAGAGTCTTGCTAAGGAAAAACGACGCAACCAATTTTTAGTATCTCTCCGAGAGGGCTTGCGCTGGTTAGAGCTCAAGAGGATAATTGGGGGAGAGGAAATTTATCTTCTTGATAACCTATTTGAATCTTTGAAGCCTGGATATAAATTGTCTCTAGTTGACATTCCTCTGGCCGTGAGAAATGGCGACGATGAAGATTTTGATCAGCTAAAAAAGCTGCTCGTGTCATCTCAATCCTGGGTGCGAGAAACCTGCGCGCAGCTTCGAGGAATGGTCGGCTGGATAAAGGAAGCTACTATCGCCTCCAAGTCAGATAAAGATACTGCGGCCAATTTATCAAGGCTAATCCAAAAAAAAAGGTTAAGAGCACATTTGGAGATGATGTCTTGAATAATCAGTCGACTGAATCCCGGCTTATGCGCAAATTAGCGTCAACTTTTGGGACCAGATCTGATGAACTAAGTAGAGCCATAGCAGCTGTGTTCGACCGAAAAGACGACCCCAGATTCAACGAAGGCGAAGACGAAGAAGACGAAGATGGAGATGAGACGGCTTTGTTGATCAAGAGCGTACAATCATTGCTATTTGGTTATCCTGACGCGCCATCTTAGACCCAACCTGGTCCCTCATAGCAAATTTTCCTTGCTACACTCTACAACTCTTTTGACGAGTAACTTAATAATCTATTTTCGGGGTTTTTCTCTATTTCATTTACTTTCTGGTAATCTCATAAATGAAAAACGTTTTTGTCAAGGCGGTTGGAACTGCCTATTTCTTCTCCTTTTTAGTCAGACTCGACACTGCTTTTCGGAAGGCCTGAATAAGGTTCATAGCTAGAAATTTTGGAAAATCGAAATAAAAGTATTTCTATATCTGAGTAAATCCTAACTTTTCATCAAGTCCAACCTCAGCAACAACCAAAGCTATACGATGTCATGATCAAGGACTCTTGTACGAAACACTCTTAACACATCGCCCGTCTTCGACCTCACAAGATCGACCTGCAAAATATACTCATCTGAAAAACTCAACATCGCACAACTATAATCATCCATATACGCAAACACATTATAACTCAGCACAGCATCACCTGCACCACCACCAGCAATAATATACATAAACGCCATTATACATCAGCAAAAACTGCTAGGAGTTATACACATCCCCAGATACCCAAATCAATACTATAATTATAAAATAATGACCCAAATGCAGATTGGTATAAAAAATATACATTTAAAACTACCCCCAGTAAAATACCAAGGTAATAGCTAATACCATTGCAAGCTCTGCGGATGCTCACTGAGCACTCACTGAGCCCCCGGAGCGTGTGGGTCTCTCTCACGCAGCCATTGATATCAATATCGGTGTTATTATTTAGTATATAATCAAGGTTAAGTCTATTATTATTAGAAAAGCACCAAATCAATCCCAGACTTCGCCAGATAGACATCCCACCGCAGCGCCGTCCCAGATTCCCAGAGTCTCTTAAGAGCTTCTCTTCCCCTCGTAAAATTACCCATCCCAAGCGACTGCATAATTGACATTCTTTCATCAACAACTGCCCGCTCCTCCGCACGATCCGTTTCGCAACCAGCACTGAAAAGAGGCCAAATCAAAAGCACATTCGCTGGCGAAAAAGGGAGCACGTTCTGGACTACGCGCAGGATGTTAATTACATCGTTTCGTACTTTTGGGTGGTATTTTGGGAGTAATTGTACTCGGCGATGGAGATGGAGAAGCGCTGTGTGCACAAAGGCCGGGTGTGTGTCTCGTAGCTCTTCGACGAGTTGGTGCTGTTCGCTGGTCCAGATGCCTGTTGTGGAGATTTGGGGAGAAGGGAGGTTTTGCAGCTGGGATTCGAGTAGCTGGGCTTGGATGATGAGATCTGGAGATTGAGAGGATGTGACGCCGGTGATGACTTCCGCGTAATCGTATCGAAGATCAATATCACAACTGGATTCGTTTATAGGCAGATTCTCGTATTGCATTCTGGCTAAATTTCCAATCCGCGAAAATATAGGCACGAGATTCAAAGAATAGCCACAAATATCATCCACAACAAAGTCTTCCGAAAGGTTGAAAATCTTGTACTTATTCCAATAGTCAGAAGTCGGGTTGCCGTCAAAAAAACCAGCGAGCTCTCGCTGCTCGTTGTGGTCATCCCCGTGTTGATGAGGAGTAAACAACGACAAACTGGCCGAGACGTCTAACGCCGCAAACCATTTCATCAAGTAGACATTAAGTATAGAGTCTTCTGTGACAGAAGTTCTGTTGTTTTTTGACGGTAGTGAATTGGTGTATGATGGCAGCATTTGTCGAATCGCCTTCAGATGCATTCGGAACACGTCTATATTTCCATTGCAAACATCATTCGTACATAGGGCCATTGCCGTCATCAGAGTCTCGGTCTTGAAAGTCTTACTGGTGGCACTATCGCGAGCCAAAGCCGCTCTGAGACCCGAAATAGCATTATTTGTGAACATAAGTGTTGTTGCTCTCTCAGATTCTGACGTTGATGTCGGTGAAGTCATACGGCGCGCGTTATGGCTTCCAAAACATGCAAGAAGCGCATAGAGGAGGGGAGGTGTTTTCATTGCGGACAGCATCAATCTATCGACAAAGGATTGAGATGCCAAGGGAAATACAATGGTAGCGGTTTTGGCGACTAGCTGACGCATTCCTAGTCGACAATGCTTGTTTGCTAAATAGGGGGAAGAGATGGAGGAACTTTGCGTAATCGCACATATCTCCTGTGTCACGCTGTTCTCTTGGCTAGAAGCAGCATACAATGCTGGTGGTGATGCTTTAGGCGTGGAAGTTCGACTGCACCCATTTTGAACAACAACTCTGCTGCGATAATTGCTATTCTGCACAGGCTGGGCTTCCGATTGATCGGAATGCTGCTGCATGAGGACAAATCTCGTTTCATATTTGCATTGCTTAGGGAAACGCCTACATCTGGAGCAGACAGGTACGCGGAAGTCGCACTTAGAATAGTGTCAGTTGTTACGAATTCTCACAATGACGAAGGATAGCAAGTCGTCCCTACCTTGACCTTTTTCCGCCGGCATTCGGTACAGCCGTTCTTTCTTCGCTGTGATGTCTTGTGATTATCAGGGCAATGCTGTACTTCCATTATTACTTTGATATCCTTGTGTTATTGCCTTAGAGTCAGGTCACAAATTCACAATATATATATATATATATATATATATATTCAATAAGAGATCGGTATGAGAGTAAGAAAAGAAAGATACATGAGATAATTATTGCGATATCTTTGGTTCCTTATCTTGCTTACATATCGCATCACGTGGCGCGAACTGATCCGAGCTAAACTGTATCGAAGTTAGGTTAGGGCTATCAGTGAACAGATGACAGAGATAAGGCATTATTTACACATATAATGAGCCTTACTAGAAGCCCCATTAAGGGGTCCCTTTTGGTGGCTTACTGCTTAATATTTCGTCTTTAACAGAGTACAGGTGCTTTTCAAAGTTGAAGACGCTGTTCGTAGATGAATTAATGATATATATTTTAAGAACATTATAATCTAAATGTTTTAGTACTAAATTACACTACTCCCAGAGGAAGCTGAGAATATTCCACCATTGTCTTTTGCTTGCGCCTTCCTGCTTCCTTGGTGCATCTTCAATGACTTCCTCAACATTGCCCACGCTGAGATCAACCAATTTCGGGTCAATGAACCAAGGGTCATTCCAATTATAAATCCGATGACCAAAATAGACCACCAAGAACAGCGGGAGCCCAATATAGGCTGTTAAGAATGACGACGTGCTCCAATTCTCGGGGAAGAACACATCAAATCCATTGAGCAGAGCAAGAAACGGGAAGAAGAAAAGCCCAAAGTAAGTACCCCATGGTTGGAGTTTGGAGGAATACGGTAGCATATCGGTAGTTATGTTCTGCGCTTTGCAGGCCTTGCGGAACCGTAAATGCACAATGCAGCAGCAGGTCCATGAAATGAAGGCGGATTCGTTGGTGAGATTGATGAACCAGTCGAACACAACGGCACTGCTGTTGCTTTCGTTGAGGTATGCAAGCGGGCACAGGAGAGCACACGCTATGACGCACCGATAAGGCACGCCCGACTTGGTGCATGCCAGGAACCATGAAGGGGCATTTCCAACTAGGGCCTGGGAATATAGCGAGCGTGTTGCCATGTAGAAAAATGAATTGCCGGAAGACCAAGCCGAGAGCAAAATCCCAGCATTGATGATACTGTCAAGCACAGGAATGCCGGCATTCTTGATCGCAACTACAAATGGAGAAGCACCCGCACCTTCACCGCCACTGGTCAAAGCCGGGCTGTTGGAAGGGCAAATGACGCCAATTGCGAGCGCAGACAAGATGTAGAAAAATAGAATACGGTATATATATCGGCGTGCGGCTTTCGGAAGATTTCTGCGAGGAGCGGCCATTTCGCCGGTTGTCAAAATAAGGAATTCGGGAGCAAAAGTGAATGGAAGCGAGGCCAGGACAAGCGTTGCCAATAACGCAATGAATCGACCGGTGTTGCCGTTTAATATGTACCTTGATATCGAAAAACTCGTATTAGACCAATGTACAACGCGCGCGTGTTCGTGAAATTAAAGATAACTCACTCATTTGCAGCACCCGGATGATCCCAATACCGAAATCCAAGCCTATCATGATTTGGCCCACCTCCGAAAAATATGACCACCGAAATAATCAAAAGCCCAGCCATCATGATGACTTTTGTCGATGCAAACCAGAACTCGGATTCGCCGTAGAATCGGACTGGCATGCAGTTCAGCGCAATCACAACGACCATCATGATTGTGATCCAAACACCAACGTTAATCGTACTCGGCCAATAACTAATGACCAAGGAGGCGGCTGTGATTTCATAGGGGGCAAGAATACCCATGCAGTAAACGTAGCTGTACGCATAGATACGTTAGGATTAAAACGAGTCAAAAAGTTCTGGGAAAGATCTCCCTACAGCCATCCAGTCGCGAATCCAAAAGAAGGAGAGACAATGCGATTCGAGTAGTAGCTGACAGAGCTACCTGGCACAGGCATCCACGTCGCAATCTCAGTAAGAGATGTGACAACAGTGAACACCACGAGTGCCATAAAGCAAAAGGTTCCCAAGAAGAACGCAGGGCCACCTCGAGCCAAGGTCTGTCCCGTACTAACGAATAAAGCGGTTCCGATTGTTCCACCTAGAGCAAGCATTTGAGCGTGTCTCGATTTGAGACCACGCTTCGTGGTTTCACCGGCCATGATGTCAGACCGAGGCGACTCTCCGCCATCAGCAGTGACTGCTGGTCCCTTTTCCATATCCATGGTGAGGATGAATCAAACAACCTCACAAGAAAGAACGTCTAGGTTCATGTGAATGAGTTCAATCTGTGACAGAAGACAAGAGAAGAAGAGAGGAACCGGGCAAAGGATATATAGGAGGCATTATGAAGGCCATCGAGCTCTGATGCTCCGCTGGAAAGATAAGCCTGCCGTTTAGCCAGGAGAACGAAGTCAAATCGAACATGTGAGATTCTGGATGACCCAAAATTATTTTCTGGAAAGCCGCCGATAAGGCCCGCCCCGGAATGCGCTAAGCGCTTTTAAGCAATGTTGGCGACGTGACCAATCGTAGAGCTTCGATAACAGGCTCCGCCATCGGAGTCGTTCCGTTCCTGATTCGAGTACTGCAATAGATGCAAAATGCATATAAAAAATGTATGTCAGATAACACACCATATATGGATATGTTTTGCCTCAAATATATTTTATTCATCTTACATCAGTGTGTACGTATGCATTTGTTGTGAGGTTCCTGTACCGAGACTAAGTACTGAGTACGGCTGACAGCGGAATGTAAGGTAGAAGGAGCATTAACTACCAGAAGCCACATTAAGGAGACTCTTTTCGGTGGCTTCATACTACGTGTTTATAACTCATGGATATGAGGTTTCTCTAAGTTTTGTATACTTTTGGCCACCAAGTAGAATTTAATAAAAATAGATTGCTTCTTCTAGACTGCTATTTTACACTTTATTTCAACAATAATGCATCAGGAGAAACCAAGTCGACCCATCCGAGATTTGGCTCGGACTGCTTCCAGCCCAGTCTTTGCTGGACGAGTGGCGAGTATGTTTTCACATCTTCAATGGGGTATGTAAGATAGGAAATTTCCTAGAGGTAACCGTCAGTCAAATCTGTGGTTGTCTGAGTCCAAGCGTAATAACCAACCTCTTGGCGGTAAATACCACCGCACATAAACATAATATGCACCATGCGATCTCCCGTTGGTTTTGAGTAGGTACCAGCCCCGTGGTACAAGCTGCCTAACATAATAAAAGCCTCGCCCATCTTGAGTTCGGCATCAATGACGCCCTTGTCATTATTTGGGCCGAAATCAGGCTGTTCGTCACCCCATAGATGACTACCGGGCACGATTCTCGTGGCACCGATTTCACGGGTTGTATCACAGCCAGGCACGAAAAGGCCAAGAAGCACATCACGATTAGGGTGATATGCATCTACTTTCTGATGACGGGCGTGATGATTCTTGTCATCTCGATGCAGCTTTTGGGCCGGTGCGCCAGGTCGAGTGTCCATGGTTATCGAGATTGAAAGCAAAGGGTGAGTAGTGTTTGTTGAGGGTTCTTGATTGTACCAATTTGTTGTGGTGATTCCTAGAAATTCTTCCCCAAGGTCCTAGATATTCATTAGCATGAGAACATTTTTCAATTTGTATATGTAGGAACATACCTGATACAAAGGATCAGAGAAGAACTTTTCGCGAACAGTCTTGCTTCGTCCAATCAGCCGAGTGCAAGTCTTGGTGCCTCCATTAAGAGCTGCCATTGTGTTTAGTCTTTACTTTTCTAAGGAGTTAACGACTAGATCTCACCTCCAACCTGGCTGTTATCCTCTTTGTTTAACCAAGGCTCGACCTCGAGTCTGGCTTGCTCGAGAGTTTCGAGGGTGGTGAAGTTTTGTACAATCACGCAACCATCTTTCTTGAGGGCGTTGATGAACTGTTCTCGGGGTGCATCATATGGTATGCGCTGCACACTGGGAGTAGCCATGGTGAGCGAATCCTGAAATTGTCCGGATAATTGAATGTATAGGCGGGTAGCTGGTATCTATTAATTCTCGACGGCGTTGCTCTCCCGGATGAAAGAGTTCAATATATAGGTATATCCATAGACAGTGATCCAAAGGAACGCCTCAAAATTCATTGACAGATCGATGCCTCAGCTTGTATACATCAAAATGATTTCCTTGACGGCAACCAAAAAAGTCAACGCGGTTATCGCCGATTACGGCAAATCTGAGGAGCTGGCGCGTTCTCAATGATGATTGGCTAGGTCGCCAGTTTTCCCCGAAAAGGAAATTTCTGTAGCCGCCAACCAAAACTGCCCCTTTTCATCTCTATCTGAGGGATTTTGTATACATCGAAATTTGCATAATTATCTTTCACTTGATTAATGACTTATTGAAATTTGTCAAGATTTGCCTTTCTGGAACCCCGGCTGAATGTGCGAGATGCGTGGTTGATTTGATGTATTCGTCGGTGTCTTGAATATCAAACAGTAATTATTTCCGCCTGTGCCCTAGAAAATGTCTCAATACTTTTGACAGAAGAAGAGAGAAAAGAAAGGAGAAAAACAAAGAAACCGGGCAAGATGACCATCGACCTTGCAAGCGGTTATCCTTCGCCAGCCCTTATACCAGTCTATCAACTCCAGCAGGCTGCCAATACCGCACTCTCAACTCCTTCGATATGGAAAGAAGGCCTGAAATACGGTGCAGATGCGGGCTACTTCCCACTTCGACACAGCCTTGCTCAATGGCTTACCGACTTTTATAATAATGATAATACAAAGCCAGACGCTGAAAGGATATGTGTAACTGGGGGTGCCAGTCAAAATCTCGCCTGTATATTGCAGGTATATACGGATCCAGTGTATACAAAAAAAATATTTATTATTGAGCCGGCATATTTCTTGTCGTTCCGCGTTTTTGAAGATGCTGGATTTGGTGGGAGACTGAAGGGTATACCGGAAGATGACCAAGGTATCGATTTAGCGATTCTGGAGCAAAGTTTGAAGAAAGAGGCAGATGTATCACTGCCTGGAGGAAGCGTATCAAAGGTTAGTAAAGAAGAGGGGTATCCCAATTCAAGGAGCAGAGCTAATATATACTTTGGTTATAGCCGTTTAAACAGCCACAACCACACAGAAAGCTGTATAGACATGTCATTTACTGTGTCCCTACTTTCTCGAATCCTTCCGGCAGGGTCATGAGCCTTAATAGAAGACGGGAACTTGTTCGTCTCGCTCGAAAGTACGATGCCCTAATCGTCGCGGATGATGTCTACGATTTCGTCCACTGGGAAATAGAGACTAACAATCTCGCCGATGTGTCGCCTACCGACGATTTGACGTCGTCAATTGATTCCCAATCCTCTACTTCCACACCTACTTTTACTCCCCCGTCCTCTTCTACTTCTTCACTCGCGTCTTTACTACCGACAATGTTTAAATCAATTATGCCTCGTCTCGTCGATGTCGACAAAATCTTGGACGGTGGTCCCGTTGACCAATTCGGAAACTGCGTGAGTAATGGTAGTTTCAGCAAGATTGTCGGTCCTGGATGTCGAGTGGGGTGGGCTGAAGGAAGCCATGCTTTTGTTTATGGACTGTCGCAAGTGTAAGAAAAGCATCCTTAATCCAAGCTGATGAAGGCAATGAGCTGATTTTCGTTGTGTTCTAGGGGATCTACCCGTTCTGGTGGAGCTCCATCTCAGTTAGCATCAACATTCATTAATGGAATGCTTGAAAATGGGTGTATAACGGAACATATCCAAAACATTTTAGTGCCAGCCTACGCAAGACGCTCCAACAAGCTCTCACGTGCAATCAAAGAACATTTAGGTCCGATTGGTGTGACACTTCCTTCATGGCCATCAGGTATTCCTAATACCCAAGTTGCCTCAGAGAGCACATTAATTGGTGGAGGGTTTTTCATCTGGCTTCAGCTTCCCTCGCCTTTAAATTCCAAAGAAGTGGCTGCAGCTGCGCTGCTTGAGGGCCTGAGCATGGGTCAGGGAACCTCGTCAGCTTTACCAGATGGCAACGATGGTTGCGGTCAGTATGGGAATATGTTGCGGTTATGTTTTGCATGTGAGGAGGAAGATTTATTACTTGAAGCGATCCTGATCTTGCACCGGGTGATATTGAAGTGTTTATCAAACGCTAGCACTGTTGTCAGATAACCATCTTCTTTTGATCTTTAATGCAGTAAGAATAGATATTGCATAATATGGAATTCGGCGCTTCATTAATGGATGAGATAATCCCTCAGGCAGCCCAATAATTGCCCAAATAGGTAAAGAACAATTCACAAGGATTGTACCACAATGATTCCGATGACTTTGCCACATTTCAAGTCTTGTACACATAGATTGATATCACAGCTAAGTATCTGAGTAGCAACAGAATTAGATGCATAGCAAAGCCATTTTTTCTTTGATAGCTAACCTTGTCAACCTATACTCCAAACCTTCATCACATAATCGGTCATCAAATCAGCCGGAAATGACGAGACAACTACGTACGCTTTTGTCTAATTTAACAATTGTCATTCAAGCCAAACTTCGATTCTCACCTAGTGGCCGTAACTATTGGTATACCAGTGTCAGACTGCTTTGGGCTCCGCTTAAGGAGCTTAATCGCCTCAAGTACGAGAACAAACCCTGCGTTGACTGAGCGAGATACTGTTTGAGTAGTTCATTGTAATATACAAGCTATATCAAACATGTAACTACCATTTTTTAATCTTACATAGCAGATTATCACGTGCAAATCAATGTACATTGCGGGGAGCTCCGTTGCAAACAAGGCAAACACAATCTTCCCCGTCTTTCGGCGTCATGGCCATCAACGCTGCAACTCTGAAGCAGGACATATATCCTTCCACTCAGAGACCATGGCTGATAAATCGGATAACCCGTTGATTTCGACAAAGCCTTCCGACTCTGGTCTTCATGTTGCCCTTCACCCTCTTGTCCTCCTCACCATCTCAGATTATGCTACAAGACACACCGCACGGCAACAGCAGGGACCTATCGTGGGCGCACTTTTGGGTCAGCAGCAAGGCCGGCAGATCACTTTGGAGCACGCCTTTGAATGTCATACGAAAAGGAGTGCCGACAATGAGATTATTCTTGATGCCGCTTGGTTTGGAACGCGAGTCCAGCAGTGTAAGCTACTAGCCTGCCAGCGTCATCGAAAATGTCCTAACTAGATGTCACGATATCACACAGTTCGAGATGTTCACAAAGATCCCCCGCTGGACCTAGTTGGGTGGTTCACCCTCACTCCAAATTCCGGCCCATCCCCGTCTCTGCTCTCGATTCATCGCCAGATTTTACAAGACTATAACGAATCTGCAGTGTTGCTCACTTTCCATCCTTCTCAAATAGTTTCGGATTCCGGAAATGGAGCAAAATTGCCCTTGACAGTTTACGAGAGTATTTTCGAAGGTGAAAATGTCGTTGACCCAAACGCGGCTACGCAAATGGGCGATGACAGACAACCTTTACACATTCGCTTCCGCGAGCTACCATATTCAATAGAAACGGGTGAAGCCGAGATGATTAGTGTCGATTTTGTTGCTAGGGGTGCTGGTAATGCTATGGCTATTGAAGCTCCAGCTGAACCAGGAAAAGCCACGACAAAGACTACGGCCACAGCCACAACAGAAACCAAGGGGCCTAAGCATGATGCGGGAGATGTGAAGACAGAGGATGACTCGGTTATTTTGTCACCAGAACACGAAGAATGTAAGCTGCAACTATTGAGTATCACTTGACAAACCTTGATCTAATCTTGGACTGCCGAATATTAGTCATTGCCAACCTCTCAACCCGACTCAACGCCGTAAAAACACTCGAGAGTCGCATACGGCTTATCAGATCGTTCCTGGAAAATCTTCCGCCATCCATTCTAAGTGGCCAGAATTCTGCTGAAGGCGCAACAACGACGAATTCGGGAACGCATCCAATTCTTCGCAACATATTCGCTCTAATATCTGGCCTCTCGCTTTTAACACCGCAAGATTCGAAATCGTTTGCAGTCGAATCTCTTGCTCAAGAAAATGATGTAGCAGTTATATCCTTACTGGGTCAACTGGGTGAGAACGTCAAGACTATCCGTGAGTTGGGAAAGAAATCAGCTATAGTGGAGATAGGGAAACAGCAGAACGCTGCTCCTGGCAAAGGCCGAAAGGCTCATTTGGGTCTCCCATCGAGATTCGATGATGGATTAAGGGAAAGTGGATATGCAAACCTTGATGCTGGTGGACTACAAATGATGTAAAAAAGAAAAAGAAAACGAACGGAGCCTTTTTTACCTCTACTACTGTCATGACAAACAATCACGATCCACACGAAGGATGTCCACACGAAGAACTGATATATCTCAAGTCACCAGCAGTCTCACGAAGAGTCAGAACCGAATGACATGAAACGCTAGACAAACACGACTGTTATAACATACCATGAACTTGCTACATGATGTCTTGAGCTCGTCCTTATTTGACTTAGGGCAATAGACTATGAGCTATGAAATTCCTAATCAAACTAAAGCACGCTTCACATTTTATGACAAAGATGACTAGGTGGTATTCCTATCTTTATAAATATGGAATAAGCAGAAATATTAACACAGTATCGTCATGCTAGAGCTGACTCGCTGTAAACTCGTGAAACCCCTAGAATTAGGAACACACACACACACACAAAAAGATAATGATACATAAAGAAACTATAGAAATAAAGCAACCAGTAATGAAATGCACCGATCCCATCAAAATGTATTGGAATGAACCAGGAGTCTTCTTGGAACAAAAAAGGAAATCGTATAATAAGCCATCATGAAAATTCTAATAGACTGACAAATGGATATCATGAGTATAATTCAGAGAGAAAAGGAATAAGGAGAAAAGGGCTGTGAAAGAATACAGTCATTGAATGTGAATAACATCGTTGTCTTTAATGAGGAATCCAATAAAAGATGATGTCGACCATGATGCGGTTATTGACATAGTCGTCACTGCCAAACGCCACAACAAAATGAGAATAAAGAATCATGAAATCGAACTCATGGTCAAATGCAGAATAAGAAACATTAGACAGCCTATGCAGAGAAAGGGGGAAAAAAGGAATCATGCCCCTTCGTAAGGGCTACGTGACGGGTGATATGGCTGATATGGCCTGGGAGATATGGGTCGTGGCTCGGCTGCCGTGAGATCACCTATGGATGGGTCATCATGGCTATATATATGATTATAGTAGCGGTTGCCGGACTCTTCTTCATAGGGTGCTTCTGGCGGATACCTCGAATGTGGATTATCCTGTGCATGTGATAAGAGATTTTGGCCCTCCTCATCATATGGATCATACTGGCTGGCGGGGTGATATGCGGTGTTGATACCAGCCGGGCCTGTATATGCGGTCACATTGGGCCCTGGTATGCTTGTCTGCGCGTCATGGTCGTCGGATGCCTTAAGAGAGAAAGCCGAATCATCCCGGTTCATGTAGCTAATATCGTTGGTACGCTTTTTATAACCAACAAACAGCCATCGGAAACCTCGTCCAGTAGCTTTCACCAAGTCCCATGGGTTGAATGATTCGATAAAGGCCTTGATTCCCAACGGGCCACCATGATAGGCAATTTGTCCCTTGATGTACTGAGGATTTTCAGAAGCTTGCTGGTTCTTCAATCGATATGGTTGCCATGGGAAAGCAAAGAAGTGCAAGATTGCAAAGATGGCCATCTCAATACAGAGAAGCAGATTCGAAAGACCGATTTGAATGTCCTGATTTGCCAATTTATCCGAAACTTTTATGGCACCAGCCGACGATAAGAAGGAAATCACTGTCTATGGTTTGGACAGTAATTAGTCTCTAGTCTAGCCCTATTTGGGAGATGGGTTGACTCGAGAAACTCACGGATTGCCAGAAAGACAGGAAAATAACCAGCTTGATAGCAAGGACCTTCAAGAAAGGAGAGTACTGGGCCATATCCTTGTGGACCTGGAAGTAAAACTGGATCAAGCAATACATAGCGATAGAGACTGATATCGATTCAATCACGAGTACCTGGAAACGAACAATCAGTCATACTAGGAGGGTCGCATTCCAAGGTAGTTCACTAACCCAAACGTGGGCAAACGCCGGGCTTACAGAAGCCTCACAGTATTTACCGAATGCCTCCGTGACAACGGCAACAATGGTCATGGCGACTCGAATGAAGCAGTATTGGTAAATTGAGATCCAAATCACCTAAACCAAGAAAATGTGCGTTTAGTCACGGAAACCATTCTCGTAGCAAAATCCGACTTACATTGAACCACGTTAAGCCACTTCGAGGTGTTCTCCAGCATCCGCGTTCCCCTCCGCAGCATTTTGCAAGCCAATTAAGTGGCCAGAGCCATGGCTTCGGTCGAATGCCACGGAAGTAGTCCTTCTGACTATGCAAATCGGGTGCGGCGTAATGACAGAGCAGCGTGAAGAAGGATGAAAGGGCGAAAGCTTCGTAGCATGAACCGAGGACTTCAAAGTAGACAGACTTTTGATAGAAATAGAACGAGAGAAACGACTCCGCGCAGTATATGGGGACCATGAACAAGATTCGCATGATACTGTCATACGTCAGTGACCTTTTTTTATGTTTCCTTAAGTGAAAACGAGTGAAACATACTGACGCTGCTCCCGCGGTTTGCTGTAATGAATCGCATGCATAAACGCTAAGAAGAAAGAAGAAACGATTCCGACCAGACTGAATGCCGCACACAATATGAGACCGAGCTGGTGGAAAGTGAGGCCATTATTCCAAAGCGGTACCTCGGATACTAGCGCATGGCGATGACTGTCAGGGAAATAATACAATCAAGATGGAGACCATGCTACTACATACTTTTCTCGCTTTCTAATGTTGTATTGCATGTGGTCCAATCCACGTCGGAGATGGAAAAACGGCGTTCGAGATCGAGCATCATGGCATAAAAGGGGGGCGCACTTGTATATCGGGCACTGTGGTAAAAGCGCCACTAGATGAATTGAAGAAAGGAAGGATCTCGGCTCAGAGTCATCGAGGATCCCTGCAAGCTGAGTATTGATGAAGAAAAGTGAAGCGGGCAAGAAGATATCTCAGACGCCTTAGGTTGATTGCAGGTTCCTGGAGCTAAGCCACAGCCCGGCGCGCTAGGCAAGGTGCACGGGCCTGTCACAGCCTCCAACAATAACACCAAAAATAAACAATCTTATTATCGTAAGCGCTACAAGTGCAATTAGCTTTCTATTATTAACAGCACGAGCATGAGATAGAATAGCTGTGAAAATCGGACAGTGTAGTATAGGATTTTATAATATGTCCTATTCTAGGTAATTGAAAAGCGAAATTAACGTGTGCGTCACATATCGGTACAGCTGTGTATTGTCGTAATGATTAAGTGATCGGCGGCGGGGGATTGAATGGGCGCTGTCCAATGAGTGCCCGCGCTGGCCAGCTTGAGTTGCGCTAGTCGTTGTTTTAAACGCGTATTTTAATTTCAGCCTACACGTATTTTAGCCTCCGTTTTGCTACAACAATTTACCCACACCTGTCTATGTATCCATACTCTCTAAACATCGCATGTCGGTACACGAGTCGCCGGCAACATCAGATTGTCGGCCTGTGAGCTCCACCAACGAGTCCCTGAACTCTGGGCGCAGCAGACTTGAAGCATGCCAGATGAAGAAACCGAGCATCACCAAGAACATCAACGCCCCATCGAATACATACAGCGGCCACTCATTCTCGAGAAGGTATCCATCCTGACCCATGAGGAACTCAATCACCCGGTAGATATTTCGCGCCAAGACGGTCAACGATGTCCCGTAAAGCATGTTCAAGCATGACTGCCAGGGGATATCCCTCGTGTTGCCAGTCTCGGCCATGTGCTTGCAGAACCGTTTGTTGAAGAGCAGGCAACATGCCATGAAGCCGATAAACATGAGGACCTGGAGTATTAGCCCGACAACTATAATGTAGTCCCCGATGTTGGCTATTCTCGGATGGGGCAGCAAGCCAGCACTGCCGGCTTGAATGTTGAGGCAACTGAGGTCCCCAAACACAAATATAATGGTCGTCCGACGTGGAGGAATGGGAGAGTATGTCTCTCCCATGGCGGCTGTGACGATGCGGGCGTATACCATGTACAGTGTTGCGGCAAAGAATACCGGGGAGATGACTAGGCAGATGTCCTGAACGATGTATGGTACTAACGAGCCCGTGAAACCATGTGCGGCTGCTCGAGCTATATAACCAATGATCTCGACTAATGGAAACTGTGGAATTAGTGACATCTCGAGGTCAATGAGACAGGTCATGCAACGAGACTTACGTAGGCCACCAACGACGAATGGAAGACTGAACCACGATTTCGTAACTATCATTCTCCAGCCGTGAGCTGCTGTCGCGAGGCCGAACAGAACGGCAAAGGTGATGGCAGCGGGCAGACTGGGGATATAATTCCACAGATAGACTCCGCGGTAGGTTTCTAGGGTTGTCATAAATGATATTTTCAATGTGGACTTCTTGAAAGCTGTGATCCTGGAGATTTATCTTGCACATCGAAAACCCTCGAATGGAGGATAAAAAATAGGGGCACATCCGGATTTATACGGCTTGAGAGCAGCTCGAATAAGTACAGCCAAGGAATCGGCATCGGCATCTTGAAAGTTCTTATAGACTTATGTTCATTTCGACATTACATTCTACAATCTACCTAACTTCGTGCACAACAGCGTGTAGCAGTAGATACGCGTATTAGCTAAGCGGGCTTGGGGCGCGGAACAGCCGCTAATGCCTGGTGATGCCTTAGCGCCTAAAGCAGTGGAGATTTTTGCTGCATGCTGTTGGTTCAGCCTCGCTGCACAACACCCAAGAGTGCCAAAACGCTCCCTGATTCGCGCAATGGATTGGCACAAACAACTGTGTCATGAAGTTGGTCCTAACATTCGTGGGACTGGAACGTCTGACCTGGCCCTACATCTAACTCGCTGCTGAAGACGTTTCTTCGACTTAAATCTACTCACATTAACGTGCTCCATACATACTGGAAAGGGAGCCGCAAGTCGTAATACGCGTATTCCATTAATTTCGACGACCTCTTTTCACATAATCCCTATCAATTCCTGCAACATGCTTCGTCGAAGCCACAAAAAGTCGCGAGGAGGCTGCTTGGAGTGGTGAGTCGCACCGGCCTGCCTGTTCTGAATGTCTACGCTGACTTTGCCCTTGATAGCAAGCGACGCCACGTCAAGGTGATAAATACATAGCGGCATCGTCTGATTTTATACCTGCCTGCGTGAACTAATACATTCCATCGTATCAAATTGTTAGTGCGATGAAAGCCGGCCTGTGTGCTTCTTATGCACTTTGTCCGGCCGGGATTGCAGCTATGCATCCCAAGGCCCGCAAATCAGCCTGACGAAATCGAATGAAGCGCCGCCTCAACAGCCGTCTGACTCTCTAATCTCGGACTACCGAAATCATGGACCAGCCCCTGATGTTAATGATATGGATACGTCCCCGCCTAGCGCTGATTCGCCGGCATCTTTAAGTAAAAGCACGTCAAGCAGCCACCCAGATCCAATCCTTGACGAGCCCGTCAATTTCAATCATATGGAACTGCTCGCCCACTTGTCACTCGACAGTGATATGTTCAACCTAGGTTTCACCCCTTCCAACGTCTCCCCAGTCAACCTAGTCTTGAAGTCCAGCTTAGAGTCGCCATGTCTTATGCATCTGATCCTCGCCTTTTCTGCTCGCCACCTGGCATTCCTCCACCCTGAGCGCTCCTCCTTCTACCTCCACCAGGCCGTTACGCTTCAGACCCGTGCCATTTCGATGTTCAACGCTTCCTGGACTGGCGTTACCCAATCAAATTGCGTCTGGGTGCTTTTCTTTTCGTCAGTTCTGGGCCATCACATGCTTACTGATACGCTAGCTAGACGAGATCCAGGGGGTATTGATGTGTTCATGACTCACTACATTCAGTTTGCAGCAATGCACAAAGGGATTTATACCGTTGCTAGTACCGCCTGGCCCGCACTCATGGATTCGGAGCTCGCACCGATCCTGGCATTGAGCGAGGGGTATCACAAGCGGTCGCCGAGAGGCAGCCACTGTCAGCAGCTTAAGACGCTGGTAGATGGCGCGATTTGGCTTGGGGAAGAGGAAAAAGAGGCATGTCGATTGGCCATCAATTATCTACAGATTGGCTTCGATTCAATATTGTCAGACCATGGGCTCGGCAATCGATACCACATCATCTTCATATGGGCGTTGCTGCTACCGCAAGAATTTACAACCATGCTGGCAGCTAAACAGCCTGAAGCCTTAGTTTTGCTAGCCTATTATGCATTGCTACTACATTACTCAAGGAACTTGTGGCAAATTGGTGATTCTGGGTCGTACATAATAAACATGGTTACAGAATATCTCGGCCCAAAATGGGACCCTTGGCTTGAATACCCACGAGAGATGCTAGCTAAAGAGTCATGATTTATCAAGTGATTTCACGCTTGACGGAACGCGGCTAAGTGGACTAATCGATACTTTCATTGCACAATATATTTTCATTTGATGAACGGATAATATTACTTTTTGTTCTGGCTTGTTTGTTTGATATAGTATTCTTAATAGATCCTGCCTATTATTGCCTCTGCTCAATTTTCCCAAATACCTAGATGGGTGTGTAGGTATTTAAGTTAATCCAATTGAATTTAATAATATATCTATGTGTCTTAAACGATGCCTATCTATATGACTCCAATCTAAGTATATCACAATCCAGCATGCCCGCTAGTCCCGTTTTTTCTGCCCCCTTCTGTATTATCCTCGTCGCAGATTTCCGCTGTGACGTATCTGGACTCGCGCACGAAACTACCTTCAAGGCTGCAAGTGTGAAAACATAATCTGACGCTCTGTGCAACTTCTGGTGTTGCGCGTTGTATAGCATTGTCTTCGAGTGTGCGATGAGCAATTCGTCAAATGATCCAGATGAAGAAATAACGCTGGTTCTCGTGAGAAACACAATCCACGCCATACTGTACAGCGTTAAGGAGATAAGATCTGATTTATGCGGGTCACTCATCATCGGGGGAACAAAATGTTGCCAACCGGTATTTCGCACTGATTCGATGCTAGAAAGGGGCGTCTTTATGGTTAGGCAAAATGGGTTCTCTTGTGCGATTTTACTCCAGATGCCTAACAGTTTTTCGACGACACTGTCTTGAGCTTTGCGCAGTAAGAGGTGGTCTTCATTCCGGCTATGAAAAATCACAGGCAGCAGCAGGAGGAAGTCGCAGATCAAGTCATAGGACGTTTGGGTCTTGTCTTCGAATGGAACGGTCATCCAGCGAGGCGAAGCAAACACAGAGGGCTTCCATTCAGTAATGGATATAAACGCCTAAGATATGGGAATCAATTGACTTTGGCTCAACTCATGGTATTGGTATTTTTGACTTAGGTAGCGGGTAGATAGTGTGTATTTTTTTACTCACACTCAGCACTCGCACATCTCGAAACAAATTCCAATGCTGACCAGTCTGAACATAGTGGGGCCCCAGCCTGTCTAGCAAGTCGACAGCAGCAGATACATGGTAGTGCGTGCCGTGCGTTGACGTCGCCCACATACTCTCGATATATGCTAAGGTCATTGTATGCACCATATCATCGAATGTGGCGGGCGCAGCCCTGTCGCAAATATTCTGTATTCGATATTTCTGGTACCGGAGGGCCTTGGTGTAGTATTTGCGGTATTCAATGCGGCTTCTTTCCTCGCCTACAAGCTGTCTGTGGAAGAGTAGAGAAGCGCCGAGCACGCTGCAGCGCCACGCGGGCGCATCAATCATACCAGTAAGATGTGATTGCCATTTAAAGGCTGCCCCACCATCCGACCAGAAGAGGAGTAGCGGCCCTATTAATTGGTTCTGAATAAAAATTGTTGTGTCTGCGCCGATCAGCTTTCCCCCTTCCCTCTCTTTGTTACGATGCACAATGGCCAAAATGGAAGAAAGAAAGGAAAGAAAAGGGCAATGGAATTATTTAATACCTGGCGTGTATATGACAAAGCGGCAGGCCTCGCTAACATTTGGGACGCTATCATCTTTCTGCTTTCCAACTACGGCGATGCCGTTGTCCTGCCGAACATATCCCTGGTCATTGGCCGAGCCAAGCTGCAGGAAAACGTTTCCTTGCACGGCTCCAGGACAGCGGCGATGCGACTTGGCGCACTGTGTACACGTGGGATATTTCTCGTCGCACTATAAATCACCCGGGATGCAGGATCCCAGGCGAAAGTTAGATTGATCATCGGGGACTGAGTATTCATATGCAGGCAGGGATGCAAACTATGAAACTAGCATAATGAATGGCTATTCACACCTTAATCTTCCGAGCACGGCAGGTTTTGCAAGCTTTTGTACGGCCAACATGTCGAGCCATTGTTATTGTACCCTTCTCTCTGGCCTTCCTTCTGGAGATGCTTCTCCAGCTGTCGGCCTGCTATCGTCAGGATTCTTAGGAACTGAGGTTAGGGAGTGATACCAATCCCTCTACTCTAACATCAGCTGGATCATGATGTGAGGCTAAAATATTAATAGATAGTTCAATATCTAAGAATACACAGTAGACAAATCTTAAAATCGTATCGAGCTGGTTCTTCGTCGTGCAATTAGCCTTTCGGATGCTTTTCATAGTTTATAAAGCTGGCAGCCAATCAGTTTCATGGTTTGAATGGGTCAAAGTTTTGGCTAACTACAATAGGGAATTTCTGCGTTGCGCTAGCTTAGACGGGATTAGACCGTCATGTCAAATTGAATTTAAAACATGGCTCGGAAAGAACCGACTTCGAAATGATGCAGTAGATATTCTCTTGCCTTGAAAAGAAGTGCTTTTGCACATGAGCTGGATTCAAACTCGAACAGCTTCAAAAACGGAATTTCTGCCACTATTCTCCTGCTCAGGTGTCCAGACGTGCACAAGCCGGAACCCGCCTTTCTCCAGCAGAGAGGCCCATTGGCCTCTTGTCCGCTCCAAGGATGAGAACATTGTCATCATTGTAAGATCCAGTGACGCTGAGGTTGCTGGGACATTAGAATCGGGGAAGACATTTTCGATGAGCAATAGGATTGAGTCTTCTGCCATGGCCTCACGCACGCGGGCCAACACCTCTAGTGCCTGTCGGTCGGGCCAGTCATGCAAAACAGTTCTTAAACAGTATGCCTTGGCGCCGACGATGGGCTGGGGTGTGAACATGTCGTACTTGACTGCCTCAACTCCATCGGGTAGCGGCTCGGAGATGTCGTCTATGACCTCGGGTAGATCCTGCACAACCAATCGTCCAGGCAAATCCGGAAATTCTTTCTTAAGCTGAGACAAATCGTAGCCGATTCCACCTCCAATGTCGACTAAGAGAGTCCGTTCAGGCGAGGCTTGTAACTTCTCAACCACGGGGAAGTATTCAAACCAGAGCGTCCCCATTGCCTGGCGGCCCACTGTCATGGTCTTATTGAATGCTTGCTGCTCCTCTGGATCTTTCTTCAACCATTCGAAGTAGTGGTCCTGTGTCTGGTACGCAAATTGAAAAGGGCTGTTGTAAGCATCATCTGGGCTTTTGTAGCCATTGTTTTTTAGGTATTCGTGAAGCTTAGCGGCGACCAGCATATTCGTATGGCTATCAAAATTAGCTTCCTCTTCTGTCTTCTTTCTATTTTGGCCACGTTTTAGAAGTGGAGACAGGGTACATACACATGTCTAATAAGACTACCTGTCGGAAGCTCGCCGACAAACATCGGCGCCAGGGGTAATGGCTGGTATTTGTCCTCGTCAGTTTGCTTAAATACTTTGAGAGCACAAAGATGGCGCATTGTTCTTTCTAAGAGGATGTTAATCGAAAGGGTTCGTTTCTCCAATAAGATAATACCCTAGTGAACATACCAAGGAACTCTTGGTCGCCTTTTGTCTTGGAATGGAGCTCTTCAACGCCCATCTCAGTGTTATTCGAGGCAGCAAAGGCATCGAAGATACCCATTCCCTGCGCAATGCGAACCACAACTAACGCGTGGTGCTACACACAACAGAATAGTTAGCAATGCCCATTCTATCAATATTTGCATGTATGGTATTTGGGAAATGCATTAGGTAGACGAGAATTAATATCAACATACCGAAAAGCAGAACTTGTTGAGAATAGTGAAGAATGGCGGCTCCAATTTGTTCTGAAGTTGCTCAATCAGGCCTAAGATCTGAAAACGCTCCGCATCCTGAATGCTTTCTGTGGGCGGTAGGTTTTGTAAAGCCGAGGACAGGCTAGATGCGAGATCGGTAAGGTTGGCCATATTTTCTGTATTGTATTCTCTACCTGGGTAGTTTCAGAAAGTAGATGTTAGAAGAAAGGAAAAAGAGACATGGCAGTTGCTGTTATTTATATGCGCCTTCTTCCATAGTAACATTCAGCTCTGCGCATAAATTTCCTATTAGAGAAAGACCTTCTTGGCTGAGGCTGACAGACGATGTTCCCGCTCAGCACGGAGATCCGCTGATATCTTTGGTCAGGCTTCCCGTCATATACATTTCTGATTTCCAGCTCGTATGTATATTAACTATATTTCTTCAGCTTAGTCCGTATCATGACCCAGAGGGCCAGGACAATAATGTCGTTACATGTCTGTAGAAGCTGAAGAATGCCATGTCGGTAATCCACCAATTCAGCCAATCACAGCGGTAGCTTCACGTTGCTTTATGCGAAGCTGAAGCTAACCACTTTCAGACTAGTCAATTTCTGAAACGCTCGCGGACCGCGGGATCGTTTGTTTGCGCGCCAGGCGCTTAACGTCATCCTCCTCTATCCCTCCTATCACCATCAACCGATCGATGCGCCGGCTAGCAAGACATCGCCAACTTCATTACGGAGGTTGCGACCATGGCCGATTACAGCAAGTGGAAGGTTACCGAGCTCAAGGCGGAACTTAAGACTCGCGGTGTGCCGCAGACCGGCCTGCGGCTCAAGCAAGACTATGTCGAAAAACTGATCGCGTTAGACTCGGAATCGACTAAGAAACCTGCCATCCAAGATACATCAGCGGGGTCGCCCTCTAGTAGAGATGAGAAAAATGAGGACGACTTAAAAGTCGGCGAGCCAACCGCTTCACAACAGTCTACGACGGAGTCACTTCCAACGGAGGGAGCACCAAGCCCACAAAAACAGAACTTGCAACAACAACAACAAGAAGAGCAAGATACAATCGGCGCACAGAACCAACAAGTGGACGCGCATGGGTCAGAAGATGCTTCAGAGAAAATTGTTCAAGCTGGAGAGGATAAGAAAAGCCCCGTTGATCACGCACCCCTACCACCTGACGAACCAGTGCCAGCAGAGGGGAGCCCAGAAACCAAGATCCATGACACCGAGGCCTCATCCCAAGCACAAGAAGGAATTGTGACAGAAGAGCAGGCAACTGCGCAAAGCCACCCAGCCGACGTCTCGCCAGATGCCGTACCTCCTATCGCCGAAAGTGTTGACGACTTGCGCAAACGCAAACGGCGAAGCCAAAGCCCCCCTCCTTCTGCTGAGGCAATTAAGAAATTAAAGGCTGAAAACGAAAACCCACAACTCCTGTTTCAAGAAATTACAACACAAAATCATGTGGAGTACCATCAAAATGAGTTATCTACCACTCAACCTCAGCAAGAAAATGAAATCCAAAGGCCTGAACATTCCTTGCCTGAACCTTTAACCGATGCCATACCTCATACGTCTGCTGGACGACAGGATCACCGATTCAGAGATTTACTCCCTCCCCCAGGACAGCGAAAGTCTATACAATCTCCCGAGTATCCAGAAGATGACGATCGTCAGGTTGAACCGGCTCTCCACCCGGCAACATCATCAATATACATTCGGAATCTTATGAGACCTTTACAGCCCTTGAACTTAAAGAATCACCTCTTGTCACTTGCTGCGCCAGCTGAGAAGCAACCAGACGCCGAGGTCCTGTTGGATTTCTTCCTAGATTCAATTAAGACTCATTGCTTTGCGATCTTTGATAGTGTCTCTACCGCATCAAGAGTGAGATCGAAACTACATGGCTCAGTTTGGCCTAATGAACGCGATCGCAAACCTCTTTGGGTGGATTTCACCCCCGAGGACAAGGTGGACGACTGGATTAAAACCGAGCAGGACTCGGTTTCCGCTGGTCGGGGTTCCCAGCGTTGGGAGGTGGTCTATGAAGAGACAGGTAATGGCATCGAGGCTATTCTTCAAGAAGCTCGCGGTAGCACTAGATCCGGTCATACACAAACAGCGCCTGCTCGCCGTCCAAGTTCTAATACTCTCGAATCACGGCGAGAAAGTCAACCTTCGGGGTCCCCGCGTCAAGAAAGAGGCGGTGAAGGCTTCAAGGCTCTCGACGATCGTTTCCGATCCACGAAAACTAAACCAAAGCTCTACTATCTTCCTGTATCGCGCGATATCGTTGACAAACGTCTAGCCCAGTTCGATACTTTGACATGGAAAATTTCGCGACATAGTGATCAGGGTAGTGACGATACGCGCCGCATTACATTTGAGGATATCGATGTATTTGTCGACGGCGGTCCAGAATATAGAGTGCCTCCGCAAAATTATGGGGGTCGACACGCAGGCCGTGGATCCTGGCGTGGTCGGCGACGATAAAATAGCTGATCCCACCCATCTGCTTTCGTCACTTGTTTTACCCCCTTCTTCCATTTGGAGGGCGGGAAATGGCGTTTAGGGCTATCATTGGAAAGCGTTTGAGAATTGCTTAGGAAGGTTATTAATCGTATAGGGAGTGGTTTTTTTTTCGTTATGGTATTTTATCGGCTCAAAAGTGGTTGCATCTGGTGCGGTGTGGAGTCCCATTAACTAGCGGATGAAAGTGAATGATGTACGAAAGCACATGGAAATTACTGCAATCAATTCTATGTACTATTTATATCTATAGATTTTCTCCAGCTCTCGAGGAGAACGCACAATACATAGATTCTGGTTCCTAAGAGTTCCAACGGCACATACAATAACTATGTTCTTGAAGACTACCTCGGAAAATCTTCGATCCTATGAGACCCCAGCCAATTTCAACCAGGTAGAGTAATTATCACAGAGAATTGATATGGTCTACCTAGGTAGGAACGCGCGAACTGGACTCACTAAGGTTCAAGGCTTACTCGAGCCCCTACGAAAGAAGTAGCGTCATTAGAGCCTCCTTGTCCACACCTTTTGTTGAACTCCTCCGGGCAGCTTCAATATACTTGTCGGTAACTTCAAAGTCTATTATGCCCCAGAAATTTCTCGACGATATCCATACTCGAATGCTCTACAATCAATTCGATCAATCTCTGTGCCGTGGGTAAGGGGACCTTGTGGTGCGTGCATACAACAGTGGGTGAAATCGCCGAGTGGGTTCTCAACCAAAGGATATTGAAATAAAAGCTCAGTAGGCCACGTCACACATGAAATCTTGTCTAACATCACCTCCGAGACAACAAAGCTGGAATATGAGAAAAGAGCTTCGGGTGCCTGTGTGAGCCAAAATAGATCGTTATCGGGATCCTGCCATATTGCTTCCCAAACTGCTTGGAGTTTCAGATCACAGCGTTTCTCTATGATCAATGCCAGCGCTCCTATGCGTCCCATCCGAAGAGCATCTATAAATATTTCTTCTGTAGCTGGCAGAGCCGCTGGCCCAAAGCGAGTCAAAAGCGTTCTTATGACGTCTGTGGGGTGTCTTTCTCGAGAACAGGACTTGAGAAGCTCATCGGTGATTGGAATTTGTTTTTTCTGTTCGGTGAAAACCAATTGTAGGTGAATCGATGGTCTTCGCTGCATCTAACACGACGTTTGATGTAACTGGAAAATCTGGCTTCCTGTTTTGGATAGCTCTCAGAGAATAACCAATTTTAGCAACCGATTCGACTAGCGACTCATCAATCTCAGCTAGTTGTCTTTGAAGGAGCAGCTGCAGCACTTGTGTCCCTTCCTCAGACCTAATACCTATTCTTTCAATTATTGGTTTTGTTGAAAAACGGTCGTGGGGCCGATCTAAGAGCAATTCCATGAAATCACGATGGCCAGACGCCGCTTCAAACAACCGATCATTTGCACGCGTTTCTGGGCATCTTGTCAAGAGAAATGGGAGCACTCCTCTTGCCACTCTTGATGACTGTGCGATTGATATCGGCAAATCTTCCATGACAGGAAGGAGAGCTGGTTCCCGAAGATCAAATAGATATTCCATCAATTGCCCAGCATCAGAATCATTTTGCGCGGCAGAGTATACAGTCTTCTCGGTAATAGGAAGATATGATTGTTCAGCATTGTTTACCAGGAGCGTGAACATTTCATGTGTATTAGACTCTGCAGCTGCTGCCAAAACTTGCTCGGTGACCACCACAAAGCTCGCTTGCTGCCTGGGTAATAGTGTCTTAAACATGTCTAAGCCACAGCGGCGGTTACTTGCGATTAATTAGATAACTTCTTCAACATCCACAGGGGCGTTCCAGCCACAGTCATCAAGCAGGATATCCATAATCTCACTACCTTTGCAGGGGTTGTCGGCCGCAGCTTTCAAGACTTCTTTACTGACACATACTCCATATAGTTTCTCATTCAAAAGCAGTCACATTGTCCCTGGGTCTTCTCTATCTTTGACGGCAGCAGCCACCAACTTCTGGATAACTCGAATGTCCTCGAAATGCGCTTGTAGGATTAGTTCCAAAACCTCATTTTTAGACGCGGCAAAAAGGTAAATGCCGTCCTCATTGAGGTTGAATTCATTCATCCGTCTGCTCAGAATCAAAGCCATCGTAGCAGAGGCTTGCGGTATATCCAACAAATTTGAGGTGTGCATCAATGATTTCGACAGCAAGTACGTCGTTCATTCTGTGGCTCTGAATACTTTTTCAGTGATTATTTTCACGCCCATCTTCTGTTTCGATCAAGTGGGAGATCTACCAGTGTCAATCCTGATCTCATGTTTTGGGGTGCTGCCTCAACTGTCCTCTCATCAATTAGTTTACTAGATGCTGTTGATTGACCATAAAAAGCACCCTTGTCCTAAAGTATGTCCAAAATGACCCCCAAAATTTCTTTAGCAGCCCCAAGGCAGGTGATTGTTTCGAGAATTGAAACACTCACTGTTCGAGGTATCTCATCCACTCTCTCCAATAACAACTTTAGAATGAGTTGGCCTCTTTCCGCAGCTGCACTTAAAGCGCTGTAGGTTCTTCCAGACACCCCGTAGTATAATCCCAAAGGTTCGACCCCTTTTGTAAGCAATGCCTCCACCGGTGCCCTTAATCCTATCTTCGACGAGAAATACAAAGGCGGCTCACACTCCCCTAGCTCAATATTCCACATGTAATCCATATTCATATCCTTATATTCGTAAGCGAAGCCAATTCAGATAAATGTTGTCTTCAGTGAACAAGCGATCAACTTTGTCTTGGAGAACGGTATATATTATGTGCGATTCGTTCAGTCTCTCATATGATGACCCCAATATTTCGCTGCATATCTCAGAAGTTGTTATCGCAAAGCAGCGGTCTTTGTTAAGATCACAGTAGTTTCTAGAAAAGGTGTCAATACTTTGACGTACTATGACTTCGTGACCAGATATTGCCGAAAATCGATACCACTTGCATTCTTTGATATCTTCGCGGACCAATAATTTCTTCACTGAGAATTGTGCTAGTCTCTCAGTATTATTAGGGGTGCTTGGAGTGACTAGAGAAGTAGCTCAGGTTGTAATTTTATATTCCTGATACTTCACTTCAGTCAACCGAACGACTTCTTCAATAGTCTCCGTTACATAAAGGGCATTATCAACACTGAGAAGTTTTCGATCTTTATCTTCAAATTTCTGCTGGGCGACTTCCCAGAGGTTTGCAGTTGACATCGCTTGTAGGGGAGAAGCATTGCTTTCGACGTCCGCTGTTTTGATCTGCTCTCGCAAAGTTGAGCTTCTCACATAGCCCTGAAAATATATTAAATTGAACTTTTCACGGTGTTGTTCCCTGTTTTGTTTCGGTAAGTTGATGAGATGGAAGGAATAAGGCTGACATTCAACCCCGCAAATGTGACACTCTGGCAAGGACATGCACACTTTGCCTTTGCCTGCTGCCATATTTTGCTAACCCATTGGCTGACAGTCCATTCGAAATTCTGGACGAATTTGGTCTCAATGTTTCTCCGAGTTTTGATACATCAAGAAGAATCTAATCGACCAGCTGTTGAGAGTTTATGATGTCTGGAAGCCAATGAATATTGCTGCACTAGGGCTGTTATTACTTTTTGAAAGGCATACTAATCACCTGGGCACTTCGATCACTTCAATGATGTTTGAGGCATATCTACCCCGTTTGGTCGGACGGCCCGTGCCGTGCTGCCGGCCTGCAGCAACTCAAACTCAAACCTGACTCCTTATTTTAGTTTATTTATCTTCTCAAATTTGAGAAATATCAATACCATTTTGAATCGATATATTGCACATGGCAATTCTACTGCGTCCGTCTCTGGCCCAGACATTCCAACCTCTTACGAAGGTTGGCAGCTCAACACAGTGTCATCATGGGACATACATGTAGGTACGCCGGTCCTGTCTGACAACAATATTTGCCTGCACGTGGACAATATTTTATATGAATGTTTCTAGCATCAACTATGACTCGAGAATCTTGATATATAAAGTGGTTGGATGGATCACAATTACGTTGTTTCCGTGATCGACATTGCTGGGACAAGCAGTTCAGGATCTGATAGGTTTTGTCGACGATTTCACATGTTTGATTTGTTGATAAATCATCATAGCCTCTGAGTGTAACTAGTGGTTATTTACACGTAGAGCTGCGGGTTTATGCAGGTCGGTGGTGGTTTTAGGATACGTGAAAAGCTCGCGAAGTGTTAGTGAGGGGTTAGCTGGCGATGACGTTGTGATAAGTTGATTTGGTATACTGTTCGGTTGTACCGGCATGGAGGCGTTTAGTTTATTGGCTAGTTTTAGTTGATATTTCTTTTTAGTCCCAATGCCATTATAAATTAATAATACCTCTCTTTTTGATTCGCGATCTACAGAAAGAGTGGTCCACGCTGATTTGTAAGCTCACATCCAAAAGGCGAACTTATGGAGGTATTCCCCTCAGTATATTTATGCCTGTTGTTCCTCGAGTTTTGCCCCCCTTGGTCTTCCTCAAGTAACCAACATCAGCAATTTAGTGTCTGGCATAGCACAAAAATGAAAGCAGTTGTCTACAAAGATCCCAAGCAGTCGGTGCTGGTTTCAGACCGTCCAATTCCTAAGCTTCGCGATGGTTATATCCTAGTCAAGACAGAAGCTATCGCACTCAACCCGACCGATTGGAAAAGTGTCAAGAACCAAAACGCCAAAGATGGAACCGGTGTTGGTGTTGACTTTGCCGGTGTGGTCGAGGAAGTCGGCCTCAAAGTAACCAAGTCTTTTCAAAAAGGCGACCGCGTATGCGGCTTTGTAAATGGCGTCAATGGGTCTTACGCAGAAGATGGTGCCTTTGCAGAATACATCATCGCCAAGGAATTTACTACCATCAAAATCCCTGACACACTCACCTTTGAGGAGGCTGCAACTCTGGGTTGTGGTGTGACTACCGTCGGCCAGGGGTTATTTGAAAAGGACTATGGCCTGGGACTGGCTTTACCCTCTGAGCCTATCAAGGAGCCCGAGTTTCTACTTATTTATGGCGGAAGCACGGCGACAGGTACTTTGGGAATCCAATTTGCTAAACTGTATGTCATGAATCCCCATGTTTGTATCGATTTCCAATTTTGGCGACTGACGTGTAATAAATAGGGCAGGATATAAGGTCATAACTACATCATCCCCAAAAAACTTTGGCCTGCTGAAGAGCCTGGGTGCCGAGGAGGTCTTTGACTACAAGGATCCGGAATGCGGCAAGAAGATCAACGAATATACAAAGAACCAACTCCAATACGCCTGGGACTGTGTGGCTACTGACCAGACTGCCCAAATCTGTGCCGAAGGACTCACTTCCAACGCAGGCGCTCGTTATGGTCATATTTTGCACCCGAAATTTCCCCGTGATGAGGTCAAGGTCACATTTACCCTGGCGTACACCGGCATAGGAGACGATTTTGAGAAGGGTGGAGCCAAATACGTCGACAACGAGAAACATGGCCAATTCCAATTGACCTGGTGGGAGATTGCACGAACATTCCTTGCCGCTGGAAGAGTAAAACCCCATCCTATCAGCCTCAGACCCAAGGGCCTCGAAGGCGCGATTGAAGGCATGGCCGCGATGGAGGCGGGTAACTACAGCGCCGAGAAGCTTGTGTATAAAATTTCCGAGACTCCTTGAGTTCTGTCAAATAGGGAGATCAGATAGCTAGAATCAGTAGTGTAGAATTCACTCCGGTGCGTCCATGAACCTTATATAGAAGTTCGATTACATAGTAGGCGAACAGGGCACGATATCGCGCCAACACAGCGGCATCTGGCGAGAGACAATGGAAACCAATGCCAGCATAGCTACAAACCAGTAAGCATCCTACTGGACTTGAAAATGTGATGTTTCATAACGGGTTATGTCATCAGCCGGAGATTGATGGCCTGGATGCCAAGGCATCCACAAATGAGGGGGTCCCGCTCAAAAAATCCAATTGTACAAAAAGCCGACCAAAGTCGTGACTCATCTCACTTCTTCTTCTCTCGACATAAACAAATCCCCCGTACATACCAATTCATAAATGTCTCCAACAGACGGCGAAAGCGCTTCTGGCGCTCACAAATACCGTCAGTGCTCCCCCATTTTTACTCTCATCGTGGACAGCTACTAAATCCCGTAGAGAGAATCGCATCGCAACCAGAGAATCCGTTTTCGCAGCTCATTTCGGACCAGGAGATTGCAATTATTCCTTCCTTTACACTTGAGTCAGGAGCCGTCCTGCACAATGTGCCAGTTGCATATACTTCTCGGGGCCAACTCTCTCCAAACCGTGACAACGCTCTAGTCATCTGTCATGCATTAAGCGGCAGTGCCGATGTCGCAGACTGGTGGGGTCCTCTCATTGGGGGCCCTGGTCAAGCATTCGATATCACTCGCTTCTTCGTCATTTGTCTCAATAGTCTAGGCAGTCCTTATGGGAGTGCCAGTGCCGTAACGTATAGGGATGGCGATCCTACGAAAGGCCAATATGGGCCCGAGTTTCCATTGACCACCATTCGGGACGACGTGAGGTGAGTCGCGGCAGTCCCCCGTACTCCGAATAAGCCAGACTAATGTTGTTCATCTTTTGGCAGGATTCATAAATTGGTTCTCGATGACTTGGGTATTAAGCAGATTGCAGCTGTCGTCGGAGGATCTATGGGGGGAATGCTTACACTTGAATATGCATACTTTGGGAAAGATTATGTTCGCTGTATCGTCCCAATTGCCACATCTGCCCGTCACTCCGCATGGTGTATTAGTTGGGGTGAGGCCCAGCGTCAGTCCATATACAGCGACCCCAAGTACGAAGATGGCTACTACTCTTTTGATGACCCCCCCGCAACAGGTTTGGGAGCCGCCCGTATGTCAGCTCTTTTGACCTACCGCAGTCGCAATTCTTTCGAGTCAAGATTTGGCAGGAATGTGCCCGATCCCTCGAAACGACAGAATATTAACGGCACAACGTCCCCGTCGCCACCAAATGAACACTGGGTTGTACACAACGATGGCCACAGAAATTTGCGCCCTTCGCGTTCCTCCAGCCAGACTGGTTCACCTCAGACGCAAACAGAGATCGAATTCACTGATCCTCAATTCAATGGTACCACCACTTTCACGGCATCGCTTCCAACTCCCAAACCGACTCGCCCATCAACGTACTTCTCTGCTCAGTCATACCTCAGGTATCAGGGAGAGAAATTCGTTAAGAGATTCGATAGCAATTGCTACATTGCAATCACCCGCAAGTTGGATACCCATGATGTATCCCGCCATCGTGCAGACCCCAATTCCACCTCTCCAGTACAAGAAGCCTTGTCTCAAATTGAGCAGCCTGCATTAGTCATGGGTATCGAGAGTGATGGCCTGTTTACGTTCGAGGAGCAAAAGGAGATCGCGGCTGGCATTCCAAATTCTCGGCTGAAGGAAATTGATAGCCCCGAGGGTCACGATGCGTTCCTTCTCCAGTTCCAACAGGTCAACTCATACATTCTGGAATTTTTTAGAGAGGTATTGCCAGATATAATGTCGAAGCCCGATAACCAAGGCAGTCTTTCTGCAGACACCGTAGGAAAGTTAACCAAGAGCAGCACTTTCGGTGAAGCGGAAGTCGAGGACATCACCGCTTGGTGATCCTTCTGACCTTTCTAATAGATCGTATAGATCTCTCAAGCGTGTTTCTGACACGACAGCCACCACGGCCTTACCTAGATATGGAAGCTTCAACATCTTCATCAGAAAAGAATGTGTTTCTCAGGAGGAGGCACAAAGTTTATGATATTTGTATTGCATTTCTCAAGAAGTTGAGTATAACGACAGGTGGTCCTCCCTCAACTGATGAGGACGACAGGTGAGCATCCAACTGCATCTCCTGCTCCATTGCGGGCACCTATCACGCGAAGAAGCATCCAACTGCCTTCTACCTTGATGGCGTTTATTTTATCGCAAGTCCTTCAGACAGGCAAAACCTATCCCGTCGCTTCTGCCATGGATTCAGCATGTTCACCACGCAGCTCCACGACATAGGCATTGGTTTTGTCAGGATAGAAAATACAGGAATCCCAATGTACATTATATCAAGGGACGAATATTCAGCATCGGTTCAAACAAGAGACTTTTCATGGCCGAGATCTCTTTTCTTTCTTTCTTTCTTTCTTTCTTTCTTTCACCTAGAATTACGTAGGGCAACAAGTCTGACAAGTAAGAAATAAAAACGTGCATGTCAAAGTGGCCTCAGGCATCATAAACTGGCAGCCGGTGCAGCCAATAGGAGTCGCGGTCCTCCCAGTTCCTCAGGCGCGGAGACGCTAGGTGGCGCTAGCGCTAGCCGCGATATTTGGGCGCAACGGTCCAAGTGGAAGAACTGAGGAAAGTTCGTCCAGGGCCAACTTCCCAATCAACAACGCTGCGATTTGCTGGCATTTCCTTTGTCTAAATAGCTTTCATTCTCTTTCCGACATGAGAATTGAACTACCGGTATGCTTCGTTATTTTCCTTCGTTTACTTCGCGATTTCCATTTCACAGGTTCTTTTAAACTAACATGCGATTTGCCTTGCTTTGCCTCCCTTCGTGTCAAGACCGTCTCCCAAGTCGCCCTGCATTGACTGCAAAAACCCCTCTCGCCCTAACTTGGCTACTGGCACGCGGCCACAATGCCCCCAGGCGCTGGTGGCAAAAGAAAGAGAGGAGACAGGTCTTGGTCTGGTGATTCAGGACATGACGGACAAAGGCCTTCCCCTCATCGACCCGGCAACTTGAACCTTGCACAGCACAATCAGCCTCAATCACCGAGTGTGCGTCAAGGTTCTGGAGATAATACTGGACGAGGCAGAAGACCAAGCAGAGGCGGTAGAACATCGTCGGGTCGTGTACAGACAGTGACACAGGATCGGACAAAGCCAGCTGCCGACAGCTTGATGGCTGCCCCGTCAAACGCCGCTCCTGAAGCTCGCCAAATCAATGGAGCTAGTATTGTGAAGAATGACCGACCGAGTGAAGCTCCCTCGAATGAGGTGCAAAATTCGGCGTATCGATTTGAATACATCACCCAAGCAATCATAGATGGATGGACAGACGATGGGAAACAGAAAATTGTCAACCAGTGTGTCGATGCGCGAAAGACTAATGATCTGATTACACTTGGTTGTATATTCCAAGAGATCATTAGAGCAGTCTTGGCTAGAAAATTACAACCGTTGGAAGCAGGAGAAGCCGTGGAAGAAATACTCGCAGATAAGGATCAGAACCCCGAAGACCGCAACGCCTCTTCGTTTTTCCTAAATACTCTATCTATTCTTGCCGAGGAAACCAGTGTCTCCAACGAAACCTTGAAATCATTCGTGCTCGCTACCGGGATATCACCTGCGTTGTTGCGTCTCGAGCTGGACACCAACTTCGTTCAAGGACTAGGGCTCGTACGGGAAACATTCACGCGCATAGGCATTCGCAAACAAACCAATGTTCTTTATCGACAATCTAATTACAATCTTCTTCGTGAAGAGTCTGAGGGTTATTCGAAGTTGGTCACCGAGCTTTTTACCACAAGCAACACCGAGTCGCCATCGAGTGAGATCGTGGAGGAAACGTTTGAACGCGTCAAGGCCATGATTGGAGCCTTTGATTTGGATGTGGGACGTGTTCTTGACGTTACTCTGGATGTCTTCGCTGCGGTCCTTGTAAAGAAGTATCACTTCTTCGTTAGGTTCTTGCGCGCTAGTTCTTGGTGGCCTAAGGGGGATCGTCTACGCCGGGAGGAGGAAGCTGACATTATTTCTGGCCTACCTAGCTGGGCTATCCCAGGATGGACAGGCTATGACGATGACAAAAAGGAGGACCTTGTGCGAGCGCGCGATGAACGAGACAAGGTTTTTTGGAATCGCGTGCGAGAGACTGGCATACGTGCATTTTTTGAGATTGGCCGACGCCCTTTGTCTGATGAAGAGAAAGAGGTGGCAATTGCAGAAGCAGGCAACCAGCCAGGTCTCGAAGCCGAAACCAGAAGATGGATAGAAGAAACGGGTACATTGCCGCCAAAAGGCAATCGTGTCGCGGCCCAACTTCTCGGTTTCAAACTTCGATTCTACTCGACAGCAGCGCGTGAAGCCGGTTACCTTCCGGAGAATCTGATCTGGGTTGCGGCTTTGCTGATAAAGATTGGCTTCATTTCACTTCGTGACCTCTATCCTCATCTTTGGCGAGATGATGACTTGATGTCTGAACTCGAGGAGAAAGTCAAGAAAGAGAGGTTGGAGCGAGAAGTGAAGGCCAAACCTGGAGGAGGTATCAACGCCCTCGTGCTTGCGGGTGCGCTACCGGATGATACAGTTCCTACCCCTGTATCTCGCTCTCGCGACGCTGACGCCAGATCCGGTACGCCTGCGAAGGATTCCGAAGCTGCTACCACAAAAGATGAGGAGGAAAAAGAACCTTTGCCGGACATTCGAGAACAGAAGGTTGATTTACTGAAGAGTTTGTTGACGATTGGTGCTGTCCCGGAAGCTCTTTACATGCTAAGCCGATTTCCCTGGCTCATGGATATCCCAGAGCTACCTGACTACATCCATCGCATTGTCCACCACTGCTTGAGTAAACTATATACGCCTCTACGGCCTATGCAAGGTATGGGTCACATTCGTGGAATCAAACCAATTCCCAGCCTTGATCAATCTGGCATGCCAAAGGGTCAGGTCCGTCTCATTGAAGCTCCACCTCGCAAGTTGCTTCGATGGGCTCATCCAGATAAAGAGGACCGAGAAGATGGAATCAATTATCGATTTTATTGGGATCATTGGGCAGATACCATACCAGTCTGCCAAACCGTCGATGACTTCTTTGGGTTGGCTTCGTCTTTGTTAAATGTGTCGGGCTTCAGAATTGGGCAGGACCCATTGCTAATGAGCAAAATTGCACGAATCGCTCAAAATTCTCTGGACCATGATGATTCCGAGACCAACAAGAATCGTTGGAGGGACTTTTGCAAACGCCTATTCCTACCTGCTCTCAGCTTGTCTAAAAAGAATCCAGGAGTTGCCAACGAAGTCTTTGCTGTCATCCGTCACTTTCCCAGAGCAGTGCGTTACAATATGTACGCTGAATGGCACTTTGGGCAAACATCCAGACTACCTGAGATCAAATCAGCCTTCGACCTTGCTACTGCACAGACCAGGGACACTCTTAAGCGGCTGAGTAAAACAAACATCAAAGCCATGGCTCGGGCGTTAGCCGAAATAGCATATGCGAATCCGGGGATTGTGATCAACGTTGAAATCACACAAATCGAGTCATACGATAATCTAATAGATGTTGTTGTGGAATGCGCTCGTTATTTTACTGATTTGGGATATGATATTCTTGCCTGGGCTCTGATCAATTCCTTAGGCCAAAAGGGAAGAAGTCGTGTTCAGCAAGGAGGGATGTTAACCAGCAGGTGGCTTAATGCTCTCTCGACCTTTACAGGGAAAGCGTTCAAGCGCTACTCTGTTCTGAATCCAACTCCAATACTTCAATATGTCTTGGAGCAATTACGGCATCAGAATTCGACCGATCTTATTGTTCTAGAACGGATCATCAGCTCTATGGCCGGGATTGTGACCGATACAAACTTCAATGAGGCACAAATCCAAGGCATGGCTGGTGGTGGTCTATTGCAAGCACAGACTATGCTACAGCTGTTAGACAAGCGACATGAATCAAGGACAACTTCCAAGAGGCTGATGAAAGCTTTAACCGAGTCCAAAATGGCTGGTCAGTTACTTATTGCTATAGCGCAAGAGCGTCTTCTATGCGTATATAGAGAGTCCGAGATGGTCCCTGAGCTGAAGTTGTTGGGCAATATATTCGATGAAATTCACCGGATCTTGACACAGTATTTAGATTTGCTTCGAAGCAATCTTACAATCGCCGAGTTTGACGCCTTTGTTCCTAGCCTTCCGAAATTAATCGGAGAATTCGGGTTACAGCCTGATATTGCTTTCTGGGTTACGAGACCTAGTTTGTGTAAACAGATTGCAGATGCCGATCGCAACTCCCGTGATTTATCTTCCGTCCAGAGTCTCGAGACCGTTTTTCCAGCTTCTATAATCGCTGACGGTGATGTAGAAATGACTGAGGGTGATGCTGCTGGGAAAAAGGAAGACAAATCCGCCGATGGAGAGATGGATGTGGATAATTCGTCCTCCACATCAGATTCCGCTGGCATGACAGATGTCCAACCCAATGGCACTACATCTAGTCCTCAAATTCCTCCCTGGCACCCCGTGCTACAAGGCCTCATGGACGAAATTCAACCCGTTCTCTCTTCCAGTGTCTGGCAAACTGTGGGCCTACCTTTCTATACGACGTTCTGGCAACTTTCTCTATACGACGTTCACATTCCTGGCAAGGCGTACGAAGATGAAATTGAAAGGCAAAAGCGTAAAGCTTTTGTGATTTCGAACGATAGAACTGATCTCAGTATGGCCGGCACACAGAAGAAGGAGAGAGAGAAAAAACAGATTCAAGAATTTCAAGAACGTCTCCTTGAGGAAAATAAACAACATCTTATTTCATACGAGCACACTCGAAACCGACTACAGAAAGAAAAGGATCACTGGTTTCCTAGCATGCGAGGCAAATATGAAGCTCTTAATCTAGCTCTTTTAGAGCAATGCTTTTTACCTCGCCTCTTGTTATCGCCAATTGATTCATTCTATTCGTTCAAGATGATGAAGTTTCTACATATTTCCGGCACCCCCAACTTCCGCACAGTCGGTCTACTCGATCAACTGTTCCGAGAACATCGGCTGACGGCGATCATCTTCCAATGTACGTCAAAGGAAGCCGATAACTTTGGAAAATTCCTCAATGAGGTTCTACGTGACTTGACCCGCTGGCATTCTGACAGGGCGCTTTACGAGAAAGAAGCCTGGGGCCCAAATAAGACGTTGCCTGGGTTCGCTATGAATGTTGATGCTGAAGGCAAATCGACCTCATTCGTAGATTATGAGATGTTTCGTCGGTTGCTTTACAAGTGGCACCGTTTGCTCGCTGGTGCACTAAAGACGTGTTTCAATGGCGGGGAATATATGCATATCCGAAACGCTATTAGTGTTTTGAAAGCTGTTTCCCAGCATTTTCCAGCTGTTAACTGGATGGGTCGCGATATGCTGCAGTGTGTTAACTCCCTAAGCAACGACGAGAGGGAGGATGTGAAGATTCCAGCAGCCTCGTTGAAAGGAGATTTCAGCAGAAGAGAGAAAGAGTGGCTCCTTCCTCAAGCCTTTATGATTGTAGGTCATCTTTTTCATATATTGACTAAAAGAAACTAACAAATTGAATTTAAAACAGAACGAGAACTTGACTGGCGACAAAGGCAAAGCTCGTTCATCCAGAACAGACACCGCCACTCCCAAACAGCTTAATGCACAAGCTGCAGAATTCAAACCTCCAGGGTGAGTTTCATGTTATATTATGATGTATTTGATCGGCTAGTTGACCGTTTCATCAGAACAAATGGCACATTGAACGATAAAATGGAAGTCGAAGATGGCGAGATTGAGGATGCGAAGATGGCTGACGCTGCAAACCCTAATCGACCGCCGGCAAGTGAAGAGGGAATTGTTAATAAAACGGAACCACGAAAAGGCGTCGCAGAGGTGCTTTCGTCGGATGATAAGATTGAACGAACAGCCTTGACACAAGAGGAGAAAAGATTACTACTCGAATCGGAACAACTCTTAGGACCTCCCCCAATCAAAGACTCCGACAACGCTAGGGCAAGAACAGCATCTCCTGCACAATCTCGACATGCTTCAAGGCCACCCGACCCAAACAACACTGCTAGCATACCGAAGCGCCCGGAACTGGATAGGGTTGCTTCGCAACCACCACGGTTACCACCGCCTCCGAATCTCCCAAATAAACCGGAGCCTCCCCGTGGTTACAAACATGACAGTCGTTCAGCTAGGCAATCTGATCTGAAGGATGATCGTAGAGACTCCCGACATACGGATTCTTCTCGCTCTAATCGCTATCCTGACTCAGATCGAGATCGTCTGCATGATCGTGACTCTCGGGGTCCTAGCCGTGCTGATCGTGACCGGGTTGGTGCTGGCCCTCCGTCCGACGACCAATTCCGTCCACCTCGTGATGCTCGTGGACATCATCGAGACTCCGAGGTCAACCGTCCAGGTCCTCGATCTTCAGACTCTCTTTCACGGGATGGAGCACCCGGCTTGCGTCCAGCAGCACAGCCACATCCAGACAGGGCCGATCTCATGCGGGAACACCCTGATCGCGTTGCATTAATCGAAGCTGACAACCAACGCCGAGACCCTACAAGGCCTGATCGCGATGATCGGAGGAATCGGTTGCCATCACCGCCAAGAGCAGACGATCGCCGGGGTCCTCGCCATGACGAGTATCCGACAGGACCGCGTAGCGAAAGGGCAGGGCGAACTGACTTGTCAGATGGGAGGGATACTCGGCCAACAAGACAAACAGAGCCACCGAGTGACATTCCATCTGGTCCGCGAAGTAGAGCTGGTCAATCGCGTGGGCGAAATGCGCCAATGCCACAGCCACCAATACCACCCGGAACACCTGGTGGTCCTGCTGATCGTCAACCTCCAACTGGTCCCTCTGGTCGATCAAGCGGCCGAGGCCTGGACTCTGCTGCACCATCACCCGCTGGTGACAAAGGTGACACTAGCGGTGTACATCCTGACCGTCTCAAAAACCTGCAAGTGAAATCCGAAGCGAGTCCTGCAAGTAGTCGATCTCAAGCGCCAATAGCGCCGCCTAGCGGACCTCGTAGTTCTCACGGGCATATTAGCGGCTCACCTGTCACACGTGGACCTCCCTCAGGACCTGGAAACGACAGAAACCGCGGCGATAAGCGCTTTGCGGGAATCAATAATATGCTCCAGCAATCAGGTGGTTCACAAGATCGAAGTGGACAAGGAACGATGATTCGAGGCAGAGGAAGACAAGCTAGCTCTTCAAACGCCCCATCTCTTCAAGAAGGTGGACCGGTCGGTCCTCAAGTAGGCGGCCCCGATGAAGTTGCTGGACAGGAAATAACGGAGTTGTTTCCAGGCCCACGTGAGGAGGACAATCGCTTTGGCGGTCGTGGCCGACGCAGTGATGCTACTCAGGAAGTTAACCGTGAGCCAAAACGTTCTGGTAGGCATGCTGGTCACGCTGACATGCCAGATCGTGACCGTCGGGAGGAAGAAGAGAATACAAGGGGCGGTCGAAGGGACGAGCGTCGCGATCGCGGACGTGATCGTGAGCGCAACCGTCGGAACGACAATGCGGAGGATGGGATGCACCAGCTCGGAAGAGATTCGGGTGGGCGTCGCACAACTGGCGGCCGTGATGATCACCGGAAGCGAGATCGCCGAGATAGGGAAGATGGACCCGGTGGTGAAATTTCAGGACCTGGCAATGGTGACCACCACAGCCGTATCCGTCCTTCTTCTTCACATAGTAGCAATAACAATTCTTTACCACCACCCCCTCCGCCGTCAGCCCCTCCAGGCCCTACAAACGAGGAGCGCCGATGGGCCAGTGGCCGCGGTGAGAATCGCGACAGAGATCGCAATCGAGATCGCGGTGGCGGTGGAAGAGATCGTGAGCGAGATTACAACCGGGACAGCGGACCTGTTAGCGGCAGCAATACGCTCCCTCGCAAACGTGGCCGCCCTGGAGATGACATTCATGGACATGGAGACGGTGGTAATCGTGGAATGCGAGCAGGAAGCGAGAGCAAACGGGCACGGCGAGGTACATAGTGAAAAGATTCTATTCTCGCAGTGCAGTGTTTTTTATTTCTTCCTTATTATGCTTTTTTCCCATTATCTCCCTTTATGGTCTCACTTTTCCAGAAGGATTCGTACTGCTTTTACAACTTTGTTTTATTAAAGCATGAATACATGTATTTCCGCATCACACGGCGCATGGCTGTATGTTTTATTTCCGGGCTGCGCAATTGGTCAATATCTATCTAGCAGGAGGGTGGGTTTCGAAAAGTGTTTTGTTGATATGATTCTCTTCTCCAAAGTTAGTCTACTGACTCTACTACTACTACTATATGGAATCTCTCTTTTGTTTATTTTATCTATGTGATCACAAAGTCTTCCAGTCTACTATCTAGCAGGTCGAAGCATAGCATCAGACGACAGTTGGTCCCTGTTCTTAGCAGAATAGGGTCACTGTGTTCTGCTTGTGCTTGAGATGGTCAATCCGACCCCTTTTCTCTAGGAGCTCGCTTACCATGAAGTTTCTGCTCTGTTCATAGCCTGCTCCGATTGGCTCTGAAGCATTACTCGTATTCTACTACGACCCGGTGGAAGCTATTTGAACCCATGGGTTTCATATATATTAAACTATATACATGAATTTAGTTACCTCCACTTCAGACACTAGGGCGAATAATCAAATTGAGGCAAACTTGTGAGAAGCTACCCCGTGCAAGTCATATATGCAAAGGCTAGTTGTAGAGGATTATATATCCTCTCGTTTCTTTCTTACATCCTTTTTTCCAAGGTATTATTCAGCTCAATTGTTTGCTGGTCAGCCGTTCGTTCATTACCTGACATGCGTTTCTGTCCTTCCGCTCCTTTGAAGGAGACTCTATTTCTTGCCATTCCTTTATGGGCAAATATTATATCCGCTGCTGCAAACATCGACTTTGATGCTCTTGGTGCCACAACTTCGCTTGCAGAAAAGTCGACCATTTGCAACATCCTAGACTACGGCGCGGTTGCAGATGGAGTCACTGACATTGCAGAGGCAATAAGCACTGCCTTTACATCCTGCGTTGCTGGCAACGCAGCAACGCTCTATATTCCAGAGGGCAATTATTCACGTAGGGCTAGCAGATGATATTATGATAAAAGAACATTAAGCTCACCATTCCAAGTCGCCACAGGAGTAAAACTGAATGGCGCCTCCGGCTGGGCTTTTCAAATCGACGGCCTCATCACCCTCACATCAGATGGTGATTTTGATGGTAACGCTTTTATCATTGAGCGTGGCTCTGACTTTGAGCTCTTCTCAAGCAATAACCTCGGCGCCATCGATGGCCAGGGTTATATTGCTCGTCGCGATTCTACCGGTCAAAATGCACGACTTGTCCGTCTCATCGACATGGACAGCGTTTCCATTCACAACATGATTCTTATCGATTCTCCCACCTTTCACTTCGTACTCGATGATGTCTCTAACTTGGAGCTATTTTATGTCACGATTCGGTATGAATACTGAAAGCAAATGAAAAATCCCTTCACGCATAATGTAAACTGACAACAAGCAGAGCAGGCGACATTGGGGCCACGGATGGAATTGATCTCATATGCACGAACAATTGTTACCTCCACGACTTCGAAGTCACCAATAGAGATGAATGCGTCTCTGTAAAAGCAGGCTCAGACAATGTCTTGATCGAAGAAGCATACTGTAACCACAGCGGAGGCATGTCTATAGGGTCTCTTGTTGCTGGCAACGTCGTTTCAAACATCACTATGCGAAACATTTACTCATACGAATGTGTTCAAATGCTCATGATCAAGACTTTCCCCGGCGGCACCGGGGCTCAGGGTAATGTCACAGATTCGGTGTTTGAGAACTTTTGGGGTTACAGTACGACGTATGCTTTGGATATCAATCAATATTGGCAGGAAACCTATTCACCGGATACTGGCGCAGTGGCACTCAACAATCTTGTATTCACAAACTGGACTGGATCACTCGCAGATGGAATGGAGCGGGGCCCAGTAATGTGGTCAGCGTCTGACATCGTCCCTTCTCAGAACATTACTCTCGAAGGCTTCTATATGGGTGGTCTGACGGGCGATAGAATGATCAATAAATGCAATAATGTCTACGGCTCAGGTGGTTGCATTCAGGCTGCGACAGGTACTACCACCTATTCAACCGTCGTTACGACTTGGTCAGTGGCCCCCTCTGGGTGGACTGCTCCGGCTTCTCCAACCTGGGGAGTTTCAGGCTATGGTCTCACCGTCCCAATCCCTGTTTACACGCCATCTGTGTTTTGGCCAACAGCAAGCGCCTCTGCTACTGCAGCCGTGGTTACTAGCTCGCCAACTGCCCTTTATGTGGTCTCCAGTTCGGCCATTCCTGTATCCTCGGTTGTTTCAAGCTCCCACGCTGTTAGCACCGATGCATCAACTCCGTCATCAGCAACATTAGCCACTATCACCAGCCTCCCTCCAGCCACTACGTCAACATCATCGACATCAACGAGCTCGACTTCTGATTCCAGTTTGTTTATGTCTATCGACGAGCCCTCGGTGTCTCCACAACCAACTGACGTTGCTGAAGATTATGGCGGCTGTGAGGCAAACTATCCGTCTCCCGCATTCCAGCCCGAAAACAAGCACCGTCATGGTCATGGCCAACATTTCCATCGTAGGCGCTTACACTAGACTTTGAAGCTTGATGCTGCGACTGAAGTATGACAGTCGAGTTCTACATGCAGCCCATTCTGTCCTTATTCATTTGATATGTACACTCTTTCCAACTGGTTCTAGGTCTTATGTTTAATCAAGTATTCACTGAAATACAACCAGAGCTTTAACAAGACTAGACGCTTCTCAAGGTACCCAGAGCTATTCCAACGTGACTACAAGCATCACTAAGTTCGACGTACGCGCTCAAGGGCCAGCTACCAGATAAATTCCGGTCCTAATTTGACTAGAGGAAATTAGCGTACGAAGCTTTAGATTTGTTAATCATATAGTACATTAAGGTAAGTAGGTTTAATAGGACGGCACGTATAGTGACCTAGGTTTGTCGGCATATTATTACTATGAATAGCTGGGCAATTGGGATGATTGTACGGAGTAAACTCACTCAGTGGTAACCCCAATACATAAATATGGGCCCTACTACGAGCATTGGAACCCTGCCAATGTTGGGACTAGGCACTGGTACAAAAGTTTCCCATCTAGGTAAGACACCCATCGTCCCATTAATTCTCGGATGGTTTGCGTGTTTCTGCTTATCCCCGGTCTCGCGGAGTAACTAATTAGTGAAATACGAGGTGCATCACGCATGTACAAAAACAAGAAATCGTATGCAGTGATCGACATCTAATCCCATTAGCTGCTCTTACGAGTCTTTGCCGTTTATGTTTGATTTTCAGCCCGCCAACACGATTCTCTGCCCCAATGTATCACACACCTACGGTCAGTTACATATCTGCCTTTTTCGGCCCCCGTTTTCTATGCAAATGAAACCGGAAACTCCGTGGAAACGTTTCAGAATGCTTTAGAACAACTTTACAGAAGTCACTGACTCTGTCCAGCTAGGGCTGCTAGGTGCTTGAATCAAACTAACCAACCACTTCAGCCACCTACGTAGTACTCAAGCTACATAACGCATGGTCGTAGGTCCAGAAACAAAGCATTTTAAGCCAATAAAACAACACGTCTATTCAGCTCTAGGGACGATTTTTTGCGTAAGCGTCGTAATCGTCAAACCTCTATTGCATTCTTAGGTTGGCGCTCTGTTGATGTGGTATAATATTATAGATATAGTATATGCCCAAGTTCTAGCTCATGTGGATTCCTGTAAGTCATTTTATAAGATCTGCTGGGCCGCCTGGAAAACTACTTCAGAGAGCTTGTAGGAGAAAATACCTCGGTCTTGATCTTAGGCAGTACTCTGTACTGATTGCTGTCAAATCGACGGCCTTTTCATTGATTAACTGCCGCATCCCTTTCTCTACCGTTATTCAAATTGAGGTTCATTCGAACAGAAAGAATATCGTCGCGATGGTTTCTAATCTCCCCGGAATTGAATCCGTACCATCGAGGACGGAGAGGATGCGAAAGAGGCTTTCTCTCCCGATATATTCAAATGTAGGGCGATTGAGAGCGACATGTGTACTACACCAATCAGTCTGCTAATTAGGAAGCAGAAGTCCTTGGACGCAAATGACAAGAAGCAGGAATTCGAGTTTGTTGACCACAGCCCATCGAATCCACCCGTTGCCGACGAAAGGCCACAGCCTCTGAGCACGGATGAGACACAGCTCCACCGGTTTGCGACAAACTTAGAAGAACAAAGTGGCCAGCGAGTAGAGGAAAATTATCGTGTCAAGCGACAGCAAAAACCAGAGCCAGACGCGGTCCAAGGAACTGAAACAGACGCCGCTTCACCGGAGCCAAGGAAATCTCGAAGGAACAGTTTCACGCGATGGCTATTGGATTCATTGGGACCTCTAGAACCATACGAGTATGGAACTCATACTTTTATTCCGGATGACGTGTACGTGGAATTCAACGGTCTACTATACAACGCCGAATTCGGGTCCCCGAAACGCAGTATGTCGCGAATCTATGGGGAAGCCGAACAACGCCGTTATCGACCTCAGAATCCCGCATCAAAGGCAAAGAACTCCCGGTATTCATGGGGGGGATTTGACCTTGCGCACAGAACTGGAGAGGTGGAGCGTCAAGATGACCTGGTTGCCATCTTGGAGCATGATGAATCGAACACACACGGACATGTTACTGCGCCTGCTGATGAGCCAGTCACTATACCTCGAAGGGAGTTGTCTGAGAGAAGGTCAGGTCATCAAGATGATCATCGAAGTGGTATAGTGATTGAGACGTCCCTACAAGAGACTATAGCCGCCGACCCTACTGGTCAAATGTACTCAACACTCAATAATCATGATGACAATCAGCCTGATTCGGGGAATATCCAGGCATTTATGCCGCGTGATGCTGCATCTGCCCCTGCCCCTGAACCCAAGACTCCAACGCAGAGGAAAAGACGAAGTTTTATCCGAAGAATGTCGTTGTCGTTGTTCAACAAACGTAGGAACTCCAATGTGGTCAATGGCAACGCCATAAAAGTATAATAAGAAGGTACAATAGCACAGTGGTGATGCTTTTGGAGTTCCTCGGACACGTTTTTCATGATCGTATTGGTATGTTGGAAGATATTCCTATGCATTCATCTGGTTCTGGAGTTGGTTACGATGGATATTGAAGGTTTTGAGACATAGTCATCTTCATGAGCGAAGGATTGGCAAACAAATGTTTATTTTCATTTGTTTTAAAGCATTGATGTGATGTTGTGAAACATAGCGACATGCAAAAACTTGTATTTCCTATGTTAGTCTGGATATGGGCTACGGTCGTTTATGTATTTTGCTTCCTTTTATCTTTTATTTTTTTTCTGTCAATAAACATGAGCTGGCTCAATCATTACAGATTTTCTGTACTCGTAAGGATAACCGAGTCAATTGGACTCAACGTTTGTTTTAGGGCTAGGGCTAGGGCGGCAAAGACCACATGTATCAGACGTACTGAAGCTCAGTTTAACCATGTATAAATACCTGTCTAACAACGTGCTGCAATAATATGTTAAATATTAAAAACAACTAGCCGTACAGCGGATATCTAGGTATAAGTCAAGAGAAAATCAAGGGCCTACAAAAGTAAGACGACGCAAGATAAAGGTTGTCTATGTATCTACCATCCGCCGACTAGCCCTAATTTTCAAGGTCCTTCGAGATTATTGGAAACTCGAAGCAACAGTCACGTCGGTCTCATGATATTTATGATATTTATATCTCTTCGCTAAGACTACTGGTTGGAGCTTGCATGATCAACGCTTAGGGCAATGAGCTGTTCTAGGCTCCAGCCCTATTGCATAATAGTACATAAATCTGCTCAAATCAGCTCCCTTCTCCACACCAAGCATACCTGACCTAAGAGCCCTCATCTATTTCATGCGTAGCCATGTAACCACTGAGAATATATGCGCATAATATTCCTCTTCATCTATTTTAGTCCGAAATAGAACTTTCTGAAGCTCGGCCCACAATTCCCTCTGAGTCTATGCGAAAGAAGCATGATTGGATCGCTAGTGTTGAGCAGATTAACTACGTATGAAAACTGGGAAGCTTTCCTGTGACAACCCTTCTTCCTGATACACAAAATCAATTTTGTTATTACTGATTAGTATACGGAAATTGGAGTATAAATCTTGAGGCTTGTCCGTGTTGTCTTCGAAGATGGATCAGATAGCGTTGGCAATGGCTTCAACAACGACAACAGCAGCTATGACTGCGATGACTTCAGCTTCCAGCAGAGCAACCGGGATGGATATGGGTGGTAGTTGCAAGATCTCTGTATGTCTCTCGCTACCACTTCAATTGATCTTCCGTTGGGAAGGAAAAAGAATCCAGCTAATTAATATGACAGATGCTTTGGAACTGGAACACTATCGACGCATGTATGTCTATCGAACCACTCGGATGCCCTTAATCAAATGCTGAAGACAAGACCAAATCTTCTGACTAACGAGCCTGAAATCCATTTACAGGTTTCATCGCGAGCTCATGGCGAATAACTTCTCACGGCATGTTTGCCGGATCCTGCATTGGCGTCATCCTCCTCGTCATGTGTCTCGAGTTTCTTCGTCGACTGTCCAAAGAATACGATCGTTATATTTTGGAATGCTTCAAACGTGATATCAGCAAGGAAGATGGATCGTCATATAAACGGACACAAGTACGAACGATTGCGACCACGACAACGACAAGGACGATGACGAACGGAAACAATACTTGCGATTCCAATACCGATGACAGCATCAACAATGGTTATCAACAACAACAACACAAGCATGATGCAGCTATTGCTAACACTGTGGCCGCCTCTGTTCCTGTTCCCGCTATTATTCCTCCTTCAAATGTCCGATTCCGTCCAACCCTAGTCCAACAAAGCATTCGCGCACTGTTGCATATGGTTACCTTTGCGGTTGCGTATTTCGTGATGCTACTAGCAATGTATTATAATGGGTATTTCATTATCTGTATCTTTATTGGCGCCTATCTAGGAGCTTTTGCGTTTACATGGGAAAGTATCAATATTTCAACCGGGTATGTTTTCTGCTTCGCCTACTTACTACGTACCTAGCGTAGTCTCTGTTATTTGTCACTAAATACGACCTTATGAAGTCAGTGCTGATATATTCGATAGCTCGCATTCTGCTGGGTCACCGGCAACGGAGGATGTTACTATATGTTGTGGATGAGTGCAACATGACGATTCAGATTGGTGCAAAATGCCTAAGTGGATAGATAACTGAACGTTGCTATGGTGATGATAGAAAGAGATTAACCACGCGAGAATGTACCTTTTTTTTCCCGTTTTTCTTATATTTGAAATGGATAAGTACTCAGCAGATATTATATATGGGAAAAGTTAGACTTATTTCACATGATAACTATTTTGACGACTTAGTGATTTGTTTATCAAGTAGCATATATGTCTTGAATTGAGTCTATAGTAGGAAAATAATATCTCAAGAAGATAGATGTCGATAAACCAAGTAAATCCTGTCAGTAAGGCAAACAGTTCAAATGAGACCAGCTCAAGCAAGTTCCAAGTCTAATTGTCATAACCCGGCATGTCGGCCAAGCTTGCTGTATTTAAAAGTAGCATTGCTCTTCTCGAAACAAAATAAAAAATTAAACAAAAAAATCCCACCAGCATCATGCTTTTATAGCGACAAGGAGTTAGCCTTTGCAACTTGGCCGTTCGCAAGGGCTTTGCGCTTTTCTCTCCAAACGCAAAAGGCGTACAAAACGGTTGTCACAACACCGACGATAGTCATGGACATTAAGACCCAGTATCCGGTTGTGTAATAAGGAGCATCCTTGGACAAGAATGCAAAAACGGCTACGATACCTCCCGCATTGCCAAAGCCGATGGTGAAACCGGAGCTGATGCTACGTTCGGCATGGCCATGGTTGTTCATTAAAATCCAACAAACAATCACGGCGCCAGCACCAAATGAACCCATAGTAACGAAAAAGATGCCGAGGTACTCCACAGAAAAGTTAGACTTTCCGTGCTTTGTCAGAAGCAGAGCGAGTCCAATAATAATTAGAATGTCTCCGAACAAAATGAAAGGGTAGCGAATGTTTGCGCGATCAGACCATACAGCCAATATGATAGCAAAGACAAAGGTCGCGGCAAAAGGTGGAACAGTATGCAGTTGGGTTTCTACAGTCGAATATCCTAGTGTCTGGATGATAGTAGCCGCGAAGTAGGAAAAGGCGTAGATGGGGACGACGATAGCTAGAGGCTTTTCGTTAGCTAAGTTGGATAGGCAGATTTCAAACGTCCAAAGGAGTTCACTCACTGAAGTACATGACGGCTCCAAGGTAGGCCTTCGGGTCGAGGAAATAGTTGATGTAGTCCTGTTTAGTAATGGCAACATTGTGCGACTCATCACTCTTGGTTTTGGCGACGACAAAAGCTTTCTCCTCCGGTGTCAACCAAGAGGCTTCCCTGGGGAAGTCACACGTGAAGAAAAAGGCAGCAATGCCAACGAGAATGGCGGCTATGCCCTCCAAAAGGAAGATCCATTGCCAAGATGCCAGGCCGCGCATGCCGTCCATTTTCGAGATTGCGGTTGCCAACAAACCACCGAAGGCACCGGCGAGGATGACGGATGACCAGTAGATAGTAAATCGCTTCTGGGATTCCTCACGCTTGTACCAGAAACTAATCAAGTAGAAACTTCCCGGGAAGACGCCAGCCTCGGCCAGACCGAGAAAGAAGCGAGTCGCGATCAGTCCGCCGTAAGACTTGACAAATGCCTGGCCTAACATGACGACTCCAAAGGCCACAATACATCCTGACAGCCACACGTGGGGATTCAATTTCTTGAGGAGAAGGTTGGAGGGGATCTCAAACAGGATATATGGAGCATAGAAAACCACCAGAGCGGTGTTGGCTCTGTTGCCGGTAAGATCTAAGTCGGTTTTGATGCCAAGCGTCAACGCATTAGAAATATTGACTCTGTTATTTGTATGAGCCTTAGAATCCCAAGCTATGTAACCCAGAACTGGGATTATGTATTACTTACCTGTCCAAAAATGCAACGAGATAGATCACGAAAAGCATCGGCATCACTCGCCAATCGATCTTGCGCAGCAGCTTAGCTTCATTGACAGTCGAGGTTGAGATGGCCTTGTCATCAACGCTGGGCGCGTCGAGACTTGGTGAGACAGCCTCGATATCGTCAGTTTCTTTTAACCCCACTGTCAGTGAGCGTGTCCGTATATGTGGGAGCGGCAATCGAAGGACTGACCTGCTATGTTCCCCATGGTGGTTATGAGAATAAGCTTTGAGGAGCAACTCGAGTGCTTGGAATGCAGCAGAGACGGGATTGCAAGGTGGCTGCCAAGGCCCTTTTCTACTTTTCTGCTCCGGAGGGGGCAGTGAGCACGTGAAAGGAAGCAGGCCGTTTTTAGCGAAAGAACTGCAGCTCCTATTTAAGCACGACGTGAGTGGTACAGAAGAGTTAGTTATGTAGTGAGACAAGCTACTATCGAGTGTTAAGTAGCTTAGCGGAGGACTAGTCCCTTGCCGCGAAGCGCGGGCCCTCACTCCCTTCCTTCTTTCCTTCCCTGCATCATGGTCTGGCCCATGCCGAGTCCGCTCCTTCCCTCAAGCATTGCTTACGCAAACAAGCCCGGGCAGGAGCGCGCTTTGAAGAGTTCCTTCCGCTGTGGGGGAGATTCTTTGCTAGTGCGGCTTGCTGCATGCGGCGCAGTGCCGCGTGAGCGCTCCTATTGGCTGTGTGCCCCGTTCTTTTGTGTTTGTACATTTTGGGCGTGCCGGGATCGGCCTGCGGAGATAAAGAGATGCGATTGCCGCTTGGGGAATAGCCCGCTCAGCAGCTCTTTTGCCATTGGCCGGACAGTTATGTTAGCGAACTCTGTTGCCAATGGATCGTCTAGCCTGAAAATTTGGGCAGCAAACAACCTTACTCTCACAGGGAGGCACTGCCACGAGGAGACAATATCTAATCAGATGGCGGAATAGCTACGTAACAGTCTATCCTTCATCACGTAGCAGATTGACTGGCTATTCATATGTCCTATGCCATATAAGTAAGCAACTCCATGGTCAGTGATCCGTAGTCAATATAACCAAAGGAAACCCAGACTATGATATGATGATGGCCCTGAGCCCAGGACCCATGCCTCGCGTGGTGTCTATAAATGTCTGGAGGAATCAAGCATTAACGCCACGAGATATGGCATGGCGTGGTCATTCACGCGTTAACTTTGGGAAAATTACAACTCTGATATTATATATGTCATATTCCGATATAGCCATGCATTTGCCTGCTTGTCAGAACGTGGCAACTACCTAGGTAAATCCGAGAATACCTTCGTAGGCGCAATGTTTTCAGCACCACGCCACCAAGGCAGTCCGAATTTCAACTTACTCAGCTAGTTACTTGCATAGTGTCAGCCGTTACAGAGGCTATCGAGGACCGTATTGAAGTTCCAGACCACGACCATCATAGCACCTATCTATGAAAACGACAACTCAGCGGCTGCATCTTAACAGGGTTATTGATTCGCGTCCTGTTGAGTATTTGTGTTAATCCATAGAGATGTGGGTAACACCGCCTAAAGAGGGGTTTAACGACGGCAAAAATCACCTCGCCGGGAAGATGCACGGCTGGTCTGGAAGCTAGTTAATTCTCGACTACTAGCACTCCCTGTATCATTGAGTTCGAGTCCACGATACATACTAATCCGGAGTCCGTCCGTATGGAGACAGAGTACATGTGATTTGATAGTTAACACAGAAATGAAGAATGAGATTTAGCTCGCCAACTAAAGCAATAGTAAAACCTACCGACAAGGAAGCAGCTCCTGTTGCGGGCGATCGTGATGGTAACATTCTAAAGTATGTATACGTAGCCATCGTAGCCCCGACGATCCTGATGCCGGAGGGCTAGTGTCAGGCACCATTGGTCAGGCGGAAGACTGGGTGGAGACATGGATATGTTGGAGACCCCGGAATGAATGTTAGCGCGGGACCAGTCTAGCCACATTGAGATTGGTCAAATACACTAGCGCTGTTTGCGACATCGCCGCCCGGAACTAGTTATGTATTATGACCAACTGCTGGAGGCGGGGCTAGGCACGGTCCGGTGTTGCTGCGACCCACCCTAAATTTTCCAGCTGACGGACTACTCCCCTTACTCCGCACTCACGCACTTGGTTATTGCCTACTATTGTCGCGCTGCATTGACAGTGATACTTAACCTCCATAACAGTTCTCCCTATTTCCATACTCGTACGTGATCGACTAGATTGTAAATTTCTATACCCAATACTAATTAACTAACTTACTAATGGCTGAATGGCTATTTGTCGGTCTTTTCCGCCAACAAGTTGTTTGCACGTTGCGGTCCGTGACGTTTAATACGGTATTCATAACATGTCAATACGTTACATCCGAAATCCGACAAATCATCACCAGCCCTCTGCGTCCTTCCCGCAGCCACGGTCCGCTCCTCCAGGTCGTTTGACAAGGCGTTGGATAATTATTACAAATTGTGGAGTAACTTACTAACTACACTTCGTATTGAACGACTATGGACTATCCCTTATCCTTCCATCCAGGGTATTGTTAGTTCCGCTAGTGACCTTACCATCGAATCCCTGTCAAGCCTAAGAGTTAGCTCAAAATCCCCGGGGAATTATGTGTCGGAAAAAGAAAAACCCCTTCCCTTCCGTTAATTCTTTTTCGTATGCTGATGATTTGGCCGGAATTTTTCCTAATCAATGTTTGCTTATTCTCTTAGCTTTGAGCTTTTAACCAAGTTGCTGAAATTGAGAAGAAGAATAAAAACACAAGGCGAAAGATCCAGAGCCTTCATTCCGGTGGGTCAACTGAAGTATATCGATAACGCTATTTCATGTTTCTGTTACTGCAGACAGAGATGAAGTTTAAGATTGTTGATCTTCATCGCCGATATTTGTATGTAAGTTAAATAATGACCATGATGAGCGTAGTCCTGTTTTAAACTACATTACAAAGTAATTTATAACTTTGTGGGTTCTCTCAACTCCGTAGTCCGTCATGGAGTCCCAGCTTTTAACCGAAGCATTCGCTGATCAGTGGGTGCCCGTAATATCATTATTGTTGGTTTTAGGCCATTTACCCTATTAGTTCCGTGGTCTTTAAAAATTGAAACCGGAAGGAGACATGGATCTTCAACAATAAATTTGGAAGTTATCACTAGTAGAGTGGTAAATCGAACTCAAATGACCATGAGCATACAAAGCTTTAGACGATATACGATAAAGACTAAATAGAGAACAATGGAGACACTTGCCGTTCTTCGTCTCAAGGGATTTTCATTCATTCTTCTTGGGTATACTTTTAAGTCTGAAACTATAGCCCTAGTCGAAAGCAAAATGGTCTTCTCCTGCCATTTCATTTTCCCAGGCCAAAATGACCATCATTGGCCTAACGGAGTAACCTTGAATGTGCGGGATATTTCCGCAACAATTAGGAGGTGGTCTAACGTTAAATGACAAGACCTCGAGCGCAGTGTCGGCTGTTGAGTTGAATTACCCTAGAGGCTAAGACAATCTAGGTAGTTGTATAGAGTAGGAAGAAAAGAACTGCTGTAGGCACACTAAGTGAATTCCTAGGTAGTTGGATGACAGGATCATCCTGTTTCGTATTCCGTACTGTATAATATATGCATGCACTCTGCAGTACGCCCGTTCACCCCGGCTCTTATCACAGCTTACTATGGTGATAGTCCCTCCTCTTAACGCAGCGCATTCTCCAGAGCTTTACTTGCCGATAGGGAAAAGAAACAGGACACTTTTTCCCGATGGTTATTACTCTCGAAAGCCAAAAATACTAGACAACAAACTTAACTCTCGGTCTTGTCTGTGCGCCGATAGACTATTGCCAACTACATCCGGTCAAGTCGGAACTGCTCAGTAGAGTCAGCACTATACTATCGCGGAATTGACCCTCAAAAATGTGGTAGATCTGGAACCATACCACTGGGACCTAGGAATCCTCTATTCTCCTATCCGATCACGGAAAAAGAAAAGAAAAAGAATCAAGGTTTACGTAAGGCTTGCCAGCAATCCGGGGTCGGCGACTTAGGAGTGTGGGTTGGTGCATATACAAAGAACGAGCATATCCAGCAAGTTGCTCTTTGTTGCGCTCAGATCTCATCACCTCCAACGTCGTTCTGGGAGAATTCGAAAATGGCGACTACATCAGCGACGACGTCAACGTTTGTTCCATATATCACTGCTCCGCCAGGAACGATGGTAAACTACTTCAATCCACCTTCACTTGCATATGAGACACATATCACGATTGGGATATCTATTTCCTTCGTGACTATATTCTTTGCTGCACGCTTATGGGCGCGAGCTGTAATCAAGAAGACTTGGCTTTTTGAAGACTGTATGTTCTTCTTATTCTGTCTCTTTTAAGTCACGTTCTAACCACCGTCTCAAACAAACAGGGCTCGTTTCAACAGCATGGGTGAGTCTTGAAGGCACTTGAAAAAAGAAATAAAGGGCTCCACTGACTATCGGTTTTCTCTTTTCTTTTTCGCTATGTAGTTGACAGCAGTAACATACGATGCGGTCATGGGAATCACCATGGCAAAACATGGAGGTCAACATGTTTGGGACATAACCGCAGCAGAGGCTCGAGAAGCGCTTTTTGTTCGTATATTCCATCCAGCACAATGACTACTCACATTTTACCTATATAAAATTAGCTGGCGGGCACCAATTGACAAAGACTCTCCTGCAGTGGTTCGACATTGCTTCCGTTATATACGGCCTTGCTATTTGCTTGACCAAGGTGTCCGTACTATGCCTTTACCGACGAGTGTTCTCACCAGTGAAATGGAGCGTCTTCGATAATATCATTATTGGACTGATAACCGTGATGATATGTTTTTACCTCAGCACAGATTTTGCAAAGATTTTCGAGTGTACACCGAGGGCGAGGATATGGGACAAAAGCGTACCAGGAACTTGCATTGACGAATCTGTTTTGCTTGATACGAGCGGCTTTTTCAACACGATAACCGACTTCATCATTCTGGTATTGCCGGTACATTCAGTTATAAAATTACAGCTCAGTCAGGTGAGAAAGCTGCTAGTTATTGCAGTTTTCACCTTTGGTCTCTGGTAAGTCTCTGCCATGAATTTTCCAACTTCATACATAAAACATGGACTCGCTCATTTCTTCTCTTCTTATCAGTGCCCCCGTGTTCAGCACCATCGGATTGGTCGTCCGGTTTAAAATCAGCGGCAGTCCAGACATTACCTGGAATCAGCCTGAAATTCTTCTTTGGGGGTGAGTCTATAGAGATTTAACATGTCAAATCGGGCCTATTGATATTATGAGGGTTCTAACAAAACTGCACACAGAGCTGCCGAAGTCACATCCGGTTTCCTTATTGTTTGCTTCCCCGAAATGTCCTTCCTAGTCAATCGACGATCTAGAAAGAGGAACTATCCACGCCGACCTACCATCGACATATCCTCTGGAACGGGGGGTGTCAACTCGCGCAACAAGGTGCGTAGCCATGGGGACGAATTGACATACTACGAACTTGACGATGATGTCGTGTATGGTGTCCGAGTTAGCCCATCTGGAAGTAACTTGAGATTACATGAACCGGCGCATGGCACGGTGCAGGTCCATCACGAGATTACGATTCAGTCAAGCAAAAAAGAGGAAATTATAACGGTGAATGGACAATGAAAAGCTATTTCTGGCTCTGGGTTCTGGGTTTGGGGCTTTTTTGGGTTACCTTCTTTTGATATTTTTTTTTAATATTCTCTTAGTTCTTGCCTAAAAGGCTCTTCAACATGTATTCTTTATTTTCTTTCTCTTTTCTTTGGTCATGGGTTTTTTCAGGACATTTTCTCTTACTAGATTCCAGACATTGGAATAGTTTTATACCTATATGGACAGTGCATTTCGGACCTGTCCTATGTAACCATTTTATGTATATATATATTCAATATAATCCTAGCATACAGAGTCTTTGCTTAGAATGTTACACAATACGGCACAAAGGAGACGTGCAAGCATCCAAGCAAGTAGACTTGGCCGGTCACAGTCTACTGGTTTCAGTGTAGCAGTCTTTCTACCTAGGTACAGTAACTCGCTAACTTATAGCTACGATCCTTTTGATAAGTCAGAGCCAAAAAGGTTAAGTTGACTATGACAAAACTGTGCTTCCGGATGTCTGCTTTATGCTAACCATCCGCAGATACCAGTCAATCGGGCCGATTTAGACAGTAAACTAGCCGCTGTGCCTATACTCCGTGCTCTCTTTCTTTATCTGTGTATTTTCCCGTGCCGTGGTCAAAGCAAGGGTATCTAACGGTCTCCACAATTGAGAAGACGGAGTACAAATTACGGAGATTGCGTGATTAGAGTGTCCTGGTGAGAGTAACGTTCAATGAGTAGCTATGTTAGATGCAAAATGGGGCCACAAGTTGTCTACCGAAATTGACACAACGGTGAAAATCACTCTGTTAGCAAAGTCTCGAAACGTTTGCAGCAGCAGGAGACTTCAGGAGTAAGAAAAAATTAAGGATAAATTTACCACCGCGACTACCAGAGCTGATTGCTAGCTTATTCACTCCGTTTTTGGGTGGAGCATTGCATGATCGACTAATGAAGATGGGATGATCAGAATTAGCGAAGCTTTTCACCATCGAATCCACTGGTGAGCTAACACCAACTAGTCAGCAAGTCATACCGTCAAGCATTCGGGTTGTTCAGCAATGGCTTAGCAAGAACTCGGGAGTCGGATGAGGTGATTGGAGCCATGTGCTCAGGGAGAACGGAGTGCTTCCTTTTGCAACGAAGATCCTTGTACGTTTAGCTAGCTACAGTGTACTACGTGCGCAAGGATTTACTATTGAAGATTCACAGTACTATCAAACTTTCATCCCATATAGGCATTCTGTTGGTTTAGCAGTCAATCCTGCCACCGCAAATTCAAAACCTTGTCTGTCTCAACTCTCGGTAGGCTTAGGAATGCATTGCATCAGCTCGGGCCATCCTTATGGAGCTGAGTCGCCTCCTAGCTTTCGGGAGCTCATTTTATATTTGCTTTTTCTCGGATTACAACAAGGCTGCAAGGTTATCAATATCCGTAACATTCATGCATGTCTCGAAACGATCATTGCCTAACAGCCGAAATCACCGATGAGAATTTTCTTGAGTACTCTCCGATAGATGTACTCGTGAGCTTTGAGAAGTTAATTGGTGCCGTGGCCTCGGGTTGGTTTTCATAGGTACACAGTAGACGGTCCTTCAGAACATTAAAGGGCCTACGCAGAGAACATTGATAGATAAGTTGATAGTCATCAGTCCGTATACGGAGTACACACTATCAAAACTAATAGAAGGTCCAGACTGAATTCCGGGTATGCGGTAGCTAGCGCAAGGTCCGGACTACATTATTTAGTAAGACGACGGAAGTTGAACGTCGTAAGATATGACGAATCATGTTTACTGTATGGAGTGGTTCAAAATGCACCTTGATACCTGGAATTTTAGTTGTTTGCTTTGACTTCTTGTCGACATGGCATCGTGCATGAATAGCACGTGTCGGTTTTTCCCGAGTTTGGTGGTCATACTCGGCATTCCGTACGGAGCACGCAAATCTATTGTCAATCTGTGAGCTGTGACTTGTAAGAGTGGGGTGCCCACCAGTATCCAGTGATGCACAGACTAGTTAGTTACAGGAATAATTGATTAGATAATATTGCTTTTCCCATGCTCTCAAAGCAGAGGGTCTGAACCAACTCACTACATACTTTCCCCTTTGTAAGGTTGTAGTGTTTGCTCATTTCTTTCAGGAATAAAGATCAAGGATCTAATAAAACCTGTGGACCCCTTCTTAGAAGGATTGTACTAAATTAGCGACGCATCAGGTTTTACTGCGCCGCATAGGTACGAGTACTCCGTACGCATATCCATTCTAGCCCTCCCATGGTCTTGTATATACCTTCGATTCGATCACTACATTCCGTAGAAGGTGCAGTTAGACACTACGTAGTGCGGCGTATGCAATATCTATACTTGCGAGATCGACGATGGTCCTACTCAGTGGCTTGCGGAGTTGCGCTTGACTATGAAAAGGGCTCGCAGCCATTCCGAAACAGTAAAGGCTCCGGGCGGCCCGTTCGAGGTTAACCTTATTTGGGAATTGGTGGTGATTACTTACCGGTTACCGTACTCATACGTGTTCTTGGGCTGTACGGGACTGGTAATAACGCTGCCATGTATCTTCGGTTTTATAATTAAGTACTCCGTACGAGCTATAAGCGTTATATCCAACATAACAAGCATGCTTGCGAAAGACGCGGATGAGAAAAGACGGAATACACCTACATGATGATACAACTTGGCGAGAACAGCAGTTAGCCTGCTTTATTATACAATAACAAGCTCTTCTAGAGTCAATACTTGAGGCACACAAGTACTTAGCCGAATGAAGTGCTTCCTTGCGGGTTACGATCGCTCATTCATCGTATTGGGAAATGACTTGCAAAATAGACCGTTTGAACACTGACAGAGACAGCGATAGGCATACCTAGGCAATATGGCCATTCCACTGACCACCAGTGTGATGTTCAAGTTTAACGCACATGCTTTGTCGTCAACACTCCCGAAGTACTCCGTGCTCTTTATCCATCTTTAAAACAATGAAAACTGACTTATACCTTTTGTTCATCATACGTTACGCTAGTCTTGGGCAAAGAATGCACGTGTCCACAAGTATAATAAAACCATTATCCATGCTAGCTTCAGTCATCCTATGTAAATCTTTTTACTGAGTGGCTCAGACATCCTACTTAGACAGGGTGCAAATGAAGCTTCCTGCAAGCGAGCTAGTTAGTTATACTAAACCTCATGGGTTTACCTAAGAAGCTGTTGGACTGTAAACGCCGATAGCTAACCCTCCTATCGACATAAGTTGGGTTGCATTTTATATTGAGAACACGAAGCATTGTTCTCGGCCGGGCCGCAAACTACCCATAACACATGAGCAGTTTTAAGTATGTTGGTTTATACCAAGCGATTGATTGGCTACTTGAACACATTGACAAGTGATTTAGTAGTATATCTAAGGCGCTATGATACTTTGACGTCTGCTTCCTGTGTCGTTGCTGTGTTAGTTCTAGGGGCGAAAAATTCCAGAAGAGCAACCTAAATAGCTCCCTAGCTGCTTGAAAGCTTCTATGTCGTATCGCAACGCGTAATCACCTTCCTAAATGTGGTTAGCAGCCTTGGAAGTTGTTTATGCTGAATGGATGTTGCTGACGAAATCAGACATGTCGTTTGTTAGTTGTGGTTATCCATTTATCCTTATCATCCTCCTTATACCTATCTTGAGCCTCAGATACGTAAAACATAAAAATTTATATTTAAATTTTGTTGTGTAAATCATAACGAAAAGAGATTTGGTGATCTCATATATATGCATCAATCAAGTCAAACACACGTTGCTTTATGTAGCAAAGTAGATTCGTAGCATCTAAAGCTCAGTGGATACATCGATTCAAAGCAGTGCCAAAGAATATGATTAAGGTCACTAGGCTAAGAGATGCTTCAACTATCTGGGCACATTCAAGTATATACCTACCTACGTAGTTATGGGACCTATGTATACCTTTCTAGAAGTTAGGTGCCTCAGACATACAAGTATGCAAGCTTATATATCGTGCAACCACCCGCTGGCTGAAAGAAGACCAATAAATGATAGCTATCGCTCTCTGTATAGTTCAACGAACCTAGGTGGATTATGACAATCTGCAGCTGAAGGTTTAGATGCTGCGAGAGCACCAGGAAAGGGACAACCTAAGTATTTAAGTTGCAGGAGTTCCAAGATCATGCTGGGATATACAGGTATATCAAAGACCTGCCAATGTGCCTACCTAGACAAACAACAGAGGGAATATCATGATAAGTTGAAGAGTTACGAAGTTACGATGCAGGTGATTGCGAGTCTAGAGTTCCTACTACTTGGGGTTTCTACGTAGACAAGTGCTGAGGGCTTCAATTTGGTTATCTTTTATATTCAAGATGCTAGATATATGGTACTGCGTGATAGAGAAAAAAGAAACAAACGGAACGGTGATAATCGGTGAATAAAATGCTAGAACCGGTGACTAACAGAAGCCACTTAGGCTACTATACAAGTAGAAAGGTCAAATGTGAAGTGAAGGATTAGAATGTGCTGGTCGCGAGTCGACTTGCTGCATTTCTCGCATCAAGCCTGTCATCGTCGTCTTCTTCCTCTGCTATGGAGCCAACTCCACTTACAGCTCGAGTCCGTCCACTACCAGCACCGTCCCCATTGACACCATCATCCGATGGTATGGGTACAACAACTGTGCTACTGCTTAAATTTCGATTGAGGCTATCATTTCGACGAGGAACACCGCTCCATGCATCGCCCTTGGGACCCTGGCTCGACGCCAAACTGGCTCGGCGGACTGCTGGGTGAGACTCGCGCCCAAGACGACTGAGGCCACCAGAAGAATCAATTGCTCGGATATCAGCTCGTACACTCTCCAGTAAAGCCAGTGTCCTGCGTTCAGCATCGATTTCCCGGAGTGTATATTCGCGAAGACTTCCTAAAACATCCGCAGTTGTTCGACCGAACCAACGTCGTGATTCTAGCAACAAATTCGACGTCACTCTCTGTGTCTTCTTTGTAAGGTATGTTTCATGCCCAAGAGCCTCATCCAGAGAGCTAAGCGCTTCATCCACTTTATCTGAGCGTACCGACGAGCTGCCTTTCAGACGGTCTGCGGCAGCACGCTTGCTGCGAGCCGCCTGTTGTGCCTGAATCAATTCCCGGAGGAGAATATGTCGGTTCGTCAAAGTTTCCTTGACAATAAAAGCGTCGGAAGAGTGGTACTCCAGTGGGTCTCCTAGAGTAGTCGCTTCTGCTGTGGCTTGTGCAGCATGGTAGTCACCAGCCGTCTGGATGACTCGCCCAAGCTTGCGATAGGCGTTCCCTAACCCGACGTGTGTCTCTTGCACATGCATATGTCCAAGTTTGACACCAAGATCAGACTCTGCAAGACCAAGTCCTGTGACGTATATTTATCAGAAACCAGATTTTTATAAAACATAGAAAGACATACCTCTTCGGGCTTTTACAACACGATCCACTTTTTGGCTAGCATCAAGTGAATGAAGATAAAACAGCTTCACAATTGGGCGCGCGTTTTGTAGCTCAGGAGTGTCGTCGGGGGGCGGCGCAAATTGTTTAATGACCTTGCGGCGAACTCCAGTCGCTGGCTGCCTCATACGGACAACAGGGCTATAGCCGAAATCGCTTTCCACAAAGAGAACAATTTCATCGTCATGCACGAGGACGTCGTTGCCGAATACATAATTCAGCCATCTTTGCATTGAAGCCTTGACGCGGATCTCATCTTCGTCGGTCCCGGCACCAGCGGGAGTGAGAGGAGGAGGCACAGCGGGTACAATTGCTTCAGGATTTGAAGATATCAGGTGCTCGGAGAGCTTGACAAACTCCGAATGGGTGCGGCGAATATCTCGGTATTGGGTCGTGCGGAATTTGGGTATATTGGTCTGGGAAACAATCAGTTGGTACCTGCTCTGCAAATATAAAAGTTTCAAGTATCCGGGCGAGTGTATCATCATACGTATACATCGAAGCGAAGAATAGGGTCCTTTTTGCCTGTCCTCTCAAGGCCCGTTATCTTGCCCTGTAGGCGGTATGCCGGAGCAGGCGGTCTTGCGTTTTGTCGAGCCCCGGTTTGGTAGCGAGCAGGCCCCTCAGTTCGCCTCTGCTGTTGGGCCGGCTGCTGGGCATATTCATGCTCGTTTGCTGGGGCGCTCCGAGGAGAAGGTTCCGATACTGCGACCTGGCCGTTCCCCGCATTGGGTTCGGCGTGGTGGTTATCGTCGAAAAGCGCCTGGCTCGGAGGCAAGGGCGTAGAAGGGACATCAGAACTACTATTCCCGGCGGCACCGAAGGTGTCTCTATCAGCACGTGGAGAGTCCCAGGGGGACGGGCCCGTTGGATCTGCGGGATCGTGTGCTATCGAGGAGTAATCCATTGCGTAGACGTTGCCGAACCCAGTGCACCGCCAGACGTGCCTAGTGCGGTGGACTCAGTTGGCAGCAAGGACTGAAAGCGTCAGGCTGGGTCGAGATGGATGGATGAATGGCAGGTCGATGAGGCTTGCGCAGGGAGTAGGCAGTAGCGTTGATGTCGTTCTTGGTGGCTGCTTTAGAATGACATCGTTCGGCGCGGTGGATACGCGGCGAGGCATGTGATTCGCCAATGCTTGCTCTCCCTTCCTGACCTCAAAATTTCCGACGCTCGACAAACATCAGCTCTCGAAAGTCATAACGGGCTATTTCGCCATCCAAAACAACATGGTTATTTCCACTGAGTTGCATCGAAATTGAAATGGTGGTGGCCCCTTTGCTCGACTGGGTGATTCGACCCATCCCCAGGCTGTCCAGAACGAATCCTCGCAAATATGCATCAAGCAACATAGTATCGTACAATAGACCTGTCCAGTCTCACTTGAGATGTCAGAATTACCGCGAATGGAGCTCGACGTCAGCATTGGGGGACACTGCAGCTGATCTTGAGAAAACGCGAAACATCGGTATCATTGCGCATATCGATGCAGGAAAGACGACTACGACTGAGCGCATGCTCTATTATAGCGGCTTTACGCGGCGAATAGGCGATGTAGATGAGGGATCTACAGTTACCGACTTTCTTCCTGCTGAACGAGCTCGCGGGATTACGATACAGTCTGCTGCTATCACTTTCCATTGGCCACCGCCCACCGCTCAAGAGGCCTCTAAGAGCCCCAGTGTGCAGGAGCTAGATGCCCAAAATTTACCAAGGTCCAGAGCTTCTCACACGGTCAATCTAATTGACACTCCGGGTCATGCAGACTTTACGTTTGAGGTCCTGCGATCCTTACGGATCCTTGATGGGGCCGTCACCATCTTAGATGGAGTGGCTGGTGTCGAAGCTCAGACGGAGAAAGTATGGCACCAGGCTAGTGTATATCAAATCCCCAGAATTGTCTACGTCAACAAACTCGATCGAGATGGCGCTGCGTTCGGTAGAACAGTGCGCGAGGTAGGCTCCAGGCTGCAAGGCTGGCCCGCAGTCTGTCAGATCCCGTGGTTCGAAGGCGGCAACGGGCGGTTTACTGGAATTGCAGACGTTGTTACGCTCCAAGGACTGCTGTGGAAAGAAGGTGGTGATGGAAAGTCTGTCAAGGTATTCGATTTAGCGAATCTGGAGAATGAAGACAAAAGTCTCGCCGAGGAGTTAAAGCGCGCTCGGATAGCTCTAATCGAATTGCTCAGTGAACACGATGAGGACATGGTGGAGAAGTTCTTTGACTATGAAGAAGATCATTTGGCAGTACCGCCCATGGATATAATTAGGAGTCTTCGGAAATGTTTGCTCGGTTCTGCAGCTCAAAGGATCATACCGGTATTCGCTGGTTCAAGTTTCCGCAACATGGGTGTGCAGCCCTTGCTTGATGCAGTCAACAACCTTCTTCCAGGACCGTCTGAATCATCTGATCCAGAGATTACTCTGGGCAATACTAAAGGGAGACTAGGCAGTCTACTGAATGGAGAGCTGAGTTTGCAACAAAGTCCGAAAGCAACTACTACTACTCCAAAGTCTACGCAAAAGAAGAAATTGGCTGTTGTGCCTGCCTTGGTAGAGCCTCAAAATTTGGCCGCTAGTCTGGAAAGCTGTGCATTAGCTTTCAAGGTTGTCAGCGATCCCAAGCGTGGAGTTCTCGTTTACGTCCGTGTTTATTCTGGTTCTCTTAACAGAGGTTGTAATCTATACAACACGAATCTTCATGTTACAGAACGAGTACCTCGCCTCTTCAAGATGTACGCCAATGACGCCGTGGAAGTTGAATCTATACATGCGGGTCATATTGGAGTCGTGGTTGGGTTGAAATATGCTCGCACTGGAGATACCTTAATAACAACCATGGGGAACAAGGCCACGCCTCCGGAGCCTCTGAATACCTTACAGCTGCGTCCTATCGACGTACCCCCGCCTGTGTTTTTCGCAAGTATTGAACCACACAGTCTTAGTGAGGAGAAGAACATGCAAGATGCCCTGGCATTGTTATTGCGAGAAGACCCTAGCCTACATGTGACAGTCGATGAGGACTCTGGACAAACGCTTCTGAGCGGCATGGGGGAACTGCATTTGGAAATTGCACGAGACCGATTGGTCAATGACTTCAAAGCTAAAGCTTCCATGGGCCGGATTGAGATTGGCTATCGAGAATGCCCTCTGAGCCAGTCTAGTCCTGTGACCAAGATTTTTGACAAAGAGATTGCCGGGCGAAAAGGCAAGGCAGGATGCACGGCGGTCGTGGAGCCATTTGACCCAGAGCTAGAGGTCGCTGAGGGTGTCTCCGAGGCCCAAGACGTCATTTTCGACGACACGATAGAAGGAAATAGGATTATTATCTGCGCCCCGGGCATCAACGTCGTGAGGGACAGGAAAGGGAAAGAGGAAAGTTCAGCCCTACCACCGCAGGTTGACGTGAACTCCTTCCGCACGTCACTATTTAATGGCGCTTTATCGGCCCTTGCACGAGGCCCGCAGTTTACCTTCCCAATGCACAGCACAAAAGTGACGCTAATATGCAATGTTGCCGAGCATCTATTCGGCTCTGAAAGCAGCGCTTCGGCATTGTCAGCATCTGCGCGACTCGCAACGCAAGGTGCCTTACGAGGCTTAGTCGCAACTTCACAAAGCAACAACAATAGTAGTACTGGCAGCGGTACCGCCGTGATGGAGCCAGTCATGAACGTGATCATAAGCGTTGACGAAGGTAGTCTTGGTGCTGTGGTGCACGATATCTCTTCAGCACGTGGTGGGCATATAGTGTCTCTCGACGAAGAAATGCCAATCACAGCCTCTATCGGGAACCAAAATAACAGTCCGGAGGCGGATCAACCACCCATCGACATTAATAAAATATACGCTCCACCTGACCCTTTCGAGACACCTAGTGTCGCTGGTGGTTTGCCCATTCAGGCATCTGCAAACCAGCCTCGAACGATCACGGCAAAAGTACCTCTTAAAGAAATGGTCGGATATTTGAAACATTTGCGCAGTTTGAGTGCTGGAAGGGGCACTTTTGTGATGAATGTTGATCGGTTTGAGAGAATGTCTACACCGAGACAGAAAGCGGTTTTGTCAGAGCTGAATAGGTAAAATGTCAGTAACCTCGAAAGAAGGTTGATGATCTGTAAAATGAAAGCCATCCTCATATATACCTTTGTACACTACGGACGGAACATAGATATTCATCATCATAGTCATCATCAGGGACTAAAAATATATGGATTGCTCTTCTAGTAGGGTTAGGTGGGTATCGCTGTGGGACACTTATACATTATTACCAGTCATCCTCACCCCAATCCTCCTTCTCCTTCGTCGATGAAGTAGAAGTCGAAGTATTCGGGCCAACGCCAGTGCTAACAGGGGTCGCCGAGCTAACTCTAGACGATGGAACAGCGGCTGTTGATGACGGGGTGGATTTCATCGTGGCAGTACCAATGGCACCAGATTGCCTTTTTTGGCGAACACTTTGCTCTCCAGCCGCTGAAAAGTCGTCCCAGAAATCTTGTCGTTCCGGCTGATAACGCCGCTGCTGATCACCAAATGTATCGCCCTCGACAAATCGGTTGAATCGCTCAGCCGCATCTCGCGCTCCGGTTTGAAAGTTTTGACCTAGCTGTGAGGCTTGTAAGCGGGCCTGTGCTGCGAAGTCCGACTCAGCGAGCTGTGTGTTTGTGAGGCGTTAGCGGTGTATTTTATATGTATGAAAGACGCGATAAAAGAGAAGAAGAAAAAAAACCCACCGATTTAGCAGTAGGTTGAATGTATGCATCATTCACATTCTTGGCTCCCTTTCCCACTGCCGATGTGAACCAGCCAAATCCCTTAGATAAAGCCGCGACAGGGTCACTTTGGAAATCATTGAGACCGGGTACGGCGCTCTCTTGTCGAGGAGCCCTAGACACCGTCACTCCGCCACCAAATCCACCATATTTTCCGCCTTGAGAAGGAGCTAGATCATCTCGACGGGCAGAATTCTCATTTCCCAACTTCGCAAAATACGCTTCATTGCGTTCTTTCCGGGTTGCCCCAACCGCGGGAGATGCTCGACCCCCCTGTAGCGGCGTGCTCGAGCTCGACGCACTTTCAGCTGGTGAAGGCTGTTTCTTCTTTCTCTCTCTAGGTACATATTCGGTGCCCTCAATCTTTGCCGTAAGCCTGTCTTTGTATTCTTCCCCGACTTCGCTATCGTATCTCTCCTTTATCGTAGAATCGTCGAACGTCCGACCCTCCGAGATGACAATCGTGTGCTCGTCGTAGAAACTTTTCCAGGTATCGTTGCCCCCCTTGTCCATCCTCTGTATTTCGGCATTCTTAAAGGCATCCATAGTGATAGACCGGACGAATGAAACGTGTACTCCGAGCCCGCGATGGGTGCCTGCACAGTTTAAGCAGATGAAGATTCCGAATTTCGGCGATGCCTGTCAGTGGTAAAGCAATCGTTAGAACAAAAATTCTTCAACCACCCTCCAAGCAGCAGCAGTGAGCTTGCTTGCTTACCCATTGCGGGGAAGGCGCTCCGCAGTCACAACAGCGATCGTTTCCATTCGTCTTTGAGATTTGGAGAAGCTAGAAGAAAAAGCCATATCAAGAGATAGTTAGCAAGGGCAACGTCCATTGCATTTGTATTGCAGCAAAATAGGATGATTTTCGCAGGTGCACATCCGTACCTTGGCCCTTGTCTCGGGATCTACTTCCCACATTTTCGACATTTTGGGCAGAACGAACGTAATCCCCAGCAATTCCCAAATTTTTAAATCCCACTAGCACTTCCGTGTGCACATTCCTGTTTCCGAAGATGGTCTCGGGAGTTGGTGTAGTGCTATATTGGCTAAGAATGATTAATAGTCGCTGGGATCCAAGATTGCATTAGTGGTGAGTATTGGACTTGCCGTCGTCTCACCCTGGCCCGTGCGCCCAATCTCCGAGGGCAGTAGGCTCTACCAGAGGTTTACATTCATTCATAGGAATACGCATATTAGCAAGTGTCAACGGCATTGGAGCCAGATTCGTTGATAAAATACAAGAGAATGAAAATGGTAAATGGAACGGAATAGTTTCTCGGCCCATAAAGGACTTGACCTGTTTCAAAGATAGATGTCTGGCCACAGGCTGCAACGTATCAAACACGCAGACACACAAAAAGACCAGCATACCCCTCCACTTCTAAGACATGTAAAACCGCCAATCCTCTTTTTATTGCGCAATGAGATGGCTTATCATAAAAGGAATGGCCGTCACAAGCCTCACACACATCCCCTGTTCAATAATAAAATAAAATATACCTCTTTTCTTAAGCGGCAGCTTCAGGGGTCTCCGCGGCCGCAGGCTCAGCAGCCGCCTGCCCATTGCCTTCCCCTGGGATGATATCTTCCTTGCCAGGGCTGTCGATAGCGACTTTAACGGCGATTTCACGTCCTTCAATTTCCTTTCCGTTCATCTCTTGGACGGCTTTCTCCTGGAGAGCTTCGGAGCCTAGAGTGACAAAGCCAAATCCACGACCCTTACGAGGTTCATTACGGGCCTGGAGCTTCTTGATCATGAAGCGAGGAATTGGACGAAGAGCAATCTTGGCAGACTGGGGCTCGTAGTCCTTGAAAAGTTCCTTAAGCTGTAGGGCTTTGCGTTAGTAGTGATATTTCACGCCCCTATTCAAAATCAGGGTCAACGTACCTTCTCCTCATTGAGGTCATAAGGAAGGTTGGCAACCATGACCTTGGTCTTGGAGGGGATACCATCTTCGGGGGGTCCACGTTGTTTCTGGACACGGGGAGCATGAGTCTTAGTCTCTTTAGCAGCGGACTCGTTCTCAGTAGCGGCTTCGGTTAAAGGAACGGCTTGACCAGGAACGTTGGTTGGCACAGCGGCTTCCGGTTCGCCATTCTCCTTCTGCAGTTACGTTGTTAGATATGATTCTTGCTTCCAGCAAAATGATGTCCAAACATACAGGCTCGGTGCGAGGACGACCACCGCGGGCAAAACGGCCACCACGACCCCGGCCACGTCCACGTCCACGAGTGGAGCCCCTCTTGCGGCCCTCACCACCACTAGCACCTTCACCGCCACTCACTGCACCTTCCTTAGCTTCAGCAGCAGGTTCAGGCTTGCGAGCAACTTGCACAGACACCTTGCGCTCGAGGATTTCTTTGCCGGAGAGCTGCTGAATAGCATCCTGGGCCTCGTGGGCAGTGGCAAGGTCAACAAAGGCATAGCCAACTGGGCGGTTAGTACGGGGGTTCACAGGAATCGCAACGCTCTCACTAGTAAGAGGGAAGAGAATGATTAGTTATACGCTTTTTGAGATGATATGTAAACATGCAGGCGAAGGGGATGGTGATTTATATTTCGTCACAGTGTGGTCATGACTGTGAGACAAGCCTGATCCTCCTTCTCCTCGCGCAAGCGGCCAAATCATGATAGCAGTATGGGCAACAAGGAGCATGTCTTGTGAGGAGGGATAGCCCATCGGGATACTTACATGGTGTAGCTGTTGAAAAACTCCTTGAGTTGCCCCTCAGTGGTCGCATATGCGAGATTCCCAATATACAACCGACGACCCTCATCGGCACTGGCAGCAGCGGCCTCGACCTGCGCAGAGTCGTTGGTGCCGTTGAGGGTAGTGTTGGCCAGGGCGTCGGCGAGATTGTCTGCGGCAGTAGACATATTTAGGCTGAGGACACGGGGTCGTTGATTTTGGACACGAAGTAGAACAGACCGATGTGTGGGGGGAGGACTCAGGTAGCGTGAGGCTGCCTTTTGGGTGGGAGGATTGACTTGAGGGGAAAGGAAAAGGGTAGCTAAGTGCCCTAGATCGGAGGTTGAGGTTCGAGGTTGAGAAAGCGAAGAAACAGTTTCGATGTGTCTTGTAGAGGAAGGCGCCCGTTGGAGAAAGGAGAAGGGGTGCGAAAAGGGCAGCAGCAACCCGGGCCGCGCTAAACCCTGCTGGGCCGTTGCCGCCTTGCCGCCTTGCTGCCTGGGAGCTCTGTGTTTGGCCTGAGGTTTGCGTTACCCGCTGGCTCAGCCCAATCTGAACCACACACCGTTGTCCTTCCTTTTGTTTACACACGAGTACGTGAAACTGCCAGAATGCCAAAAGCTTACACTGTCCGACCAACACCAGAGAAGCCACAGGGCAAGGAGCAAATCATCCCCAGTTTCTGGAAATATCCCACGGGCCTCTGTGCTTCATCCCCACGCTACGGTATACTATCTAGGTACTTCGTCATCGCAGCATTAAGCTGTCCCTGGCGTTGAGATGCATCTGGAGTGGGCACATAGTACAGAATAATCCATTAATCATTTATAGGCAATGCACAGTGACATGTCTTGGTAGACCAGATTCCTTTGATGGGTAAATATGGAATGTACAGATCACTCCATATAGAGGATGTCAATGAGAGAGTTACTGTGGTGTTCGTAGTACAGTGACTGTTTTGAGTTATTTGTCAGGTGTGACGATGACGCAGCGGTTCCAAGTTAATCATTGCGCTAACCAGATAAAGTTAGCACTGGTCAACTTGCTTAGTTAACTATTCATTCAGTCCAGGATTGTCCATGACTAAGCCCGTACGCCAGTCTCATTGGCTGGCGCTGAACCAAGGGTCAGTGGCCGCCCGCCTTTGCCTCCGCGCTTTTAGTGCCGCATCTAGGGAACCTTAAAGTTTTCGGCAGTATTAGTATGGCTGGCTTCCCGGTTCTGGCATTCCACCAAGTTTTACTGTCCACTCTCTTCTGTTGGTCTTCTCGGCTCTCCTCAGCAGGCTCACTGTCCTATCATGGATCGAATGGAGCGTGTCGAGGATACCGCGGACAATGGGGTTAGTGCTAGCCTGCAGCCTCCTTCGCAGGAGGCCTTTCCTGGCCTACCCCAAGACATAGATTACCAACCACCAGCAACGAGATCCCCCCGATTGAGACGTCGATCTCGACAGCCCAGTATAAGGCTACGTCGCCTATCCTCTGCTTCGAGCATTCATCCGCAAGATGACACTAGTGCGTCCGAGCCAGCCGCGCAAGGAACCCCGCAACCAGCAGAACAGCAGAGCGCTATCCATGCTAGGAACGATGCCGAAGACTCATGGCAAGCGAACAGGCGCCGCAGCAACTCAGAACCGCGTCCCGGTCGTTGGTCTGGACCGCCGTTGGTCGTATCGCCTGGCATGCAGACGTCATCGCAGCATCCCATGTCCCCTGTGACGGAGGAGACAGGGAGGCCATCAATGGATTTGTATAATGTCGAGCGCTTTGCGGCACTGAACTCCATTTCGCCCGCCGCGACCGCGACCGCTGAAAGGCCTCAAGATGGAGAAGAAGGATTGTCTGCGCGGGGACAGGAACATGAACATACACAAGAACAAGAACAACCGTCGAATCTAGCATCACCAGATAGAGCGAGTGGCCCGGGAATGCTACGACGAGCCAGCAATGCGGCCCTTTCAGCTTTCGGTCGCAACCGCGCTTCCACTTTGGCTGCCCCGATTTCTGCACAACGCCATCTTGCCGCGGATGAATATGACTCACGGATAGTTGATCTGTTGGACGTAATTGGTAAGCCAGCTCTGCTGTACGCTCCGTTGTTCAGGTACCTAACGGCAGTGCAGACCCGGAAGTATCGACGCTATCTACTCTCACTAATGTTCAGAACTCCCTTTTCGTTCCTGACTTGGGCGGTTTATTAAATCGCACACCCACGTATAATCTAACACGACGGCCGAGTAAGGTCCCGGAAAGCCATGAGCTTACTAAAACGACAACAGAGCCAGTTGCGACAGTGGCGCCACCTCTCCAACGGCCCCAGCTCGTGAGCTCTATAAGCTCGATGATAGAAGATGAACCCTTCGCCATCTTACCCGATGGAGCGACTTTAGAAGGCTGGTCAAAGCAGGATATAGAGGAATTGAACGACCATGTTCGGCATATGCTTCATTCCCGTCGGTCGAAATTCAAACGGGCTATGAAAGGGTTTGGGCAGTATATCTCGAAACGTAAGTGAAAGGATACACCACAGGGTACTGCGAACTCCGGAAGCTAATGAAAACAGCACTCGGGTTCCTGGTAACTTTATATGCAACTTTAATCACCCTTTTTGGACTCGCTTGGGTTCTCTTTTTGATTGGTACGTGTTGAAACTCTGAAATCAGCTCCGAAATACCCACGGTCTAATCTATTCTCAGGTTGGATTAACGTTGGGGGCCGGCAATCTTATATAATTAATGTTATCGATAACGTGCTAGTGGCTCTTTTTGCCGTTATGGGAGATGGTTTGGCTCCGTTTAGAGCTGTCGACACCTATCATATGATATACATCGCTCACTACCATCATTTGACATGGCGACTTCGTAAGAAGCGCACGCTGCCAGACCTCCACGACGAGAACGATTTACCCTCACACCGAGAAGAAGATTGCCCTGACGTTGAGCGCGCCGATGATAAGAAAGCACCCATGGAATTCTCCATCCTCACCCCGCTCCAACAAAAACGACTCGAGCACCATCAGCGCAAATTCTCCAAATCGCACACATTCTACAAACCTCACGAAACCGCCACCCACCACGCCTTCCCGTTGCGAATGCTCGTTGCCATTGTGGTCATTCTAGACTGCCACTCTCTTCTCCAGATCTCACTGGGCGCTTGTACATGGGGCATTAGCTACCACGTCCGCCCCTTTGCATTAACGACAGTCATTCTGTGTTGCTCCATCACCTGTAATATCACAGGTGGCGTGCTGATTATGATCGGCGACCGGATTAGTCGCAAAAAGGACGTCATAGAGCGAATGTCCATCCAGGGTCTGACCGGGGAAGCCATGAAGAAGATGGAGAAGCGAAAGAAGGAAGAGGAGCTCAGAAAGTCTGAGTCCCTTATTGAGCCTTATCCCGATACGTGACAAGAGGACAATGAAATCATGACTTGGAGTTATGGGACTAGATCTATTTTAGATTTCTGGACTATCAATGACATTGTTTTTGTGTCCTATTTGGTCTTATTTTGTTTGCTATATATATGTTGAGACTCCTTAGTCTTTTAAATGATACCCATTCACAACTATCAAAGTCTCTTTCTCTTCTTCAATTTATTCTTACCGTTATAGCGAATACATCTTGAAGATCAGATACATAACTGCTGACTTCTAGAATGCTTTCCGGCCTCCCTTTTTTTTTTCCTACGACGAACACACGAAGCGAATTAGTGCAATTTCTTGTCCTGACATGAGCACGTAAATATAGATTTATGACAGCAATAAATTCGTTAATAGGCATAAGTCGTAATGTTCTGAAAGCCAAAAAAAAAAGTTCCCATCAAAATAAATAGCGAACTACGTAATCCAAATTTCAACCAACATCCTCATCATTTGGCATTTGTGTGTTTTCATTCGGATCTGCTGATGATGTATTTCCCTCGGTCTGTTGCAATACCGGGGTTGCATCAGGACTACTGATGGCAGCTGCAGTATATTCTGCAGCATTCCTTCTTGTCTTCGCGCCTTGCTTGAGCTTTTCCCATCTCTCACGGTACCTGCCTAGGACAGACTTGAGTTTCTCGTTTTCGCGGACAACCATGTTCTTTTCCTTCTCAGAGCGCTGGATGATATCTTCAAGTTCCTTGATGCGTTTCTCGTGATTGTCGAACGTCGATGGAGTATTATTGCTTATAATGGGATGTGGTGTGGGAATTGCCGAGGATGCAGTTGGCGATGAAGAATTGTATTGCTGGTGATGCATTGCTTTCAGAGACTGCTGGAGAGCCATAGAGGATGATTGAGCATTCACCTCCCACATGTGAAGGCGTTTGGAAAGTTGATCGGATAATTGTCTTAATGCGTCATTTTCCATGCGCAATTCTTCCAGCGTTTTGCTACCTTTGTCAGAACCACCACGCGCCAACCTTGACCGGCTTCCTGTCAGACTCTGCCGCATCTCTGGTGAAGCCGGCGTCTCTCTTGCATCTACAAAATCTTCATCGCCGCCGTCATCCATACTGCCACGTCTGGCTTCTTTCTCTGCACGAGACAGGATGCCAGCATAGGAAACAGTTCCACCTGTGGTTGGTACTACATAGAAGGATTCCGTGCCATTGCTAGGCATCCCCCCATTGGCATCGCGGACCGCTCTTAAAGCAGCACGCGAAAACAAATTATTGATGTCCGGCTCGGCAGATGCGCTAGAACGTTGTGAAACTGCATGATTTCGGTCGATCTTGGTTTCAGCAGAGGACTTCTGTCGAGCAGGATCAGAAGCATCAGTGCCTAGAGGAAGCCCAGCAAATGCCAAGGGGGCAGATAATTTGGAAATAAGACCCTCGAATGTCGAATAAAATCGTTGAAAAGTCTCGTCAGTTCCAGAGACGAGCCCTCGTTTCCGTTCTAGTTCGTGAGTATCGGCTGGAACGATCTGACGTGATGTAATCTCAGTCGGGCTGATGGAGGGGGAGGACCATGGCTGTCTAGGTGCGTGCGAGGTTTTGCCAGCTCGTTCTCGCAACCTTCCCTCACTTGTCTTGGCTCGAGATGGAGAATCTGTTAATTGGCCACCAGCAGGTTGAGCTGAGAGTGTCGGAGAAACGGGAGAAGCTCGGCGCGGGTAGGAAGGGATCCCACGAGCAGACGCAAGGTTGCTGGCAATCGATGAGGTGTCTCTTTGCAACTGTCGATTATGCCCTGGAAGCCTCGGTGGCTGTTGTAGGAGATCGTTTGCCGGCCCAGATGCTAAAGGTGTACTCTTGGAAGGGCCAGAGGCGTCAAGGTGGTCCCTGGCATTAGATTGTGCAGGAGATGTTGTTGGTGGCTCGGAGCTTGGAATGCTGGCAGGGTGTTCATGCTGAGAGCGTAGGAGGGTAGCAAGCCTTTTATGCTCTTCTTCGAGCAGTTTCAAAGTTCGTAGAGCCTATATAAACACTCGATCGATCAGTTTCAATGTCACGGTTCGGTGAAGAAATCCAAACATACGTAAGCATCCAAGCAATGCTGCGATGCAGTCGCAAATTCCCCTGCCGCCAAGTCATGTTCCTCACTCGCTGCGACTGGATTCGACTTTCGAGTCTCTAACATAGCATTCCGCGCATGAGTGTGCGCCTAGTGATTCCATCGAGTTAGCGGCGAGCCCAGAACGCGAGGACTTGGGTCGGTCATACCAGCGTCAGAGGAACGCTCTCCATCACAAGAAAAGGTCATAGAAATGACCTCGCTAGCCGTGATATCGCCGTGCTAATTAGTCCTGCGCAGAGATGACTTAAATAGTTGACGCGGGGAGTTTCAGCAACGTCACTGCGGGAACGGGAGAGCTAGATAGGCGCATGAGAAGAACAAAGGAAGCTGTATATGCTGTTTGTGGACAATGCCTGGCATGTAGGGCCTTGTTACAAACTTGAACAAGGAGACTTGTCAGGTTGTTGGCACAAGGCAGGCAGCTAGACATGTGACTGCTGATTGATTCCTCAGGCGTCCCTCCGTAGGTGGCCAGCCAGCAGCAGACGTTCGCTGGCCAATCACGTTGCTCGATGGTCCGTCTCCCGCATCTTCCCCCCCCTAATGCCTAGTCGTTGGTTGCTCTTTCCATGTCCAGCCGTCACATCGATCTGTCCTTCTTGTCCGCCTGGGAATTGCTTCCATTTTGCATCTCCGCAGATCTAGAATACTGCTCTGGCTCCTTGGGGTGTGTTGTTTTCATCCACAGCCCACAGTTGATTTCAAGGCTAACTATCAGGCACTAGACTCAGCCGTAAGCCAACTAACTAGAAGCAGCCCAGGCCCCGACGCTGTCGTCACCCCCGTTGTGGTCGAGTCCACCTTCCGACGTCGCTGAATTCGCCTGCCTAGCCCATCCAGTTTCAAATCATCAATTTCGTATTCCCTCGATACGAAATACGAGAACCACTGATACCTCGTATAAGTTCGAATTCCCACGCGATCCAGCTCGGCGGGGAAAATGCTGCTTCAGCAACGTCGATACTAAAGCTCCTGACTACAAGCCGATAAGCGAAACCGTGCCATAATCATCGACTTTCTGATATCGCTACATGGAGGCTGCATACCATTGCTGGCCAACTTCTTGATTTCCGGTACTGCGTCCTACACCCAGGACAGCACCCGTATATCTTGCAGCGGTCATGGACGGCACGCAGGATTCGACACCGCTGCAACCCCCTTCAGGAGGTCTCAAGAAGGCGTTCTCACGACAAAACCGAAGTCGTGTAACTCAAGGCCAGGACTTGGAAAGTAATGCAAGCTCCGGTCGGAGCAATGGCCGTTCCTCAGTGGACTCAACTCCGGAGAAGCGCCCAACAACTAGCGGAGAGCCAGGAGTGGAAGACTCTTCTAGTCGTTTATCAAAACTGATCAACAATCGAAGGAAAAAGAAGCAGACCGTGGATGACAAGAGGCCGAGTTCTGTTGCGTCTGCTGACTCCGCACTTGACCCTAGTATGAACGGTACCCTGTCGATGCGAAATGGATATTCCGTTTCGGTGTCGTCCTCTGCAAATGGCAGTACCAATGAACTAGATCAATCAGCCGGCATGGTTAATCTACTGACCGATGACTCTGAACCAGACCAGTGAGCTTTGGCATTGTTATCTTGTTAATTGTTACGGATTCAGGAACTGACGAGTCCGTTACATGTCTAGTACACCTCCCCTTCTCTCGCACGACTCTCATTCTGGGTATCTCACCGCCTCTTCGCCATTGGTTAGGACCACAACAGTAGGCGAGGAAAACGATGAGCTCAAAGAGACTTCGTCAATACAATCCTCATCACCCTCAAGACGACATAGCATATCTGCCCCGGAAGCGTCATTAGGCTATTTAGGCGTAACATCAACAATATCAGGCCCTGACTCGGAGAGTGTAAAGAAAAGGGCCGTCTCCCCTGCAAGACGACTAAAAGATGCTTTCAAGCCGTCCCAAAACAAAAAAAGCCCTAGTGTTAGTCCGGACCGGGAATCAGCACCATCGGTGGGAAGTCAAAGAAAGAGGGGCCACAGTCTGCTTGGAGGTTCAAGCCGTAGAAGCAGTCTCTCTGACAAACGATCTACGAAAAGATCAGCGAGTCCGCCGCCTCCTCTACCAATATCCATTTCCACGGATTTCGTCGACTCGAGTAAATCCCAGGTAACTGACACAGCGAATGATGTCGGAATACCTTCCCCCTCGGCAACAGATGACTCAAAAGTAACAGTAACTCCACCAACGCCGACTAATCTAGCAGGAGAATTTTCAACCCGTTTGACAGAGTCGCCAGAAACGGTGAACCCTGCGCCGTCAGAGTTTCCTCCTGGCACGGTTGTTAGTCCATCGGGGAACATGATATCACATCGCCGGGTGCGTTCTGCAGGCGCTGTTTCTCATACTCCAAGCAAACTATCCCACATTACATCGTTGTCGCCCACGGTTGAGGAGCCCCGAGCCCCTAACTCACGTTCTCCCTCTGGCGCTCAAAGCGGATTTTTCTCTTCGGTCTTCTCGGCCGCTCAGAACGCCGCTTCCACCATAACGAACAGCCTTGGAGCTCAGAATAAAAACCGTATCACAAATCAATCAGTTGATGACGACAAAGTTCAGGCAGACACTGCTAATGATGCGGAAAATCAGGCAGAGGGCGCCACTCAGGAAAAGCAGAAAGAGCTCGCCATCGATACCCTTGGGAGTGGTGACTTGAATTTCAGCCATCTCGATATGGATTCTGCAGCAGGTGGAATTACCACAACAAAAGATGGCGTTGTTATCACCCAGCCAGAGCTAGCCCAAGAGCCGCGTACATCCAGCATCGCGGCAAGGAGAGATCAAATGTCTGCGCGTATTGAAGATTCGAGAGCAGCCAGAGCCGTTTCGATGGCTTATGAGAAAGACTTACCGTCAACCAATGTAGCTTCTGCATCCGATGAAGCAAGCGACACTAAGTTCAAATCTACCACGATACTATCAGAGATGAGTGGAGAACAAACGCCCCCTGGAGGAAGCATATTCGATGGAGACACCGGTGGTAGTATCAAACGTACTGGAAGTGTGCGTAGTCGGCTGGCCCGACGTCACCGTGGCTCTTCAGGTGCTACTGGATCAACAATCGGTGCTATTGGTCTCAGTGTAGGTTCACTAGCCATGCCTAACAATAACTCAAGTGTGCCACGCTTGACTGGTTTTGCTGTTGCAAGCAAAAAACGCAATCGTGACTACCATCAGCTTTTTAGAAGCGTTCCAGAGGATGATTTCTTGATCGAGGATTATAGCTGTGCATTGCAGCGAGACATCATCCTTGCTGGACGGATATACATTTCAGAGGGGCATATCTGTTTCTCTAGTAATATTCTTGGATGGGTGACAACACTCGTCATAAGCTTCGATGAGATCGTAGCAATTGAAAAAGAAAATACAGCCATGGTGATCCCGAACGCAATCGCTATTCAAACATTGCATGCCCGACATACATTCCGAAGCTTACTCAGTCGTGAAGCGACATACGATCTGATGGTCAATATCTGGAAGATCAACCACCCCTCCCTGAGAAGCTATCTCAACGGCATGCGAATTGACGATGGGCTTGGTGACAAGACGGAAAAGGCAAATGAAAGCGATATTGCCAGCGACGTGGCCGATGAGGATGAAATTTATGACGAGGATGAGGATAATGAAGGGGATAGCCTAATCGATGGCGGCGATGAGAGCATCATTGGAAGTGAATCTGTTGAACCTGTCAAACAGTTCAGCCGAGAGACAACCGGTTTGACCATGCACTCAACTGAGTCGGCCACAGCCATGTCAGCTGATACGAAATCAAATGATAAGGGGTTGTCTATCTCAGGAGAGGCCAATGACTTCCCTGGGCCAGCTACACACACGCCTACGGAGTACACTGACCCGTCAGGACGATATGAGAAAGTCGTGAAGGACGATACCATACCAGCCCCTCTAGGGAAGGTGTACACTATGGTATTTGGGCCGAACTCCGGGGCCTTTATGAGCAAGTTCTTAGTGGAGGATCAGAAGTCGATGGATTTACAATTCGAAGACGACAAAAAGGGACTGAATGACACTAATAAAACCCGCCAATACTCGTATATCAAACCACTAAATTCATCTATTGGCCCGAAGCAAACGAAATGTATCAGTACCGAAACACTTGATTTCCTCGACCTGGAGAAGGCCGTTCTTGTTACACTTACTACTCAAACACCTGATGTCCCCAGCGGCAACGTCTTCAGTGTTAAGACCAAGTACTTATTTACCTGGGCACCGAACAATCAAACTCGATTTTTCATGTCTTGCACGATTGAATGGACAGGCAAGAGTTGGCTTAAAGGTATGAATGACGGAAAATGATGGCTTCTGCTTTTACTAATAGGATGACTAGGACCTATCGAAAAAGGCGCCATCGATGGACAGAACGCTTTCGGGAATGATCTCGTTAGGGCTCTAAAGAGTGGTGTCAGTGCTCGCGTAGCCAGCGTCTCCAAAGGTGCTAAAACTCCCAAAGGTCGTCGGAAGAAGGGAGTAGCCAGTACTAGCAAGTCTGCGGCCGCGGCCGCTGCCGCGAGTGCCGCTCTCGATGCGAATAAACGGGATCAACAAAATTGGGGCATGTTTGAACCTATTCGCGGTCCCCTTAGCCCCATTGTGGGAATTCTCAAGCCTCTCTGGAGCGCGCATATGGCTCTTGGGATCATTGCATTCTTGGTATTCACGCTATATACGAAGGGGTTGACTACTACCACAACTGTTCCTCCAGATATGAACCTCGTGAGATTCACGACTCCGCAACGGCTGGTCGCATATGAGGAGATATGGAGAGCTGAGGAGAACGAACTTTGGAGGTGGCTGGAGGACAGGGCCGGGATGGAAGGTATCAGCTTCCCGACTGGTGATCAAAAACACGAGTCTGAGACACGTGCACGGAGACGAAGTCAGAAACGCCGTAACCAATCTCTAGCCTCGAAGATCATCGATGAACAAATTTCGCAGCGGGAGATGACTTATGCCATTCAGGTTGTTCGCGATCGTCTTGACAAACTTGAAGAGGTTGTCGGCGGTCAAAACTATGCCTCTGAACCGTGATTAGAGTAAAGTCACTCTAATCAATGTGAGACAAACCTAACACCCTACTTTCTTTTTCTCTATATTTTCTTCACTGTTCTGTTATTTCATGCTCTGTTTTGGTCAGTGACCGAGAGCATTGTCGTCTCCATATATTCTTCTCTTTTGTTAAATTATTTGTCTTTGTCTTTGTCTTTGGCATAAGGCGTTAGCATCGGTCAAGTTTATCGCGTGTTTCTTTTCTGGCAATGTGTTTTGACGCTGCGAAGTACTGCTTCTTGGCCTTTGTGCATTTAGATGTCCAGTGGAATAATGCGTTCCACCTTGCATTTACATACTTCGATAATTCTAGGAACAGAGGTTATTTGTATATCTCCGTTCCTATACTTCACTCTCTCTACTTGCATGGCGCGTCGATGGTTATTTTAACTTTTTTCTTTTACTTCTTTCCTCTTAATCTTTTCGGTTGTTTGATAGAATGACCATGTACAGGAATATGACTTTGTCGCAAGCAATAAAATAGCTGAAGATATTGATCCTAGTCGGTCCTAGCAACTTCCATGGGATTGGGAAATAAATCACTACCTAGGTACCTAATCGTTCATGACAACACCGGCTTCACGACACGTAAAATGTTGCATTTCCCCTGATATCCTGAGAACTGCTTCCGACCAGGACATCGAACGCGCCTGGTTCAACAACGTACTGCATGTTGACATTCCAAAGCCCTAGATCGCTAACGTTCAATGGGATCTGTACAGTCAGTGTTTCGCCGGGACCAAAAACAACCTTGTCAAATCCTTTTAACTGTCTGTTGGGCACGACCACAGAGGCATAACGGTCGACCACATACACCTGAATGACTTCAGTTGCGTTACGGGACCAATCCTCATTAGTTACGTCCACGCTGACGGTGATTGTGTCCGTGGACGTTGCGTTAGTTTTGTCCAGCTTCACGATCCCATAGTTGAACGTCGAATAGCTTTTCCCATAGCCAAACTCATACCACGGCAGAGGCGCACCGATAACATATTGATGCCCAAAAACAATCGTGCTGTTCTCGGTCACCCAACCAGAGTCTGTGATTGATCGGGCTGAATTGAGGTAGTCGTAATAGATGGGCAGGTCTCCCACCGAACGCGGAAAGCTGACTGAAAGCTTTCCCGACGGGTTATAGTCACCGAAGAGGACATCAGCCAGAGCGTTGCCGCCTTCTTCTGATGGGTAGAATTGTTGAAGCAGGGCAGCTGTTGAATTTGCGATCCATGTGTCTGTAACAGGCTTGCCGGAGGAGAAAACAACAACAGTTGGGACGCCAGTGTCTGCGATAGCCTTGACTAGTGGTCCCTGAGCGCCAACCATATTGAGGTTGTCTAAGTCAACATGTTCGCCAGTGCTTAAGTTCTTGGATGTTAATGAAGAAGAGCAAGAGAGAGCTGGAATGACTCGATCACTCACGTTGCATTGAGCCCTTCCCAGAGCTGTTTTTGATCTCTGGACCATGTGCCTACTACGACAACGGCTACATCTGATTTCTTCGCCGCTTCAATTGCTTCTTCGAATCCAGACTCGTCATTACTCCAGCGCTCGCAGCCTTGAGTGTAGTGGATAGTAGCTTTGTCTCCAACTGCTGCTTTAATCCCATCAAGAGGCGTGACTCCCCGCCACTGACTTTCGTACACAACGTAGTCTCCGTACTAGAGGGGCCAACGTCAGCTTAAACCAGGCCTTTCAAGGAAGCAGATCGACGTCTTCTTACGTTCATGTAGCCATGAGCCATTGGGCCGATTACCGCGATGCTTCCGCTCTTCTTCAACGGAAGGGTATTGTTATGATTCTCGAGGAGGACAATCGATTCACGGTCCAGATCCCTTGCAACCTGCAAATTTTCCGGCGTGTGAATGAGGTTACTCCATTGGTCCGGGGGAGCACCTGGATATGGATTTTCAAAAAGGCCCATCTCGAACTTGGCCCGTAGTAGTCTCGAGACTGCAGTATCAAGGGTGCTGTTGTTAAGTTTCCCTGATTCTACTAATGCCGGAATTGTCCTAAAGTTGCTAGCAAACACGAACAAGACGTATATGTCAGGAGGCTTGCTTGGGTAATCTAATGCTGCTGAAGAAGATGACGATGAGAATACTTACAATGACCCGCCACCCATTTCTACATCATTTCCAGCTGGAAGAGTAGCCAAGGTGATGTATTCAGAATCAATTGGTGAGTCCTGGCACATGTTAAACGCAGTGCATATTCTGTCAGTTGCACCAGCATCGCTGATGACCCAGTAATCGTATCCCCATTCGTCTCGAAGCATGGATGTAAGCGTATGGTAATCAGCTATGGCAGGGATACCGTCATAGCTAGTATCGAAGCTTAGTCTTTGCTTATTGCCCTGTTCTCTCAAGACTATGGATTTCAATCTCACCAGTGATAAGCACTCATAATACTCCACGCTCCTGCATCAATAATTGCTCGCTTGTAGGAGGGTTGCCATCTTTTTTTGCCCTATCAGCGAGGATTATTTTAGGCATAGGCGAGGGAAAATCAAACAAACATTGTTCTTAATTCTCTCTGTCCGCCACGAACCGGGCTCGTGTTCACTCCTTGCTCAGGGTTGCTGTAAGCCATGTAATGCTTAACTGTGGCGGAGACATTTTTGCTCTGCAGGCCTTTAATATAGTGGTAGGCAATTTCTCCTGCAAGAAACGGGTCTTCGGAATTTGTTTCTTCAACCTATGTACTTATTAGCTTGGGGACATGATGGTTGCTCCATATGGGTAACACATACTCGACCATAGCGCAATTCACGAGCTAGATCTGCAAGAGGAGCAAAAATCTGTGTTACGCCTAGGGCACGAGCTTCTTGGCCGATTACTTCGCCCATTTTTCGTACCAGCTATTAACACAGATATGTTAGCTGTCCCTCCACTGACTAGTCAAAATCGTGTTTGATGGTGATATAGTTTTACATCTCGATTCCATGATGATCCATAGCCAATGGGAGAGTTGAAAATGGTGGCATTCCCTATCAGGAACCCATGAATGCCTTCAGTCTGGACCAGCGCTGGAATTCCAAGGGTTGTGTTTTCGACTAAGTAATTTTGGCCGATCCGAATATTTGTAGCAAGCCATTCCCATGAGATTGGATAGCCAACTTTTCAAATGTTAGCCAATGCAGCCTCAAGGAGAATATGGGCCGGAGAAAGACGCTGCAGTAACGTCTCCATACCATAGAACATCCCCGCTTTCTCCTTCATGTTAGCCACGAGGCCGCTTGAATTCAATGCACCGGTGGTTTCGTTCATCCAATTGGTAATGTCGCCTTTATTTCCCGGTAGTCGAATCCAGTTAGTTCGTCACTATTGAGTTTTATTCTGTCTTATATATAGTGACGCGGCATACCTTGCATCAGCTGTGCCATTTTGTCCTGAATCGTCATTCTTCCCAGCAAATCCGCAACCCGCTGCTCAACTGGGAGCTCGGGGTTTTTGTACGGGGGCAATGTACTCGCCCATGCTGTACCCAACAGTAATAACCATGAAGAAATATGGGTAGGTATCATTGTAGAAGCGGCTTTTTTGCACTAAGATCTCGAAAATAACTCCCTAGCGACATACAGTTGGAACAACATGGCTGGACCCAGTCAATAAATAACGTGCGGTTCCGTGAACTAATAAACAAATAAACAACTCAGAAGCTAAGGGTAAATAGAGGTGTACTCGTGCAGTAGCGTAGATGATACAGAGATTCAATCCATCTGGAATCGGTAAAAGTCCGATCCCTCCCAACGACTTAGGGCTTTTCTCCCGTGACTTTCCCAAACGGGAAATTTTCCAATGTCGTGCATTCATATCCCAAAGCAAATGGAAGAATAAACGGCAGAGTAACATACGAACTTAGTTTGATTTAAGGTTTGAGGTGCGGTTTTTACACTGAACTATATGATGACATTGAGACACACTGCTACTTCAATCTCGCGCGGAGTATCGCTTGACTAGAGGTTCTTTCTGCAACTTAACACGTGCTTCCCCGAGATTGAGCTTACAGTAATAGGCAGTTTATCCGGCTAAATGAAAATCATACTTGTTTTATATTGCTTGTATCCACAAAAGTTCCGGCCGTTGCTAAAGCAATTCCGCGCATAGAGTCTGAATTTCCACCAATTATCATGAAACTGCGCATGCATGATAATATGCGGAGAATAAAGGAGGGGAAATAGTCCAAAAGAAAAAGAGGCAATAAGATATGACAAATGAATATGAGTGCTCCTAATACAAGAATACCCAAAGCGGCTCTACAATGATTAAGCACATGTGCACTCCAAGCTGACACTAAAGGCAGTGACATAGAGTTCCGCATCAGACCCCGTGAAAGGTTCAGTTCCAGCCTGAATAGATCGCAAGTATTGGCTTGAACTAAAGCCCTCGTACTCCTCGAGGTAGTCAAAGAAGTCAATCAAGTCACCGGAGAAACTAGTTTGCTCGCTAGAGGCCACGAAACTGTAGACAGTAGTATCTCCGTTTGGTCCGCTGTACAGCTCCCAGGTAACGCCTCCAATAGTAGGAGTGGCAATGGTAGAGCCGGTTGAAGATATGGGGCCAGCGCCTCCTAAGGCAGCAAGCCAGACCATAATTTCGTACTCGTAACTCCCATCGGCGCTGGAGCTGGTGAAGAGGTCATAAGCGACATCCGCTACGATGTCAGAGCCCGTGTAGCTATGTATCATGTGCTCAATTAGTTAAGGAAAAGAGAAGAAACTAAAGTATGGAAATGGCTTCATGAAATGGGGGGGGGGGGTACCTAGGTAGGAGAAAAAGGGGGAAATCAATGTTCATACCTCCAGTCCCATGTTGTAGGAATGTTTGCGATACCGCTCAATTCGGTAGCTTCGATAACGTATTCTGCGTTTGCGAAACTTTTGACGTCGTATGAGATTCCTTCCCATGACCAGGAAGTATACCAAGAGAGCGTGTTGCCGTCGAGAGAAACTATATTCGTGCATTGCGAACCGGATGTTGCTTCGGCTTCACCCCACAGATTATTGTATACGATGTAATTGCCATCTTCGGCCGTGTCCCATTGACCACAGAACTCAGCCCTCTTTGCCAAATGCTTCGCTGGAGTAGAAGTGGCAGCAGCGATGCCAAAAACACCGGCTAGGGTTATCGGTGTGAGGTACTTCATGATTCGAGAAGGACAAAAGGAGATGTAAAAATAGGAGACAAGATAGACTTCGACAAGCACAGATATTCTTCTTGATGAATTTAGAGAATGCAAATCATTAACTGGGCCAACGCGGCCTTATAAGACCTCGGCGATACCTATACGCACTCTATGATGCCTACCTGGCAGTGTTTAATTATTAGGGGAAAAGGGGGTCTGGCACTTTATTCGATGCGCCAAGCACGGCGAAAGCATCAATTCGAGGATAATACCCATGCCACAACATACTAGATAAAAATAGACCGAGGTGTTCTTACTGATTTTCCTCCAGTGAGACATGCTGAATTTTTGGTGTTTCAAGTAGATATATAGTAACTTGGAACGCTAAATTAAAGTAGATGCGATGAAACATCCGGCCGGGTTTCCGCGTAATATCAGTGGTTTTGCATCATCTCGGGTATATTAATTAAGGAGTAGAGTGTTCTCTAGTCTCTGAGGCTCCCTTGAGGGAAAAAGAAATACTTGTAAGAAGTTAAAAAGGAGATCTCTATAAGATCTCCAATAAGAACATTGTGGCAGGCGGTCGCCCAAACCAAAAGGGCACTGCTTAGCAAGCGAGATGCGAGGGCCTAGAATACTTCGACTGTCAATAATATTCATCTTGTCATTACCCCTTAGCATTAAGCCCAGAAGAGCGCGAAGAGACTATTTTTCAAAATCCAACCGTCAATGCATGCGACCATATGTTTTTGTTATCTTTCTCCTCTTTGGTTCAAGGATCTCCAAGTCACAAGGAGGAAGCCCGGTTCTTTGATGGCATAGTGACCATTGGACGAAATTCGTGTGTTAGCTAGATGAGATTTCCGAGCCCCGCTAATTTGCACAAATACGATGACTTTGAGCAGTAGGTTCTCTTTACTCCTTTTCTTACTGCTGAATCCTTCGAATAGGGTGTTCGGTTGTTTCCAATGAGTGGCGACTTTAAATGCGTTTGTAGTTTGTCCTTTCTATCAGTTGGGGTGTCTTTCAGTCAAGTTGAGGAAGCCAGGTACAACAGCATGTTAACCACTAAGCCACCAAAAGGGTCCCTTAAATAGTGCTTGTAGTAACGCTCATTTTATGTGAAAATTATGCCTTATATTCCGCTGTTAGATGTGACTCGTAGCGACTTCCACACTTGGCAATAGAAACTTTGAAAAGCACTGTAAATAAGATAACTGCATGGGAATATTTCACGTTTTGCGAGCAGAAAATAGCGAGAGGAAGGTGAACGAATTTGGAGAACAAAGAGGAGAGTCCTCGAGCTTGTACCCTGGCGCTAATCCGCTTTGGGATCATGTAGGCAGATGACAGAAATTGACTTGATTCAAATCAACTATCAAGTTTTGTGATCAATATGTTTTTACTCTAGTGAGATGCGCCTTATTTTTAGCGCTTAAGTAGATATAATATACCCTATATAGTATATACCAAGAACATGACTATGTCTCCATAACAGAAAATGTAGAGGTACCGGCCAAAGAGCATATGTGAAGATATACATACATGTGGTGGGTGCATAGGAGTGTAATGATAGTATGTGCGAAACCCCTGTTCGAGATGATAAACAAAGCAAAATGCAACAAAAAAAAGCAGTTGGCCTAAACACGATGCCTTTATACAATGCTAATTAAATACATAAGAACAAATAGCTCAATGTGTAGCAAATCACACACTGAAGGCCTTCTCTCGAGAGGAAAAAGAAATGGGAAAAAATACACCGTGTATTGATTAATATCAACACATTATGACTCTGGAGCATGGGAACTTGGCACATCCTCATTTTGCTGCGCTGCCCTGAACGAGTTCTTCGAGCCGAGGAGCGTCCCTCCAAGCCAGGCCAAATGACCGCTAATCGAATCACTGAAGCTCCTTGCCCGCATACTCGAAGCAGCATTGGTGTCGGACTTGGAATTAATCACGTCTGCATTGGTGGTCTGCCTGCTGTTTATAGGCCGTATGTCCGTTGTGGAATCCATGCGCTGACTATCGGCCACAAGACCCGTGTCATGGTTCTCACCATTGAAGGCATCAGCTATCAACGGCGCTGCAGCCAACCTTCTGGTTTTGGCGGATTTGCTGCGTTGATGCTTCACCGAATTGCCTTCACCGCGCAAAAGAGAATCTGCCACTACAGCAGAGAGTGTGGAAGAGAGGGGTGTAATTAGTGAGCCTAGCGTCAGTCGCAAAGTGACCGAATTTCTTGAGCTAGATTGTGGAGTGCGAGGAGTACTGCGGCGTCGCTGCGTAGGTGTCCTGGCATCTGCTGGTGGTTGAAGGGAGTTTGTTGATTGGTCATGATGTCCAGTAATTTCTGACGACGGACTCTCATCGGTTGTGGGAGCAGATGGGAAGCGAAAAAGAAGCGGGGGAGTTTGTGCTACTTGCAGCTGCCGACCTTGAGGAGTTGCTGGAATGCTTTCCTGTACAGGTAAGCTAGGCCGGGAGTCAGGCTCCCCAGCATGCTCGGACAAAGCCCAAGGGTTGCTAGTCAAAGACTGAGAAGGGACAGGTGGTGAAGGCGTGGCTAGCTCTTGGGATAAATAATCTTCTGATATAGATTCGTCTTGGTCGGATCCCGCAGGGGAGAGGAGACCTTTGGGGGTGCTTAGGCTCTGGCCTTCTGAAGTTGTGCTATGCGTTGAATTCCGGGAAGAGCGTAGTTGGCTTGGGCCACTGACAACCACATTGTTTGGTTTTTGTGCTCTTCGGTCTAAAGCAGAGGGTTCATCAATTGAATCGCGATACCGTTCACGATCGAGGAATCTGACGCCTGCTTCTTCGTCTTCGTCCCCGTAACTGAGCTCATCTTCATGACGAACTCGACCACTAGTAATGAAATAAACACCAAGGAATGTTAAAGCGCACCCGCCAACAAACTTCAAAGCTCGAGACAAAGTGGCTGACTCAAAATCACGGTACAGAACGGCACTTCCAATAATAACAGAAAGAGTAAAAAGAACGAATTGGGTGGGAATAACTTGTGTAGAGTCGAATCGCTGCAAGGCGCGATTGATATATCGTACTTGCATCAAGGCGCTAAAAACAAGCACCGCAACAAGTAAATATGAAATCGGAAAAGTAATTACATGCCATAATGTAAACGAGAGTAGCGACGCAACGCCTTTAGTTGAAAGGGCAGTATAGCCACCTTTGACTTGTTAGCTGAGAACGTAACACTTCTAATCTCCGTGCTAGAACTTACCAAACAGACCAACCAAGCCCAAATCAATCAAGATTGTGCGACTTCCGTATTTTCCACTCAAATACATGAGGATTATTATCAACGCAGTGGTGAGGCCCAGATACAATTCAAACTCCCACTTTGTGATCATCACCCAGATATCATGCGGGCCGATTTTGGTCTCGGAGGTTTCTGCGCTCAGTACCACCACCACTGCTCCAGCGACGGCAATCACAACACCCCAGAAATCGCGTGCTCGGAATTTCTCCTTCAGCAAGAATGGAGCAATCATGCAATTTGAAATCAATGCAACAACTCCCAAGGGTGACACAATGGAAGCCGGTGCGAATCCATACGCGAGAAAATTCCCCAATTCTCCTAGAGACATCAAGACAATACCAGCCCACCAGTATGGTGAATGTAGATAACTTGGGCGGTCGCCATGTGTTGCGTCTCCGTCATTAGGTCTTAACGTATGATCGGAAATAACAGAATGATCCGTATTATCTGGGTCGCCCGTTTCCTGATCATTGTAGAATTGATACCGATCATTGGTATATTCCTGTGCATGCTGTCCATTCTCAAACTGTTCATAGCTCTCATGGTCTGGGTCATCCCTATAAGGAACATCGATAGAACCGTACGTGCTTGCCGACAGATGCCTCCGAGATCTCATACGGACTCGCTCGCCTTCGGCTTCCTGATCGATGCGTACATGGGCGTATCGCTGTATATTGAGAGCGAATGAAATCAATATATTCCCACATATGGCCACTACTATTCCAATAAACGACGACCACCTCTGGTGTTTTTCATCTTCATCTCCGTCTCCCAATAATAGAGATAGCAGACCGAATGCAGAAGAAGTAGTAGTCTGAGAGTCAGAACCGAGCACTTGCGGTACCGACGAAACTGACGCCGAGGGCACTGGTCTTGCTAGCGCCATGCTGGATAGTGTGTATCCCATTGCTGTCAAGTGCTTGCGAAGGATATCCGGGCGTTCCCTTTTCAGCGCTACCTCTCTGCCTCAACGGAGCCTACGGACTGAGTCGCTTGCCCGCTGGTTGCATTATGGCCAATAACTCAAGAATCTCCGGTTACTCAGGCTGTCATCCGCGGTATTTTCGGTTTATGGTTCTGGGAAAAGCGCTGTCTTGTCGCGAAAATCGAGCGCGAGTATTCGCGCGAGCAGGGTGCCAGAAATGACGCAATAAACGAACAGCGGGTCTGTGTGGGGAGGAAGGCAGTCAGTCAACGTAGGGAAATGAGACGAAACCCAGTATCGAGTCAGTTAGTCTTTACGACGTACCGTCCTAGGAGGTGCTAGGAAAAGCAGAGCGACGCAAACTTCAGGTTTTCCTTGACGTCGCCTCGGCGGTGCAGTAGCAGTTTGCAGAAGCCGCGCTAGTTCCTCATCTGGGAAGGGCCCGGCGGCTAATTTATTTGACGTCTGCTAATAGTACGTAGTACTAAGTACGAAATAGTAAACACCAGACGTCCAATTTATTTTGATTTTGATTCTAGTCTGCTTGATATCTAGTATCAGACTGCAGCATAATAGCTCTACCTAGCGGTCCCGTGACCCAGTGCGGTGCCACGTAGGCTGAATGGCAAGTCTGAGAATGCGTGGCATTACATCTCCTTGCATGAAGAACATACAACGCTAGTGATAACATGTGCATGTGCTATCATACGCATCACCAAATCCTTTTTACTTTCTCATAATTAACCACAGACATAGTTTTTCCCAAGTAGCAACGTACATGCCCAACCGTCGAACCAGAACAACGCCTATCCCTAGTATATACAGTATATATAAAGTGTAGAAGTGCATCATCACCTTTGACAACCTACCGCCGCATTTTCTTCTTTTCGGGGCGCTCTTCTTCTTCGTCGCTAACCTCCGCATAAATAGTCTTGGGCTGCGTCTTTGCCCAGGCCTTAGTGAAGATGGGATCCTTCTCAGCCTTTTCAGCATATTTCAGAAGCGCTTCGCGTGGATCCTCATCACGCATCGAGCTTAGAGGGATGTTCTCGCGGATGTGTTTCTCATCGGGTTGTGATTTCGCAAAAGGGGTTTGTGCAGGGAGATGCGGCCGGCGAGGATCTCTCGGGCGGCCAGATACAGTGAGTCCAATCGTAGGGTGACGTGCAGACCAGCTCTGTGCTGCAGACTGAGGCACGCCGTTTGCGCCGACAACTACCGAGTCTCCGGAGAACCCCTGTGATATGTCTGTGGTGAGGCTCGGGTCATCGTCAATGTGTCGGCGCTTGGGAGCCTTGGACATGACAAGAACAGCACCCTTAGTAGACATTGTCGGATTATAAAGAACATGGGTTTCCGCATTGGCAGACCCTGTTAATATCTGATTCAGTTTCTCGTGCCATAATACCGTAATCAGAGGCGACCCTGGCGTGACAGGTGATACAAGCTCTGGCTTCAATGTTGCTGGATTTAGGATATGGAGGTGACCCGTTTCAGACCCAGTAATAATATTGGTCCCGGTGGGAGAAAATTTGATATTTGATGTCGGATAGTGGATTGAAGATGATTGATGTGTTACACTCGTAATAGGCTGTTTGAACTTGCGAGTATCCCACAGTTTAATTGTGTCGTCGCCTCCTTTAGTTACTACCAGACGTCCATCGGCGCTGACATCAAGCCCGCTCGTCCAGGTGCCCCGGGTATGAGCATCCCTAACCTCTGCGGCTGGCCTCGTATATGGCCCATCCCCACTCCACATTACCAGGCTTCCATCGAGGCCAGCAGCAACAAGAACATTAGCTCCGCCTTGTTTAGGCGACGCCCATGCGACAGCTGTAATTTTGGCCCTGCCGGCTGAACCAGCAGCCCTAGACTTGTGCGCAATAACCTCTTTTTGATTTCGACCGACGTTGACATCCCATATCCTGACAGTGCTATCCGTTCCAGCAGTAGCACAAAGATTGTAGTCCGTTGGGCTCCAAGCCCCAGAAGTCACTTCCGAAACATGACCTTTCGTATTGTGCATATCTCGCAGATACATGTCGCCTTTGACAAATTCAGTGAGCACGTTACCGTCTCGATCAAGGATCTTAGGTTGAGGAGTAGCGGGGACCACTAGCATCTGACTGGGCGATATCGGGTTGAATGCGACGAAATGGACCGAATGCGTTTCCTGCGCGGCGGCATTCTTCTTCGCACTTGGGTCGATAGATTTGAAGGCGCGAAGTGTGGAAGGAGTCATGGATGGAAAATCGTGAAGCTTGATCGTACAGTCTGCAGATCCTGAGACAAGTCGACCTCCAGGAAGGTCGACTGACAGCGTTGTCACTGCTTTTTCGTGTGTTTTGAGTACAAGCTCATGGGACACAGGAAACTCGTCCTCGTCCTCGTCCTCATCATCATCATCATCATCGTCATCATCATCATCGTCATCGTTATCATCTTTATTTACTTTCGTATCATCGTTCGCCAACTGTAATCGAGGCTCGACGGCGCCTGCCTCTTCCTTTGCTTCGACTTCTACATTCGACTTCACATCTGTTCGCTTTGAGCGGTCGAATTGCACGGTAAGATCGGTCTTTTTCTCTTGCTTGCCAAAGCTGCTCGGGAAAAACTTCTTGAAAGCTTCCTCATCGAATCCGTCCATCTTGCTGATTGCTGGTAACATTCGAGGAAAATAAATTATCGGAAGTTGCGAGATACTCAGGCAAATCGGGATATGTTTGCGGTGTTTGCATCTAATTGCAGCTGTTGGCCAATCACCGTTTAGCTTCGCCCAAAGCTCTCCGCGTCGGAGAGAAGCAAAGCATGCGATATTGTATGATAGACCTTTTGTGACTATATTCAATATTATTCATAGTAGCGGTCTAATAGGAGCATGTGCAGTACCGAAATTATACCTGATTAGGAGCCATAAATAGCAACAATATCATTGAAGCGTACGAAATTAGTACCTCTATCTAACTAGAGTATCTGCGAACGAAGAGAGATCGCGGAAAACTTTTATATATATAGAAAAGCCATAAAATTCATTTTTCACCTGTTTTGCTCCGTTGCGTCACCAGTTCTCCGCCAAAGATATCCTTGCTTTCTTGTTCGCGCTTCTCGCGCTCCAGGCGACGTTTTTTAGCCGCTCTCTCCAGTTCACTTTCTGATGTACCTTCAGCTCCAGGAAGTTTCCCAGTTGAGCGTTTTTGTCCGCTGCCGGGCGCTGCAGGATCTAATTTTTCAACCATTTGGCATTGATATACCTTCTTCGCTATACGTTTCAGGTCCTTAATCATCTCAGGATTGGACGAGAGAGGGCTATAAGACTCCAATAGCATCGAGCAGTCGGATAGTGTAGACATCAACTTCGTGCGAATCATTTCTAGTGGGTTGCCGGCATCGACCGTCGTCGCGCCTGGTCCTAACTTCGTGTCAAGGTAGAATTGAGTGAGAGGTTTGTCAGCGACAAAAAGAGCGGCAAGCCATATCTGTGATGGGGTATAGAAGAAATAGGCATCTGTCATTTGTGCTGCCGTCTTCAGTAGTTCTCGTGCTTTCCCATGGGCGGCCGATATCCGAGAAGATATAGATACTCTATCCGAGGAAGACAGCGGCGCAATACTATGGATTGCCTGTTTCATGCTTTCGGATGTCTGTCCTGCATGATATGGGGCAGGCTTCCCTTCACCCAAGGCAATTGCTTGGAGTTCCATGATACCGCCTTCGAGACCGCGGAAAGGATGACGGACATCAAACGTGTATCTGAGGCCTTGGGTCAAGGTATACTCGGGAGCTATGACCTCTTCGGGTTTCTCTATCTTTGGCACTGCTTTTGCGAATTCGCGCAAGGAAAGATAATAATTGTCGGTCTTCGTAGCGAGGAAAAGTGCGCAGGGCATAATCGTCTTAGGGTGGTAGGTCATGACGGAATTCGTAAGATAAAATCGACGAAGATATTGGATAGCGGTTGCCTGAATGTGTGCGAGACACACAGAAGATTAATAAATATCTCTTCCTCGTTAAGATCGCAGGGCAGTTCTTTGATTCATCACTTACCCTGACCATAGTTGGTAAGGGTGGTTTATAATTGTCCCCAAGCTCCAAGGCTTGTTCGCAATAATATCTCACAAACATAAGCTCTTCCTCGGCGGAAAGACATTCAATATCCTTCCCAAGGACAGCCTCCACTTTTGTTTCATTGTCGCTTGGGTTGGGAGTCAGATTGCCACTTGTCGACGGAGTGGCAGACCTGGGTGCCTCGCGTGCTCGATGCTGCACGGCGCGAAGACGCTCACTAGCAACCGCATTTGTATTCGCTCGCAATGAATGTAGAGATTCCTTCGTGAATGACCATATCCGGAACTGGGTTGAAGCCTTGTAGATTTCGTCCTCGATCATGATGGAAAAGCGAAGCGGAAGTTGATACCTGCGAAGGCCTCGCGGGCCCTCAAAGAAGAGTATTGGAGCTTACCAAATCGAAGGAATCGTATGCAGACTAGCTCGCGCTCTGCTGAATTCAGCTTAGATGCATTGTCAAAGGGGTTGAAAAAAACTCCGAAGACATGAGCGCGATGAAGTCTCCTAATTTTCCTGCGAGCTTATGGACTCTGGGCGTTAAGCTCCGTTGACAAGCGGTGGTGAGCTTATCGATTAGAATCCGCCGCCATGGCCCTGTAGCCTAAGGCTCTATAAGCTCACCCTAGGCCTAGAGTATTCCGTGCTAGTTACTACTGAGCATGAAAATGATCAAATAACTGCAGGCTACAAAGCTGGATAGTATATTGATTGCTTGCCACAGACGTTGATATTTATCCCCATAACTGGCCTACTCATGATCAGTAGTTAGGACTTTAGCAGCGATATGTATGCATGGTGAGATGGTTAAAGGTTATGTATGCAAGCAAGAAATAGTATCTACCAGAATCCTTTCAAAAGATTATATCCAAAAAGACAAGAAAATGAACGAATGATACTATCGTAAAGCATTCGCCAGGCTCCATACGCTGCTTCAGCCCCCCAACCAATCCCTTCCTAAATCGCTCGTAAGTCGTCTCATAAATGCGTTCATTAATCATGGTTCACCCAAGAGATACGCGGTAATATCGCCTACATATTCAGCTTCAAGCTCATAATCGGCCCCGTTATTACGATCGATTCCAACATATTTGAAAGCTGCCACAACGCGGTCTATGTCGAATCCCATACCACAGAAGCGGTCCACGAGGTCCCTGTTATACCCGTCATATCTGATAGAAAGGAAGATCAGCAGGATATTGCAGAAATGGAAAAAGGGAAAGAATCCCATACGATGTTAGAGCATCTCGCTCTTGGTCTTCTTTTGCTTTGCGTTCTTGCTCGCGTATAGAGGCGTCAGTGGCACCCCCACTGCCTTCAGCAACCTGTTTCTTAGGAGCGCCTGCGTAGTTTATAGCCCATTCCCTCGCCACACGTTCGAATTCCTTTGGTTTATGTAAGAGCATATTGGCGACTTCTGCATCTTGAGGATCCTTGGGTTCGGGCGTGCTGAGGAGTGACTGAAGTGAGAGGAGAGCAGATCTTATTGTGAGAACCGGGGACCAGGCACTTGAGAGTGTATCAAGACAGATGGCACCCTAGAGAAATTCAGCAAAGCATTCACTCCAAAGGGCAAAATTCGAGCTGCGAGCCTACAGTTTGACTGCTAACGTTGGGATGCCAAACTTTGGTTTCAAACCTCATGACCGGAGGCTTAAAAGGGTATTCATTCGGAATCTTGATGTCGACAAAAAACGTGCCGTCTTCATATGGCGTGCCAGGAGGACCACGGAACGAACCCCGCAAATGCGTGAGGTCATCGTCGGCTCCTGCTGGGTCTGCAGTCACTTGCGAATGAGAGTCATTATGAATATCCGCAATCTCCTTGGCAATGCGGCGAGTGCGATTCGAAGCCATCGTGAGAGGTAATCGGCGGAGTGAAGACGCTGAGGCGATGGAAAATGGCGAACAGTCTTAATCCACCAGATGCTGTTTGTTTACTTCTGGTGGCGGGAAATCGGGCTCAATGGGACAGAGCTGCAGGCTAGAGCTAGTAAACAGGGTATAGCAAATTTAGCCTGTAGCTTGTCCTTCAATAAGTCGGAATAGCGTCACGATATCGATACGGTGCACTATATCCCAGCAGTAGGAAGTTCAGCAGGGCAACTCGGCAGCGCAGGTGGTAGTCTGGCAGTAGTTGGAACTCCTTGATCGTCCACCGAATCTGCCTATCCAGCAGTTTATCGTTAAGGCTGGCTAAGAAGATGTGACGCACAGCCTCGTAGTTTGGCGGCCGCTGATTGGCCCGTGGGCTCTTGACGTGGACTCGGGCCTGCCGTCATGTCACGTGAGCGCGCACCCTGTCGGGCCGCGCAGAGCAACCATTCGGCGGCTGGACAGACAGCTCTCCTTCTGACAAACCAACACTACCACCACCACACCACACCACACCACACCAACGCGCCTGTGCGTGATCTTTCATCTGTCATTGCGACACTATATTCATTTCAGTGAGCTTGACGACGTGATTTGCTTCGTAAAGGCTCGGCTCTGTGATTCCTAGAGCTCCATATATCATGGTACGACCTGCAAACCGCCATACATACCAGCGAGCTCGATCATCAGCTTACTAACCTGTGACAGGGCAACCAACAATCCAATATTGGAGGCGGTGGAGCTGGCGGAGATGGAGGTGATGATAAGAGCAAGAAGGTACGCATTTTCTGAGATGGTCAGCAGGGTAAAGGGCTACGTACTGATAGCTTTTGAATCTCGACAGGACAAGCCTAAGTACGAGCCGCCACCACAACCCACTCGTCTTGGTCGCAAGAAGCGCAAGGCAGCCGGTCCAAACGCAGCCGCAAAACTTCCTACCATCCTTCCGACGGCACGATGTAAATTACGATATCTAAGGATGCAACGAATCCACGACCATCTGCTACTTGAGGAGGAGTACGTTGAAAATCAGGAACGCATCCGGAAAGCAAAGGCTCAGGCTACTGCACAGCCCTCAGCAACAGGGGACCTCGATGCTTTGGATAGAAATGCTGATGAGAGAGGCCGTGTTGATGACATGAGAGGAAGCCCGATGGGTGTTGGAAACCTAGAGGAGATGATAGACGACGACCACGCAATCGTCTCTAGTGCCACCGGTCCTGAATACTACGTCTCGATCATGTCCTTTGTCGATAAGGATCTTTTGGAGCCCGGGGCCAGTATTCTACTACATCATAAGTCAGTGTCAGTCGTCGGCGTTCTGACAGATGACACGGATCCCTTGGTGTCCGTTATGAAGCTAGACAAAGCCCCCACAGAGTCTTACGCCGATATTGGTGGTTTGGAGTCTCAGATCCAAGAGGTTCGTGAAGCTGTCGAGCTGCCATTACTACATCCCGAGCTTTACGAAGAGATGGGCATCAAACCACCGAAAGGTGTCATTTTGTACGGTGGCCCGGGAACTGGTAAAACTCTTCTAGCAAAGGCCGTGGCCAACCAGACCAGTGCTACATTCTTGCGCATTGTTGGTAGTGAACTGATTCAGAAGTACTTGGGTGACGGTCCCCGTCTCGTGCGTCAAATCTTCCAGGTGGCGGCCGAGCACGCTCCATCCATTGTCTTCATCGATGAGATTGACGCCATCGGAACAAAGCGATACGACTCGACATCTGGCGGTGAGCGAGAAATTCAGCGAACCATGTTGGAGCTTTTGAACCAGCTTGATGGTTTTGACGATCGCGGAGACGTCAAGGTGATTATGGCAACCAACAAAATCGACAGCTTGGATCCTGCGTTGATTCGTCCTGGTCGTATTGACCGCAAGATTCTGTTTGAGAACCCCGATCGTAAGTTGTTCCGTTGAATCCCCAACGCATATCCGTACTAACCGCAGTTTTTCCCACAGAAAATACCAAGAGAAAGATTTTCACGCTACACACCGGCAAGATGTCTCTCAGCGAGGATGTCGATCTGGACGAATTCATCAGTCAAAAGGACGATCTCTCTGGCGCCGATATTAAAGCCATATGTTCCGAGGCTGGTCTCATGGCTCTCCGTGAACGGCGTATGAGGGTACAAATGGAGGATTTCCGGACAGCTCGCGAGCGGGTTCTGAAGACCAAGAGTGAGAGCGAGCCAGAGGGGTTGTATCTATAAATGAGAATCTCGATACACACAGTGTCTCATTGTTCGGCAATCTTGTCTTGTCACTCGTTACACTGAATCTCTCCGTTGAATACTGTACTCTAAAGCCCCCTTCTTCTTAAGACGCCCCATAATCATATAAGCATTTGTCCACATAATCATGCCGTCAAGGCAAAGATGATTAGATAGGTATAAACTTTGATCCACATCATCTCTACAAATTCAATTTACTACGCATGGACATTGAACGTTGATAACAACGCGAAAAGAACAACACTTTCAAGCAGTTCAACCGAAGGTTGATAAATTCAATGTATTTCATTTTTCACGTAACTTGACAACGACAACAAAAACAAGAACAAGTCAGACAAGTCTAAATAGTCTACCAACGTGACATGACATGCACCAGTGGTCACAGATGCACTATCGATCAAAAATGGAAAACAAGTTTCCCTATTTCTCATCCATTCATTGTGCTTGCTCTCTGTGAGGAAAGGGATAAGTTTCTTTCCTCCTCCCATCTAACTCGGTGTCTTTCTATATGAATCCGTTGTTCTGGTTTCTCTTTTTGAAATCGGTCAAAAAGCGAGAAGAATGGGCGAGCAGCTAGAGGAAGAAGAATAGTTATATACGAATTAAGTTTTTAGACTGCTCCGGCTTCAACCATCTTCTTGCGCAGGTAGTTCTTGTACTCGCCAATGCTGCCGTCCCATCGGCGAACGGTCTTGTGCTCGCAGACCATGATATCTTTGGCAATCTTGTCCAGAAGACTGTGGTTTTCATAGTTAGCGATGTTTAGAAATTTGAAAAGGGGATAGGCGGATCTCTTACCGGAAATCGTGAGACACAACGACAACACCGCCGCTGAAGGCATTGATAGCCTCTGCAAGACTGTCAATAGTAGGGATATCGAGACCGTTAGTCGGCTCGTCTAGAAGCAGCATGTTTGGCGCTTCAATAGCGAGCAATGCGAAGACGATACGGCTCTTCTGTCCCTCGGACAATGTACCCATAAGCGCAGTCTGAGATTCACCAGTCAAACCATAACGACCGAGCTGTTGACGCCAGTATTGGTAGTCCTGGCTCTTTGTGCTGAACTTATCCCGCACGAAGTCGAGAGCGGACTTGGTCAAATCCAACTGCTCAGCAGAGTGCTGACTGTAGAGACCCATCTTCAAGTGAGTGTGACGGGTCACACGACCGCTGTTGGGGCTCAACTTTCCAGTCATGATACGAAGAAGGGTTGATTTACCAACACCATTAGGTCCGACTAGAGCAGTACGGGAATCCATGTCAACACCAAAGTCAAGGTTCTCGTATAGCGTATCGTCAGGCTTTCCAGAATACGAGAAAGTCACGTCATCAAACGATAACACAGGGGGAGGAAGCTTCTCGACATCGGCGAAACGGAAAGAAAATACTTTGTCGGGAATGACGGGCTGGATGAAACCATCTGCCTCCATCTTGTCAAGAATCTTTTGACGCGACTTAGCTTGACGGACCAAATTGGCGTAAGTACCAGCAGAAGCAATAAACTTTTTGATATGGGCAATTTCTTCCTGCTGTTTGGTGTATGCCTTCATCTGATTCGTTTCCTGCTCAGATCGAGTCTTGTGGTAGGAATCATAGTTACCACCGTAGTACAGGAGTTGCTTCATGCGCATGTCGATCATGTTTGTGCAAACACCATTCAAGAAGTCCATGGAATGAGACACAAGAACAAGGGTACGTTCCCACTTCTTAAGGTATTCTTCAAGCCAGACACAGGCTTCAAGATCCAAGTGAGCAGTTGGGTCGTCGAGCAACAACAAGGACGGCTTGACGAAAAGAGCCTTAGCCAAAGCGACACGCATTCTCCAACCACCGGACATGTCTTTTGTCTTTTTGTGGATAGTAGTACTGTTGAATCCAAGACCCGTTAAGATCAGAGACGCACGAGTGTGGAAGGTCGATGGATCCATAGTTTCCATACGCTAGAAGAGCATTAGCAAATACGCTTCAAAGGCTGATTAAAGAAAGGGAGCGAATATACTAACCTCGTATAAATCTTCCAAGACAGGGCTTTCAGGACCGTCTTTCTCCAAGATATCTTCAGCAAGTTTTTCCATACGTTCCAACTCGTTCTCGGCTTCCTTTACAACCCATTCCAAAGCACCAAGCTCACTTGGTGGGGCGCCTTCATTCAGAAGGTAAATATCGATGTGCTCCGGGATGGGGAACTCGCGCTTGTCGATGGCTTTCAAAAGCGTCGACTTACCGCATCCGTTCTCACCAAGCAGGCCGTAGCGTCGGGCATAGTTGAGCTCGAGGGTGCTGTCGTTGAAAAGAACCTTGCCGTGGAAAACCAAGGAGGCAGAGGTGATCTTGACATCGCGTGATGAGGCCATTGAAGCCAACACACCAGTTGTAACTCGGTCCGATAGACCATGCTTATCCATTTGTGCAGTCAGCTTATCAACCTCCTTCATCTTATTCGCATTGGTCGCGGGTTCATCGCCGGTAGGGATAGCGTCTCCATCGCCATCCTGCAACTCGGGAGTCTCCTCTCCAGCCTTGGCTGCCTTCTTGGCTGCTAGTTTAGAGGTCTTCTTCTCGCCACCTTCGGCGGCACGCTTGGCCTGGCGAGCAGCTTTGGAAGCAGACACCATCTTGCGAGCGGGGGAAAAGTTTTCGTTCGTAAGGGTTAAAAGCACGGCGAGTGATGATCGTACTCAATTGGCGATCTATAAATAGCTGCCCAGCCAAAAGAAAGGTGCAGGCAGAGTTGCTCTATTTTTTTTTTTTTGTTGAAATAGAAAAGTTCCTCGCGGGGTGGTTGTCCTTATCGATTAGAACCCAGGAGAGATGCCCCGCTAATCGAGAGCACACACACAAAGAAGGGTATCACAGAGAAAAGGAAAAGAATGCAGTCGTCTATCCACAAAAGCACGCTGTGATGTGCTTTGTTCCCTGGAACAGAGGATGGTGACAATAGAGTGTGTTGAGGATAGGCGGTGGTGGTGGGGAGTTGAGTAGTCTTCCCTGAGGCAAGAGCAAATCGCCCCGCCGTGAAATTTTGTGCCCAGTGGAGCCTGAGGCTGCCCCATGAGTGGTTCACACACGTCACCTGGGACGCTGCCTGAGGCTGCGATTTTGCACTATAACCCTAACCCTAACATACACGCTGATTGGCTTTCTAAACTATCAACGACAACTTGCAAGGCACGACATTCTCCTTATACTTATCTACTGCATATGATCGCATGCGACATGAATAGTCTGAGGCTAGTTTCCCATTGCATGTTTACTCTTCTGGGCCGATAACTTATTGTTGTCATTGTTGTTGTTATCGATGTCTCATAGATACTGCAGCTATCCAGGTCCATCTTATCACGATGAGATAGGGCTATCACCGCGCCAGCCCTAACATTTCTATATTTGAAATCTGGCATGTTTACAACACTCTAGTTACACAAAGGAACTCTACTCAACGCTAGTTTATAATGGGCCCAGATACAGAGATTATAGCTTAATGACTCTATTATTGACCCCTAAATACCGCACTCTCTCCAATACATGCGGTGCTGATCCCTTGACTCTGGGTGCCTCAGGCTACATGGAACAGCGAATCGCGATCTTGCACGACTACGGAGTATCTAAGATTAACCAGAATAATCCTATAGGATTATGGGGCGGACCTTTCAAATGTTGCTTTGTCGAGAATACGCTACATTATGTATAGAGTATAGACACGTTTGCGGACGCTAGCGGACGCTAGCGGACAACGGTGGATTTGATCCGACGCGATATGTACATACATGTAGATGAATTGCGGAAACTGGACCGCATAATAATGGTATTGTTGACTGGCTGGGTTGCAGTTGTGGTTCAGATACGAGCATCAATTCTGGTGAAAACTTTGGAAGATTAGGTATAAATACAGAGCAATGGGTCTTGGGCACGTAGATTCCCAGCAATACCAGCGCATACATACAATGCCATTTCTTCTTTTCTCATTCGATTCGTGGAAGTTTGCTCATCGCACTCGATATTGATCCCGTAAAAACAGCAAGCCATGCCTAACAATGCCTTTTCTGTGCATGCATTGCCAGACCTATCTGGCAAACTGTATGTCGTCACAGGCGGAAATGCCGGCATGTTCGTACTCCAGTGCTGCTAATCAAGTATGTATTGCGAAGAGCTCGTTAACAAATCAACAGAGGAAAAACGACTGTTGCCGGTCTAGCTAGCCGTGGGGCAAGGGTATATATGGGTGCAAGAAGCGCTGAGAAAGCTGAGAAAGCCATTACGGATATTAAACGAGAGCTTGGAAAACCACAGGCTGATATCGTTTTCTTGAAACTTGACCTTACTGATTTTAAGTCTGCTGTCGAGGCAGCTCGGGAGTTGAGAAGGTATGTCTTCCCATCGATTGCTCGGAACCAACATGCCGACTTTCTCTAGCAAAGAGACTGCTCTACATGGACTTATCAACAATGCCGGTATTATGGGCGTGCCATTTTCACGAACGAAAGATGAATACGAAATTCAGTTTCAGGTATTGTCAACGTTTGTCATATACACATGCTCTGCTTTCGTTGCGAAACTAATGACCGTCGATTTACGTAGACAAACTACCTCTCCCACTGGCTCTTCACCTATCATCTCCTGCCACTACTGCAATCGACAGCTTTGACGCAGCCAGGGACCGCACGTATCGTAAATGTCACATCGGATGGCCACGAGAGATTCACGTTGAAGGAAGGAATTCGGCTGGACGATCCAAACTTGGAGTCGGAGTCTGCAATGGTCAGATACGGACATTCAAAACTGGCAAATATACTCCATACGAGGCACTTGAACGCCGTGTATGGGCCAAAGGGGAAGGAATCGTCGGGTATAATAGTAGCTGCGGTCCATCCAGGGCATATTGACACGTAAGTCGTTACTGTCATTTCTCTATTTGTTTACGTTTGCTGTTGCTTTATACACAGGTAAATATTGGGGCTGTGTATAAAGATGAGGACGGACAGGTAGCTGATATCTTTGACAGAAATCTCAACAAACAGGCTACCGGCATGGCACCGGCCGTTGTTTTACGTATCATGACCCCAATCATGAAATGCATAGGAATCCTGGATCACGAGGCCAAAGGGGCATTATCGACACTATTTGCTATTGCAGACCCGAAATTCACTGAATCAGGTGCTTACATTGTTCCATATGCTAAAATTGGAAAGCCGAGCCAGATGGCTAAAGATGACCAGTTGGCAGAGAGACTTTGGGAGTGGACATTCAAGATGTTTCAAGAAATGGGCTATTTGTAGTCTGCTTGGATGACGGTTGTTATATAATGTGAAGTATATAATTCAGTCCGGCCTCCATTCCTTGTCAACGAAATCAGTCGTAATCAGGAAGACACAATTCTTGATATCAAGATACAAGTTGGATCATTACACTAGTTCATCTACTTTATATCAGCGTCGTATAGTATTTGACTTTGCCTCCGCACTTGACAATTCCCCCTCCCCAATAATGTGGTTGAAGTCAAAGTTAAGATCACCTATAATGCTGATTGATGGCAAATCATTTCGTAGCGAAACGTGAAGGAAGATAAGCCAATCTCCTTTGCATATTCATCGGTTTTAGAGAGGAGCCGCTGAGTAATCGGCGAGATCGGTTGCACACGTAAATATCTGGGAATAAAGATCGTATACTGCAGCATGTAACCTTTTCTAACGTTCTGAAAGGAAGAGACCGGGCCGTAGAGACATCATGGAACTGATTCCCCTGGCATGGAATGAGGCCGGAATTCATCACCATTCAGAATCGAGAGGTACCTATCTGCTGTTATTTTAGCCTCATGTGTGACGATGTTCTGAATATTCCAACGATAACAAATCGTAGAATTATGAAGAAGAGAGGGCTACCATACCCGCAACAGCCCATGTACCAGCAATGGCCTGCAGAGCGAGAGTAATCTCAGTCACTTCATGCAGCAGTTCAGGGTTATTCGTCTCACGGTAGTACCAGAAGTAGTACTTTGCAGCCTCGTATAGACAATTAATGACAAGTGGGCTTATACCGGCAGCTCTGACTTCCCTGGCCCTTATTCCACGAGCAAAGCCAGAAACAGCGGTACACACTACTTTAACGCCTGCCAATGCAATCTTCTGCATTTCGAGCTGCTCTGGAATGCCGACACCGCTCAGGCGGTCGAAATCTGCGCAGGTGTGCGTATCGTAAAGAAGCATTTGGGCACTATACACGACACCGACTGCTGGATGTAGAGATCTGTCACCAACAAGAATGCTATTAGTCTGATCTTGTGAACTCTTTAGAGTCAATCCTGTTGCAAATGAATCCAGAAGATAGTGAAGCTGGATGCCCTCCTTGTACCAAAACTGCGTATCGGATGGCTTTTCATTGATATGGCGAAGAACACGAGAAAGAAGGTCAGAGGCTTGACAGAGTCGTGCGAACGGTGATATTGCGTGCGATGCATCTCCCGAAACAGCAAGTGATGGGCTCACGCTCGGTTCCTGGTACTGTCAGATTGTGGGATTTTGGCAAGTAGCTGATGATGTTTGTACCCCTTGATCCCAAGAACTCTCCGTCGTGGGTAGCATATCCTCAGGGTGAGCGTCGTCACACGAGAAGGGTTGATCGATCAAGCCAATTGTAACGTATCTATGAATATTATAATAAGAGACGTATAATATCACTTTTAAGATAAGTTGAATAATCACTCACTTGTCAAAAATCATGACTCCCCACCAGACACGACGGAGCTCCTCAACTTCCACCCAGGACCCTATATCGGGCATTAGAACAATTTCGATATAACAAGACATCACTGGTATCATGTTTTAAAAGTGCGAAAGGAGAACTCAGCGTTGTGTTGATCTGAGATCATCTGCTGACCTGATCTTGGAAACATTTGTGGCACCTTTCGTTGGCGATGAATCCCTAGAGCGTGTCCTAGTCTGGCACATAGACCGACAGATAGATACGCCGCAGGATATACGCCGCTCCCAACCTCCCAGTAAGCGATAAGTAGGGCTGCCTGTAAGACTCGTGGAGTTATGACTCCCAGAGATTCCACGGACGAATAGCAGTGCTTCACTTGAGAGTACAGTTCTCCGGTTCCCAAATGACCCTGAGAAGCCGTAGTAGATAGGAGACAAATGACCAACATAAGTAAAACAAGAGCAGGATCTACGTCCTCCCCTTCGAGTGATGACTCGTGCAGACATAGCCGGTAAGTCCTCCTTTTGGATACTAATCCGTACAATCTCTAAGCAAATAGTTTTGATCCACACGGAATGGTTGTGGCACACGTACGAATTGGGAAAAATGGATGAACCATCGTAAAGTACCGATTTAAGTGCTGGCCGAAGCTGCCAGGCCCCGAGTTGATAGCAACCCAGAATTCCGTGGGCATTCGCGCTTGACGAATGGTCATTGAGAGACCACGATTACGGAACAGCCATGTATCAAGGAAGAAGAGTGCTGATAGTGAATCATGAGAGTCACCCTGGTAGCTCGAAATCAGTATGGTTTTATGGCTTCTTGTCCTGTAGCACGATTCAAGATACTCTAAGCGACTGGTGGTAACAGACGCACAGTAGAGGACAACGAGCCACGCGTTGTCAAATCGACAATACCCCCAAACGTCCCTGATGGGTACTCGCAATGCCTGTCCTTTGTCAAGCAGCGATCACATTGGGGTATTTGACGGCTACACTTTCGCTTTTGCCTGTAACACTGGACGCACGCTTGTTTTGCCAGACTTCTGTGGTCGTCACTATTGGCGGACATTTCGATTCCTGGCCAAGAATCTGCGACATGGGCCATTCCTTGTTGTCCACTTTGCTGCTAAATTGTCGGTGTTGGGATAACTTACTATCATTCTCTTTGTCAATTACCTGTCAGAGGCTTGCTGCCCCTAGTAAAATACGCATTTTGTCCCTAACGTACCTATAGGCTGCCAATACGGCAGCCTATAGGTACGTTAGGGACAAAATGCGTATATTACAAATCTTACTTTTCTACACACAGAGAACGCGAATCTATGATTGGCCAATATTGCTTATTAATCAGCCAATAATTCTTAGTTGTAATAATACATTACAAATAAAACACTGATACGAACAATACTTACACACTAGTAAAGTAATCTAACCAATCAATATACTTTAATTATACACCGCCTAGGTCACGTGATGTATAACTACTAATCACGTGATCTCAGCTTTCACAGTCCCGTGACCTAAGTATATAAGTAGTGTTTGCAGCGTAGTGCATATTCCGTTCCGTAGGTAGTACTTATCGATTGGCTGTGACGTTCATATTATGAAGCGTTACATAACCATATAAGAATAAAAATATTAGTTTTTTATAATATAGTAAAAGCAAGATCTAGAGAATTAATCTAACTCACAAATTCTTTAATGATAACATAATAAGAGTCAACTTTGGGCCTATGCTTCCCTTGAATGGCTTGCCAATCTGACTAGAATACATACATACTACATATAGTCACCATTCACGCCGCAGATGATGTGCTTAGAGCAATCTTCAGCTAAACGCCACGTCAATCGAGACTAGAGCAGATGAAAGAAGAATATGGAGCGTATACTTTGTGAGAATCTCATTACGTAGAGAATTGGTACATACAAGAGTGCCCATTATCAGAAGTAGAGCGTATATGTATGAACAACTTGGTAGTGGCGACATCCCTAAGATCGATCATACGACAGTAGATTTGCTGGAACCCATCACTCAATTGTACGCCATTTCAGACAAAAGAATAAATAGAATTTGACATCTCCGCGCATCAGAAGGCCCTGCGTCTCCTCTGTTTATCGCAACCACGGCGCGGATACTGCATAAAGACCAGAAGCAAAAAGTTTGAACTAGCGAGAACTGTCGCAAGTGAGAAATCAGACGCCGCTGTTATTATCAGATTGATGACCCAGTGATTCCATCTGGGTATCACTGTACTGTTTCCGTGAGCCAACTAACAGGGTAGTCGGGTGACAGATATTCATGACCAGCATCGCCAGGAACATCAAGGCTGCATCGAAGACGTACATAAAAACCTCGTGGCTGATGAGATACCCACTGTTGCCTTGTGCGTACTCGATTAAACGGAAAATCGACCGCACCAAGATAAGAATACTTGCAATATACAAGCCGGCGAGCACTGTCTCCCACGTCCATTGTGCTTTACCATTCCCACGACTTAGAGTCTCGATCACTTTGGCAGTAGGGTTTCTTCGGATGCGGTAGTGGAAGGTTACACAGGTAACCATGAAAAAGCTGAAGAATAACAACTGCACGCCAAGGCCAGCAACGGTGATGTGCTCTCCTAGATTGTAGCTGCTGATTGTACCACTAGCCATGATACCACCTCCTGGAATATGGTCAATTAATACTTATTCTTTGATCACGGGGAGAGAAAGAGAGATAGTAATGACAAGGAGAGGAGACTTGCCGGCTGCTTGAGCTAAGAATCCAATAATGTCGCCGATCACAAAAATTTTAGCCATCCATTTGACTGGGATCATAGAGAGCTTTTCTCCTCGTAGGAAAGCAATAAGGCGACCCAATACGACGTAGATTGATACAGCGTATAAAGGCGGAGCGAGAAGAATCAAGATGGTCATTATACTGTATATAGGTACTGATTCTGTATGGTCATGAGCGAGAAGGCGGCAAATATAGCCAATTATTTGAACTGTTGTGATCACTCGGTTGTCAACACTGTGTCATATGCAATCCTAATGGTAGGCTGAGTCCTTAGGTACTTACATATGCCTCCGATCACAAACGCAATAAAATACCACGCTCTTCCTCGTCCCAGCTGGTATACATGGCAAAGCGTGGTCAGAACGAACAAAACCACAAATACCACTGCCGGTGGTATCGAAGGTGTATATCTGTAAAGTTTAAAGTCTATCTTGTTGGAGTTATCATCCATGGTCAAAAGAAGCGAAACGTAGATCGTCAAGTGGTGTAGAGGTTGCTGAATTGTTCTTCTTCTTTACTCTTTGAAAGCGTGAACCGAGGCTTTCAATGATGTCGAAAGAATCCAGAGTCTTTTTTTTCCAAGGGTACAGGGTACAATTCGTTCGGCTGTTGCCTTCTTCTTCTTCTTCTTCTTCTTGCTTTTTAAGTAATTCTGCGAAATCTCTGCCGTCCTTAAGCGAAAACGACAACGAGAACGAAAGCCCTGAGACATCTTTGGTAGACTACATGGGGGACAGTCACTAGTAATATAACCGGTGGGGATCTGCTAGAAAAAAAGAAAGGATAATTTGCCCTCTCTCCTGTCGGCGAAGCGATTCACATACTGATGCCGCGTGGAATAGTTTCTTGGCTCTAGTTTCGTTCTCGTTTTCGTGTTCGTATCAAATTTAAACTACCTATTCAAAAGTTTCCCCCTTTTATCTTTTTATATTTTCGTTCTCTTCGTAGTGATTATTTCATCTAATTTACTGGTACTGTGCTCAAGTCTTTAGATTTCAGGCTCTATATACGGAGTAGTAGGAGATATGCTGAAAGATCGCACGTAGTAGCCACTGGTGATCTAATATAGGGGCAGTAGAAGGTCTGTCTTAGGAGGAACATGCTCCTATGTTGAAATCGAAGCTGAGAAGGACTATTGTCTTATTTTAGCGTCTAGCTTGAAACCGAAAGTAGAAGCCTGAATGTTCGTCGTGGGCAGGCGAACTCCTACAGGTAGCTGTACTACAATAGACACCGGCCAACTTTGTAACGCGTGAGCGAACACGAAGACGAACACGAAATCGAGGAACGAGATGTATATATATTCCGATACAAACACCACTTAACACACAAAGTCATTAGGCACCGAGTCACCTCGTAACTTTCTCAGGCGAGAGTTGATTCTGTCGTCATATTCACAATGTCAGATCAAGACGCCGTCGAGTTCAAACTATACCGATACGACCCATCAGCAGGCGCAGCAGCAGTCTTTTGTGTTCTCTTTCTCGTTGCCTCTACAATCCATACATACCAACTTGTGCGAACTCGGACATGGTTCTTTATACCATTTGTGCTCGGTGGTTTCTGTAAGTTAGCCCAAAATCATAGCGACTGATGATACAAATTTTTTTATCTAACGATCGTACGTGTTCAGTTGAGGTTTTTGGGTATATGGGAGTAAGTAGCATCTGGAAACGTCGAAAGAGTCGAATTGATCAGTTGCCTTTCAGCGAATAGAATCAGCAAACCAAACTCCGAACTGGACAACAGGCCCATATATCCAACAGACCCTTTTGCTTTTGATTGCTCCTACTTTGTTCGCGGCGAGTGTGTATATGGAGCTTGGACGGATCATAATCTTGACAAACGGTGAAGAGCATTCTTTGGTCCCGCGGAAGTGGTTGACGAAGATCTTCCTCATTGGGGATATCACCTCTTTCTTTATGCAAGGTGCTGGTGAGTGAGCGTTCGTCTCTATCAAACCGGAATGAAGAAGCTAATTAGTGAGAAGGGGGTGGTATAATGGCAAGCGGAAACATACAGTCTCTCCACACAGGGGAAAAAATCATTATCGGAGGCTTAGTAGTGCAGTTACTTTTCTTCGCTCTCTTTATCTTCACCACCCTCAAGTTTCATTTCGGCCTGAAGAACAACCCGAACCGCAAAGTGCTCACACAACGCCCTCCTTGGGAGAGACATATTCAGGCTCTCTACGGCGGAAGCTTGCTCATCCTAATTCGCTCGATCTTTCGTCTCATCGAGTATGCGCAAGGAAACGCCGGCTACCTGGTGTCACACGAAGCGTATATGTATATTTTCGATGGTTCGCTGATGTTCCTAACTATGGTGGTTTTCCTGTTTATACACCCGAGTGAAGTCAACGCTTTACTCAACCCGGCAGCTGCTGGAAAGGCAGTCAGGCGTGTGTTTTCTGTCTATGCCCTTGACCAATTCCGCCCAAACTGATTGACGTTCGCGAGGCTAAGACACGGGGGTAAAGATCAGCGGATTTTGGCAAAGGGTTGCTCGCAAGAATATATACATACATGTACATTATTAGAACGGTAACTACTAGATAGGCAGGTGCTTGTATCTCGTAAGTGTTAGAACGAGTATCCAGTGCGAAAACTTTAAAAAGTAGATCGCCCCAGACTGCCAAATTAGGAAATATTAATATAAAAGACTCCGCAGTACATTTTCCGAGCGGTCCCTTGCCCCACAAGCCGAACGCCTCGAGAAACAGAGCTATTAATATCTACGTATTTGCATCTTGGCATCAATCTCGTTATCGTATTCGTATTCTTTTTACTCCGCCCAAAACCCTTGACAAAGGCGTTAGAGCTCAAAAGGACACTCGGAAGGAGGGAAAAGGCCCAGGTATGTATGAAGCGTCAACATGCCGCCACGACGATCGCATAGGAAATCCCGCAATGGCTGTATGCAGTGCAAGCAAAGAAGGGTCAAGGTTGGTCTACTTTCTCACCTCAGTTGTCTGTGAGAAGCATTGGTTCATTTAGTTTTCGAATATAGTGTGATGAAAGCCGGCCCTGCTCGAATTGTACGAAGCGCGGGATAGCTTGTATCTACGACCACGGAAGCAAAAGCCCTTCGGTAATCGATGTACCTCGAAACAGCCAAACACGGTCATCTTATCATTCTGAAGATCCTTCTTCACGACACGGCACTCCTGCTGTCAATCAGATAGATTGGTTCAGCACTTTGGACGAGAAAATCGCGGGCACCGCATCCATTCTTCGGGAATGGAGTCGGCAGGACCCCGAGTTGATGCACCACTTTACCCTTTACACTTCCCAGACCATCTCTGAGCGCAAGGAAATCCAGGATGTTTGGCAGATTGAAGTCCCCAAGATGGCTTACTCATACGGATTCTTGATGCATGGCATTCTTTCCTTATCCGCCCTTCATCTCTCTCATCTCAAACCAGAGAACTACGGTGACTATATGACCAGCTCAAGGATACACTTGACGTTTGGGCTGCGCACCTTTGTAAGAGTTCTTCCATCTCCAACCGCTGAAAATTGCTCTGCACTGTTCAGCTTTTGCAGTGTTATCATGATCTACACCTACGGCTGTCCCATGGAGAGTAACGAAACCGACACTGCGGATCTCCTGAACAACCTAATAGAGGTGTTTAGGGTATCTCGTGGAACCCTAATAATCATGCCATACTTGAAGTCTATGAGGCATAACGGCCTTGAACCTCTTTTCCGGCAAGAGTATAATCTGCCCATCTCATCAAAAAGGTGAGTTGTCTTCCTGATACTACCCCATTCTTCCCCCTCTTCTATACGCTACCAGGAAGTAATTACCATAAGAAACAAGAAGTTTCTCATAATCCGTGCTTCCTCTTCGTGGTTTTATTCTACACTCCTAGCATGGATTCTCTGTTTGTTTACGGCAAGCCAGATCAAAAGGAGATGTAGCTGACAAAAGCCTTACAGAGCTAGGAAAAATAACCTATTCGATGGAGTTGATGAGCAGCTTGACAAGCTCAGTCAATATATTGAGTCGGAGCCTCTCGACCCTGAAGACAAAGTTATCGGCCAGCAAGCTCTTGCAGCGTTGTCTTCATCCTTTGAAGCGTTCGAATCGGCTGACTTGCCGCTGGAATGTGGAATGGCGTTCTTCTGGCCTCTATCTGTCCATGAAGGGTTTGTGTCTCTTGTGCAGCAGAAGAACATGATTGCTTGCATACTAATTGCCTATTATTGCGCTCAACTGCACACTCTAAGGCACTATTGGTTTATCGGACGAAAAGCACATTTCTTATTATCCGAAATAGCAAGTATTTTGCCTTCAAAACTGCTGTGCTGGATTGATTGGCCAAAAAGTATACTTTGCAAGGACTACGTTAGGGCATGTTATTGATCTGAAGAGGAGAGAAGCAAGCGGACTGCTACAGTCGAGAATTTGATTGCGCAGAAGCGTAATTCTAATATCCGCTAGTTTTCCTCGTATAGGTTGTCCAAATAGTAATAATGTGTGAAGGAAACTCATCCTGACTCACTTCACTTACCTTATGTGTCGCATCTGGAGCGCTACTGCAAGGGGAAATCGTCAACAATTAACTCTCCGGTTAGTATATTATTTTCTCGGGAAACAAAATCTTGTAATGTATAATAATTGAGAAGTTTACTAGCAATTACTTTGAAGGGAAACGAGGGGGCTCCCCAGGGTCATGTTCTCGCAAACATTGATGGTGATGACAGAACAGTTTATTTGTGCAATAAGCCAAACGGGCGTACATAGGGCTATCTCAACACAGGTGATGGGTTATATATCTCTCTCGGTTTAAGAAGACAGAAGATAAAGACAAGGCAAATTTGCGATGGCTTGATGTCAACGGTGACGGGTTAGATGACATCCTCTGAGTTGATAAATTCTCTAGTTCACGTTACTGTGTAGCCTGATCTCAACGGGGATGGCCGCGCGGACATGTTCATGCTATGTCCAAGTGGTCACAATGGGGATGATCCTGATACGCTCACCTCATCACCTCTGCCAGCACTTGACTAGTTGGTGATGATGGTTCCTGTTGTATAAATATGTAATTTGATTGCTGAATCTTTCTATAACCTATCACTCAATTCCGTTAACAGCGTCTTTTCCTCCATAGCCAAAAACATCTGGCTCGGCACAATCACGCTTCCTTTTCTGATAATTATCTGCACTTGATCCAACGAACCTTCATGCTGACTCGCGTCGGCCATGGTCAAGTTCTTCTCCAAATCCGCCCCGACCCCATTCCCAAAGGTTTTCTCTGTAATTTTGCCGCGTTTGCCGTGAGATAGGTCCTCTGGTGTCCACCAATACTGAGGAAATTTGCGTTGGATGTTATTAATGACCAGAGCGACTATCAGCATAAGAACAACTCCTAGCAGCATCATGGGGACTAGCAACCATCCCAGCGGCAACGAATCATCACTCACTACGGCTAGAAGCGCCGTAGCACCGGCGGGTGGGTGAGTCGTTTTGGTGATGGCCATCAATGCCGTCGCAATCGCACATGCCAAGGCACCACCCAACCAACGAATTGACTCGAAGTGAGGGCTCAGGGCAAAGAGCTTGCATATTCCAACCCCAATGACACTAGCAATCAGTTGGCCAAAGACGGCATTGCGCGGTTGTGCTAGGGGTGATTCTATGGCATAAAAGTGCAGAACAGACCCTGCTCCCTGCAGCGTGTGGAAAGTTAGCATAGCGCACGGCCATGCAGCAAAGCTTGGATATACATACGAAACTGGCAATGATAATGGGAGCCTGGTGCTGTTGAAATACTGTCACTTGTTTTGTTACAAGCTCAATTACAATGATTGCGAGGAAGATGCCAACAAAGGCCCAGGCAGTAGTAATCAGATTGCCAATAGGCTTAAGCGGCTGTTTCCTGTATCCAAAGAAATAGGATATCGCATATGGCAGTCGCTTCCATGGCGGACGGGGAACAAATGGATTCAGCCACTTGTCGATATCGAAATTCCAGGCGGCGGGATTTGCGAGACCCATCGGCGCTCAACGTAGGAGTTTGCTCGTCGAAGCAAGTCAGATGGAAACGCCCGGGAGTATGTTGTATCATTCGGATCCTTTGGTTCAATATCAAGTGAGAATGGCTCTCTCTGGTGGAAAATATTGGTGCAAAGCACATGTCCTCGGAAGATGTCTTTGAAATGGAGGTGGGCCCAGGTTTCGCTGATGGGATTCTTCGCTGTTTGTGTTGGCAATAATGTCGTCTGATGAGCCATGTATTGGCAATGTCAGCCATCTCCGCGGAGAGCAGCGCAGCAGGAAGAGAGAGCGAGAAAGTCAGAATTGGGGATTTCATGCTGAGCCACTCACAGGGGTTGACGTTGAGTAATGGAAATGCCCGGTACGGGTTAGCGGCATCCAGAACCACCGAGCGGTATTATTACGTGCTACGTAATGTTTTGCCAGCGTAAGTCTCCGATGAATACGTATTTCTGTGTTTGGTATTGTATCGAGCGCTCATCTTGTTGGAAGATTTTTCTTTTTTTTTTTCGCTTTTGGAATTTGAAGCTGTTGGGCGACGCGCATTGACATATCAAAGAATCAAGTCGCGCGTGATTGGCTGGCTCGAAATCCGGGGAAATCGGGACTAGGTCGTTTCGGGGTTAGAGCCTCTGGGATCTCGATTGAGTCGATTCTCGTGGGCTTGAGCCCAAGTTTCTCCTCATTCTTCTGCCTAAATACACCATACTAGTATAAGTACTATACAGAGCACGGACATGACATGTCTCGCCATTACAGGTCCAATGTCTTGCGCAGTTTGGAACTCTCCTTGGCCAACTCAATCAATCGAATAACCTGGCTAGCCTCAGCACCGCTGGCAGGGATGACATTCTCTCCTCCCAAGGCACGTGCAAGCTTGCGGTAGTACTCTACGTAAGTCGGGCCTTCGACGGTCGGCACTGTCTCAGAAGATGGCTTGCCGTCTTTGATCGTGGTGAGCACGCCTGTTTTTCGCAGTTGTTAGCTCGACGTTCCCAAACCACGGCAGTGATCATGAAGCATACCATATCTGTCGCTAGGCTCAAGACCGTAGCCGCTATCGCCAGGCCGAACGCCAGCCCTTAATTGATTTTCCTGAATATCGAGATGATACTTCTTAAAACTTCCCTTGTCACCTCTGACCCAGAAACGAAGTTGGTTCTCTTCGGGGCTCACAACAGCAGCCTTCGCAGTCACCATCAGGCCATTATCATAGTGCAGGAGAGCGGTGAATGAATCTTCTAAGCCGGTGGGATTAATTTCTCGCTGACTGCCAATGAACGCTGTAACACGCTGGGGCAATCCAAATAAGTGGACAGCTTGGTCCAAGAGATGCGTTCCCAGATCGTAAATTGCGCCACTTGCCGGAATAACCTTGGTCTTCCAGGAAGTGGAATTAACGGGCGCCTCAGGGCGATGGCGGTCAAAGTGTGTTTCGTACTCTACGACTCTACCCAGAGAACCATTCTTGATGAGCTTCGATAAGGTCAAATAATCCGCATCGAAACGACGATCTATATTGGATTGGACGGACATTAGCGGCATGCAACAGACCACCGAAACTGAATTTACCCACTTTGATAGACGGCCAGCAGCTTGTTTTGTTTCTCTGCCAAAGCTACTAGCTCCTCTGCTTCCTTGTACGTGGGGACAAAGGGTTTCTCGACGACCACTACATCCGTAATCAGCAACGTGATCCACAGAGACAACACACTAGAAAAGTAACTCAGTGAAATACAATTTCATACCGTGTTTTCCAGCATCCAATGCTAGTTTAGTTAGTGCGTAGTGAGAATCCGGCGCCGTGGTAATCACAACAACATCAACTTCGGCGTCTTTAACAAGGTCATCTGCGCTTCGGTATCCTTTGACTCCGGGGAAGTCTTTCTCTGCATCGTCATCCGGCTTTGGCGTTCGTTGGACAATGGCATACAGTTTGAAATCTGGAACAGCTGTGATGAAGGGGATATGGAAGATTTTGGCACTGAGGCCGTAGCCAACCACGCCCACGTTCCACGTTTTTGCAACCATCTTTCCGAGTAAAGGCGTGCGATTAATCAATAATGAAAATGATAGCCAGAGAGTTTCGGGATGTGGGATCCTTTTATAGTCCGCTTATTTCCAGGGGAACCGGGAATTGGAACTGCCGTCACTTAGATGAAGACCAAACGCGGGGCAGCTCAACCCGAGGCTTACAGCCTCTAAGAATCAACCCAGTGGGGTAGGTCTGACAGCCGCCATTCTCTGACAAACGTTTCGTCTGGGGTACTCACATCAGGAAGCTCTCTTATGGCGCAAGGAAACGGAAATCCCTCTCCGAGACCCGAATGAATGCATGAGACGAGGAAGACGAGGTAGAGCGCTTCTCGCGGGTTTCTTTCGGGCTCTCGATGGATCTGGTGAAGTCAGCAGGTAAGGCATCGTCGTCTTGTCTGCCAAACATTTGGTCTCCAGCCATAGACTTGGAAGCCAGGACTGTTGTTCATATCTGCTTGTCAGGACGAAGGACGATGAGGAGGAGGAGGAGGAGGAGGAGGAGGATGTTGTTGTTGTTGCACAATGTGCACGCGGCCGATGATTGGCTGATCGCATTCACATGTGAGCGGCCAACTCACTGCGTGGCTCGAGCTTCTCCAACCTCGTCGAAAACTAGAAACACCACTCTTACTCCTGTACTATCTGTGCTGAGAGGCCTCTGTTACTGACAGGATGGCCTTTCATCCCACGGCTGCAACCATCGTATAGCAGATTGAGCGCCGTGCATTGCTCCGGTTTGAGTAATCGAGTACATGGTCTTCGCCCGCAAACGCCAATGACGTCGTCTTCCTTGCCCAGTTGAACTTCCACTATCCTCCAGTCCAAGTGCTTATATACAACCAAACGGATACATGTTAGAAAATACCCGGGTCGAGTCTGCTCAGCAGGGTGCAGCTAGGCTGTCATCCGGTCGGACACCGTTTCAAATGGCCCCACGCCCTTCGTATCGACCCGCCATTCTGAAGCCAGAGAGCGGAGGAATCTATACTTCGACCAACCTCACGATACCAGGAATATTGCGGCTTATCATTGGGTTTCTGGTGTCCCTTTTGCTCCTTCCGCTGAACACCTCAGTTCTTTTGAGCACAGCTCTCCTCAACCGCTTTCACGCTCTACGCAGTCCAGAGCAACTTAATCGGCAGCAGCTGTTACAAAATCCTCACTTTTACCCCAAGACTATTCTTATTACCGGTGTTAGTACAGTGCGAGGACTCAAGCTAGCTCGTCAGTTTCACTATGGAGGACATCGGGTGATTGGCGCTGACGTGGGCTTGCTCCCGGTTCGCCCTGGTGGCAGCATGTCCAACACGATCTTTGCTTATTATTCCGTATCAAAAGCCCAATACATATGCAACCTGATTGATATTATCAACCGAGAGAAAGTGGATTTGTGGATTCCATACTCGGATTTCGTGACGCCCGTTGAAGACGGAATGGCGAAAAGTACGATCGAGAGCCGCACGGCCTGTAGATGTTTCCATGTCAATATGAACTACGTGACTCTCTTTGACCAGACTGACTCGTTCTTGAAACATGTCAGTGAGAGGGGATTGCCAACAGCTGCAAAGCAAAAAGTCCACTCTCGTGATTCGCTTCATCGAATTCTGAACGGGTCACCGAACAAAGCATATCTCGTTTACAATCCCTCCAAAGGAACCGTGCAGGACGCTGTCTCCTTGCCTAAAAGTACCCGCAGTCAAACATATTCAGATGTCAGTGTGCTTGAAATCTCCAAAGATAACCCGTGGATCCTCCACCAACGCGGAAGACTAGGCAAGTACTGGGTAGACCTGGTCTTAGTCCGGGGCTATGTCAGAGCTATACAAGTCCATCCACTACACTCACAACCATCTGAAAAGGGCGACTCTATCGTTGAAAATGGTCTACATGAAACGATGAAGCGGCTCATGGACAGCTTCGCAGAGAAGGTTGGACCTCGTATCAGCGGACATTTATCCATCCAACTCATGGTTGACAAAGAAATTGCGACCAACTCAGTGTGCTACGCCATATATATATGTGGCTGCCGGCAAGGAAGTGCTGCCACCTCCGGGTTACTAGATGATCCTCCGCCGGACCTTTTTAACATTTACTTAGAGATACTTTCTCCCGAAGTAAATGGAATCCCTAGCACCCCCGAGGGGGTGCCATTCGGCGAGTCCGGGAAAAATCACGCTGCTGCATGGGAGCAGCCGCGAGCCTCATCTTCGTGGGTGGCAGAAATAACAAAAAGACTTGCGGGACAGATAGAACAACTCCAGCATGCAATTGCGCCTCTCGTTCACTTTTCTCAACGAGCGCATGGTTTCGAGCTACTAGACCGTACCGGATTCTCCATACTTGATCCGTTGCCCTGGTGGTGGCATTACCACATCAGTCAGCCCTTGAACAGTCTGGTTTCCCTATTTGACGGTGAAGTTGAGATGCCTGTGAAGAGTCATTCATGGAACGCCCACATACACGGATTCTCCACTGCAAACCGAACTCAGAGGTAGTCAATCACTTTTTGTTTTCATTTTTATTCTTATTCTTCTTCTCAGTCTCTAGAATGAATGATCTTGTGTTTCTGAAAATCGGAACGGGACATGAAAATGTGGCGTCCAACATATATCGACCTAGATCTAAAAACATAATAATTGCATAACTATGTTGGATGTGCAAATAAGCTGCTGATCAGCAGCTATGTGGCAGAACATCGTGGCTGAGCGCCGATTACCTGCATGTTTCATAGTTCTTATTCTGTGCATAAAGGCGTATTGCTCGATACATGGTGCGTATCTGATTCATACAGTTGCCGGGGCTGAAAATAGCACCACATGAGTGAGGCAAGCCAATCATACATTTCTATCGTCCAATAATAATGGGGCCCAAAGGGCTGCCAAGGCCCACTAGTACCAAAATAGTGTCTCATTCTACGGCAAAGCCGGTTCGGGTACAGCGCCGTACGGTAAGTTTGGTAAATTTCGACCGCAGCGAAATTCTAGGCTGCCAGCTGTGGTTGTATACGACAACGGGGCACGTAACTGTGGATACTCTTTTATTGACAGCCCAGTATTTATCCTCCCTCTTCTCGCTCAGCCCATATTGCTATATTCACGAGGTATCTTTTCAGCATACATTCTCCCCTGCTGCGATAAATATACTTAGCACCGTGTCCCAGCTGTTGTTCGTTGCGATTGTATTTGCGCCTCTCTGTTCAGCTTGCACCCGAATCAACAAACACCGCCAACTTCCGAAGTGAGAGAGATAAAAAAGGGCAAAGCAAGGAAGAAGTATCAGTCTGGCGCATCAAGAAAGGTGCATAACTATATCTTGTGTATAGAGACGACACCGGCTGGTCGTTTTTTTTTTGGGCCCTTGCTCCCCTCGAGTCCATCCATCCTCCGCCTCCGCCTCGGCTCCAGCTCAAGATGCCTCTCCCCTCCTTGAGGATACCATCGACCAGTCCAGCGAGAATTAAAAATCTGTTACATGGCTTACAAGGCTTGTTGATTTTCTTTGCATGGGTACTTACGATAGCCGTTTTCACCAAGAGTGGCGGTATTGACGGCCGCTCCGGCTGGTTCTTTGGAGTGGTAGGCGAACCATCTTTCTACAGACGTTATGCCCTTTATGACAAGAAAACCAATCCCTGAGAGAGGTGTTTATATTCTTACAACGTGAATTAGTGCTGGATATCTATCCCTGCCCTTATTTATCTCGTCGCGGTTCCGACATTCCCACGTGCTCGCCGCTTTGGTAATGTCTACGCTTTTGCTACGATCGACGCCTTGATGGTGATACTGTGGTTCAGTGGCTGGGTGGCTGTCGCTTCATATGTGTCAGAAGGAAAGAGTAAAGGAGAGTCCGAACAGAGTTCCAAAGACAAGAAGTCGGGTTGTGATGCTTTTGCGTATGGAAGTTCATCCAAGTGCGAGGTTAGCACTGCCACGGTCATCTTTGGAGTGGTCATCTTGTAAGAACTGCGAGCCCCTTTATGAAACTAATTGCGGGAGGGAGAAATACGCATGATTCTAACTGGCCATGAACAGCCTCCTGTTTATTGCCACGAGCTTCTACTCCTTCCGTAATGTTACATACTTCCGCAGAACAGGCACGATGCCTGACTCTGTCGCCGACCCTACATTTGACGCACAAACCAAGGCAGCATTTTCGTCAAACCCAGCCCAAGACTTTGAGGAAGAAGACGAGTTCCGATCTGGGCGCGCTGGCGTCGAAGGCCCCTCCAGTTATGGCCAGGATCGCGACGAGGATTACGCTTTGCTTCAGCAAAGTGAAGCTGACGACCTTGGCGGATCTCACCATGGCGGCGTGCAAGGTGCATACGATCCTACCTCAATACGTGGAGGAAGCTCTGTCATGCACGACTATGAAGCATCCAGTTATAATGGCGGCTACAGTTCACATTTTCACGAGAACACCAGTACCTACAGCGATACCAGCTACCGCCCCGGCGATGACTACAATCGATGATTTGCCGCGCCTGTGAACATTTCTTGAGCGGATTTCTATGAAAACCTGCTTCCACCTCTTTTCACGAAGGTATGCCATTTCTTGATTTTTCGCCGTTTATCTATCTCAGCCATGGAAGCTTTGATGACTTGATTGGCTTTTTTTATATGTGTATTCAACACCATACCCTGTTTTAGCTTGCTTGCTTGCTTGTTTCTGCATATTTGTAGGATGGGATATATATTTTCTGCTCCTCGTTTGTGTTTGATGGCGTTCAGCATATATGTAGTTGCCGATCCATTTTGGCTATTTTCGGGTTCATCTCCTGGTCCAAAAGTGTGTATGTATTCTCTGTATATTCGCTTTGTATTATGTATTTTCAATCACACCAGACCCTAGACTTTTACGTTCAAAATCTACATTTACATACTTGATAATTTGACATGCATATAGATCGATGTGATTAGTGGACTCTGAGATATTCTGCCACCGCCTTTTCTCCGCAGACGACTGAGGACAGATGGGCATGATCAACAATCCATTCTTTCTCCACAAGCCAAACGTCTCCGAAGAAGCAAATCTCCCATCATTCGCCTGCAAGGACCTTATTATTCCTCTGCGGCATCAATACAGAGCCTATACACCCCTTGCGCATTACTCTCGAGAAGGTCATCTCTGTGAGTAAACTAACACTGTTGGGTTTCGCGAAATATGCTAATTCAATCGATAGTGAGCTTTTTAGACGGATTGGAAGGCGCTCGATTAATCGGAGTTCACCAAAATGACCTCCACCGATATTGACAGCTACACACAATACGCTCTCCATCTGGACCCAACCACAAAAAGCATCTCCCTAGCTACCTCAGAGGGTCAGACTCCAACACAACTCGAGACCATCAATAGCGAACTTCAGAAGTTGAATATACTGCACCGTGCATTGGTCGGCCTAGACTCACCCAACGTTCCCCCACCACCTCTGCCCATCAACCCTAAGCGCAGTGCACAAATCACCAAACTACGCGAGACTGCCAACACTGCATTCCGCAAATCCAACTATACGGAAGCCATCAAGTTATACGGCTACGCTATAGACATGGCGATGAGCCGGCCGGCGTGGGAACCGGTCAACCTTGTCCGCGACGAGCTATCGGGACTCTATTCAAACCGCGCGCAAGCATATATGTCTGAACAGCTGTGGCCGGAGGGCTGGGTTGACTCGAAATGCAGCGTAGAGTGCAAGCCTGTTGGTAACGTTAAGGCGTGGTGGCGCGGCGGGAAATGCCTTGTTGAGATGGGACGATGGGATGAGGCTCGCGCCTGGACTGAGCAGGCCCTGGGAATTGAAGGGCCGGCAAGCGAGGGTGGCAAGGAGCTTGTTTCATTGCTGGAAGAAATTCAAGCTGGGAGCAAGAAGGCATAAATGTCGTCTTTTTTGTTTTGTTTTGTCTTTTCGCTCGCCTTTCACTTCCCCGCGATTCTTCTTGTCGGGTCGCAATCTATCATTTGCAGCGTTTTGGGAGTTCATTGTGAGAATTGACCGTATGAATTGTACACACCGTTATCATGGCAAGAGTCAGGTACTTGAAGTCATCAGTCAGCTTTTTCTATCAAAGCGATTAGATCTTGACACATAAGATGATGATATGTCTAGCGAGTTCGCAGTTAGGACAGCGCTAACAGCAGAGTTGCAGATCCAATTGGACACGCTATCGGTGCCTGATAGAGCCTATCATTCACTCTGATCGTACACTTGACGAGGAGGGTTGGATTTCCGGTTTCTGGAAGAGGACGCGATGGCAGTTGAAGGGCTCCGCACTAACCCAGTTTGGTAATAAAATCCTGTCCAATCACAGCGCTGTACTTTCCGTCTCGGCCTATGACACCTCGGCCTGCAGGCCCCACACGAGCTTATCGTTATCGCAGCTTCAGCGCATACTCTTTCTGGACAAAAAGGCAAGAGGGGAACAGCGCAGTCGATAAGCATCGCTTTTCTGCTTAAATACTTGCAGCTCGCTTGCTTTTCTTCCCTCTCGTGATCCAGTCCTATACTCCCCCGTGAGACATCAGTTTAAAGCTGTACATACAGTATATCTCTCAGTTTCATCATATATACGATGGTCGACCGTCTCAAGCAATTGACCTTCCAGGTCAGCGCCACGGCCCCCCCTCCGCACCCCTTCGACCCCCTAAGCACAACCGAGATTGATACAACGGTGGCTCTGATTCGGGCAAAATATGCCCCCATCAACTTCAATGCCGTGTCCCTGTACGAGCCCCGCAAGCTGGAGATGCTGGCATGGCTCGAGAAGCCGGAGGTAGCGCCCCGTCCAGCTCGTTGCGCCGAGGTCGTTTGCATTGCACCGCAAGGCAAAGTTTATGATGGCATTGTCAATCTCGACAAGAAAGAGATCGTGGAGTGGCAGCACACCCCTGGTGTTCAGCCTATCATTACGATGGAGGAGCTCCAAGAGGTCGAGTATGTAGTGCGCAAGGACCCCAAGGTCATTGAACAGTGCGGCATTTTGGGCATCGCACCGGAAGAGATGCATAAAGTTTACTGCGATCGTAAGTTCTTATATGCCATCATTAACTGTAGCTTGAGTTCCACGGCTGACCTTTCTTCTCCCTCAAAGCATGGACAATTGGTTACGATGAACGTTTTGGAAGCAATGTCCGCCTGCAACAGGCTTTGATGTACTACCGACCACATGTTGACGACTCTCAATACGGTTACCCTCTTGATTTCTGCCCCATCTACAATGCAGAGACCAAGAGCATTATACACATTGATATTCCAACTGTACGTCGACCACTCAGCAAGGCCGCTCCAAACAACTACCACGTCAAATCAGTGGAGGAAGCCGGCGGATATCGCACGGATCTGAAACCCATCAATATTACTCAGCCTGAAGGTGTTTCATTCAAAGTGGACGGACGAGTTATTGACTGGCAAAAATGGAATATCCATGTTGGGTTCAACTACCGAGAGGGCATTGTTCTGAATAACATCACATTTAATGACAAGGGTGTCATTCGCCCTATCATGTATCGTCTGTCCTTGGCCGAGATGGTGGTGCCATATGGTAATCCAGAGCATCCTCACCAACGCAAGCACGCTTTTGACTTGGGCGAATATGGTGGTGGCTATATGACCAACAGTCTGTCACTTGGTTGTGATTGCAAGGGTGCCATTCACTACATGGATGCTGCCTTTGTCAACAGAGCAGGCGCTAGTACTGTGATTAAGAATGCCATTTGTATTCACGAAGAAGATGCGGGAATCCTGTTCAAACATACTGATTTCCGCGATGACTCAACCATTGTCACTCGCGGTCGGAAGCTTATCATCTCGCATATATTCACTGCGGCCAACTATGAATACTGCGTCTACTGGATCTTCCACCTTGATGGCACGATACAGTTGGATGTTAAGCTGACCGGTATTCTCAACACATACTCCATCAACCCTGGGGAGGATACTCGTGGATGGGGAACTGAGGTATACCCCGGAGTCAACGCTCACAACCACCAACACCTCTTCTGTCTACGTGTGGATCCGCAAATCGATGGTCAGGACAACACCGTCTTCCAAGTGGACGCTGTTCAAGGACCTGGCGAAGTTGGCAGTGCTGAAAACAAGTATGGCAATGCTTTTTATGCAAAGAAGACCAAATTCACCACCCCTATCGAGGCCATGTCGGATTACAATGGAGCCACCAGCCGAACTTGGGAGATTGCAAACACCAATAAGTTGAACCCCTATAGCAAGAAACCTGTGAGCTACAAACTTGTCAGCCGCGAGGTTCCGCCGTTGCTGCCAAAAGCAGGTGGTCTAGTATGGAAACGCGCTGGTTTCGCTCGTCATGCAGTTCACGTCACCAAGTGTACGTATCTTCTCTTAACCAAAGAACATATGAGAAAGTAATTACTAACATCAACCAGATGCGGACGACCAGATCCACCCAGCCGGTCGTCATGTGCCGCAGACATCTGGCGAGCCATCAATGGGCTTGCCCATGTGGATTGAACAAGCCGGATCCAACTCTATCGACAACACCGATATCGTGCTATGGCACACATTCGGTCTTACCCATTTCCCATCCCCTGAAGACTTCCCTGTCATGCCCGCTGAGCCTATGACATTACTGTTACGACCACGGAACTTCTTTGACCGTAACCCGGTCCTCGATGTCCCGCCAAGTTATGCTCGTACACCATCACAAGTTGCTGCAGGGACGTCAGGATGTGGATGTAATTCCAAACCAAAGGGTGATGGAACTAGTGTGTTGGTCTAGGCGCTTTTTCTTCTTCTTCTTTCGTTCTGGTTATTGCAGGGTTTGGTAATTTCCTAACGCTTTAGCAAGTCTCTTTCTTTTCTACACATATGTACATAGCTGTATCGCCGTCTGTTTTAAAGCCCAATCAATTGAGTGATTATCTTCCAAGGTTCAAGTGGTTGAATGAAATCTGTCAAAGCAAGCAAGAATCAAGGTGAATACTATCATCAAATTTGGAGTTATCTAATGAATCGTAACTCGAATTTCTAGAAGGAAATGAAATATAAAAAAGAAGAAGAAAAAAGGCAAAAAGATGTACATAAACCAGCCCATCAGTACGTGATAAACCCTACATCCCATGCTAACCATTCAAACCCCTTACCATAAATCAGAAATGACAATAAAGTGAGAAAGGCAAAGAAAAGAAAAAGAAACCCCATGAATTTTTTCTTTCATATGCCCGTGATCAACCAACCAAACAGACCAGCAAATCAATCCAAATTTATGATTTCCCCATCTGAAACGCCCCGAAAACTCCGCCTCCTCCACCAGGAGTCAAAGCTCCAGCTCCAATATGCTGTGGTGTTTGAGCACTGCCGCCTGCATTCGTTGCGTTATTCGGAGTGCTAGGAGTTCCGACAGTGGAGTAGATTGTTGCGCCGTTTAGATTAGGTGTTTGTTGCGCAGGGTTGGTGCCGTAGTAGGTCGTCATGGCTGGTACTTGCCCATTCAGACCCCATACTTGGCCTGAGTACTTCGATTCGTCGATTGTTCCGTTGAATACCACCTGTCGCATTTTCCAGTATATCTCGCCGGTCACGAGGGAATCAGATCCGGCCTGGTGAGCGATACCCACACGCTTGACACCAAGCTCGTCGGCAATGTCTTGTAGACCGGACTTCTGACCCAAATTATTGATCACCTGAAGCGCCGCTGGTGTTAAAGGGGAGTCATTCACAGCCTGATTTCGGCCTGCATGTTTCATAAGGTACTTGATATCGTACAGAGATGGGAAGAAAATCCTTAGGAGTTTGTGAAATTCCCCTTCGTCTTCCGGTAGCGCCTTGCAAAGCATGATTTTCATCAAGTAGCCAAAATCGTAGCCAGAATGGAATGATATCCAATGAACGTCGTCTAGCAGAACTAGCCCAGAGCTCATCAAAAGAGAGCCAAATTCAAAGGGATCAATGCCATTTTTCTCGTGCATGGAGAAGTCGATACCGGCCTTGGCTAGCATGCTTGTTGAATCTTGAGCGTACATGTCGTCCTCTAACGAGAAACGGAAGTTAAATTGCCATGTACACGGAGCTGGGCTGTAGTTGCTGGCATATCCTTGTCCATTGGCTTCCGCTGGCGTTGCGGGTGGCAGTTCGCCTTCTGGAGAAAATAACGTAATACCGAGCTGGATCATCTTGAGCAGATCGACATTACAGCGAAGTGTTTGGTAGTGATAGTCTGCTTTAGTAGTGAAAGCTCCCATAGGCCGAGCAACGATACCGGGAAACTCGGTATCCTAAATTTAAGAGATAGTCAGAAAACCCCAACATAACAAAGCTAGTCATATATCAATGCATACCATGCTGATATATGGATACCGCTCCACCAACCGTCTCAACACAGCCATCTCTTGTGCTAGGTTATGTTTCCAAACGTCGCGAATTCGAGTCTTTATAGCACTGCCCTTGCCCTCTAGCACTAACCTCCCGTCCTGCGCTTGATGTAATTGCTGCTGCTGCATTTGCGCACCTCGAACAAATCCCATTTGTGCTGCGTGACTGGCAAGTCCCGTACCGTTGCTGGCATCGGCGCCAGCACCAAACCCACCGACCGAAACACCATTTGTCACAGATGAAGCAGCGAGTGCGAATGGATTGGCAGTCGAGCTGGAAGCAACTGCGCTAAAGCCAGGGTGGCCACCTAATGAAGGAGGCGGAAGTCCAGCGTTGACCGATTGTGTGTGAGCGGCATGGTGTTGAGTTTGCGATTGCTGTTGCTGTGACTGCTGTTGTAACTGGTGAGCTTGTTGAAGATGGCCAAAGGGCGTATTCAAGGCCGATGGCCCGTATCTGCCAACAGGCGGTGGCATTCTACTACCGACAGATCAGTCTCGTGTAGCGGGAGGGGTGGGCGGCTAAGTTGGTCATGAATAACGAAGACGACTGCAGGCCGGATCTAGCATCTGACAGCGTTGACTGATGCTGGTCTTTCGATGCAGTGAAGGCGAAGCGAACTATTCCGCTTGTGGAAAGAAAAAGCAAAAGCTCGTGCTGAGTCTTGTGCCGAAGAGGCGTTGTCAAGTGTTGAGCATTGGGGTGGATTCGTCGATCTTCAAGCTTGCGGACTTTTGACCTGTCCTAAGTCTGCCTGAAACTGAAGGCTGAAAGGCTCCAATCTGGTTAGTGCCATACATCACGTGACGGCAGCCGACCTGCGAGTTGGGAAATCCCGCGCTTCTAACGTTGTCCCGACTCTACCAAGCTCGCCAGGGACCAATTGGACTCACCATTGTCAGCTCTGAAATAGCCGACAAAAGGGAACTCATCCATCAATTCTGCACCACCCCTTCCAATTGATCCTTGCCGTGTCACCAGCAATCCGTCAATTTTTCGCAATGTCTGCGCGAAACCCCACCGGCTTCGATATCAAAGAGTTCAAGGCTGCAGCACACCCGCGGTCTGTTTGGGCAAAGAAGGATCCATGGGCTCGACAGTAGGTCCTAGGACTGCGTGTACATGGGTTTGTTTTGGTAACTAATTCGTGTATAGCGAGGCATGGCGATACACAGGTCCCTTCTCTCGTTGGAATCGCTTCAAGGGACTATTCCCCGGTCTTGGAACTGCGACTGTCCTTTTTGCTGGCTACTGCCTCTATGAGCAAGTTTTCCTCTCGAACGATCACGGACATGGCCATGAAGAGTCCCACCATTAGTCTCCATTTCGTGAGATTCCAACCGAGCCTGTAGCCTTTATGTTTGAACGATACTGCGCTTCCATTACCTCTTGATTACTCGACTAAAAACCTCACATTTGAATACGGAGAACCGGAAATGGTAACTTCTCGTCGGTGGATATCGGGCATGCGGGATGCGGACACGCAAGGTTGATGTACCGAAGGAAACACAGTGTTGTCAGGGATGTGATGTTTCTAGACATCTGTAGATATGGCGCTCCGGGGTATCATTCTCTATCAGCATTTCATTGCTGTATGTACATAGTGTTATATATCGTTGTTTTTCACATTTTCAAATGAACCACAACCAGTGTAAATTTCACACTGGCTCCAATCATCTACGCCAAACGTGTCATATTAACAATGTGATAGTAGGCAAATGTATGTACACAAATTATCTAGCCTGCATATAATGCAGGTACTGTGTAACTAGTGGTATATAGCCTCTGTTTTATTCCTCAAAGACAAGAGAAATGCCGTCGTCGCCTGCCGTAACAATCCGCTTTCCTCCTACAGCGCCCTGCACAAAGCCAAGAATGCCACCAGATTGCTCCCCGCCTTCAGTTTCAATCAAGCCGAGATGACCTCGCCATTCCTTGAGCAATCCCTGTGCTGCCGCTGTAGTGCCACCCCGGGCATCCCATCGTCGGATTACACCGTCCAAGCCAACGGAAGTAAGAATCCAAGGCCGGCCTTGACCTGCGGCGGTTGCAGCAGCAGCATTAGCAGTGGGTCCTGGCAAACCAGGCCGAATCAGAGGCGTAGCAGCTTGTGCGGGTTGTTGTAAGAATTCAACCTTGACAACAGTAGCACCCTCATGCGCATCACGGATATGTCGACGAACTGCAAATCGATGCGCTACATCAAAGAGACAGATTGAACCATCCACAGAACCCGATGCAAGCATTGTCAAGGGCAGAGATGAGAACGACAAGCTTTCAACACTGTCGGACTGGGCTTGTAACGAGGCAAGAAGGGCGCCAGCACCCGATGCTTGCGAGCCAACAGGAGTGGACGATTTTGACTTGGATTTAGGAGCAGTTGACTGCAATCGAGGCAATCCAACTACCTTAATATGGCCTTCAGCACCCCCAACAGCAGCAATGGCGCCCGACGGAGATATGGCAATGGAATATAAGCCACCTTCAACGGCAAAGCGCTGATCTTCTGCCGTATACCCTACCACGGCATTTGTACCTGCAGAGTAGGATATTCCCGCAGCAGCAGCAGCACCAAACACGTCGTAGACATAGAAACTACCATCCTCTGACACAGTAGCCAGCAGCTTTCCGTCTGGAGTCCAGGCCCCGGCAGTACAGGACATAGTATGTTGGAAGAATGTCTGAATGATGGAAATAGGTTGAGCGGAATCTGTGTGGTCAATCTTGAACACCCACGCACTACCGTCATTACCGCCAATTGCGACAACATTATAACTCTCTTCTTGTCCTTCTTGTGCCGGACACACAGCCAGCCAATTAATCTCTTCCACCTCTTGTGCCTCAGCAACAAAGTCCCACAACAGTCCTGTCTTTTGTGACGTCGCGTCTCTCCATATGCGCAAACGCCCATCAAGCCCGGCGGTCACAGCATATTCACCACGAGGCTCAGTAAAAGCCACGGCATTGACAGAATCCGAATGACCGTCCAACTTTTTAATAGGTTCTAGCGATTTCCGTTCTCCTTTTGGTTGTGGGTTCGATTCGTAGCTTTGGGGAAGCAAGGGCCGTTCATCCGGATGGGAGGAGTCGAATATAAAGGCTGTATCGTCACCAGACCCGGTGATGACTATCGATTGGTGCACGGGATGTTGCGCAATACAGAACACTGAGTCTGAGTGGTGATCGAAATGCGCGACAGAATCGTTCTGGAGTGTGATCTCTTGCATCGCTTGATCTTCATCGTCTGACTCCATCGGCTGATCTTCATCTCCTTGGAAGATCTCCTCTGCATCCGCCTCATCCAAGTAGATGTCATCCTCTTCATTTTCGCCTTCGGCATGAGGATTCGAAGCGGACGACATCTTGTACTTGCTTTGTGTTTTTTTAACCGTATATAGGAGAGATGTGAATAGCGGGGTAGCTTCAAATCTTATAAAGATTTGGACTCTGAAAAAAGGAAAGGAAACAGAAAAGCGAAGATTGAAGAAATAAAACCAATCAATGAGACTTGTAATCTGGATTGAAGAATTTCTATAGGAGCAAAGCTCGTGTTGCAGCATGAATTATTAATGCTGGACGAGTTGCCCCTCGAAGCTTAGAAATTTTGTTCTACTCGCGGCAGCCAATAGGCGTCGAGACACGCGTATCCACTCTCGAAAACGCCCGCACGATTTCCTAAAACGGTTATATATGTATAACATCCAATTTGTATATGTCTCATACAAACTTGACTTGTCGAGCGCAAGGCAAGGTAGTCAATGTAAAAATATAGCTAAGGATGGTAAGCACGCGCAGTCCACTTACAGCTTACTGCCTGCTTTTTTCCTTGCTTCTCTCTCCTGGTCTTTCAGCAGTCGCCGCAAGATCTTGCCACTGGGACTCTTTGGAATAATATCCACAAACTGAACACCGCCCTTTAGCCACTTATGTCGAGCCTTGTGATCTTCTACGTGCTTTTTGAGTGCTTCCGTAGCAGCCGCATCGTCTGGTTGTGCAGACGGCGATTTCACAACAAATGCTTTAGGGATTTCACCGGCAGCTTCGTCTGGAACCCCAATCACAGCACAATCTGCTACCATGGAATGTTCGAGTAAATGAGATTCAAGCTCAGCCGGCGCCACTTGTAAGCCCTACACATGTCCTTGTCAATCTTGCTTTCTCTTTTTTCTGTATTGTTCTTGGGCATACCTTGACTTTGATAAGTTCCTTGATGCGGTCTACAATCCACACATGTTCAGTCTTTTGTGGTCCAAGGCGTATCATTGCTTCATCTCCCGTATGAATCCAGCCATCTTGAAATGTCTCTTTGGTAGCTTTCTCATTGCGCAGATACCCTAGCACGACACTAGGCGATCGGACCAAGAGCTCGCCCGGAGTATCGTACTTAAGAATCTCTTTTCCATCTGGAGAAATTATCCGCATTTCAACTCCTGGCAGAACATTACCACTAGAGCCAAACCAAATATCCGTGGGTAGTGTTGCACAAACAACCGTTGCAGTTTCAGTCAGCCCTTTTCAGTATTAGTATGCTTTCGCAAAGTATGCAGCCCAAGAAGTATAATAAGACGTGTAAATAAGCGAACAGGACTTACCATAACCTTGTCTAATTGCCCAGCGAGGAAACATGTCCTGCACTTCTCTAGAGGTTTCGGCCCCTAGAGGTGCAGCTCCGGTAAAGATTGACGTGACACTAGATAAGTCGTACTCTTTCAGTAGATCCTTGTTACGTAGCATGGTTATTATAATCGGAGGTACCTAAATGTACACGTCAGTTATATATTACTTATCATATAATGGCTTACTGACCAGGAAAAGGATAGATATGTGGAATCTTTGAATAGCGTTCAAGAATAATTTGAGTTCGAACTTTGGAAGCACAATGACACTATCGCCCCTATATGGCAAGGCGTGGCATGTATAAACCAATGCATATATATGACTTTGCGGTAAAAGGCCTAAGGCGACTTCAGAAAATGGCGTGTTCTGATGACCTTCCTGGACAGCTGGGCGAAAAGTCTTCTCGAAAGTGCAGATTTGTGTAGCATTCGCGATGACATTACGATGAGAAATCATCACCCCTTTCTATTTTCAGGTTAGCTCTTAACACCTATTGGCAGACGGATGTGTTTCGAAGGATGCCGGTCACTTATCAACGTACAGGAAGACCCGATGTCCCACTTGAGTAACACACAAAGGCAGTCGTGCGAGCCCCCTGTCCGGGGCTCCATCTCAATTGCTCCACCTTCGGGGACGATTTTCCTGCCAGAATGAGCTGATCTAAAGTCCTAAAATGCGGAGGCACTTTTGCACCGCATACAAATTCAGAAGGCAAGTCAACAATATATATCCGGTTTTTCGGGATTCCTGCCTGGCCTGCGGCTTTCAATGCAGTACCCAGAAGCGGAAGGCATGTAAAGAGAGCGCTTGCTTTTGAGTCTTTTAATTGGTATGTTAATTCAGAGGCAGAGTACGCAGCATTGGCCGGTGTTGCTACGCCACCCAATCGATGAATTGCCCAGAAGAGGGTCAAAGTGTCTATCTATAGGAGATTGGTCAAAGTGTCAGTGTCCTGAGCGGACAAGCGAGTCGCATGCTCTTACTGTGTTCACAAGGAAGCACGCGGCAACCTTGTCCCACTCTGTGCCCTTGTTTGGGCTCCAATTGAACTCACTGGCAAGAGCGCGCGAGAGACAATCGACACGTTCCTTCACCTCCAGCCACGAGTAACTTTTCCCAGTGAGACCGCAGGTAAAAGGGTCCGGGGACTTATGCAGAGGATATCTTCCGTGTTCATCGCTTAGCATAAAGTCGCAAATTGCAACATCATCGGGAATGATCGACAGCGGCGGCACGCTGCGCGGCGGATAGAAAACCATCTCACAAGAAGCGTATACTTTCGAAGGTATGGACAATGGTATAGTGTGTGTGTGTGTGTGAGGAGGGAGAAGTAAAAGCCGCGATATGGATGGTTCCGGTTTTTAACAACACATCGACCGCTGGCTCGGTTAGGAACTAAGCCTCGCTGTTTGGGTTCCTTCGGATCCTCGTGCGGAGAACACGGGGGAAGAAGATGCGGGGGTTCCGGCGAATCAAATGCTGCCGGCATTATGAAAACTCCCGCTGGTGCCTGTAGAGAAGCCGGAGAAATGCAGGTGCAAAATGTATAGCTTCGCATGCAAAATCAGCCTGGGAAGGGTTTGGTCAGGTGTCAGGCACAGGATGCGATGCCCCAGGTAGGGAGGTGGCACCTGCCGAGCTACTGTCTGTGCCTTCCCTATGGGAAAAGGTGCAAGAGTCACGATGGCCTCCGTTTCGTCTTTCTTGCCGTTCTCTAGAACGGACCACGTTACAATCCCCAAGTCAAACTACCTAGGTACTCGGTCTTTTATCTATCTCCAGCGATAGCATGCCGAAGAGGGCAGCTCAACAAGAGGGCAGCAGCCGAAAGCGTCTTCGGAAAGGTGAGCAAACCATATCCAGGATGAGGAACGGTATACGCTTCTTTATAGCATCATTTCCCCCCACGATTCCTTGCGCTTAGAAGCAAACTAACCGGAAAAGAACATATGAAACAAGCCGAAAATCCTACCCACGATGCATCTGCAGGAGGAGAGGCCTCGACTGCTAACACAGGCGGTGAACATGTTCGCGCTGAGCCCCCTGCATGGGCCGATGTACGTGGACCCAATCCCACACCTCCGCAAGAGACAAGCTAATAATCGCGCCCATAGTATCGTACGAATCTCTGCGACGCTCTTGGCTGGTTCCGTTCGGTTCAAGGGGGCTCGTACCAGTCAAACAAGCTATGTTTCGGCTTTCTCCTTGACAAAGATAGTGGACCTCGAGCATACATTGATGATGAAATTGTGATCTCGCGAGTGTGAGCCATTGCCGATTCTGTCGTCCCGGTAGCTGATAGCATGCTAATTCCTGCAAAGAGGAGGCGGCTGCGCTTTGGAGCCAAACGGGGCTCTGATCCAACAGAAAGATCAAGATGAGGCCTCACGGTCAGTCAGATCACTTTTAGAAAGCAAGAAATCCGGGCTTGCTGTTGGTCTCGTCATCGGTCTGTCGCTCAGTCATATATCTCTTTAATCACGGACTTTATTAATGGCGTTGGATAGGCAGCAAGAATCAAACCATTATGAGGCAATTGCCGCACAGATACAATGTCATGGCCTGGTTCCGCGTTGTCGATGTCTGGTTTGAAAAGATCGATGGAAAGACCGGGGCTCGTGTTCGTTTTCAGAAACTCGACCTAGAACAGCCTAGTTGGTGGGCTATCAAAGGATCGAAAGATCCACTGCCTCTAAGCCAAAGGACATTCCTTAAACCACAAAGTCAAATCTGCGGCAAATGCTCGTCTTCGAGCAGTTTAATCTATGAACAAGGATGGATGTGTCTGCAACCAAAATGTCCTGCATTTTGGCAAATGAATGGTGGCTGTGTTCCTAAAAATCTTACGTATGATACAAGATTCTTAAGCTCTCGCGAGCCGCTCGATGACCAGATTCAGCCTGAATTCAGTCTTGTCCCAGATCTCTTGACGGATCTATCCGAAAACTCAGATGCGTGGACACAGAGGGTTGCCTGGAGAGGTGTTGTCTGCCCAGAATGTCACAAGTGTATCTCTAGAAGATACTGGAATGGGTGGATATGCCATGATCCACTAGACGGAAAATGCGTATATCCAGTGACTTGCCAATGGAAGATGATAATGGACATGCCCGCCATTTCCCTTCGATCAGTCCTAACAGGCCTTGAGCTCGGGGTCACCAAGAGAGCCATTCGCACAGATAATCAGTTCATACAACCAGTATCTCACTTCTCAAAACCATACCAAAGGTTCACGTATACCATCGAGAATGTTGGCAATATTGTTCACTTTAGTGCCAACAAATCGACTCTCGGTAAACCCAACGGCCCTAATGATTTATTCGAACGCCTTCAGAAGGTCGACCTAGGTCTTCGTCGATATCCCCTTCAACAATGTGCCGGTCAGTCGATCCATTCAGCAGTAGTCCTGGTAATTCTGAGATCCACTAATAAAAATTCTTTAGTGGAGGGAACTTTGACTTCGCATTATGCAGTCAACTTTGTACGTCGAGCCTTTGCCTTTGTTTCTTTTTTCTTCTTTTGATATATACACATTCCACGAAGGCTAACTCTTACCATAAGGGAATGCCATATAAGTATGTTGTGTCAGTCGACTCCAAAGGGTTCGATCAAGCTCCAGTCGAGATAATGTATGCTCTTGGTCGCCTCAGTTGGGCAACCAAGCAAGCTGTTGGCGAGGAAGCCGTTGCTCCCAATGAACTGCTGGCTCTTGGCTACTTCGATAAGATGTCAATCGGCGTATGTCGAAGCCCAAGCACTTTGGTTATTCTGGTTCTGACAGAGTTTAGTTCCATGATGATGGTGAATCATCTCTCGGGCCGACAATCGCGACCTTGTCCCTTGGTTCCAAAGCAACAATGAAGATTCGTTTGAAAGATCAGTATTTTCGTGGCTGTCGCTTACGCGCAAATGCTCCCCTCGCAGATGATACTGTTCTTCCAGGTTGCGACAAGTTCAGTGAGCGCAGGAAACTGAAAGAGCAGCACGAGCATGGCAAGCTCACGCACAGTGAGTATGCCAAATGTCGGATGGAATTGGCCAAGACTGTCGCAAGACGAGAGGCAGACAGTTTAATTACTTTGGACCTGCACCACGGAGACATGGTAGTAATGCATGGAGCACTGCTGCAGAACTACTACGAGCACTCCGTTTCCTCCGAAGGCAAGCTGCGATTTGCCTTGACCTCGCGATATATAAAGCCCGAGGAAGTCGAGCAAAAAGAGCATGCGAAGGGTCAGTTCGTACTGACACCAGATCAAGTGTATGATGGGGAATGAAGCCAACCCCCCTCCCTTTCAGCTCATGTCTTAGTCATCGTCGATGCTCCTTAGTTCGCTATACCTGTTTTTATATTCATACTCATAGTAACAGACACCTTTCGTGAGAATTGAAGCCTTTTCTTTATGAATTTATTATTTGGTATTTTCGAGTGCGTACAGAGTTTGTGCCGGGGTAGAGAAATTAGTGGAAACGGGGAAGCATCGCCTTCCATGGATTGCGGCTACGACGGGGGTAGCCGGCCAGTCGGGCTGAACTAGCGTGCTCCTAGCACCAGCGCGCACAGCGCAACTTCTCCCCCCCCCACCGAACAACATGCCAACGTTCAGTGTTCAGCCACTCGTTTCAACCCGGATTCCTTCGTTACAAGGCTGACGGCATTGCCTCTGCTTCTCCTCTCTTTCGTTTTGCATGGATGAGTCCCTCGCTCCCTCGTTGCGACCGCCCACCATCGCCCACCATCTCACCCTGAGCAGGCTTTCGATGGCCGACCGGCAATCCGGATCATAGTCGAATATCTCGTATCTTCGCAGCCTGCCGGGACCGTTGGCTGACATGACTCCGGGTTGAAGTAACTAATTTGCTATTGATTGTGTCGTCTGCAGCACTTCATCTTGAACCGAGACCACGAGGGCGTTTCTCCCGGCTTCTTCCTCTTCAAACATGTCTCATTACCAGCCTGGCCATCAGGCATACTACGCACAGAACAATACTGTTAACGGATCCCCGCAGCGTGTACAGTACACCAACGCCTACTCTCCCCAGCTAGACCAGACACCTTCGCTGAGGCGAACGCCTAGCTTTGTTGCCGGGGATGACTCGCTGTACACTCCCGTCTCATCAAATGAGACCATGCAGGGGAGTCAAGCGGCCGGAGCTGCTTACAATACCTTTGCAAGCACACCGCAGGCAAACCTAGGCTCGAGACACTCTCAGTTCTCCGTTGGGAGTTCGCAGCGATCCGACCCCAGCCGTGCCTCGTCCCATGGATCGTCGGCGACATCCACATACCAGACACAGCCGTATTCGTCCTCTATGCAAGCCTCGACTCAATCGAACATGGCCTACAATCCACAGCAATATGCACGTCCTCATTCTCTTTCTCAGCCGCCCTCGATGTCCTACAATCCTCAAGCATATACCGTTGTCAATCAAAACTATCAGACTTACAATCCAGCTGCTTATCAGCCAAACTCTGGGCCAACCTATGCTACATCAAACCTCCCGCGTCAACAGATGGCAATCTCCACACGTTATTATGCGCAACCAGCCACCTATGGGATGCCTTCCCCTCAATCGCAGCCACCAGCGCCGCCTCCTCGTGGTACGGATCATCCTTACGGGCCGCGTCCTCCTCAGCATTCGGACACTTCTCCCAATTCAAGTTATGGATATTCGTTCGGCGGCCAGACCTCGCCCTCATTGACTTACCGTTCATCATTACATCACGCTGGACAGTCCCCGCCAATTCATGGAACTAGCCAGTCCTATGCAAGCTCGAGTCCGCACTCTGTCCCATCCCGTCAGACCTCTCACGCGTCACAGGCATCGTCATATTTTCCACCTCCGTCTTCTGAGCCTCCAGCTCCGCCCGCCCATCAGCCTCTCGGCGACTATACTTACGGCAAACGTACAAGTATATCGGGGCCCTCGTTGAGGGCATCGGAGTCATCTCCAACGTATCAATCGCCGCAGTCGTCTTCTCCTCGAAGGACGGACACCCTCACAAGACACCCTCAATCTCGACCTCTTCCTGGTCCGCCACCGCCGGATGCCGAGGATATTGCTCCTCGCAATGGCGCTGGAAATACATATGAGGATTTAATGAAGGAAGTGGAAGCCGCTGTTCAAGGGAGTTCCCAAAATATGGGTTATAATGGAGGCGGGCAAATGTCGCCTCTGGAACGACAAAATTCTGCGGGGGGTATGCTTCGTCCATTGTTTAGTGATGGGGTCGCGCTACCACGCCTGAGTCCTGATGAACATCATACGCACAGCAATGGCAGCGTAGCAACTGGTACTGGACAGTATGTGAACTATGACGCGTATAGTGATGAGAGCGATGCGGAGGCTGCTGCTGGACTAGCAATGATGCAAATGGCAGAAGAAGAAGAAAAAGCTGAAGCCCAGCGGCAACGAAGCAGAGGCGACACAATGAGCTCTTTGTTTCCGACATATGGCTCGCAGGCATCTACTGGGCTTCAGATATCTCAAGTTGCTCAACAAGAGTCGGCCAGTGACAGTGACTATGCCCATTATGACTTGGCCTTGTATGGAGGGGGTTATGAAGGTCAAATGCATTATGGCGATGTTTCTACTTTGAACTCCGCGACAAAGTCTGCCGCGACGTCGGGATATCCGCCGGGTAATGAAGATGCTACAACCGCGTTCCATTTCACCACTCCGGCGCGGGTTGATACCGGGGGCACAGGTGGCCTAGCAGAACCTAGTGCGATGGGACGGCGTATGAGCTTCGACTATGGTGACGAAGACGCTGATCCTGTTCTAAGCATGCCGGATGGCGATATCCCCTCTGGGAGCCAAAGCCCAGAAAATCCAGAACTAATGGACCTCTTCTACCATCCCGGAATGCGCCCACTTCCACCAGCTCCTGTTGAGCCAGTTAATAATGCAAATGTTCTGCCACATCTGATTCCTGCAGGAACTTATCATACCACGCAGTATGATGAGCAGGATAACCATGATCAGTATAGACCTCTTCCACAACCTACTTCTTCAGACTTGTCCGGACTATCACTGCCAAATCCTAATCAAGTTCCGCGGTCGACATCTATGTCGAGTCATAGCAACACTCCTCGTACTGACGCGCCTATTAGATCCAAAACCGATGCGGATCGGGTAAAGTATAAGCAACAGCAGGACTTTCTGCGACAACAAGCGCCAGATCCCATCAGCACCCTAAGTTTCAACGCCTCACCAGAGCCATCTGCCATGGCTCTTGACTTGCCTACAATACCGGCCGTTAGACGGAAGAAGTTCAATCCAGCTAAATTATCTTCAGAGCAATTTCGCAAGTGCTCGGAGCCCTGGGCCTTGAGTGCAATCGTGGCGTGGGTTAAGGACTTGAGTGAAGATGAGACCGATCTCAAAGAATCAGCCGTTGTCAATGCTATTGTCGCTTTATTTACACATAAAGTCCCAACGATGAACACTGCTGATGCAGAGACACTAGGTTCTTCCGTGGTCAAGAGCATGCTTAATGAAGGCGCACTGATAATCGACGAGGAATGGGTCAAATTCAGTAACAAGACCTTGTCTGGTGTGCTGTTTCAGATTACAGGCAGTGGGTGTTATTCCTCACGCCTTCATTCTCAGGAAACGGAGATATTAGGCCGCTGCTATTCTCACCATTGCATGAGGACTCTGAAAAAGATCAATCTCCGAGCCCAAGCAATGGAACCCCAGAAGAAGGCTCAAGATTGGGTAACTTTTTACAACGTCCCCAAAGAAGTATGGGAGGCCTACCCACGCAAGGAGATTGACCGTCAAAACAATCTCCATGAGATCGTTACTACTGAAGACTCCTTCATAGGACAATTGGATGTGCTGCGAGAACTTTATCGTGATCAATTAGCTCACATGCACCCTGCGATCATTAGCCCAAAGCGCCAGGAGAAATTTCTACGGGATGTCTTTGGTAAAGTTGATGCTGTCAAAAAGGTTAACGAAGATTATCTCTTAGGACAGCTTAAGTACCGGCAAAAGGAACAAGGTCCATTTATTGCTGGCTTCAGTGATATCTTCAGAGAATGGATACGGAAAGCTAAAGGGGTTTATGTGGACTACGCAGCGACGTTCCCCAATGCTAATTATCTAGTTCGAAAGGAGGCTGAACGTAACACCCTCTTTCGTCAATTTTTGAACCAAGCTCGTGAGAATAAGCTGTCTAATCGCTTGAGTTGGGATACATATCTTAAGGCTCCTATCACCCGCATCCAGCGCTACACTTTGCTCTTGTCTACCGTGCACAAGAATATGCCCAAGGACTCGGAGGAAAAGACCAATCTTGCACTAGCCATTGAAGAAATCAAGGCTGTGGCATTGGAGTGCGACAATAAGGTTGGGGAAATGTCGAAGAAGGTCAATCTCATGGAGCTTGCTTCAAAGCTTCAACTCAGACCAGGAATGAGCAAGGAGGTTGAGCTGAATCTGGAGCATCTGGGACGGGAGATTATCTTTCAAGGCGATCTTCAGCGTCCTGGTACTCGAACAAGGTTCAATCTGGTGGATATGCATGCCATCCTCTTTGACCATTACCTTGTATTGGCCAAAACACTGCAGATTCGCGACGCGACCAAATCCGGCAAGTTCGAAGTCTACGATGTTTCCAAATTGCCTATTCCTATGGACCTTCTAGTCTTGGAAAGCACGAACGATGACCCAGTGGTCAAATCCTCGGTGAAGGGCATCTCAACACTGGCGCCTCCAACAGCGGCGGCTGCAGCACGGGGAGCTGGCCCAGGGACTCTCACACACGCAAACAGCTCTAATTCTACTGGTTCAACCTCACTTGAGGGCTCCAAGGATGACAAAATTTTGTACCCTTTCAAAGTCAAGCATTTAGGCAAGGTGCCTACCTATACACTATTTGCACCATCAATGCAGAACAGACAAGATTGGTGCCGCAAGATTCTCGAGGCTAAGACTAGACACGCTGCCTCGCTTTTTGCACAGAATGCGGAACCCTTCCGCCTACGTGTCCTGGCTGACGCCGCTTTTGCCTATTCCGAGGCGCCCGGAAGCAAGACAGTCATGATCAAAGGAACCCCCCTAGATCGTGCCATCAAGGACGTCGAAAAGAAGTATGCGAGCATAGGAATTCGGCCTAACCCAATTTGTAGAGCCGCAGTCAACTGTGCTACAGTGTTTCAGCAACCCGGCGGCCAATTGATATGTGCTATTGGCACCGACTTTGGAGTCTTTATATCGCGGTATGACGATCCACGAGGCTGGGAAAGAGCCATCACAATCAGTCGAGTCACGCAAATTGCGGTCTTTGAAGACTTCAATTTGATGTTGTTGATCGCAGACAAATCTCTTCTGGCGTACCATCTGGATGTAGTCTGCCCGGTCAGTGGTAAACCCTCTCAAACATCTCAACACGACTCTGCACGTCGAGCACCGCAAAAGGTATCAGGAACTCGTGAGGTTGGCTTCTTCTCTGTGGGCAGAATGAAAGACCGTGTCCTTGTATTCTACAAAAAGCGAGACGGCATTTCATCAACTTTCAAGGTTAGTCCTTATCTCTCAAGAGAGAGAGAAAGCCACAGAGAGAGAAGCATAAGCTAATGGTATTCCTAGGTGATTGAGCCGGTCCTACACAAATCAGCCTCAACCCGCGCCCGCTTTCATCTAGGTCGTCGTGGCCAGACGGAATTCTTCCGCGAGTACGACGAATTCTATATCCCTGCCGAGAGCTACAATATTAATCTCTTCCATTCCTCGCTAGCGATATCAACGCAACGCGGTGTTGAAGTTCTGACACTTGACAAAAAACAGCCATGGTCTCTACCTAACCTCAGCTCGGCAGCACCGGAGGCGCAGCCTTATTTGACCAGTATTGGAAACCGTATCAAAGACTTACGACCACTGGGTATGTTCCGACTGAGCGATGGCGAGTTCTTGCTGGCATATAGTGAATGCGCGGTCTACGTCAACCAGCTTGGCGATGTGTCTCGAAGTGTTGTCATGGAATTTGTTGGGCGAGCGCACACCGCCTGTCTCTATGGCAAATTCCTAATCTTGCTGAATGACGACTTTGTTGAGGTTCGCAATGCCGAGAATGGTCGCTTGAGACAAGTCATACCAGGGCGTAACGTGGTATGTCTCGATGACGGCGGCAACATGGAGGCAACTGGGGACACTGCCTCGCAAGAAAGCAATTTCGCCAAACATGCTGCTGTTAATGGCCAGGCCTTTTCCACTAGTGACCTCGCCCGCAACGGCCGCACTGTGAAGATCTGCATGCAACACCCGGAGTACGAGCGCAGCCAAATTGTGGTGGAACTCATCGAAAACGAAGGACAGAAAGAATAGTACTAGTATGAAGAGCTGACGATCCTTTTATTCTCCCTCACATTGCGCTTATGTCCATACTTTTTTTTTCCTTTTTTTTATGGCATCGTTTGGTTCCTTTTTTCTTATTCGCTTTTTCTTTTCTTTTTATCTCTTGGCAACATACTCTCATGGCCTTTTCGATGATTGTTTTTTTTTTGTGGTATAGGCAACTTATTGGCAACTGTGTGATCTTGGGAGGAACAGGTGGCAATATCTAGAAGACTGCCAGGTTATTGGGCCGCATGGTGGTATAGAGCCGCTGGGCCCTGGTTATTCCCCCTACCATGCATACAGTGAGCATACAGTCCCCAAGAAGAAGCTAAGCTATGGAATAGTCTTGTAAGCTTGTTGGACTGAGCGATGATTCCTGATTGTGTCATGACATGAAACTTTCTGCGCATATGTACAGCTTGTCGTTGCTCTTTATAATCCTAACTCAACAAAGCTTGTATATATATCTAATATGTACATCTACACTATATGAATGAACATACGTCCTGGTGCAAAGTTTGTAAAGTTTGTCATTTTTCGCCACCTGCAGATACCTAGGTATTTTTTTCCCACATTGACTCCCCAAAGCCAGTATGAAAGATTGTTCTTGTCTTACTGTAAGGAAGATATGTTTAGCAAGCGGTCAAACAGTTCGCTGCCAAACTCACACTTCTATTTTAGGCCTAGTCTAGAATGGCACTAGGAGCAAGCTGGAACAATGAGGTTTGACTTCATCCTGATTAGGTAAGGCTCCATTTTATGTGTATAATTATGTTAGATTAATTGGGTACAATGCTCAATTTTGTGCTTAAGTTTTCCTTCCTCAGAGTACGTGAAGACGGGTCGGGCGAATTTAACCGTATTGGGAAAGTAGGTAGATAACTCTTGCCACTACGGAAGAGCCTGGAAGTAGAAATTCCACATTAGGCATTGCCAGATTAGTCCGCTTATCCTCTTGGCTGCGGGTCTGATCTCTTGGCTACTTCAGCCTAGTCAGTTTATTGGTTACAAGGCCACCTCTGAAAGAAAGTTAAATGGAGTTCTTAGCCCTAACTCTCCTTTACAATGTTTTCTGACTGATTGAAATATTTAACTAATTATACGGTATACGATTAGATACGAAAAAGGCCATAGGTGTTTAAAATTTGTCCATATGCGCCGAACTTAGCGTCCGCTGAGTTGTGAATCTACATGGCGCAGACTTCACTACGTACTCAGAAAAATGAGCCACTCCATAGGTTATATCGAATGTCCTGGTTACTCCCAAAATCCCAGTCGACGAAGGGGTTCGTATCTAGCCCCGGCCCTGGATATCCACTGACTTCTAGAGCCTGGTCTACACCGTCAAAGGCATTAGACGCGTGAAGGGCACTCCGTGGTGGGTCAATTATATGATCGAGAAGACGAGTGAACCTTGACTTGATAGTCTGGCCCAGTTCAAAATGATTCGACCCCGGTTCAGCAGCCCATTCAAGGCACGAGACAAAGACAATGAGGTCACGGATAGTATCGCCCCTGGAAGGTCGCGCAAATGAGGGTACAGATGATGAAGCAGACTGGTGAAGCAAGTCTTCCAATAGTACTTCGGCGGTGGGCAGCCCGAAGGGAAGAAGCTAATAGTGCCGCAGGATTAGTTTCAGCCTTTAGACACTGCGTCAGATACAACCTTACCACACTGCTCAAGTCACTCCTAATCGCTCGTAGACGCTCACGTTCCCTGTTGATCACAAGAATCGTTGATAAGATGTCTTTTGCTACGGAAAGTAGATTGGCACGTGGGTTGGAGGGTGACTTTTGCGCTCGGAGTCGATGAACCAGGAAAAGCGAATAACGTTGCTCCAGATAGAGAGCGAACAAAACCCAGACGTTTTGATAAGGGACGAGCTCTGTCCACATTTTTGGAGAATATCGTAATTGAGCGGGACAGGAATCCCACATTGACTGGAGAGTACTTATTATTTGTCTACAGTTCTGTTAGTACTCCAGCCCTAAAGCCAATTGATGATGGACTTTCAATGTCCTTTGGGGATTTTGGCAGCATTTCGATGGAGCGAGATTTAAATACTAGCATACTTTGTTTTTTCCGGGACGTTATGGGAACCTGTACCAAGGTGAAGCTCGAGGATCTCTTCGCGAACAGTGGACAGCAGGAATCGAAAGTGGAGGTATCCGGGGATTTCAAGTTGATTTTCTCCGGACTCTTCCAGATGCAGCATGTCGAATCCCTGTGTGAAGTTGTGGACTGTCATCACGCTGTTAACTTTGAATAGGGGGTCCAATTTGCAGTAGTGGCGAGTCAGAAACGGTGGTCTACCAAGGAATGTGGCAAAGAGCTTGTCCATGATATAGACCATTGCAAAACATCTCAGGCGCCACTTGTTTAGATATTTCGGGCGTTTGTCTTCGCAGCCTGTGTCTTGGTGTATCCCAGTCGCAAACAAACTAGAGGTTAGCTCCCCAATGGCAGAGTAGAGCCAATGGCCTTTCAAATTTCGTCAGTCTCGAATGCTACAAAATGTGAAGTCGTAGAAACGTACTGGAATTCCCCCATTTCTGAGACGCAAGGAACATCTGATTATATTTCAGACAGACTACCAGCTCGTTACATAATGGTATCCCATTACAAATGGCCAATACTTGCTCTGCCATTTCTTGGAATTGGGATAACATCGTCGACTTCTGGCAGTTACTGTTGGGATCGAGGAAAATAATCTCTGACTCCGAGATATGACACAGAGATAGACAAGCCATAACTAGCACGTTTCCGATAGTCTCCCAGCGGGTATTGGGACCCGTGATACGCAAGCAGAATTCCTCCAGAGTAGTTGATTGGGTAATCGAAATAGGACGATATGAATTGTTAAACATGCGCGTAGCTGCTCTTGAATATGAGGTGTCCTCTTCGCTGGGGTTTTCCTTGAATAGATCCCATAGATGGTCCAGTGTTTGTCGCATAATTATCCGAGGGATGATGACTAGTCGACCTAGAGTATACATTCGGTCAACTAGTTTTCGGATCAAGACGGCGTGAGCTGCCACAAAATTGGCAACCTGCACACCCAACTGCAGTTGCCTGGGTTCGACAGTCGTTGTGGAATGAAGGGTTGCTACTCCTTCGTCGTCAATACTGCGGGGAGTGTTTACAAAAATGTAAGAATGATTCTCATCTTGCATTGGAGCTCGATAGCTTGTTGAACCGAAAAAGCCTGTGCTTCCTAGGGCTGATGTGTTAATTTCGATTCCTCGAGGCTGAAACTGTTCGCTGCATGGTGCGAAAGTCGGACTCGAGGGCGCTCTTTCATACATTAGCGAACATATCGCCATTTGGTAAAACCTGGGATTGCTCACGCTGCTGGTTCCGCAACAATGGGTGACCTCCTCAACTGCCTAGACGCATCCCCGGAGCTGCTCGCATAGCAGGGCACGATTCGAAATCTGCTAGTCGTCGACGTGCGGGAGTAAACGCACATGGTGCCTCTACGGGCACATCGACCGCAGGTTGGCATTACATTATCGCATTTCGCTTTTGTCCTCCGACACGCGTCGCATGACTTCCGTTTTCTGCTGTGACAAGCAAGGGCGGATGTGCGGTCGGCCATGTGGCGCCAGTGGTAGTTACCGGATTGTGCAAGAGTGAGATCGATGGAAGCCAGCATCTTTCCCCAAGTCGTCCCCAAAGCCGGGGGTGGCCCGGCAATATCGGACTTTGGCCCCGACGCCGGAAAAGACTTGCTGCAAAAGGAAACCCCACTGACGGGACCCACTCTAGCGTGGCACATCATAAAGTTAAGGTATACTCCGGTATTGCTGTTACCGTTTCTATGCATACAAAACACATACGTGCTTGTTTGGCGTAGATCGCTTCATTAGCGTAGTCAATACGTATATAATCCATTCATGAGCCCTGTGTCTAAACTTTTGAGCTAATCAGCTCCTCTCAAAATTTACCCTCCGGTTTGGCGGCCTCCCACCCCTCTGACCTTCCAATGCACTAAAAGCCGAGACTGTAGATACAATGAACCCAGGCAATCATGCTGGTAGCCACGGGGTCAGAACGACCAAGAGGGATGAAGAACCTACATCCGACCTATCACTCCCTTCTCGTCATAAACTGGTATGGATCTGCTGCCGAGAGGTTGGAATATCGCTAAAGTAACGGTGGTGACTAGGTTAGCTGGGAAGGGCCAGATGACGAGCAGAATCCCAAGAATTGGCAAATGAGCACTAAGTGGACCATTACTGTGATGGTTTCCTTTTATGCTTTTATCTCATCGGTGTCATCTTCCATGATGGCCCCCGGTCTTGGAACAATTGCAGAGGAGTTTCACGTTGAGGACGAAATCGAGTCCCAACTCATGTTGTCAATTTTTATTCTTGCCTTTGCTATTGGGCCTTTGTTTTTTGCTCCGCTCTCAGAAGTGTATGGGCGTGTCCTGGTGTTACAAAGTGCGAATATGATCTTCCTCGTGTTCAACATTGCTTGTGGAGTGTGTCAATCCAAAGGGCAAATGATCGTTTTTCGGTTCTTCGCGGGGCTTGGGGGTAGTGCGCCACTAACAGTGAGAAACATCCCATAGTACAGTCTAACCGTTCGTATCAGTCTAACTATCGTATCAGATTGGTGGGGGTGTATTGGGCGACTTATTTCCGCCCGAGCAGCGTGGTAAATCCATGGCAATCTATACTCTCGCGCCGTTGCTCGGACCAGCTGTCGGGCCCATAGCAGGAGGGTTCATCAGTGAGAACATTCCTTGGAGATGGATCTTCTACACAACTTCCATCGCAGACGGTATTCTGCAGCTTACGTCGCTCCTCCTACTGCGCGAAACATATGCACCTAAGCTATTGAGAGACAAAGCCCGAAGTCTTCGCAAGGCAACCGGCGACCTTGAACATCAGACTGAAGCTGAGAGGGAGAGTCACGGAACCTTTTGGGGCAAGTTGAGAGTTTCACTAGTTCGGCCATTCCGACTTTTGGCCACTCAGCCTTTGATTCAGTTCCTTGCTGTATATATGGCCTTCCTGTACGGCCTGGTGTATCTAGTCTTGTCATCTTTCCCCTCCCTCTGGACGAACCCGGCCTACTACAACGAGTCTGTTGAGATCGGCTCACTTCATTATATTGCTTTGGGGATAGGGTTCTGGGGTGGCTCTCAAATCTGCGCACCGCTAAATGATAGGATTTATCGAATTCTGACTGCTCGAAATGGCGGAGTAGGACTACCTGAGTTCCGAGTGCCGCTAATGGTAATCTCAGCGACTCTGACTCCAATCGGCCTATTCATATATGGCTGGTCGGCACAGGAGCGTACACACTGGATCATACCAGATATCGGCGCCTGCCTTGTTGCCATTGGAATTATCAGCGGCTTCCTCTGCATCCAGACATATGTTGTTGATGTATACACAAAATATGCGGCCAGCGCGTTGGCTGCTGTGGTTTTCCTTCGGTGCTTGGCTGGTTTTGGATTCCCTTTGTTCGCACCATATATGTACGACAAGCTACATTATGGGTGGGGGAATAGTCTATTAGCTTTTGTGGCGATCGGACTCGGGGTTCCAGCGCCCTTGAGTCTCTGGAAATTTGGGGCTAGGCTTCGAGCCATGAGTACATATGCGGTAGGTTGAAACTGTTGGATTAAGTGAGGATCAAATCTCAATATCCGAGGATCCTAGGTGATAAATACTCCCTACACCCGGCCTAGGGGACAAGCATAGAATCTTGTATACTATGATAAACATTTCCTTCTCGTTCTGGGAAGCATTCAACCATCAGTATTACGTTAATTCAACCCATTCTGACTTGGCATCATTGCTTGTGCTGGTTTTCGACACTGTAATGACGCCTTTTACATGAGGAATGCCCTGATTATTGCCGAATACTCCAGAACCTCACGCGCATTGTCGGTATAGTACGGACGTAGTAAGAGATCACGGTGTATAACAATGCCTCCACAGGAAAACGACAGTGTTAGTAATCTCTCCTAACCGTGTTCTTCTGCAGTATCGCGCTGATGAAATCCGGGTCCTTATACAAGTCTTTTCTTAGCATAACCAAATTATCATCTTAAATATAACTTAGAATTAACTCCCTAATAAGGTTTCAAGGCATTTAAAGAAGGATTACTATAAAATTACTATGAAGTATGTTTGTCGCAAATGGATATTGACAAATCTAGGTGAGTAAATAACTCGTAATGGTCTAAAATTTTGGACTGGCACGAGTGAGTCGATCATTCCGGAGCGCTGCGATCTGTAGCCTGAGATAGGTAGAGATGCGTTGCCCTAGATCCTAGTTAGACTAGTCAACAGCTTGATATCTGCTGCTGCCCACGTTTACAACTTTCCAAGAGGGGTAGCGGTAGTAGCACAAGAGACTTCATTGTTTCATGCCTGGATCTATGAAGGATGCGACTTCATTTCCAGTCTTGGAGATGTTGCATTCTATGTATTAATTCATGCTTTTCACAGTTGTGACGCGGGCATGATTATGATTTGTTGTGTGTTTTTATTTCCTCCTCCCATCTATTTTCATTTACACACTTTTGATTTTAACCTGTAGAAACAAACGCAAAGAAAGATGAAGCGACGATGTATGTATGAATGAAAAATAGAGCCGAGCCGAGGTCCTCCGGCTCGCCTGCGGGGGAGAAACCCTTTTTTCAGTTTATAGTTACTTTCGCCCGGGCAAGCCAAAGGCCCACCTGAGCTGCACCTCTATCGAATCATCGAGTACGGCCGTAATCCAGCTGGAGCTCCCACGACTGGTTCATATATATATTTATACATACCGGCGCCAGGCCCGGTGAATATACCTTGTTTCTGTCTGTTCGTCTTTGGCCTCGACACTGCAGCAGCCCCGGCACGTTTACTGTTGAATTAGCCTGCCATGGCTCTTCCCAAATCCGAGTATCTCAGCGATGTCTGGAAAGACGGTTTATTCAGTACGCCCCTTTGCGGCCCTGGTTAATTCACAAGGTCTAACTGACGACCACGTTTCTGTGCTGACACCCATCTGACTCTTAGAGGACAAGGTGGTTTTCTGTACTGGCGGAGCAGGCACAATATGCAGCGCGCAGGTCCGCGCTCTTGTCCATCTCGGAGCCAATGCCTGCATTGTCGGGCGCAATGTCGAGAAATCCGAGAAAATGGCGTTGAATATTGCTACCGCGCGCGCCGGCGCAAAAGTCATTGGTGTTGGCGCTACAGATGTTCGCAGCTTCGAGAGCTTAAAGGCCGCAGTCGACCGTTGCGTTAAGGAATTAGGCGGAATTGATTTTGTGATGTGCGTTAGGGCCACTATAACGACATGTGTGTACGCTAATTTCAAAGAATATAGAGCTGGTGCTGCAGGGAATTTTCTAGCCTCGATTAATCAGCTCTCCCCCAACGCCTTCAAGTCGGTCATGGACATTGATGTCCTAGGCTCCTTCAACACCGCCAAGGCAACACTTCCCTACCTGCAGCAGTCTGCAGCGAGGCACACAGTTGACCCGAAATCTTGTCAGAGCAACATTCTACAACCCATCAAATCGACTAGCTAACCGTTAATTGTAGTGCAACCATCCCCTCGCGGTACTGGGGGTAGAATCATTTTTGTCAGCGCCACCATGCATTATACGGGGGTGCCTTTTCAGACCCATGTTACTGTGGCGAAAGCGGGCGTTGACGCCTTGTCAAACAATATCGCGCTGGAATTCGGTCCGTTGGGTGTCACCTCGAATGTTATTTCCCCGGGGCCAATCGCCAACACGGAGGTGAGCGGAATAATAAGAGTCACGTTCTGTCAGTCTGCTAACCTGGAGAACCCGAATTTCACAGGGCGTTGAACGTCTTCTGCCCAGCCATGCCAAAGAAGAATCTAGGAGAGCACAGCCTCTTGGCCGTTATGGCACAATCAGAGATATCGCCGATGCTACAGTATACCTATTCTCCGATGCCGGTAGCTATGTGGCCGGGCATGTGCTTGTTGGTACGTGCACACTTATGCGATTGTCTTTATTAATAATGCTCATGATTGTGACTGCTGTAGTGGACGGGGCTTCCTGGCGCATGCCCTCTGCCTCGATCGGAGCCAACATGAAATACCCGGACATGCTCCTGTCGGGAGAAGCTGTAGCCAACGTCAAGGGACAGAAGAAGGCCAAGCTGTGATGTGCGTTGTGTGTAGTTACTTGTTGAAATAAAATGATAGATGCTCAAGATAAGATGGTGGCTCAGCCCATGCCGCATCATCGCGTCGCCGCTTTTGCGCAAATCCGCGTCAGCCCAACTGTAGCGTGGACGCTCACTAAAGCAGCGTGGCGTGTTGCCTGCATCGGGCCTAGCCAGCAGCCCTGTCAGACAAGGCGCAGCCAATCAGCGCAGAGAAGGCGCCGGCCGGCTTACGTAGCCTCCCCCACTGCCTGAGGCCGATCGTCCCGCATCGCCCCTTCGGACCTTCCGTCTTCCACTCTTGACTTCGTTCTCTGCTCAACTACATCCTGCTTCCACTGCAGAACCTGTCGACTCTTCATCAACCGTCGCGTTACTTACTCTTTGCATTTCGTGTGTTCCGCTCTGATATTCCACCAAATATGTTGTTCCGGTCTCTCGTGGCCGCCAGCGCGCTCTCCCTAGGCGCCTCGGCTTTCCTGGTTGTCCCAGAAACTGACCACCACCACAATCTCCCTGTCGCTCATGCTATTGAACTCGAAGATGCCCGCACCGAGACAGTCCAGCTGGCCTGTGATGACTGTCCCTTCCCAGAGACCGGCTCCGATGGCGTCGTCACTTGGACCGAAGCCACCCGGTCTTCTTTGGTAAGTCGTTTGGATCCCCGGGATTATCTAGGACAACTCGTATCTGACGGAATAAAATAACAGGATCTGAAATTTCGTGCTCAAGATGGCAGTCTCTACGTGAATGATGCCCGCATTTTCCCAGTCTCTCCCGACACCGTCGAAATGGTCAAAGCCGTGCAGCGAAGGGAGTCCGATGGCCAGGAAACTGAGAATTTGAACCTGGGTTTCGCTCTCATGGCCTTTCCCTTGGCCCCCCCTCGAGATGACATGGAACTCCTCCAGATTCGGTTTTCCCCACTCGACATTGACGGCCACCCAGCGCCCCTCGACACTGTCTCCATCACAGTCATTCAAACTGCAGCTGGCGAGCTCTTTATCATACAAACTGAGGTCGAGCTTCCTGCTGGACAGGATGACCATGATTCATGGAAGAACTGCAAGGGCGATATTCAGTGCGTGAGGCACCTGGTCTTTAACCGCATTCGTGCCTTGGTGCGGAGCGCACAGGCCCATATGATGAACTTGAAGTCCAAGCTTGGTTTGGGTATCGGTTGCCATGGCAAGCCTCAGGCTCCTCCTCACCACAAACCTGGTCATCACCGACAAGGAGCCGGTAAGTTTGCGGAGGATGACCACGAGGGCGACCATGAAGGCCACGGACATCCTCACCCGCATCACCACCATAACCATGGTCTGCGCCGCACACTGTTCCATATCGTCCGCTTTATTTTGGCTCCAGCCATCCTCGGTATCCTCGCTGGTCTTACTGCTAGCGCCATCGGCATGCTTTTCGGTCAAGCTATCGTATTTTTGTGGATGCGCTACCGCCGAGCCACCAGCAGTCGCTCTACCTCGAGCTTGGAGCAAGGCTCTGCTTCCGAGAAGGCTGTTCTGATGGAGGAAGACCTGAATGAGGAGCTTCCCCCATATACTGACGATGACCACGCTCACGCAGAATACACGGACGCCAAATAAATCACTATCTTTTGCGCGCCTATGGCTACACGTTTCCTTGTCATACTCATGTACACATCTTCAAATGGTTTTTTTGGTGGAGGGTTTTCTGGTGTACGACGGACTGGCGAACTAAATTGCTTGCTTAATAACTTACTCTCATTACTTGCTTTGCTTCTGTCTTTTATTCTTCTTGTTTTCCTTGTTATATCCCCCCTCACAGTGTCATCTGGTAGCTGTGCTACCTGCTTCTCCGCTACGAGAAATTTCTATTTCTATTTCGTGTGTCAGATTTCACGGTATGATTTTGCGGGCTCTCGGTCTCTTTGTTGCAACGTAGGATGATAGCTATTTTTACATTGTTCGTATTGTTTGGACTTTCGAGATATCCTTAAAATTCTCTTGTCTTTTTCAACTTGCTAGGGTAATAATACACGTGACCGTGCGTGCCTCCGCATCAAAGCCGCCGCCAAGCCGACAGGATGATTTCACCTGCAACTCAACTCTCACTTCGTATACAACCGATCTTCTGTGTCATAGTACATTCATTCGCTGCCTCTCGTCGGCCGGGAGCTGAGCAAAATTATGAAAAATGCCAACATCCTCTAAGCCATGATTTAATTAGTCTATTTGCCAGCTAGTCCTACCGCCCATCTCATCGTTTGTTGTTTTGGGAGCTGCTCTCAGCCCCAGCCGACGACCTCCGCGGTCTGCCATCGACACGTTCAGCATCATTGGACAAACAACAGCTAATTGACGAGGTATCGCTCGTCCGCAGCCTGCTGTCCAAATCATGTTTCAGTTTTCATCCCTGGTCCAAAAGGCCCAGTCGTTCATTGATCCGGCCAACTTCAACCTCCCAGTCATCTCGTCCGCCGACCGCAACCCCTCCAAAGCCTCTCTTTTCCGCCAGCAATTCCGCCTCCCAGACTCACAAAATCCACTGCAGGAAATAACCGCTGAACTGATTCTCACCATCAACCGGGGAGGATCATCAAACACCCATGGCGAACGCTCGGACCAATCTGGAAATCGGTATACGGGCCGTCTACACCTGAGCGAGCGCTTTCTGTCATTTTCTACTCAACCTACAAGCTTTCTACCCTCTGCGTCTCATAGCTCCTCGACCGTTTTCACCGGTCAGACTCACGGTACCGGCCCATCCGGCAATGGCTTCACGTTGCCCTTGTGTTCTATTCGCCGTGTCGAACGACTCAACAGTCTTGCCAATGTGTTTTCGCTAGCATTGACTACATGGAACGGGGCTTTGAATCCAAGTGCGGCTAAAAGCCCAACATTTGTTCCCCAGAAGTTCACCATACAACTAGTTGGAAGCAGGCAGGCCTGCGAACGTTTCTGTGATGGTTTACGGAAGGGGCTGCGAGAGAGTATAAAGGAGATTGAAAGCCTGCGCTCAGTGGTCATGGATGAGTACTCAGAGTACCTCTTGACCGTTCCTTCCAAAAGCAAGGAAGACTCCGATGCGACAGCAAGACAGCCGCCTGATGCCGGACTTGGTATGGTCTTTCGCTATCCGGGAGATGCTCGCAAACTTCGCGATCGGAGTAAGATGAGGTTATGGGCAGAATACTTTAGAGGTATCTATAGACATATGTTTTTTGATTACATATTCCAAATGTGAAATGATATCTGACCTATCTGACCTCGCACGCAGAAAATGGACGCAATGCCACATTACTTCGCCAGCCAACGTTTCACAAACTCATCCGTGTTGGTTTACCGAATCGCCTAAGAGGAGAAATATGGGAGCTGACTTCGGGCTCGCTCTACCTACGTTTGAGATCACCGAAACATTACGAAGAAACCCTGAAGAAATTTTTCGGTCGAGAGTCCTTGGCCATTGACGAAATCGAGAAGGATTTGAATCGAAGTCTGCCTGAATATCCAGGCTTTCAGAGTGAGGAAGGCATTGGACGTTTGCGCAGGGTTTTGACTGCATACAGCTGGACAAACGAACAAGTAGGCTATTGTCAGGCTATGAATATAGTTGTCGCGGCCTTATTAATGTAAGTCGCCAGGGTTCAAGATGGATAATTTCCTGGGAGGTAAATAAGCTAACAAAGACTTTAGATATATGTCAGAGTCCCAGGCATTCTTTCTGTTATCGGTTCTCTGTGACCGACTTCTGCCAGGGTACTATTCTACAACAATGTATGGCACGTTGCTGGATCAGAAGGTCTTTGAATCCCTTGTTGAGAAGACAATGCCAGTACTATGGGAACACCTTGTCAAGTCTGACGTGCAGTTGTCAGTTGTCTCTCTGCCATGGTTTCTATCTCTCTATATCAACTCAATGCCCTTGGTCTTTGCTTTTCGGGTTTTGGATGTCTTCTTTCTCGAAGGACCGAAAGTTCTCTTCCAAGTCGGACTGGCTATCTTGCGTATCAATGGCGAAGAGCTCTTGGACGTGCAGGATGACGGCTCATTCATATCGATACTGAAGTCGTACTTCTCTCGCTTAGATGAATCAGCGCACCCTCGCTCAGAAAATCCTAAGCTTAGAGCTATTACCCGATTTCAAGAACTGATGGTCGTGGCCTTCAAGGAATTCTCGGGCATCACTCATAATTCTATCACTGAGCAACGGGAGAAGCATAAGGATGCAGTTTTGGAAAACATTGAAAATTTCGCGAGGCGTACATCTATTAGGAATCTTGGCCCAGAAAGTAAGAAGCTGAGCATGGATGATCTCGGCACAATTTACGATCGCTTTTACGAGGTTCTATATGACCAAGAACAGAGACAGAAGCTTCTGGATCAAGAGAAGAAACAAGAAAAGAAGAAGGTCGAGCGCTACTCCATTCTCGGTCCTCCTGTTGACGCAGAAGTCGGACGCGTTGGGCTTGGTCCAAGTCCAACACATATGGACTACGATGCCTTTAGGCAGTTCTTAGCAAACACAGCGAGATGGGCGATTGCAGATTCTCCCAGTCATGGGCGGTATTCCGAAAAGGACCGCAATGGTAACAACAATGGAAGTGTTCGCAGTCGAAGCACGTCAAATGCGAAATGGGGCGATAATGCAGAGCCGGCTGACCACGAGTTCATGCAACGCCTATATCGTAAATGGAACACTGACGGTAGCGAGGGTTTAAGTCTGCAGAATGTCGTTGTGGGATTGGCGAAGTTGAAAGGCACGCGCGATATCATGAACTCGATAAATTACTTCTTTGATCTTTATGACGACAGCGGAGATGGTCGGATTGACCGCGAAGGTATATTGAGAATCTCAGAAGCACTACTCTTCCTGTCACGAAGAGGCTTTGATGGGGCGCTTACCCCCAGTGAGACTTTGGAGGATATTGCTGAAGCAGGCCTACCACTTGAACAACGCGACAAAATGAAGCTTAGCGTCGATGAACGGTTCCTTGGTAGCGTGAGTTCTTTTATTCGACGTTGCTTTGAATATGCGGATCCAAGTCATCCGCAGAATCAGCAACAGGATGATTCATCCGCTAAGGAGGCCGATAATGCCGCCACCAAGTTGGATGCATTCTCTATTGGCGACGATGAGGAAGATGAAGAAGACCTGATTGAGGTAGATGAGAAGAAGCCCGAAAAAAATTTATCTGCTCCCTCAACACCGATTTCGAAAGAAGCGTCTTCGAATCCTATCAAGTCGCCATCTGGTCGTTCAGAAGCGGCGAATGCAGCTCTTGATCCAAATAACCCATTACATATAACCCTACCTACTTTTAGGATGGTTGTTCTAGCGGACGAGCTCTTGGAACAATTTTTTGAGACCTTCTTCCCGCTATCGTTCCGCCTATCAGATCACCCCAACCCTGCTTCAATGACGACATCGACGTCTCTCTCATCTAACCTCACTACATTCTCTAATCTCGGCTCCGCGCGCTCTACATTGGGCGCCATGTCAGGCGCAACTGTTGCTGGAGCATCGGGAGGCATTGTCCCTCCTAACAAGGGCCTTCGTGGCGTGTTGGATAATATTGTCTCGGACGGAATGCGCATGGCAGCCGAGGTGCGTAAGAAGATGGAGGAGGCACAACGCGAAATGGAACGCAACGCCCTGGGCACGCGCAATGAGGATGATGACGAGGAGGAAGATGACGACGGCAGAGGCCTGGTCACCTCTTCTACAATCGTTGGTGGTATCTCGAGCTGGGGAGCCGGTGCATACGGCATCGATCCTGAGCGGCGCAGTGTCCGCGAGCGCGACCGAGATCTTCTGGAAGGCGCTGAAGCAGAATCCGTCCTTGACGGTAAAGACACCGTCTCTCACCAGCCGTCATCAGACTCCACCGATGATCGTCCCCAACATACACCGTCTCCGTCTCCCAGTAAAGTGCCCGAGGAAGGTGTGAGCAAGGTTGAATTCAACGCTTAGAACATAATCACGTTTTGAATTTGTCTTGATACGAATGAGCTATGTACTTGTTTATCTGTTGCTGCTGTTATTAAAACCCCTCTCCGCTATGAAGAAACTGGCGGGTTATGTAGGTAATGTTCGGACATATAGTATAACTATTTGTGATTGTAAATAGGCGAGAACCAAGAACAAAAACTCAAGAACAAGGCCTGACCGGCGGCTGCAAGTGATAATGTAGCGTGGCAGTCGATTGACTTTTTGACTGCGGCGAGAAATACATGCGATTTGGTCCGCTGTAGAAACTTCCAAGACCGGGCCTTCAAGTTCGAGTTGATCTTGTGTTCCTAGGTACTACGCTTAGCGAGGTTAAATAATAATGATGTTCCAGGCATTTTTGTCTCTGTCAACTTCTTCTTGTCAATCGTAGGCAAGACTAGATGGCAATAAACGGCTTACATGTGTCTTAAGTCTGATATTAGAATGTTCTTAAATCAACTTGATTTAAGAAAATAGAAAACTTCTCGATGAATCAAGGACCGTGGAAAAATGTAGGATCCATGAACAAACGTACAAGATGCATTCTACATAACACCTAGACATACAGCAAGAAGTTACTGTTGTCACGATGACCACCTTTCCAGCTATATGCTCTATTCTAGAGAAGGCGCTGGTGGAAACTCTGTGGCCTGGATTTCTCTTGCTGCTGTCTGTTTCCAGTCTTCTCGCCATCTCGACAATGCAGGCCGACCATAAACGATGTCGCCATAACCCCAAGCCATTCTTTGACGATCCAACTCCTCGGTCACTTCGTTGTCTGGACACAGTATATAGAACTTCTGTTCCGCCATTTTCTGACTCATGAAGTTGACGACCTCTTCCGGTGCCCAAGCGCCATCTGGTTTAGTGGGGAAATATGCAGTCTGCAGGCCCGTATACGTCCAGCCAGGTACGAGGAGGTGAACGCTGGTGTTGGTGTGACGTAAATCAAAGGATAGATGCTCAGCAATAGTCTTCACCGCACTTTTTGAGGCGTTGTATGCTGGATTACCGGGTGGGTTTGTAATTCCCTGCTTGGAGCCGGTCAGGACTACTGCGCGCTGCAGCTGCTCGTCTTTGTTGCCCGTCAGGCTGTCGATGAATGTTGCAATGCCGTTTGTGTAGCCCAAAGTATTGACGGCAAATGTTTTTTGGAAGTGTTCAGGATCCTGCCAGGGAGTTTTCCCAGAAGCTGGTTTGAAAGCACCGCCAGCATTTAACATGAGGAAGTCAACCCCGCCAGGGTAGAGATTGAGGATTTCCTGGCGGATCTTCTCCCAGTCACTCAGGTTGGAAACATCGACTGTGAATTTAGAAACAGTAGTAGTGGAACTATTGGAAAGTTCGCTGGCAGCCTTATCAAGGCCGCTTGCATTAATGTCTAGAAGGCATAAATTCATGCAATGGGCATGACAGAACTTGGCGGTTGCGAGGCCAATCCCAGAGGCAGCTCCTGTGATGAGAGCAGTGGCTCCTTCGCGGAAGACGGCATGCAGAGTGGCTGTCATTTTTTTTTTTTTTTGTTTTCAATAGATTCAAGGGTTAACAATGGTGGATGATGAAGTATGTAGGGAAACATGTATCAGTTAGCGGGGGAGGGGTTCTTGAATGATTTTAAATCTCTTTCGCTAGTTTTCAACCACTTGCCCCTAGATAAGACTTATCGCACAGGAAACACCCCGGTGCCTCTACATTCCTGTAATTTTAAGAATCCAATTTCTAGTTTTATGATACACGTGATATATCACCTATAGAAGGGCAAAGAGGGCATGCCATTTTTGTTAACCAGCAACCGCTCTACATGACATTCTCTAGCAACTACAGCTGCTTATTGCGTTCGTGCCACTCTCGGTCGAAGCGAGTCAGCCCGCGCTGGGCAGTAGGAACACAGTCCAGCGCTTTAATGGATGTCCTTTCCGGGCGAGTGATCATATATAGCACGTTGTCAGCAATGTCTTCTGCTACCAATGGATCGTATCCGTAGAAGAACTCGTCCATTGCATTCTGGTCGTATTTGACCCTCTGCAGATGGAAATGTGTAGCAACACAACCTGGACGGACAACCAGAACTCGGATGTTTGAACCAGCCGTTTCCATCCGTAGGCTATTGCTAAACCCTTCAATGCAGGCCTTATTAGCGTGGTAGACAGACTCTCCATCAAACGGCGGGCATTCTAGTCCCGTGACTGATGATATGTTGAGGATAGTTCCCTGCTTCCGCGGCCACATGCTTTTTCTTAAAACGAAGTACGTCGTGTACATCAGCCCCGAGATATTTGTTCCATTCATCTGCTGGACCAGTTCAACTGGAAGCTCCCAAAAACGGGCTGGGGCGCCGAGAGCAAGACCAGCCTTCACCGAAGTTAGTGAGAGAATAGGCAGATTCTTGGTTTTGATCAAAACGCACGTTGTTGATTAAGATATCAATCTCCCCAATCTCTTTGATTACCGACTCAACCGTTTTATCAACTGCAGTATACTCTTTGATATCGACAGCATATACCCCAATCTTTACGTTAGGATATTGTTTTGTGGCTTTCTCACCAACAGCCTCCAGTTTGTCCTATACCCGCAGCAAAGTTAGCAATGACAATGATCTAGATCAAGCAAACTCAACAACAAAGCAAATACCTTGCTTCTCGATAACAGTGCTAGGTTGACTCCCTCCTTTGCGAGAGCTAACGCAATAGCTTCCCCGATTCCCATTGAGGCACCGGTCTACGCAACCATCAGCCGACAAATACAGCGGCACAGACAATAGAGGTCTTACGATTAATGCGGTCTGTCCCTGCAAAGAAAACATATTGAAGAATAGACTAGAATACTCTTTGAAATCTAGAGAGCATGTGTATTATTTGCCAAATATACTCGAGCCGTAAGGAAATGTACCGAAAACAGCAACTTTTAGACGCCATCCTTGTGGGGCGGAACAGCATCACCCGGTCAGTTATGACGTCAAAGCAGCCTCGTCCCACGCGCTTTCCCTATGGAGGTTAGACTGCCAGGCACTAAATATAGATATTTGTGCATATCCATAATCTTTGTGCCAACGTCGCTCTTCACAGTTCGAAGAAACGACGACACTTTCATGTCAGCGTCAGAAAGGAGGCAACGCGTTTCGATCGCTTGTACACCCTGTCGTAAGAAGAAATGCAGAGTGAGTGTCGCTCGATGCCAGATCTTTTACTAGCGTGCATATTGACGCAGTAGATTCAGTGCGATGGAAAAAAGCCGACTTGTAGGGTCTGCGAAAGGGATGGTGTTAATTGCACTTACACTCATCAAGAAAAGAGAAAGTACGTAGGTTCTAGGAAATTGCGAGTTGAAATATTGACCATGCAATTGCAGACCGCCATCGAAATGTTTTATCCATGCATTGCAGTCAAGAATTCACTTTTTAGAGAGCCAGCTTGAGGGTTCACGAGATATCAGAGACTTAGTCAACGTCCAACCCAGCTCCAAGCCAGAGCTAGAGCCAGATCCTCGGTTTTTTAGACATATGAGTATCTTCCATAACCCGGCTACTGTTCAAGAGAATCGACCAACAAGCCCCAGCGAGGCGCTAGCAGTAGGGAGCCTGTCTTTCGTTGATTCGCCTTTACAGGCTGAGCTTCTGGAGGAATTCTTTATCTGGCAAAATAGCTGGCCACTTCTCATTCATGAGCCTCTCTTCCGCAGAGACCTTGCCGATAACGGATCCAATGGTTACTGTGCACCTGCATTGTTACTTTCAGTGCTCTCTCTCATTGCTCAATATTCAACGAGGCATATCTACGACAATTTAAACTGGAGTACGTTGACTAACAGTCTTACCCGGCGTGCGAAGCAGCTGTCCTTGCGCATATTGAGATTCCAAGTCTCTCGCTTGCTCTTGCCGCAACTTTGATTTCTCTTAGAGAGTTTTCCGTGGGGAATATCACTTCGGTCTCTCAGTATATTGGTACGGTAGATCCCGCTCAACCATCTCCCTCCCCTTCTATTCTTACAGTGGTAGGCATTGCCCTTCGTCACGCCTTATTACTTCGACTGCATATAGAGAAGGATGGTTTGCCTGGCATTTCACAACAACATATGGAGGCCCGCTCGATTGCCTGGAGGGGTATTTGGATGCTTGAAAGGTTTTACCATCCCTATATGCAGGTTGTCTTACACAATCCTAACCTGTGCCAGGTATCTAAGTCAAATACTTGACCATCCAAGCGCTATTCGAGAATATGATACCACGCCGAGCACATTGCCGCTTATCCCTGACATTGAGTTCGGCTTATGGGCGGGCTCAAGTACTCAGCAACCATCCTATTGCCAGTCTAGTTTCCAGTATTCCTGTGACTTGTTGCATATGGTATCACCAGTTTTAGATAACATGTAAGCTTTTTGACCAGAATACCCCCTCTATTTTGCTGACTTTTTATTACAGCTATGCGTTGTCAAGCTCGATGAGCTTTGAAGAGAAGGAAGAGAAAGCAATGAAGTCTTTCCATTGCATGTCGGAATTTTACAATAATCTTCCAAGTTTCCTGAGGATGCCTTCAACTGGAAGTTCGCCTCAACCACCTCATGTGTACTACTTCAAGTATGTTAACAGTGTTCAAAATAATTAGACATTCTGATTTTGACCTGTATTCAGCCTGCAGTATCACACCTTGAAAATTATGCTTCACCGTCCATTCATTCGAGTTCAGCCGTCCATGGAAGCTCTGGGGAATTTGCAGCATACACCAATGTCTCATCTCCAGTCCGCCACCTTCTCTGCCATTCGCGTCACCTGGATCATCAATTCATTTAGGAAATTGTATCCTCTGGTAAGTTTTCATGTTTCATTTTGCTATTGCTTCTTGACCTTTCTTTGTGTATCATTGTCTTTGCAGTCCATTAAACAACTAGTATGATTTATTCTGCTGAGAAAAGTAATAGCATAGGTTATCACCCTTGGCGGTACATAGCTTGAGTATGGCCTCGCTCATATACTTGTTTAATGCCTCGTCGCATGATTCCGAATTAAGGCAACGATCTTTGAAATTGAAATCAATCAATTTTCAAATCCTGGACCAGATGAGCTCGACCACGAAGTGCAGTATCGAGGCTATTAAAATCCTGACGTCGATGATTGAAAAGGCGACGGACGCTCCGGCTCGGGATCCATGCGAAGTATCGGGGCAATTGGACTCGATGGGAACTATCAAGTCTCCTGCCCTAGTACATCCTATACCTACATATGAACCAGCCATTCCCACCGCACCGGAACAGTTGGGGGCGGGCACAAGATCAGAGAACCAATCTACTGTTGACGAAGACATGGACTGGTTTGACCTTCCTCTAAGCGATGTATTCTTGGTAGATGGAGTCTCGTGGGATGATGTAATTAATGGAGAGCTATGGTAGGCATAAGATTGGTCTGATATAAATCTTTTCCCATCAGCACTCTATAGTTTCGACTCGCACATATTCCTACCTAGGTAACCATCGATGGATGCACGGATATATATGCAGAGTATACTGTGGAGATTGTCCTGAAAAATAAATCCTAAATATGCGAGTTCTGATTGGATATTATTCTAAGTTTGATCTTCTACAATAGTCCATGTATTATACAATACATCTTCTGTACTATATACGGCGTATTTTATACGAAGAACTTAGTCGATACACAGATTTGATACTTTTCTTGAATGGTCTATTAATGTGGGCAGTGCGAAAGAATGCCATTTTCGACATGCGGGCCTGAACATCGAAGATATTGATGCTTGACACCCCTTCCAGCTCTGTCCCGATCATTCGGTTTGATGCACTGCATCGGTGATGCGGTCTGGATGACTCAACAGAATGGAGACTCGAAGCGTTCGGAGGCCCGCGGATGTCCGTGGCCTAGCTTCTGTCACATGACAAGCTTATTGCGGTCAGGTCACTATCATTCCTATATCGATCCTGTTTTCATGCTGGTGCGCTCATTGACGACAAACAGCCATCCTGGGAATCACGAAATAGATTACTGAACCTCCTCTGCCATCATGTCTGCAAAGACTACGCTTAGGGATGACGATGGCGACCCTAATAGGGTGGTATGACTCTCCCCCCATTGATAACAGCCTCGCAAAAAAGATATCTACCCATTAACCCTGTCGTGAGTGGCTGGCTGATATCTACCTGCTCTTCATCATTATCTAGTGTGATCAGTGTCGATCGAGAAAGGTAACTCTAGACCTGGGTTTAACGCTATGGAAGGGTTTTCCACTAAATGCTCACTAATATTCCTTAGATTAAATGTGATAGAAAGCTTCCCTGTGCCAGTTGCCAAATAACCAGACGGCCTTGTTTATACTCAATCTTCCCTCCGAGGTCCAAAGAGGCGCGCCAAAGAGTATTGATATCTTCTCAATAGTAAGAAATAACCACGCCCCTCCGGTAATACTTTCAAGAGGGAGCAAATATGGGCTGACCCTTTTTTGTCCCCAAGTGAGCGTAAATTAGACAATTTTGAATCTCGCCTTATCGGGATAGAGGGTATTCTCCAAAGAATTGCTGGTGTCTTGGATAAAAGTGTTCCATCACACGGCGACGCAGAGATGGCAGCTATTTTGCCCCCTTCTGGACCCGAATCTCAACTTACACCCAAACAAGAGGCTAACACTCCTGTCTTTATGGGCAGCACATCTCTGCGTGCACACACTGCCTTTGTAAATAAGCTTCTCAAGGAAAGAGTCTTGGGATCAACTGACTTTGACGATCTGGCTCCCCAGATGCAAGCCGCCATTTCTACTTTAGAGCATACTGTGTCCGATCAGAGTCAGTGGCCGACAAGCAGAACAGAGCGCTTCCCAAACCCAAAGCCTCTCTCACATTCAGAACTTTGCAGTTTGCCCATGCCGCCTACAGAGGCAATACTGCGAATTCTCCGTGAAGTCAAAACTGGTGTTGCCATTCTGCTACTTGATGTTATAAACTTTTAATCTTCTAGGGGCTAAGAAATAACCGGCAATATAGATACTTTGGGGGTAACATTCTCCCTCCTATGCTGCTTCATGACAATAGACGACTCTATCAAACACTGCAACAAAGTGTGCTTCGCCATCGAAGGCTTCAACCTCACAGATTACATTATAGTTAATGGAGGGCTTTACTACTTGTTTAATGAGAAAGCTCATAATATTAACATTGGCGCAGAGAAAGCAAGTTATGTTCAATATCATACCATGTGCAAATCAAATCTTGAATTGGCACTAAGTAACCTGGGCTTCTTCATGGATTCAAGCAAAGAGAATATTGCGGCTCTCCTATTCGGTGTAAGTCCTTCTTTGTGAGAAACTTTGACTGTCAATAGATTGCTGGATTTGTCCGATAATAATTAGGTGATCTATGCCATTGAGATTTCGAGGCCTCTACTCGCCTTGAAAATGAATCATTCGGCGATCCAAATGTGTGAGACATTGGGCTACCATCGCCTTCCCATGAGCGCCGGTATATCCAACTATGATACCCAACTGTCCTCCGAGTCGAACCTTTTCTGGTACGCGTACATGATAGACAAGGGGCTGGCCTTGAGGCTAGGCAGATCGTCTGCCATTCGAGATCAAGATATCACTATACCTGTGATAGCGAGCTCATCGTCATTAATAAACCCATCAGAACAGTTTTTCAATTCGTGGGTCCGACACTCAAAAGTCCAAGGGAGAATTTATGACGAGTTGTATAGCTTCACAGCGCTGTCCTCAACGCACGCGGAGAGAATGCAGCGTGGCCTAGTCCTGGCCGAGGAAGTCAAGTCCTTAATACAAGTGACCACAGATCTCCTCCCGAATGTCACATGCAAGGAAAATGCGGGGAAATACCAGCTGGATGGTGTCAATTCTCTTGAAGTTAGCTCGAAGTCAGAAATTGTCACACTTCATGCGACATTAACCCTTATATACCGCGCTGTAGGTATACCAGAATCATCAAACTCGCTTAGCTTTGACTGTATATATTCTGCGAGGAATTCGATGCAGTTTCATTTAGAGTGTATGAAGCTTCTGAGACACTGTTCCAGGTCAGGTAGGCTATGTACTCTGGTAGGTGTTAGCATGTTTCTCAAATATGGTACTTTCTGCTTACTGAAATAGGACGCTTATCGTGACGCCCTTTATACCATTCATCATTATTTTTTGCCATGCGGCTGAGTCGTCGAGTGATATTGATCTTCATCTACTTCGGGAATTTGTCCAATCATTACAAGGGATTCGTAATGTATCTGAAGCCATTGACCAACTTCTCTCGCTAGCCGAGGTTCTTCTCCACATTGCTGTGCTCTGCAAAGAGGCAAATAGAGAGAATGCAGAGGTCCAACAGTCACTGCTCATAGGACCTGAGTTCGAGCTTTATTTCAGTCAATGTGGCTTCATGCCCCCTCTGTTTGACGAGATGACGTTCCGCGAGGGGCTCGGAGGGTCTTAGTCACGAATATTTCAGAGAAGTCAATTCGGGAAGACATTCAAAAGAAGACATTCAGAGTATGTAGAGTATAAAAGTCATTCAGATGAACAATGCCTCGAAAAATGATGCCCCGCCCTCGGTTGCCCGCGGAGAGCCGAGCGCTGAAGATAACCAGGGGCGGGTAGATCATCATGAACCGCATCGGGGCTCCGCGGACCACCGAACTCGTCGATAGCGCTGATTTTGGGGAATGTAAGGGAAGGTCATGAATGGATAAATAGGTGCAAGGTCTCACCAGGGAGAAGTAGCAGCTAGTTCAAAATGGCGCCCCGTGGCACGATTTTTCTCACAGGCGCCAATGGTGGCCTCGGCACTGCGATCATTGAACGCATAGTCTCCTTCTAAACAATTGCAAAGGAGTTCTATGGAGTCTATACTGCTCGTGAGGTTTCAACAGCCAGCAAACTTCAGGGGGCCCTTGCGGGGGCGTCGAGCGAACATCAGCATGACAAGTATTCTCTGGACCTTTCCAGGCTCGCTAACGTCCGATCGATTGCGAGGACCATCAACAAGAGAGTGGCTGAGGGCTCTCTGCCTCCAATTCGCGCATTGATTCTCAACGCCGGTTATCAAGAGTATACTGAACAATATTTCTCGGAGAATGGCCTTGACATGTCATTCCAATGCAATTACCTTTCACACTGGCTGTTGACTCTTATGCTTCTCCAGAGCTTGGACAAAGCGCACGGAAGAATCATCGTGCTTGGAAGCTCAACACATGAGTAAGGATAGAAGCGGCCATGCTCGATCCCCCAGAAGCTGATATATTAACAGTCCAAACCATCCCGCCAATGATTCTATAGGTATGTTTAAGGATAAGGAATGGAAGATACTCTTTCACGATACCCACAGCCTGGCCAAAGGAACCTGGAGTTCAGCGCGAGAATATTCTTCCTCCAAATCGGGGTTTCGACGATATGGCGCTGGGAAACTATGCGAGATCATGATGATGTACGTGTATTACCCGTTTTTATCAGCTAGTTTTCCTGCAACAGCGGTCAGACTGATTTTGCGTTTTAGCTACGAGTTCCAACGACGGTTAGACCGAGACCCTGTCCTTGCGAACATCTCTGTTCTGGGCATTGATCCAGGCGGTATGCCGAGTGGACTCACCCGTCGCGGATCGAAAGGCTTGGTTGTCGCCGCGACAGTCGTGTTGCCGGTCATAGCCCCTCTATTACAGTGGAGGAATCCAAATGGGGGGGTTCGGACAACCTCCAAGTCTGCGGGGGACGTTCTTCGGACCTGCTTCGACTCTAAGTCTCTGGGTGAGACGCCGAAGGCGCTCTATCTGAACGGCACGGAGGTTACGCAGCCAAGTCTGGAAGCTAGAGATACCGCGAAGCAGGGGATGCTGTGGCGTGACAGTATCACCTATGCCAATCTGCAGCAGGGAGAAACGTTACTGAGGGACTGGGCTTGACCATCTACGTGGCCGTCCAAATGGAAAGATTAATGCCTGCTTCTTAGTCACCCCAACTATTCGAGTGGGTTCAACTGCTAGTGTTCCCCGCGTTTCATATTCGATAGATTGAGATTCATAACCAACGTTATATGTGCTCATTCTAGAAATTAATCATGATCCTTACTCCGTACAAAGTCCACATTAGCTTGAGGGGTGAGCTAGATTAGATTCGACTCTGGCAACGAATGACAAGCGCCGCAGATGACAGAGTCCATAGAGATAATGTAAATAATTTTCCCTTACGAGGATTTAAACTCGGCCTTATGTGTGATGACTGGCGGGCGTACAGAGATACATGTCGGGACTTAGACTGGTAAGAGGGCCGCGAGCCAATAAAAATACAGCAAAAGCATCTCTAACCCTAAACCCATGCAGCCCACAAGCACCAGACCCAAAAGGGGAGTCAGGTTTCTAGTTTTAGCTTCCTGCTGCGTTTTTGTGCGGCGGCTCGCATGCGCTCAGATCACTCAGAAGGATTGTAAGGCTGATTTCCGCCATTCGCTTCAACAAGCATCATTGGTCTAGTGGTAGAATTCGTCGTTGCCATCGACGAGGCCCGTGTTCGATTCACGGATGATGCACTAAAAACAACTTTATTTTTGCTCGTATCATTTTTACTATTAAAATAATCTGTATGATCAATTCCTTTTCTTTTTTTCCTCATTCCATCCTATCATGTCTAGGATCCTCATGCTCCAATCTAATTGGCTCGCTGGTCACCGCTGATCTGCTCGCTGCATATCGCCCGCTAGTTCTTATACGTCACTTCATGGAACTTTTCACAGTCAAGCGCAAAGATCAAGGAAACAACCTATAATCTTACTATGCTATAATAAATCAATCTACGATGAGTTACACAGGAGACCAGCAAGAATGCCTAAATGCATACATCGTCACATTCAATTGTGCGCGAAACTTGATCCCCCAAGACCATTTTGCTGCCCATTTTTTCGATGTCCTGCCACAATCAAGGCCGGCGCCTGAGATCCTTGTGCTGAGTCTGCAAGAAGTCGCACCCATATCCTATGCGTTTTTGGGCGGGTCTTTTCTTGTGCCTTATCTGAGTGCCTTCCAGAAGGCGATTGATGTTGCTACGGCGAACCGCTGGCCTGCTTCTGCGACTACCAATGATGAACGGCAGGGTGGTGCTGGCGACATCAAATATGTAAATGTCATCTCGCATAATTGTGGGTTTACCGCTCTTCTTGTCTTCGTCAGAGCCGATGTTGCAGGGAACGTGGCCTGGGCGGATATCGCGGAAGTTGGCGTGGGAATCCAGGACATGGGCAACAAAGGCGCCGTCGGCGCGCGACTGGGTTATATGACTGCAGCTGCGGCCTCTAGTGATGATACGCTCGATCTGACATTTGTCGCTGCCCATATCGCGCCCATGGAACATGCATACGAGCGCAGAAATCGGGATTGGAGGAGAATAGTCGAGGGGTTGGTCTTTACAAAGCCCGGTAGTGGCCAGGCTATTGAAGACGAAGACGAAGAAGATGGGGATACTACGCATCTTCTTTCGCAGGCCCAGGGGGATAGTGCGCAATCGGGCATTTTTAGTCCCCGATCACACCTATTCTTTGCAGGAGATCTAAACTACCGGACCTCGGATACATCGCCAGCTGTAACCGATCGGGTTCGATTCCCTCAGCCCAATGCCGCAACTAACTATGTAAACCATCATTCGGAGTTATTTAAAAAAGACCAACTGACGCGAGAGCTACGCGCAAAGAAAACGCTACACGGCCTATCCGAAGCACCAATCACATTCCCACCTACCTACAAGTACTCGGATGAAGCTCAAAAAGCAGCGTCTCAAGTAGGAGCAGAGGGAGAAGGGGTGCAGGAACATCCCGGCGTGTGGAAATGGGCAAAGAAGCGCTGGCCCAGTTGGTGTGATCGGATATTGTATTTGGATCTTCCATCCTGGATGGCGACAAGATTTGAGAGCGAGGGTTCTTCCATTCTGGTATACGGGTACAACGCATTACCTCTGTTTCCGACTTCAGATCATCGTCCAGTTGCTCTTTCTGTCTCTGTTCCATTGCGCCCCATCTCTCCCCCGCCGATGCATGTAGCGGGTAGTGATGATATCCGGTTGCAGCCTCCGTTCGCAATTGATTCCGCGTGGAGAATTAGACGGGCCAGCGCTAGGATAAAGGAGATTGCCGTGGGTGGAGCTGTGTACCTAGTTATGACATGGGAAGGCAATGGTCTTCTGCTGGCCACAGTAGTGGGGATTTTCGGAGGATGGGTTGTGCTTCGGTCTCTTCTTCAGGGTGAGGTGTGAAGTGAAGCAATGTTAGGGCTGTATATGGACATTTCGGATGTAACCAGTACTAATGATGATACGAACAGAATATTAATTTCACATTGCTGTATATTGACAGCTCAACACCCCCGAAATAGGGTACTACTGTAGATCCGGTCCCAAGTGATTGAAATGACAAAATTACATAATAGTCGGTGAGTATGGCTGCAATTTAGAACACGACTTGTTTACATACCCGAAGAGACACGGCATAAAAGCCCGGGTTTCGTATCACCATATTTTCACCAGGGTTGTGGGTTCAGGCATAAAGGTGTGTATATTCGGGCGCAAGTTTTATCAGATGATTAGTAAAAGAAAACTAGTCTAAGCTGAAATTTATTCCAGCCATTATTTTGAACCCGTGTACTCCGTAATCTCATACGTAGTGCTATCCTTGGACGGGAGACGTTTCCTGTCATCCACAGCCTCGGGAAACTTTAAGGGAAAGCCTTGGAAGTTGAGTTATTAGTCCAGGGCTGGACAAGGGCCTAGATTGGGAAGAAGAGAAATTGGAGGACATGCATGGGTCACGAGCCATGTCGTACTTAGGTAGCTTTATGGCTTGATTCATGTTACCGCGGTATTATTTACTTAGATGTAATTATATATTTAAATATAAACTTTTGCTTTGCGTAGCCCAATGTCAGGACCTAGGTCAGCATGATGATCCACCAGGCTGAAAAATATCACAGCCTCGTTGGAAATGGACAGTCAGATTTGGCTGTGTAAGGCTTAGTTACTTAGGTATACGCTAACATAATGGTTTCTTCTGGATTCTACTCGATGCTATTTATAAAGAAGAGGCAACACATAAGGTACTAGCTACTACTAGGCACCCACATACAGTACACAGCTATTTGATATTCTGTTAGATACTACCAAACATTCTGACAAAGGGCTTCTGCCTTTCTTGCCCTCTCTTTTTGCCTAATCGGAACCACTTCCAATCCGGGATGTTCTCAGTTTCAGCCCAACAGCAGAAGCGACGATTTCTTTTGTTGATTCTGGATAATAAACCAGGTAGGGAGCATGCTTGCTTTGTTTCAAGCTATGTCATTATTGTGTGTTTAATATTCTTGGGATAAATACCTCAGCCGTCCCCCTTCCCTTTTCTCTGCTTTCTGCTCTTTCGTCTCCCTCTCTGACTGACTACCATCCCACGCCGTCTCCAGACTGACTCCAGATTCTATAGTACAGCCAAGCAGGTTGTGGTTCTAGACTCAGCCCTCTTTCGTCGGCGGCGTCCCAGAACCGACGAGCAAAAAAAAAAAAAAAAGGAAGAACCCAAAAGGCCGATCCACTCGGAGCGTTGTAACTCGTCCCGCTTCCCTTTTTCCCTTTTGTCCCCTTGAATGCTACCAAGCCTCTTCTTTCATAATACAGCGTACTATTTTCTTACTCGTGTGTATTTTTGATTTTTTGTGTTTTTACCTTTCCCCCCCCCTTCCCTCTTTTCTTATTTTTTTTTTTAATTTTCCGACGTCATCCACTCATTATTTTCTTTCTTTTTCTTCTGTTTCTTTCTTCGAATTTAGTTACATCCAACTCCTAAAGTCTGTCAGTCCATTATCCCTCCTGCTCAGGAGATTTCCTTCCTTTTCGCCTTGACGACGCACGACTGTTCAATCGATCACTATCGACAAATCATTAGCAGTGACAGTCTACGACAGCAATAGATCTGGCTATCTTGACGATTCTCCAACATGTACTCTTGCGCCAACTATCCCCGAGGCTGCCGCGGCCGCTGCAACATTCCAGGCGGTAAATGCAGCGATTGTACTGTATGTCACCATATATACACAATACATGTACATGTTTATGCTAATGCGCCATTATCAGACACTCAACCTACGACGGCCGCGCACATTGGTGTCTCCTTTCGCCCTGAATCAAGGGGAATTCCGCCGGCTGGCTCGGATAGTCTCCTCGTCCATGCCTGAAGCCTCAGACAAAATCAATCAAGTGTAGAGGCCACGACCCAGGCAGGACTGGATTCGCCGCTACCAAAGAATGCATTTTTTTTTCATCTCTAAAAACAACAATACTATCTGGGAGGCTATCTGATTCGCAAGCATATACAACATCAGCGCGGCGTTCATTCTCATACTTTACCCCTTGTTCTGTCCAATCTGAGCCGGCTTCTGTGTTTTGGGAACTGACCATGAGGATAATCTAATTTCTCATATCACCAGACAAAACCACCGATTTTGTCTCCTACGACCGATTGGCGACTGGGTTCGCTGGCCTTGACGGATTAACGAACGACCAAACCACCGCCAGGTTGTCTTTTTTCGCCTGCCAATTTCTGCCGGAAATTATTTTACTTTACTGGTACGGATCGCATTGCATGATTTCCGATTCGTCTGGCCTCTTCATTATTTTGGTTTGGGGGAAGAAAGAGAGGCACTCTCTCTGAAACCCACGACTGCTCGAAACGGATCCGCTGGGCGGACCAGGGTCTATGAGCGCCTTTCATTTCCAACCCATTTTTTTTTTAAGTTTACCCTTTTATTTTTTTGACGTTTTGACGGGCCTTATTATTATTATTATTTCTTTATTACTGTTTGGGAAGGCATGTATTGATTTTTCTGTTATTACACACTGTACGAAACACTCGCTAGATTATACCCCTCTGATTTCTTTCTAATCTTATTGCATATGATTCTATTCTATGTTCTTGGTCTTGAGTGTTGGGCTATGCTGTATGCTAGCCTGACTTGCAGTACTGCTTTCCATCCTCTTCACGTGAATATTACAGTATATTTACTGAGTATCTAGGTGCATACATACGTATATATATCGAACACGACCAATGTATAACATAATAAATCGTCCCCCCATCCGCAGCATTCCGTCTGGCCAAGCGTATCCGAATTATTAAATCCCGAGCTTCCGGATTATTAAGGATGTGCCCATGTGGAGACAGAGCCGTGTTTGCTGGGCGACGCGCTCCCGGTACCAGCAAATGATATGGGTACGATTATAATCTATATATGAAAGAGTCAAAGCGATTGCTCTGATAGATGCGTATCAATCAAGATATGCTTGCGTGTATGCATTCGTCACGGATCAATAGTACAACTGGAGTGCGTAGTGCGATGACGATATTAAATTCTAATTGTCTTCAATATTTAATTAGGGAGAAGGATGAGTGGGCCCTTTAGGCGTTTTGCTATTGGCCCGGCTATGATTCGAGAATCATCTCTGCAAGTGATAAATTCCGCTGCATGGCATGCATACTTACTCTTGCTGTAGCGTCAGGCTGTAAGGAAGGATAAATGCCGCCGATTTAGAGTTAGGGTTGATCGGGTGAATCCCGATGTACACTTTCCGCATCGGGAATAGCGAGATCCGTCTCCTTCGGCCAAGATTCTGGAAGGCTTGGCTGCTTAAAGAGGGCTAGATCGAGTCTTGTACTAACGTGGCAAACTCTTGGCTCTGATTTCTTCCCTCAGGGTGTCTTGTACCGACGACACCTGAGGCTCTCGTTCGTACGATTAGACAAATAGAGTAAGACCTGTGTCTCACTCGCTGCATACTATTACTGGGCCACCGGAATACGGAATGACGCTGGCACAAGTTCTTGGCTCTGATTTTTTTTTGTTCAAGTTTCGTTTCATGTTTCACCGTTTCAACCTAATTTTTATTTGCTTCTGGCCCGTGTCTTGTATCAGCTTGGCACAGGGGCCCTTACGTTGAACAAATGATCGATCGAAATCTTGATTTGATTTTCTTTCTCCGACTAAGCTACGGCCGATAGCTGGTTTCAGGCCTAACCCTAATTCACCTTCAGGAGAGTAAACTTTCATGTGCCACCCCAAACATTTGCCCCTAGTATCTGTTCGCAGACCCATCGCGCAGTCCGTGTGTGTAGACTCCAGTATTGATCATCTTCCCTGTTATCTTCTAGCCCCTGAAATCTGTCGCTGTCCTTTCTCGAATTTGCTGGCCGGTCCAACAGCCCTAATGCTTCGAAAATAACGAGCTGATCACGCATATGTACATCGACGCACGGCTGGTGTGTCGTCCCGTCGCCACCATCTCTCTCTTTTATTTCCTCAACAAGACCGGCAACACAGCTGTCGACGAGACCATCCAGAGTCGCTATCATACTATTCGTGCTGTCAGAACCTCTGCTGCCACTATCTTTCTCAATCCTGCCCCGTCCACTTTTGCCGCCACCGGGCCTTGCGTATCCATTGAATAGGGCATCCCTTCCGAGCCTAAAGCCGTTTGACATGTGAGCTACTAACAAGATGTAGATATGTGAATGATGATGAGTCGCTTCGGAGAGGTGCATTTTAATCGGTATTCCAGACCCCTCCCATTCGCTTTTCTCGCCGTTTCGTGCTCGAGTATCGAAATTCCCTTCCAAACTATTTATGGCACGGCTTAACACATTTTGACCCCTGTCCTCAAGATATTCTCGGACAGTTTTACTCTGAGAAATATCGCTGCTGCTGCCGCCGTTGTTGCTATTATTGCGGGACGCCTTTCGCCCGGCCTGTCGATTCCCTTGCGCTTCCTGATGTTGCAGGTCGATGTCAGGAGCTAGGATTGTGATATCAATCCTCGTTATCGCTGTCTTCCTGTATTGGCTGAGTTTAAGGAGCGGAAACCATTTAGTCTTGCCCTGCCTTTCGGCCAGAGGATGGACGTAGAATGTCATAGCCCCAAGATCTCTTGGCCCCGTGGACCATCCCCGCTTATGCAGATTGATAGACAAGTTCGGAAGCCCGCATTTTAGCAAGTTCGGTCCGAGAACCTGATCCAGGTAGTCAAATGAAGGAGAATGAGTGACATTCGTGCCACCAGTGATGTGCACCTGGGTTGGTAGATGTCTTGTATTATCCGCCATTGAAAGGCTACTAGCATAAACCAAATACGGGTACAAAGCTTGGAAGACAAGGGAGATAGAACCCGCGGTATGCTGCTGTATAGAGTATTCTTGTTTGATCGCAGGCAGTCCCAGACTCAAGTATTTCAACTGTGACGACACTGATGATACCGAAGGCTTCTGTTCTAGAGCATGGTATAATTCCCGTCTACGGGGATAGAAGGTGATCGTCTGCGATCCAACCTGCCCGTTGACGACCTCTCCCTGGCATATTTCAGAGATGAATTGAATAGCTGCTGCATGTGAGCCTTTCAACCCAGTTTTCCCATGGCGATTGCCTCGAATATTCGTGATGGTTATCGGTTTGCCTGTCAGAGCGGATAGGGCTACGGCGTTGCGGACCAGCTGTCCACCACCTTCGAGTGTCCTTCCATCAATATGTATCATCTTCTCTGGCATGTCTGCCACATGGGCTTCGGTTGAAGCAGGATCCTGATTCTTTAAAGACATACTAGGAGGGGGGAGAGGGGCGGTTCTCTCAATATGTATGAGAACTCACAAAAGTTTTCTTTCGATACTTGTCTGAATAGGCTGAAGCACCGCCCTGCACATGGATGAGTCACTGTTAGTCATCTGGTTGTGCCTGTGGCTTCTCCAGAGTTAAGATATTCCAATTTAGCTAGCATGTAGCATGAAGTATGTAGTATGATTTGGATGATCTGTGTATTTCGGTGCATAACAGACAAAGTACTATTAGTTAACTAAAAATAATGATGACATTTAGAGGTGTTTGTTGTCAGACCCGCCTACCTTGCCTGATTGGTTCCCTCTCAGCAGCCAATCAGCAGCCTCCAATTAATTTCCGAGGTAAGGTTGTGCCGGAACATTTCAGCAACGTCACCATTTCAATCACTTCATTCTTTTTGCGACTTCTACTTGGAACCAACGCCAACAACACACCGCGATACCGAGACTTGCCCTATACAAATTATACCCGCTAAACTACCGATTCCGTGGTTTGCTCGTCCCGTTGACAGTCAACACCGGTCTGCTATTGTTGGCTGCCTGATCAGATATCCATCGAAAACACTGTATACTACCATGCCTTGCCCTATCACTGTCACCAAATTCATCGGGACCGTGTCCCTAGGCCTGCTTACGGTAACTTATTTCGGGTCTTATTCTTGCCAGTAGCATTCCTTTCTGACTCGATCATGTGTTAGGGCGTGTCCTACGCTACAGCAGCTATAACGATCCCAACCTTGAAAGCCCTACCCACAGCTTCGCATGCTACACGAGCCTTGAAAGATGTCAAGAAACTCTCGCGGAAACACGCCATTCGACTATCCAACCTAACCAGCACCTGTCTTTTCTTCGCATGGTTCGTTGCGTCCAGGCGCAAGAAGCACCCTTATTTGCTTTGGGTATCTTTAGCATCCACGCTCAGCACCTGGGGCGTTGATTTCTGGTTCAATCGTCAACTTGGTCTGGGTGGCTGGCTGCGCAGCGTTGTGGAAGACATTGAATTTCCGTCTCTTACTGTCAAGAAGACGTCCTCGGGTTCTTCTTCTCCCTCGTCAGCGAAGAAAGACGAAGATCTTGTCGTTGTCGAAGCAGACTTCAATGGGGAAAGTATAGAGCAAGATTTGGCGCGTGAACGTCGCCTCCAGTCTGTTCGCACTTGGCTTTCTGGTGCTGCGCTTTCGATGGCGATCGTCGGCTTATGGGGAGATGGAGCTTGAGGCTCCTGTCCTTATGACTTCTTGGTATATTTGGAGAGCTGGCCTCTCAGGACATGAAATATAAACCAAGACATATCGACTCTACTCTTCTTCAACTGTACACTGTTCCATCTCGATTCCGTCGAGATCAAACAATATCTCATCTCCTGCGCGTTTTCTAGCCGGTATTATATTCTCTCCCAATCTACTGAGTATGGCGTTGATAACGGGATGTCTTGTCTTATAATACAATAATGAGTACTCTGCAGAATATAATATATTTCTTGTTCTTCGTTCAGGTTTATACTTTCCTACCATTCCCAAGGTAGTTTACGAGTGACAAAAGAAGTAGGAGCGTTGCTGTTCCCGCTTGGGAGGGAAGTCGCTTCTGACGCTCCTTGTTTCCTTCCATCTCCTTCTCAAGTGGTGCTTCACTATGTCTCCTCTCGGCATCCTCTGTTTACTTCTACGATAACAATCACCGTCATCCGTTGTATCGTGTCTCCGTTCAGATATACTTCACAGCATATACTAGATCCCTCTCACAATGCCATCGGAAGTTGGCTACCATCAAATCAGACGCGCGAAATCAGCCCCATCAGTGAAAAAGCGTCGTCAAACTGCCTCAGCACCAAGCCTGCTGGATTCCGAGATTGCCCGGCATCATGCAACCACTGCGGCATCATTAGCCATGGCACAAGCAAGAGATAGATTGGCCAATGCATCATTGCAAAAGACAGCAAGGTCTTCAAATGAAGAAACCGGAACAATGCCTTCCATTCGCGCTATTCGCCGCCAACCATCTGTTATTAGCCTTGCCAGGGAGCGCAGTTCGACCGGTCATAGTCATAACACGGTATCTGATAAACAGCAAGTTTATGATAGAATGATAGACACCTCGCCGGCTAACATGTCTTCGGTACGCGAGTTCAAGGGCTTTGGATATGATGAAGAGCTCTCTGCTCCGTCATCGTATCGTCGGCTTCGAAAGTCTCGATCTATGTTCAGTACAAAGTCTATGAGAAGCCTTCGTAATAGTGGTATTTCATCCAACATTTCAGAAGAGACAGGACCTCCTTCTCTGAGGAAGAGTACGGACTCTACGATCGGACCACATAGGTCGCTTCGGCATTCCTTATCATTCTTCAATGGCGCTTCGCAGTCAATTCGGAGGATGAAAAGCCACGGTGCCATTTCCAGTCGTCGACAGCATCTCCCAAAACTTGCGGATGAGCCTCTTGTACCTCAAATGCCCCCTTTACCTGTTGCAAATGAAGGAGAGCCTGTGCGGAAAGCATTTAGAACTACAGTCAGAGCGTTAAGAGAATTTAGTCCAGATGCCGAAACACTTGCAGCTAGCAATGGCGGCAGGCTTCATTCTAAAGCTCGGTCATTCTCCATTACTATCAAGAAGCAATTGAAACGAGTTTTTGGCATCCCGGGGTATGCCGAGAGTCAGTCTTCCGAAGGTCATTCTGTTGATTCACCGTCACACGATGACAATCTCATATTCGAAAGGTAAGTTACATATTCTGACTTTCTCAGCCATAGAAATCTCAGTTCAAAACTAATTGATTTGATCGTAGCCCGACGATTATCGATAGAACCACACAGCCAAGTCTTCATCCAACTAAAAGCTCGGAGAGTATCGCTACATCGGCATCCCGTGTTACAAGTTGGACCAATTCTACAGCAGGCAATACAGTGAGAACAAGGCATACACTTGACCGTCACTCTCTCTCCACGATTGAGGAAGGGAGTGACTTTGCCAATCAACAGCCGCCAGGGTTTTCTGAAATTTATGGGAATGATAACGCAAGAAACCGTCGTGGGAAAATGATTGATTCTCAGCGAGTTTACTCGGCTCTTATGAGACATATTGATGAAACTGCAACTAGAGGCAGCGAGAGAGTTGTATCAAGCGGTACAATCAAAGGATCTCCTGTGGTTATGGGATGCTCTCCATCCGTTCATACTCAACGCGATCATGGTAGTATTCATAAAATACCGAGCGATATGTCAATGAGAACGGCTCAAACTTCGTTTATGATAGCACCCCAAGTCTACGGCTCCCAGAGTTCCTTATCTTTGCGTTCTCTGACAGAAAGGCCTATTACTCCACTGAAGACAAAACAGGCGCAAAGACCATCATCAGTGGCGTCTTCAAAGGTGACACTAAGAGAAACAAGATCGTTGTTCTTCCCCTCGGGAGCATCTCCAAAGTTGAAAACACCAAGCCCATACAGAGCGGCGATGAATTCAAGACGGGAAACAGAAGATGAATCTTCTAGGTATACACCGAGTATTATCATTACCGGTATTGACAACGACAAATCGGACACCCCTTCGCCAAGTATTTACTCCCGTACCCCAAGTGGTCATGCTGCAAGCCGTGAGTACTTTGATTACGAGCCAGAGGAACCTATCGAACCCGGTGTGGCTACCATCTATGATGCCCAGGTGCCGTACAAATCTCCTAAGAGACACGAGTCGCAAGCCACGGAAACTGGTCCTAGAAACAGTTCAGAGTGGAGGCATTGGATGAATTATCAAATGGACAGTATTAGCAACTTCAATACGTCCAACCTGGGAAGCGAACGAGAGCATCATCGAGAAGATTCCGAGTGTGACGGGGAACCTATTCAACGATCCCCTATTGAAAATGCTGCTATTTCAAGCCATCCCAACGGTAGTAGAGATGAATCTCTTGGTCGACTTCGGCAAATCTATACATCTCGGCAGGTTTCCCAGATAGAAGACACTGTTCAGGGACAGAACAATTTCTCCAGGCCTCTCAGCCGACAGTCAATGGGGGCTTTTCAAACCTTGGCACGCCATTCGTCTATCAACGGCAAGCAACGATATCTAAACCAGGGCACTGATTCGAATCTTCCTAACATTCCAAGAGGCCATCAAACTGATCTTTTATTCAATGAGAGTCCAGAGGGACCGGTTTCCCCATCTCGCCGGCAGACCATCAGAGCAGCACGTGAGGCGAGACTCAGTCGTGGTAATATCAGGCAAAACACACTCAGGCAGGGTGATGATCAACAAGACGCGAAAGCTGTTCAATTCCGCTCAATTCGCGAGGCTCCTAGCGTCGCAAAGCGTAATAAAGAGAATGAAATGCCCCAGAGCACTAAAGAAAAGATGAAAACAACTGGAACTTCCGGTATCGAAGATATACACATGACAATCGGTAGCAAGCGTATGGTGGATATGTTTTTGGATAGCCGGCGTGGCCGACAAAGCTCTCTTGCTAGCGAGGGTATTGGCTCTGTATTCATCTGAAGACTTCACAGACTCAGCGGCAGCTGCTCGGATGCTTTACTTTCTTTTTGTTAGGTATGTTTTTTCTTGCTTCATATATATACAACGACCTTGGAAGTTCCCTGGTTACGACAGCGAAGACTCGAGAGGGAGTTGAACTATTGTACTAGACTTTGTATCCATGGTTTATCCATGTCTTCTATTACAGATGTATGTTTTTATTTTATTCTATAGATACACGGCAGTCTTGAAATAATGGGCATGATTTTGAGCCAGGATGTTCTTCTCTATCTAGGTTTCTTGTCCTTACGTTTAGGCCGTTCTTTAGACGTATACGATCACTTCGTACTATTTTCCTTGAAATACCTAATTTCATAAATAACATGCAACATAATGAATGAGAGAGCGGCAAATAGAGAGTGCGAAAATCAACAGCAAAAAAAAAAAAAAAAAAAAAAAAAAAAAAAAAAAAAAAAAAAAAAAAGAAGAAAAAAGAAAGAAACGAACCTTGGAAGCGTCAGGAAGTATTTGTGCGAAACCAAGTAGTTTAGGGGAGTAAGTTCTAACATACATAGGGGAGGGCATCAAAAAACTAGGAAATATGAAATATTCCACTATTTTAAGTGAAGATTGTGTCCTGATTATTTGTTTTATAGCATGCTATTCACTATATATAAAAACGTATTTCCTGTAACTTCTTTCCCATGCCATTTTCAGCTTCATCCCTTACAATATGCAATTTCCTTTCCCGTTTACTCTTCTTCTTTTTTTCCTCTTTACTTTGAAAATCATTCATTTTCCTATACATTTTTTCCTTCCTCGAATCATTGGCAATAGTTTGCGGGAAAACTGCCTTTGACACCGCGCAACTCGCCTTCCCACCAGTCATCGGTACTGTCAGTTTTCTTGATCACACGGATTCGATCGCCTTCTCTAAACACCAAGTCCCCTGCTCCTTGGCCTCCAAAGTCGTACAAAGCCGTTACGAATGTGGATTGAACTCCCGAGTTTAGGCGAGGTGGAGGAGGCGGCGGTTTCTTCTTTCCTATTGTCCCGAAACTAGAGCCGGGTGTTGTTGAAGTCGATGATGGTTGTCTTTCTCGACTAAAATAGTCTCCTCGAGTACCGTTTGATCCTTGAGATGATGCCATGTAGCCTTCAGAGGCGTAGTCAGGTGTACTTGGTGTTGGTGATGGTATCTTTACGGCGAGGTGGTTCGAATTCGCAGAGGAAGACGTTGAAACTTGGCTTCCAATTCGAGGCTTCGTTCCCAGTTTTGGAGGAGGTGGATTGCGACTGGGTGAAGTGGCCGATAGCTGACGGTTACTGCTCGGTCGTCGTGACCAACTCCTATTGCGACGATCATCATCGCCACGGACGGCTTTGCCATTTGCAATAGTTGCAAAATTCTCCACTTCTTGCTGGATAGGAAGGAAGTCGGTCTGCCAATCCTGGATTACCTGTTCCATTGGAGGTGGCGGGGATGGGAAGTTCATTTGCTGCGCATAGGTGTGAAGAGCAGTATAGTAATGACCGAGCAAAGTATTTTGGATTTCAATCTGCGATGCTAGGAGACACGGCAAGAGAGAGAATATAGCGGAGATAAGCTGTGGCAGATATTCTCGTAAGTTGTCGTCCGCTGCGTTATAGTCCTGAAAACAAGTCAGAAAAAGGTCGTCTTCTATATCTTAAAGAACAGACCTACCTCCTTGGCCTTGGCCAGTTCTGCCTCTGCTTTGGCCAACACGGCATTGTCACGATCAGATCGTTTGGTCTTTTTCAATGAATTGTCGACTCGGCTTTGAAAGTGTTCAAAGTCCAACTAGAAAAACCCAAGAACGATTAATAACCTGTCATAACTACCGACATTACGGGCATCCAACCTTTTTATCTTCTCGCTTCTTGATCGCCTTTTTCATTGGACCCAGTGACTCTTTCGCCTGCTGCATTGGGCCAATCATGCGAGTGTCGACAGAATTGATATCGACCAACAAGTCTGCCCGCAGTGATTCATATTCTTCGTTGAGACGGGTCGTTCTAGTCAGGGTTTCCGTTGGTGTTTCAACGCTGGGTCGGGCATTGGAAGTTTCTGAAGAACCGACAATCGGCGCATAGAGGGTATCGAATTCGTGGACAAGACGGCCTTGGTACGTCAGAATCGAAGTCCATGCATCACGCCAAGCTTTTGTAGACTCTACAACCTTTGCAGGAGCAGGATTGTTAGCATAACATACTTCTCATCCATATCATAGTTACCCATAATATGCATGGGCCTTCGATTGTAGTGGAATGCGCAAGGCAAGCCGCAATGGTTTCATACTTTTGTCAAGAGCTTATCTGCATTGTCAAAATCCTTCAGAAGCATTGATATTTGACTATCATCCGCCGACCGTTTCATCAACTTTCCGAACTGTCTGTGCATGGACTGCATGTTTGCAAGGGAGCCTAATGTTTCTAGAGCAGGTATGATCTGATAGGTGAATGATCTTTATATATATCCCTTTCTCGTTTTTGGTGTGTTCGTTCTGCTAGTACTTCGATGATAAAAGCGTTACGCACGAGACAGCGAGTGATGACTGGCCACACTGGGAGTTGAAATTATACGGACACGCAGAAGAAATGCATTCCTGCGGGGTGTGAAGATCAAATATGATGAGCACGGGAGACGGCAGAACTGCAGACGATGCCAGGTTGGCGCAAGTCGGGCAGACGCCGGCTGGGGTGCGTATGCTCAAGGGAAGTCTGAAAAGTCAGCAGGATGTCCTTAATTATTCCGTTGAGAATCTACTGGGAGAGAGCTCGTCATAGTACATACCAGGGATGTTTGCGCGTGGCTGTGAAGCTCCAGCGAGGGGCCTAAGACCCAGACCCACGTGTGTTTCAAGTGTCAACAGAGCGTAGGTGGAACATTCACCGAGCCAGCAAGTTCATAATTACGTATGTGAGGCGACGAATGAGAGACCGGTCTCGTTCAGGGTCTCGCAGGAGGAGGAGGAGGTTGGAGAGTTGGAGAGTTGGAGAGTTGAGATGCCTGGGAAGCTGCGGCTCGGCGGGGTCTGGGTGAGAGATGCCTCAGGACAGGACGCTGGGAAGCACAACACAAAAACAAGCACAGCCTTGCAGACCAGGGAGGGCTTTTACTATTTAGCAAATATTGCCAGCATTATAGAGACTCTTATCGGAACTAAGTACGCTAATTGCGCAGTACGACGATAATCGGTTAGCTCCTCGATCCGTCAACGTCTCAGTGCAGTCTTTACGTGCATAAAAACGACTTATGCCGGGGCCTGGCCTAGACTGACCTGTATGGATTTCTCTAGTGTGGCGTGGCCGCGTGTCGCTGTTGGGGGGATTCATAAGCCTGAGCATTGCTTGAGCGTACATGTAGGAAGTACTTACCGAGTTGAAAGAGTAGGCCCAGCCTAGCCTCAGGCAAGCAAGCCAACTAAGCAAACCAACCGCCAATGGCAACAACAAACGCGTCTTCCTTCCGTCAACCGCTCGCTCCAACCCAACAGCCACCTCGCCATCGCAGCACCGCATCGCTGAAACAGTGAAACAGTTTCCGACATTTAGCATCCGTACTATGATGTAGCCTAGCGGGCTGACATGTCTCTACCGCCCTCGTCGTTGGCTCGCGCGGTGCCTGCAAGCCAGAACACCGCTCCCGTCATCAAGTTCCGATGCCTGTATACCCACGATATCAGACGCAAGGCCAAGCGCTGGCAAGATGGATACCTCAAGTTCCATACCTTCAACAAACGCGCAATGGTGTACGACGATGCGGGCAATTTTATAGGCGATCACCATTGGCGGGAGAGTCATGATATCCAGGACGGCGACGAGCTGGAACTCGACAAGGGCGTCCTAATACAGGTTAGCGAGTGCATGGAAACAACTCAGACGGATATATCGGCACTATTTGACAGGCGTAAAGCCAGCCAGGAGTCTCCACAACAGCACAAAACACCAGCGCCCCCGTCAGGAGTTTGTTCTTATCCACGGCAGACCCCTCTGGCAAGGCCACCCAAATCACTCAACGATCTCCTGGGCATCCAAAAGGGACCTATTGGTCGGTCTGTCGCTCCGCAATCTCCATACGAACAATGCCATCGACCAACACAGAGGCATGTTCAAGGAAAACAAGACGAGGATGAGCGGCCCGCAAAACGACAAAAGCCAGCACCCGCAACGGAAATCTTACAGCGTAAGAGTACAAATGAACCACTGCGGAAGAGAACAGAAGTGATTGACTTGGACGGTCCAAGCCTTCCCAAAGTATCTCCGAGACCTGTTCCTGTCTCTGGTGTTAGAAGAGAAATAGCGCAGTCAACGAAGCGCTCTAATGTCTCACCGAAAAGCCCCCAAGAATCACCTTCGGAACAGACGAGAGTTCGTATCCCCAGGTCCGTGGCAAAATCTCTCTCAAGCGTGCAGTCTCCATTCGAGAAACAATCAGAGCAGTCCAAATCAACAAACAATGGCGCACAGCTGCCCCTTAATCCTCTGCGCATGCGTAATGAAAAACCGCGCCAAAAGCTCATGTACAGGGCGCTTCTCCCTCCTAAAACCTCACGTGCTCTCGATTCAGGAGAGGCGCAAACGAAGTCCAAGTCAGTAAACCTCTCGAGAATGAAATGATCCACATTGACGGAGAGATCGCAGTCAGACGGCCGATGTTGAGTCGTTACGTGATACCGATTTTGACTTTTCTCTTTCGGCCTCAACCCTTGCCGTGCTCGAGGAGTTGAATACCGAAGACTCAGATTCCGCTAGACGATCCTATCAATCACCGAAATTATCAACCTCGCAAAACACGCAAAATAGACTGCTAAACCGAATTCCGACCCACGCGGCAGTGTTTGGTTCTCTTGCTTCATCCGCCGGCGTAGAATTGGGAAATCAGTTCAATCCGCTGCCTTCATCATTAACAGAAATGCAAGAACCCGATGACCCTGATGGCATGCCTACCGTGGGTCGTGCATCAGCGCCAGTAATACGCAGTCACTCGGATATGTCTCGCATGGTTACTGGATCCTTGCCTATCGATACAACTACTCAGAGCAACGTGCGTGGACCGCCAGCAGCGGCGGCTTCGATGACTGCCATGAAAAGTAATGAGCGCAAGCTATTCCGCAAGTCCTATTCTGACACAAACGCTTTGCGCAACCAAGAAAATGGAAACAACGGCCTTTCTCGACCGCTGGCTACCCACGGCCCTCCGAGAGAGGAACGATACAGAAATACTACTGATAATGACACCGGCCCATGGACCGCGGAGGCATTCGATTTCTTTGACTGGTGGCCACCAGGTCGCCCGATACCTACGTAGAACTTTCCAAACACATTCAATTCTGATTTAAAAACATGAATGGACAGGCTTGAGGCAGGCATGACAGGAACCAAGCACTTGTATGAATATAAGGATAAACATATGATACCCAACATTTGAACACAAAACAAATTTTCAATCAGATCAAACAATGAACAGTACGAGATAATTTCTGGGCAAGCACACCCGATCTAACATCAAACTGTAGAGTCTACTGCCTCTTCACGAGAACGCCTGAGATATAGGGAAGAGTAGTCCAAGCAAACCTATGCTCCAAGTCGAACGACTCCCACCCGCCATCTCGCTCCGCCGCATTACGCAGATAAGTCTCCGTATCACGATCCAGGCAACAGTCACCTATCAAAAAACTCCATCCCAGCAAGCTATACACCGTCTGGAGACACCTCGCCATGAGACTTCCGCCTTTCTTGCTCCCAAACAACGTGAACGGATTAACCACATGTTCCACAATGATCATTTGCCCACCAGGTCGGAGGAGCGAGTATAGGTCAGAAATAGTCTCTGCGGGATTGGGCACAGAGCAGAGAACTCGAATGCATATCATCGTATCAAAGATACCTTTTTCCTTTTCTTTGTTGGCGTTGGTGGCAGCATTATTTACTTGCACACCGTCACGACGAAGCGCATCGATAAGTTCCTTTTTGTCAGCGCTGCAAGATAAGATATGATATTTTGCTTCAAGGCCGCAAAGGGCCGCTCGCTCACGCAGTTCCGCATGCAGACCAACACAGGGTTCTGCGCCGTAGATGGCTGAGACATTCTCTTTCGCTGGTTGGATGAAATAGGGCATTTGTGTGCCTGTGCCCGGACCGACGTCTAGTACAACTCCTCGAATTTTCTGGAGAAGAGGTGGGATAAGAGCTCCTGAGCCAGAAAGGTTGCTTGTGTCGGGTACGCCATGTTCGTCGACGGTGACGCGTGGAGCGGAGAAATTGATCCAGAAGCGGCTAAAGGCTTCATCTCGAACCTGGCGAGACTGGAGAATGGGAGCGAGGATCTGGCCACGGATGAAGATTGTCTCAAATAAAACAATCATATAGTCTGCAGCAATTGGTGAGCCTCATACATATACAAACATACAAGTAGTGTGTGTGTGTATGTGACAGGAATGAAGTCGGCTAGGTGGAAAGAAGTACAAGCGTAATCTCTCAAATAGACGGGTGTGTTTTACATTTCAAAGACCAGCACATCAGGACAGCGGGGTCTATCAAGCCCGAGAGGAACTCAAGAAACGTCGGCGGTGTGTCCGAGTTCTCCATGTTGCTGATGCGTACTGGTACGGGTTTGGCGTTGAGACGTTTTGGCTTCAAACACTGATATCTGACTGGTGTATGTTTATAGAAAGAACTCGGAGAGAACAGACGAGGATTTGTGCGGTTCGCCCCGGTTAAATAGTCTCCTTGTTCAGCTAGACACGTGACGGATATGGTCAAGACATACAAAACCCTGCCAGCTCGTAGCTTCTTGGTCAAGTTGTGAAGAAAGTGCTCAGTTTGCTTATCAATATGGCCTCAGGTACGGGATAACGCATTTGAGGTGTAAAGTACGAGGTAGTAGAGTGTTCCCCGGGTAGTAACAAACAGGAGCACCTCCTATGTCATAGAGAAAAGAGAGAAATTGATGTTATGGCCATTGTCGTTAGTGGAATTAATTGGCTTTGCAATGTTGATAGAGTATGACTGTGCCATAATGGGATGAGAGATACGCGCTTAACCAAAAGTAGCAAGCGCCATCCGGTTCAAGTTTAGCGCCTGGTTAGGGCTTGCACTAGTCTTGATTATTGATAACCCTGCAAAAACTTCAGAAGTACTTGATATATTTATGACTGAAAACTCAATAAAAGCGTGGGACAAGCTATTCATAGATATGATGAATTTAGTATACTTCTGTTCCTAAGCCAACCGACAGTAGTGAAAACAAAAAGGAGAGAGAGAGAGGATCAGACTAGTAAATACAAGTATAGTGAGCGACGGCCGTTCTGACAAGCGGAAAGTCTCGAAATAAACAAAATGGACTCTCAGCAGTAGAAGAAACAAGAATTAACTGTTGGTTCAGTATGAATGGGAAGAGGAGGCGTCGGGGTATTAATTTCAATGAAATGGCCCAATGAACCCCGGAACGACAGAAAAGAAATATATTAATAGGAGCAGTATGAGATGAACAAAAGAGAGAAAGTTTGTAAAATACCATGCGCATATTTGAAACGCTAACATCGATTCAACTCCGACCGAATTCAGAAATGAAGCAAGACCCAAGTAATAATGCACTCTGGGGCCCAAATGCTCACACAAAAGAAACTCGTTGACCACAATATATAGCAGAAAAACCAGGCGACCTGAATCTCATTGCCTTTGATGAGAAGACGTGAGGTATCCTAGCAGGATAGAGAACTTGGCATAGAGTGTGCGGTATGGCTAATTGTGATTGTGACTGTGATTGTGATAATGGGGACTATACGAATTAGACAATCGCTTCAGTCCAGGACTATAACGACTCGTTCTAGAGAGGGACCCGACATCGTGCTTGCCTAGAAGACGTCAGTATAAAATAGAACCTAGGTAAAAAAAAAAAGTAAGTTGAAAACTAACCGTCACAACATGCACGAACGTTCTCCAACCGATCTGATTCACGCTCTTGACGCTCAATAACCTGCCGGAGGTCCTCCGCACTATCGTGGTCGGCACTATGATCATGGTAGATGCTATCGGCCTGGACTGGCGTGTGCCTGCCTCTACGGCTCGCGAAAGATCCTCGAATAGTGGCGTTAAACACGCTGCTTATACGAGAAGATGTACTTTGTCGATATTGGTCTTGACGATACGTGGAGTTCTGCGGATAGCTAGGCGCAGGTGACACACGCCCAGGAGTAACTGCTGGGCGAACTGATAAAGCCGATGCCGCACGCGGCTTTGACGTGTTCGTCCTCACACTTTGGTAAGATGATACCGACATCCTTGGTCCTGTTTGTCGCGATGCGCTTCGAACTCCGGGATTGAACTCATCCACATCATCCGCAGTTATTTCTTGTCCTGCATGCTTCTCGTCCTCGGTCCGAAGTAAGAGATATGACAGAGCATTGTGCCAGGTTTCATGTCTCTGACTTGTAGCCGCAGTGAAGCGGATTCGACGGCCAGGGGTGAGAACCTCCAGACTCTTGCGATGTAGCCCAGGGGGATAAGGATTATCGTCTGTAACCACACGAACAGCTTCAATAGCAACACTCTTCGCCTTGCTTTCATGTTTGCTACCGTGGGAAGGATCTTGGTCGCTCCAGTATAGTGTCCGAGTATAAGGGTGGACCCAGAAGTAGCGGCGATGACGGGAGCTAGATAACTCACCCGACACAGCCTTACGAGTATATTTCCACAGGTACTCTCCGATCATTGTCTGAGTGATGGCTTGGATCATGCGAGGATCCGTTCCAGGATGTACGCCGTGAGGTAACTCATCTGTGTGCATGTTAAATCGCACATCAAGTTCAGAGACAAATGAAGACAAAGACGATCTCCGAGTGGAGGCCTGGCTCTCACGTCGCGATCTAGCCCTGACTGAGGCGGTCTGGGCAACGCTCTCATTAGGAGTCTTTGGGCGAATATTCGTTTTATACGCTGACGCCGGAGCGAGAGGAGGCCCCATGGTGCCGGCTGTAGTCTGAGCATTTTGTGCCGCTGCGATCACTTGTTTGTGATCTGCTGGTAGAGGCGGGTGAACGCTTGAGGAAGAGACCCTACTCGCGCTTGTAGAGCTGCTGGGTCGCTTAGGAGTTGACTGGAGAGTTGGTACTGTCCCCGCTTCGACAATTGGAATCTTAGCCTTCGGAGTTGCACCAGGTGAATTTACTACGGAATCCAAATCGGAGACAGATCTCGGCTCCGATGGCGTAAATGGGCGAGAAGCCATACGGTCCAAAAGCAATTGATCAATCTGCTTGGATGATAGTATCGTCTGAGCAGCCTGGTCAGAGTGCTGTACAATGTTTGTCATGCTTTCACGGAAAGTACTATTCCCGGATATGTCATTCAAAGGCATGCTTCGATCCTTTGTTTGATTCTCGGCATCCACTCCACCAAAAGCCTGGCTTGTTGCATCTTCAGAAACAAAGATGGCAGACGATTTCTTGCCAATGAGCATATTGGGCTCATTGTGTCGTATAGCTGAGGTTGGCTGTTCCGGTGCATTCTCGGGAGTGAAAGCTGTTGTAAGTACAGCGGGTGCGAGTTCTGGCTCTACGGGTACAGTCTCTGCTGATTGAATTGAAGCAAATGACAAGGGTGCAATTGCAGGTTGTACCTTCTCTGGCACTGCCACGGGCTCAGTTTGTATGGCGTAAATCGAGGATAGAGACAGCTGTGGCACAATAACAGGGACTTCTGGCTCAGGCTCGTGAATGGCAGTGGCTGGTTCAGGAGGCAGTAATTTGAAGGCGACGGGTTCAGTCTTCTCACTAAATACAGGTGACATCATTAGCTGAGGCTTGGCGACGTCCTCTGCAACGAGTTCCTGCTTGGGCTCCAGTAACTTCGCTGCTACAGGCTCAGTGGTTTCATTAAATATCGTTGATAGCGTCAATTCAGGCATCGAGGGAGCGACCGGTGCCGTCTCTTCGGCTGTGATGCTTGAAAATTCGAAGTGATACAGAGGAGAAGGTAGCAGTTCCCGTACAGCATGATCTTTGTTCTCAACTAGTTTGGGTTCGTCCCAAATTGTCTTCGGTGGCGTTGGGAAAGCATCTGAGTGTTCGCCATTCAATTCCGTGTTACGCTTCGTAGGTGTGTATTGAGTTGCTGAATCTACCAGTGTTGGCGAGAATGTCTCCGTCTCAGGAACCTGCTCAAGAGCTGTTTCAGAAACCACCTCAGGTTCCCATGGGTCCGTCATGGTAAAAGAATCGATCATTGCAGGCTTAGTAGGCAATGATTCCTGAGAGGCTTGTCTGATCAACGTGACCGAGTTTTGGAGTGGAGTTGACGGTTGAGAGGGCATGTGTGTGGTGCGGATGGGAGTACCGAAATCACCATCACTACCAGGACTACCCAGTTCTTCTAGTTCCGCAAAGAGGCTCTGACCCATGGGCGCCGCATTTTCATGCTGGAAAGAACCGACTGGCGAATGCTGAGCGCTAGATGATTCATGGGAAGATGCCATTGGAGCCTCCCCAGACGGTCGAATTCGTCTGAAACCGCCGCGACTGACTCTGATACGGTTGCGTTGAGAGGGTAGTGGTGTGTGGACTTCCTGAATCTCGTCATCTGAAGTAGACGCTGTGCTCAAGTAGGATGTCCTATCGCCGGCCTGCGCCGTGAAAAGTTGAGAAGGAACTTTCCTAGCACGCGGGGCTGCTTGACGGAGGGTTCCTCTATCTTCAGTCTCAGTAAGATCACCATCACTATCATCAGCTAAGCTCTCAGCCCCAGTCTGGAAAGCTTCGCTTTCAGTAGCGGTCTCTCGTTCGTTCGCCGTCTCGAAAGCATCGTCAGTTTCAGCAGCAGTCTGATACACATCACTCAGGTCAGGTCGGTGCCTTGGGGAGCGCCCTTGGTGGGAGCCCTTAGACCGTACTGTACGAGTAGGACTTGCTTCACTTATATGATCCTCCCAATCTGTGTCTTCCAAGGTAATTTCAGTACGCCCTCTCCTGCTAGGACCAAGTAAATCAGAGCGAGAAAGTGGCTTTTTGAATGCCTCAGACTTGATTTTTTGCCGTTTGGCTCCACTTCCTGGTGCCGCAGTGTCACGTCGCCGTGTCTCAAGTTCGTCCCGGGCTTCTTGCAACATTCGCTTGAGCTCAATCTTTTCAGTTTTCTCTCGGTGAATGTTGCTTTTGAGGTTCTGAATCATACGATGAGCATGACCCAAAGAGCTTCGCAGAGTTTCTGTTTCCAGGAGGCCGTGTCTTGGAGTATGTTTGTTGGGCGACGGTGGAGGTGAGCTTTCGGGAGAGTCCTGTTCTGGCATGGTATCCTCAGCGTCATGTAAACGAGGACGGGGTGTTTCGACATCAATCCGACGATTGCGCATAGATGCCACGGCCCTAGCGAGTTCCTGGTTCTGGGATGTTAGTTCCTCAACCTTCGCTTGAAGTGTAACTCGCTCCGCATCCCCGCTGTTCAAATTTCTCCTTAACATGTTCGCCTCCGAGTCATGTGCTTTCTGGGCGGAAGCCTGATCTTCCAGAAGCTTCCCATTGCTCTGCTTCAATTCTTCCGCTTCACGCTCAATTCCGGTTTTCTCAGCGGTTAAAGAACTCAGAGCACTGTTGAGTTTCGTCTCACGTTCTTGGGATTCTTTGAAGGCAGCCATGAGCTCATGCATCTGCGTCTCCAAACTCCAGTTTTCGTCTTTATAACGTTGCTCGCTTTCATCAAGATCACGAATCCTTTGCGTAAATCCTTCGGCCTCGAGCTCAAGTTTTGAATTCTCAAGGGTCACGTTCTTCAATGCTTCCTCTCGTTCAGCCAACATTGTTTGTAATTGACGGACCTGAGCCAGAAGTGAAGTTGAAATCTCAGTAGCAAACTCGATATCATGGACACGGCTCGACGGTTGATTTCGTTGTTTTCGCGAAGGAACGCTAACTTTGGACGGCGACGCAGTTGCTTGGCTCGTGAACACGGAAGACGCTGCGGGTGACTAGATGCAGGAAGTCAATATATATGTGATGATTGGAAAGCTTGACGTATGATACATACGCGTAAGTCAATGCCAGGCGTGCTCTCTCCGCCACTGACTGCTCGCTTTGGCGCCAAGAAGGCACGCGCACTATCCCGGCCGATTTCATTGTACTCCTTTTCCAACTCAATTAGCTTCTGTCGAAGTTCCGGGCCGATTTCGCCCTCGTCTCTCTGCTGTTCGAGTTCATGGAGTTTGTCGGTAAGTTCCTTCTGTTGATTGACGAGCGCCGTGCCCAGTTTTGACGCCTCTTGTAGCCTCCGTTCGGTTTCCGCTAGATGCGCCTCGAGCGCCCGCTTAGCTTGAGATGGCGATGATGCATTCAGGCTAAAGAGCTGAGTATCGAAAGCAGAATATCGGTGTGGCTCCCGAGGGCCTGTAAGCCCGTTAGGGCTAGAAACAAAGGGATCCTCCATGAGATGTGCACCACTAGACTCGCTTCCAGTTGCCAGCGCAATTCAATCGCTGGAGCTGGAAGCAAGTTTGATTGCGGAATTATGTCGCCGAAAAGAATAATTTGGCTGACAATAACAAAGATTGAGTGATCGATAGAATTCCTATCTACCCAGTGTTGATATCGGGGAAATTAGTTTGCGCGCATAATCCGACAAGTGAAGCACAAATCGAAGGGGGGGGTTCCTGGCTGAGTAATTTCGTGCCCAAGCGACTGTTGTCTTGGCGTCAAGTGAGAAGACTCCCGAAACACATTCACCTAGTCTTGGAAAGCGAGTGAGTTGAGGGTATAGATAGATATATTCTAGCGGTATCGGACTTCTGACCAGCGACAGTCAGGTCGTGATGACGGTTTGTTGACTGACTCCCACAAGGGCAAGTATGGTACGCGTTGTGGGTGGCTGATTCTGTGGCCGCCGGTGGGTGCGGCAACTGGCGCGGTCTGGCTGCAGGCACAACACGAGGGAACAACGAATTGCTCTGGAGAACTAGCAGCACCCAGTCGAGAAGCCGGATAGTATGGTGTCGATGACAGTGAAAAAAGAAAAAAGAAAAGGCAAAAAGAAGGGAAAGGAAAGACAAATGGAAAGGATATGCTTGCAACGAAGTCGAACGCGAACACTCTCGACTTCGTTGGGCGGGGAGACACACACAGAGAAAGAAAGGAAAGGAAAAGAAGGAAGGAGAGAAACGAAGGGAACTGGAAGGGATGGACAGCAGCTAACTGAATTGCTAACTAGTCCTCCATGCTCCGTGGGACGTGGTTCGTAGGACAGACAGCACAGGAGGACTGACTACGACTGGGTCGGAGTCTGCGCAAGAAGGAGATGAAGCCAGCAGTCCCGTGCAGGGGTCAAGAGCGTGTATTTGAGACGGGTAAATACATCGTACGGACAGGATTTTCTAGGTGGGATTCCTCTAATTACGTGACGTGACTATACTAAGCGCACGTTTAGTTGGTGGAGTCCAGCATAGATTATGACCAGTCTCATGTTATATTTTTAAAGTCGGTTACCCATCTCTCTATGCAGTCTGCTCTCGACATCGAGTCATCCGAAGAAGATGTGGTTTTTAAGTGATGCTAATTGTTGTGCTTACCGCCATCGCATGCATCGTTCCGCTCATCGTAGTTGAGTTCATGTTTGGAAACTGCAGCAAATGAATAATAAGTAATACGGGGTTAGCTTCTTTACGACGCACGTACGGCGTCATACACGGGACGGGATCTAGATAAACAAAGCTTAACCGGATTAGGCATGGCCAAACGCGCTTTGCTGGATTGGGAGTAACGCCACCGAGGCCCTGGTCACGTGATAGATACGGCTTACAAATGTTCTGCGATGCGGCGCTAACCCATTTTCAAACAGCATTTACCAATCTCAACCGTCGCCACTTGCATACAACTTGCAACTATCGATTTAGTTAAGTCACGCATTCTAATAGTTCCTGGAGGGGCCCTTGGCGCGGTTGTATCAATTCCTTACGCACAGAACCACACCACGCCTTGCCTTTTCTCTGTGTTTTGACATAGACATTGGCCAAGGAATGGCTGACGAAACCGCAGAAGTGGCGCCAACCGCGCAGGCCGATATTCCACAAGTAACCTTCAAAAAACGCTCAGCCAAGGCAAAATCAAGCTCTCGCAAAAGAGTGCCGACTCCGCCGCCAGCATCTGATTCCGATTCTGACTTCACTTCCTCGGATGATGACGAAGGCCGGCGAATCAAGAGACGTCGGAAAAACGCAGTCGTAACGGCATCGTCAGCCTCGAACAAGACCCATTCCAAACTCGATGACGCTCCAGAGTATGCTGCCGCTGCTCCTTTAATCACGTCAAACGATGCTACCAAACAAACCAATTGGTACGACGAACAAGAGAATGGCGAATTGAGCGCTAAAAACCTACTTGGAAATACACGAGCTAAACCCGGGGCTCCGTCATTAGATGGGACGTACAAGGGCGCGACAACCTACCAGTCTTTTGTTCAAAAGAATCCCAATTCGACATCGAAGCAGTTTGGTCCGATGAAAGCGGCAACAAATATTCGCACAGTCACCTTTACAGATATGGCGCCGGACGTATGTACTGATTACAAAAAAACGGGATTTTGCGGTTTCGGAGACTCGTGCAAGTTCGCGCATCTTCGCGAGAACTACCGGCATGGCTGGGAGCTTGATCGGGATTGGGAAATTGATACAAAGGGAAAGAAGCTCGCGGGGCGCACCGTAGCGTCTCAGTCGAAACGAGGGAATCAGGCCAATGATGAGGAGGATGAGGATGATAAGATGCTTGAGAACATTCCTTTTGCTTGCATTATCTGCGAAAAGCCATATAAGAACCCCATCGTCACCAAGTGCGGCCACTATTTTTGCGAGAGCTGCGCTCTTCAGCGATATCGCAAGAATCCTTCATGTGCTGCTTGTGGCGCAGGAACTGGGGGTGTTTTCAATGTGGCAAAGAAATTAAACCACCTTCTAGAAAAGAAACGCGAGAGAGCTAAAAGGAGGCGAGAACAGGCCATTGAGAATGGGGAGGAAGTGGATGGCGAGGAGGATGCAGAGGCTACTACAGTCGCGTCTTAGCGTGAAGATACCTAACATCCCTAGGCACTCACTTATATGTACAGTGGGGGTGCAAGAGTGTTAACACCCCTTTGTTGATTACTAATACCCGCTTTTAGACCGCCTTCCTAATTAATATACACAAAAACCTCCAAAAAGCCCTAATAACTAGTATACCACCCATCTGCGGCCAATACGGCCTGCACTCTATGAGGCATAGAGTCGCTTAGATTCTTAAGAACACGTTTATTTATTGAATCCCACGCGTTAATAGCAGCCTGTATCAATAAACATAAAGTTGTATCATTATCAGGTGCATTTTCCAGCTCAGGATGATCCTTGTGGATAATTGCCTTTATAATTGCCTATAGATTCTCAATAGGATTCAAATCCGGCGAGTATGAAGGCCACATCACTACTTCAATCTGCATCTCTTGCAGCAGATTTCTGATAATAGAAGCTGCATGTACTGGCGCATTATCGTGTATAAAGATATCTTTAACTTGAAGTAGTTCCGGAAGTTGGTTCATATAAGTTTGCCTTATAACTGTTGTAGTAATACCTCCTCCTTGAGAAGAACCATCCGGCGTTAATGGGATTAACCTTGTATGTTGATTATATCGAAATGCACCCCAAAACATCTTTTTAACGCTTTCCTTAGTGTGTATCTTAAGCATGTCATGCTCAATTAGTTGCTTACTAGGGCTATTCCACGTCCAAATCAATCTACCACCTTTGCCTCGTTCAACTGTGAATTCGTCACTCCATATTACTCTTTGCTAATCTTCAGCTGTATAATGAGTATACCTTTGTGCCCAAAGAAGCCTCTTTTCTGCATTCTTAGGAAGAATTTCAGGCCGTTTTCGCTGTAGCCATTTCTTTATATGAAGGTTGCGGAATATCTGGCGGATAGTGTCTTTTGAATATCTTATATCTATAGATTCTTGAAGCTCTCGTACTTTAATATGAGGATTTTGAGTTGCAAGATGAACTAGATTCTCCTTTTGCTTAGACGATAACTTTTGAGGACCTCCAGATCGAGGTAATGAGCGTTGATTGACACGTTCTTGTTCCTTTTTGATTGTATAGCGGATAGTTGATATAGAGATCTGAGGATACTTTTTATGAATGTTTTTATAGCCCCAGCGTACTGTTGAATGAAGTTCACATATCTGGGCCCTTATACAAGGGTCTAATTCTTTGCGAGGAGTACGAGGAGCCATCATTTATATTGAATAATTGAATATAGGTTGCCATAATAATTTATATGCGACGCGATATTACGCGCTTTTATTTACTAGTGTTGTTTTTAACCGGCAGAAAATTTGGCGGTGAGAAAGGGGTGTTAACACTCGCGAGGGTACTGTATATAATATATTTGCACTACCCATGTGTAATCCTCGCAAACCATTATGCAGCAGCGCATTTAGATGATATTGAAGATGACGTTTCGAGAAGTATGATTTCATTGCCAAAAAAAAATCATTCCATTAATAAGGCAATAAAGCATGGCCAACATGCATTTCTGTTCAGCCTTTCTTGTCATAGAACTCTTCCACCCTTTCAATCAAATCCGCCTTTTTCCCTGCGACAGAAAGCTGCTTGGAATTTAAAAACTCCTTGAGCGCTGGAATTGTCAGTTTGGACAGGGTACCGCTGTGATAGTGACTTGAAACCTCGTCCGAGGCGTTTTGTGCATTACCACTCTCGGTTTTCACCTTTTTAGCGGGCTTTCCTTCCTGGGCCGATTCGATGGATGCCTTCCCTCTCTTGGCCAACGTTGAGGTTTTGGGCTGACCGGAGAACATTTTTTGATACTCCTCCTCCAGAACGTCGCCCCATTGAAGAACATAATCTCCTGCGCGTTTGTCAATCTGTCTGTATCTGGGAATCGTTTTGTCTTCGCATTGTTCCGGCAATTCTTCGTCTAGCGCGAGCGCTTGCAGAATGCGATAGTGCCATTGCAACGAAGGATTCGGGTATTTCCGAGGGTCATATTGGGCTTTGGGCAGCTGAAGCTGCTGAATTACAGTCCGCATATGATCAATCAACGGTTCTGGCGCTACCATCAGCGTTGTTTCTGGATTCTGTCGGATATCGTCTGCAAAAGGCAAGGGCAGAATCCACATTCCCGATGGAATAAATTGGAAGCCATTGTCATCTAGCTTCTCTTCGCTAGGGAGCATGGCAGCCAAGACAGGCGTTGCATTCCGCCGTGGTATAAACCAAACAATGCCTATTTTCTGGTCATGCACTAACTTCTGATGAAGGGCAGAGAATACTCGAGTGGAACCGACGTAGTCCTCGTCAGAAGGGTATATGAACGTCGGATGTTTGGTAGAAGCCCAGATTGGAAGTGATGATATTGGTTTGAAGCCTATGATCCTGATAACAGGATCGCCAAAGTTTCGCAGTTTTGCCTGCTCTTCCGGGGTGAATGAAACTTGCTCGCCACCAAACTTGTACGCTTTTCGTATTTCCGATTTCTCTATAGTTCTCGCAGTGTCGTCCGCAATCTGGGTGGTTGTACCTTTTGCTAGTTCTGGCTTTTCACCACCAAGCCACACGTAACAGCTTCTGGATGGCTCTTGTCGTTTGAAGATCAGATATCCAGTAACAGATATCTTAAAATCAGGGCTGAATTCCAGAGGAACTTTGAAAAGAGCTCGACGTGGAACTAGTCGAGAGTTGATGGATGACAACAGGGAATCAAGCAACGAGATACCGTCACCACCTGCATTAGGAACCTGGGTTCCGGCTGCAGTGAAAGCAGAAGCATCTGGGTCACCGGGGGCGGTTTTGTAAATGATGTCCTTATACAATAGTCAGTTGCTGTGAAACGCCATTCCTGGGGGTACACCTATACATACGTCATAAAATTTGGATCTATCAAATTCGTGGTCTGGCTTGGAGATAGGAAACAGTTCTATAACCACCCCCAAGTCATACAAGTCCTTCGCGCGCACTGTGGCTGCGGAACGCATTGTACGGTCGTCAGCATGAGGATTATCACGGTCCGTGACTATGAAGAGCCGTCGGGAGAGAAAGTTCGAAGCTTTAGATGTGAATATTTGATTTGCACAGAAGAGCACATTAGACATCGAGACCCGCTCCTTTGAGGGTACTAGAACTTGATCCGCCGCGTCATCGTCTTCGGCCAAGGCACGTAAACTTTTCACGTCGTTTGCATCAGGGACGTCGAGATCTGTAAACAGGTAGCAATGGGGATAGGAAAGCCCGCCCCGACTGTTCTCATCTTCGTCGTAGAACTTCGAGGCTTCTGTTCCAAAAAACAGCACACCCATCATATCCTTTGGGTTGGAGATGATACGCTGTTGCATCAGATGATAGGCGCATTTGATGGCGGCTTTTGCTGGTGATTGTGGCTCTCCTTTGCCTGACTCTGACGGCCGTGCCACCAGCATAGAGTCGCTGATATCGATGGCGAAAAGCACGGCATCTTTGACGGATTTATAGCTCTTTGCGGGCCTGGTCAGCAGTTGACTAACTCACGGCATCTTGTACGTACCGTTTCATCGACCTCCTCATCCTCTTCCTGATAAGTTTCATCGTCTGCAGGGGGATAGTTTTCAGCCATATCGCCTGCTACTCATTACATCTCTCTGTTTTCATAAACAAATCGCGGTTTGTCGTTGAGCAGAAAGAGCCTCCTTTCCTTTGTTGCCTGGCCATGCATTTGCATTTCCCGATCCCGTTAGCGTTTCCTTTTTTGGACTAGTCTCGCGTACGCCGCAACTTCTCGCGGTTCGCGACGCGACTTGCTCCTCCTTCTACCTCCTCATATAACTCTAGTGATGAAAGCTGGGGAACATGACCAAACATGGCGCCAAATATAACTTGCCCGCTTTCTGACGTGGTCTCGATTTTGCTATACCTAGGCAGCGGCCTATCTTTCGATTCTTCCAACCGGTTATGTTCGTCGTGTCTGTTTTGTCAACTTCCTTGCTTGAGACCTTATTTCTACTGCCCAAGGTATTGACAATCGTCCTTCGCAATAATCAGAATGAGTAGGAGAATGTACCAGGCTCGAAATCGACCCGTCTGCGAAGCGTGTGAACAAATAAGGTATGCTAGGGTCTGCTCTACCACATACTGGAATCTTCATCAGACGATGATAGGGAGAACACGACGGAAAGCATTATCCCACTACGTTGCATCCGTGCAATGTTGATGGCGAATTGCTGAACATACCAGAGAACAGTCTTCCGGTGTAGAATCTAAAGTGGACCTACCATCAGCTAGCAGAAGGACACAAGGCTCTGTAAGCAGAGGTAGTCGAATGAAATAGACAGGTGGATAAGAGTATGGCTCGGATTAAACTGGCGTGCGTGACTATTCATATTATATTCCCACTTTGCATCGCGGATTGTATGTTAGCTAACGCATCGAATGAAGGTAAGTAAATCACGCCGGTGCATGTCCGACTGCGTCAGCGATTGGTGGAAGTGATATCCGACATAGGCATGGCTTCAATCCTGCGAGCTACGTGTATCGCCTTGGCTGGTTGGACCCCTTTTGTTATAGTAGATCAACTAATCGAAGGGCAGACTAAAAATGCCGGCCTATCTTCCCGTAACAACGTTCTGCGCTCTTTCACCTGTTGCTACTGAAATCGAATCTATTTCTTTATTATATTATTTTTTTAAAAGTAGATTAATAGAAACAATGCCTGAACAGGATCTGGCTCCGGCGTCACAGGGATCCCGCGACCCTGCGTTCAGTCAGGGGAGTTCTCGGAAATCCACAAAGAGTTCGACGGCTTGCGATGTTTGCAAAACTCGAAAAGTGAAGGTAGTCCTTTGTTCGTTTTGCTTGAAGAGATCTAAGTTGAGACCTGACTCTTCCGAGCATTAGTGCCGCGGTGGTCCCCCCTGTGACTATTGTGTTTCTCATGGCACAGTTTGCGTGGTTGACCAGACACGAGACGGTCGTCGCAAGATAGCTGTCAAACGGACATTAGATGATCTGGAAAAGGACCGAGAACTTCTTATCGACCTCGTTGCTACCATGCGTGACGGCAAGAACACCTATGTTGAACAGCTGCTGACTCTAATCAGGGGCCATGCTTCGCTTAGCGATATTCGGGCATATATAGATGCACAAGTGAGAGACGCAAATATAGAGAAAACACCAGAGCTGGAAAGGCTGCAAAATGAGATTCAAGAATCAAGAAGAAATGTTCGGGCGCGCGACATGGGCAGTATCATGGATATACAAAGATTGTCGGACATCCCCATCTTCAAAGTCCCAGCTAAGCCTTGGACCACCGTGACTGATGATGACGACCTGGTTTCCCACCTGGTCTCTTTGTGGTTCACATGGAGCAATCCATTTGAAAACTATGTGCATCGAGAGTCATTCATTAAAGACATGCAGGCTGCTCAGCTAGACTGCAATTACTGTTCTCCCTTTTTGGTTAACGCCATCCTTGCCGAAGCGAGTGTAAGAATTGTACCAGACTATATTTTGACCACCTAGCTGACATACCTATCTAGGCTCTGAGTGACTACATTGAAGTATCTGCCAGTGCAGATGATATGGCGTCTCGGGGCGACAAGTTCATTAAAGAAGCAAAAACTTTGCTTGTTAAAATAGACGATATTGCAAATCTTCCTACAATTCAGGGGTTGGCGGCACTAAGCGTCGTGTGAGAATACTTCTTTCTTGATCGTCTGTATTTGTCTGATTTTCATTCTCCCCTAGGATGGCTATGGTTGGAAAGGATCGGACAGGCTGGATGTATCTAGGATTGGCTAGACGCGCCACTGAAGAGTTTGAGAAGCAATTAGCCCAAGGGGGTATTCGTAATGCCGAGGACCCAATCAGTTACGCTCTCTGGGGCATGTTTAGCATAATCACGTACGGAACAAAGAACATACGAGGAAGTAGTCAGCACTAACCCCTGTTCAGGACTTTCTCGGTCTCTCTACAGCGATATGAACCCAAGGATTTGCCAAAGTATCCTCCACCAAAACTCAGCCATGGTGCGAGCTGGGATACTTGGTCGCCGTATCCACGGCAAGCAGAGCCAGTGCCGGCACATTTATCTTGTATCTCCCATGGGTGGTCTGACTTGACGATTATCCTTGGTAAAATTGGTAAGTGGATGGGCAATGGTTTACAGCCAGAATCAGACGTTTCTTCAGTCCTGGAGAATTGCCACAAGGAGCTTCGGACGTGGGAATCGAACCTACCAGAATGCATCAAGACTGACTCTGCCTCTGTACCTCATGTACTCTACCTGCAGTAAGTGTGTAGCGGGCCCCTGCTGTTATTTATGCTACTAACATGGAACTCAGTATGCAGTATCACAGCATCATTATGCAAATGTTCGGTTTTCTCAGTTTTCATGATGCCAACTCAGATCCAATAAAAGTTAAAAACATACGAATCTCGGCAGCGCATGAAGTTCTCAAATTGACCAATTTGCATCGCAAAAAATGGGGCATCCAGCGCATGTCACCTACCATGATCCACTGGCTCAGCACAAGCATGTTTACATTACTAGATGCTCTCGACGATGATAGCAACAGAAAGGCATTCACTGAGTTGGCTGTTGTCACACGCGCCTGCGCCCACCGCTGGATGCTGAGCAAAGGAATTTTGCGTATGATCCAACTAAATGCGGCAAAAATGCACGTATGCTTACCGGAGGAAGCTCGAGTGCTTTTTGTTGATTTTGGGGAAAAGGACTGGAAAAAAAAAAGCCGAACTCAGCTCAATAGTATGTATCCCAATCTCGTCTCTGGTGGGCAGAGTAATGAGGGGGGCGAGTCAGAGTTGAGTGGGTTCTTAGAAAAGTGGGATAAGTTGCGTTTGAATAGTTGATCAATTAGACAGGATCGAATCTGAAAGGAACGGTCGGATATATCATGTGATTTTGTTGCCTTACGAAGCCTTACAGAGGCATGCGGGCCCAGTGGAGCAAAATAAAGTAGCAGGGCGGATGATCTAGCCAAGTTTAGATTAGCCTCCAATCCATGGATAGGTCCGCGGTAAATGGACCAATAGAAGGAAATTATTGTTACAAATCTACTCCCCCGGGGCGGTCCATTCACGACGTATTAGTATGTAACAAAAGAAAATAAGTCTATAAAGCTTCTTATGGCGAGTTCTTATTGTTGACATTGAACCGTGTACATTCTGAGGTTCTTACGGTGCGCCTTGAAGGCCTCTTTCTGTTTCAACTTACAGTAGTAGTCAGAAGGAATTTGACAAATCTTATGGCACAATTGGGCCATAATGAATGTAAGCAACCTAAGTGCATATCTTTAGCTCTGACAGACGAGGAAAAGGTAAATAAATCTTGCTAATTAGGTACAAAAGATCAGTAGGAACAAATTGACCGCCATCGTCTAAAGGAAACATACTCAAGGCAGTTGTAAAGACCGTCAACCATGTCTGACCCTGAGAACGGAGAGCCAGGAAGCTCTGCTGCGAAATTTTGAATCAAGAAAAGGGTTTCTTGTCCTATTGCTGGGTCATCTATGAAGGTTGAAGCAGCAGGCTCGAACAACCGAGCTCGAACGAAGCGTAATTCCATTCATTTTTGGTAGTAGTATCGGCACCAGCAAGTACGAGGGACTTTCATGTTTTCACTAAATGGATGTTGACGTGCATTGTGCCTGTGGTGGCTCTCGCTGCTCTCCTAAGTAGTATCTTAAGTGTACATGACTTTGCTCCAAAGGCGAGAAATCAGAGAGTCTAATCGCAACCTTGCAGCGATCCTTGCTAGTAATTCGCGCGCCCTATACGCATCTCTAACGGTATTCAACCTTTCCGTTGCTTTCTTGACGTTTGACTTTGCCATATCAACACTTTAGTAGTCACATATTTCCGAAAACTAGGTTCGTCGCATTACGTACATCCTATCCTTTGGCATCTTCGGCATCTTCAACATTATTTCTGCCTTCAGCGTCAACATTGCCATGTTCATTGTCATGCGTCTGCTCGCTAGCGCTGCATATGCATTACTGCAGTCCGCCAGTACAGGTTCGATTGCAATTTAGGCCCCAGAGCACCGAGGGAAAGCCATAGGCATGTTCTACTTAGCCCTCTGCTTGCCCCAATTATTAGCGGTGCTTTAGCCACAAGATGGGACTGGAGGAGTGCAGTGGTTCCTTGTCATATACGGCTTTTTCATACCTCTGCTGATGGTGTGGTGCTCTTTGCCGGAGACATACCTTGTCTTGGAAAAGCGGAGGACATCTACAAAAGCAACAGAAAGTACCGCAAGGAAATTTCTCGAGTTCTCCGTTATGCCAATAATGTCAGTTAATCCCTTACGATTCATTCCGATTTTGATCACGGTCTATTACTCGAGCATTACATTCACTGTATACTATTTGCTCATTTTTCTGTACCGCAGGCATTCTCCTCTCCGCCATACAATTGGCCACCATACTAGTTGGCCTCACGTATGTTCCTAGCGCATTAGGGTATCTCTTGGGCTCTATTCTGGAAGGCTCCTGGACCGATTATGTCATGAAACGCCAGGCACGCCAGGCTGGCCGAGTAGATGATGAAGAACTATGCTAACCGAGTTCACCCCCCGGAAGTCCAGTGCTAGGGCTGCCGTCACGAATCTTCTTAGAAATAGTTTAGCCTGCGTTGCTGCCATCATCGCAGAACCTTTGATAAAAGCGATTGGCTATGGCTGAGTTTCACGGCTACGTTCTTAGTGTCTTTTCAGTGGAACCAGCCTTATCCTTAGACGCAGGAATCGAGGACGCTAGAGTGAGAAGATGAGGAGCGGATTGGGGGACTGGTGATAGGTATGACGTGAAAAATTGAAATCTCTACTCGGCATAAATCGTTATCTTTCTCGCGTCAAATATTTGTCCCTAATCTAGTCTTAATCCAGTCAGTTTTCAAAAGACCCAAAAAAGTCCAAATATTTACTGGAAGCTAAATGTATAAATATATCTATCCATGGACACTTTCCATCTGCTCTTACGTATACGAGAAAACCGTGAGTATAAAAGAACTCATTTACCGTGTATCGAGTTTTGCTCACCATGGATAAATATTAAAATATGGTCATACAATGAGAACTACTAGAGATATCTTACAACTTCGTTTTATAACCAAGCCAAGTCTGATAAAAGATGACGTGTCTTGGCGTCGGATATGTATCATGTGATCTCACCTCATGCTTGATTACCTGCAGAGAGCTTCTGATTGGCCCGATCGTTGCTCCTCCAGAATCAGATTACGCTTGCCGCCAACCTTGAAGTTTGTTCCCCCCAACACACTTATCCCAGCACTATTTCTCCCCATTATATTACGTTGCACGATGGCACTGCGCAATTTTTTGTATTTGCCGTCTCGCATTGTCTCCAATAATTCCCCCAGTAATATCAGACCCGCGACACGGCTTCTTAAACGGCAATTGATCGGGCATGGGTTCGCGACAGCTGCTTCGCCCACGAAGGGGACAAAGGGACCTACTGCGATGGTTTTTTTGAACATGGGGGGGCCTTCAAAAACCGCAGATGTTGAAGATTTTCTCAGTCGTCTTTTCGTGAGTCAAAGCGTACATACCTAACTTAACACAGATACTAACGTCAAGGTGAATCTAAAAAGGCAGATGGCGACCTAATCCCTTTAGGTCCGCTCCAAAAGTACATAGGACCCCTTCTTGCTCGTCGCCGAACGCCCAAGATCCAAAAGCAATATTCAGATATTGGCGGAGGGTCGCCGATTCGGCAATGGTCAGAGCATCAATGCGAAGAAATGTGCAAGATTCTAGACGAGATATCCCCGGAAACTGCTCCGCACAAACCATACGTTGCGTTTAGATATGCCGCGCCATTGACAGAAGAGATGTACAGTAGGTTGCTGGATGATGGCTTTGGGCGAGGAAATGGTGGACGAGCTGTTGCATTCACGCAATATCCCCAATACTCATGCTCTACCACTGGCAGTTCTCTCAATGAGTTATGGAAGTGGAGGAATAGGCTAGAAGGGCCACGCTCAGGTGAAGACCCTGCCGGTGCTATTCAATGGAGTGTGATTGATCGATGGCCTACGCATTCTGGCCTTGTAGAGGCGTTCGCAAAGAATATTGAAGACCAGTTGGCTACTTACCCGGAAGACAAACGATCATCGGTGCTACTCCTCTTCTCTGCTCATAGTCTTCCTATGAGCGTCGTCAATCGAGGTCCGTTATTCTTTCCTGCTTCTATACCGCTCCATAGACGATAGCTATGCTGACCAGAACAGGGGATCCATACACGGCGGAAGTCGCGATGACAGTCCATGCAGTCATGCAGCGCTTGGGATTCTCGAATCCCTACCGACTCTGCTGGCAGTCACAAGTTGGACCGTCCGCGTGGCAAGGCGCTCAAACTAGCCATACTGTTGAGAATTACGTTAAAAAGGGATTCACCGATATGATACTCGTGCCTATCGCCTTTACCAGTGATCACATTGAAACTCTCTATGAGTTAGACATCGAAGTGATAGGGGAAGCTGGTCAATCCGGTATCAAAAGGGCAGAGAGTCTCAATGGAAGCCCGACTTTCATTCGCGCCTTGGCCGACATTGCTCGGACTCATCTGCAATCCGGGGAGCCATGTTCACGGCAGATGACGCTTCGCTGCCAGGCCTGTACCAGTGAACGCTGTTTGGAGCAAAAGAAGTTTTTTGCCGGGGATGCGATGAAATCTCTTGTACGATAGATAATCAGTTACGGTTATAATATGTGGCACTGTAATATCTCGAAGAAAGTTATTAATCAGCTCAAAGGGGCCGACTCGTGTACAGTAATTGCAGATGTAACCAACACACGCATATTGAGGCTCGCTCATTCGTCCTTATCTTATCTGTGCGGCTTTCGGGTCGCCAAGGTGCCGACTTGTCGTACGGTACGGTATTCATGTTACCAACGGCCAACGCATTTGCGCAGCCCCCACAATTCCGATACGGTTTGATATGTAATCCTCATTAACTCCGTTCCGTGGCAGATAAGCGCTAGATTGCGTTGGTAAACTAAGTTAACTATGGCGGAGTCGTCATCCTGATTTCTCGTCACAACATCATACTTCTTATTCTGATGTTATCGATCGCTGGATTACATGTGTATACAAGATCCAGCGCCATTTTTACCGCAACTCGGAGCCTGTATCATAAGCCGAAGCATCCTCCCACGCGGGACATTCCATCCATGTGCATAGCGTGATAACATCATAAACAGACTCATTTTGCCGACGGTGCAGTTTCTATGTCGGGCATAGGAGGTGACGAAACCCTCACGGTGGATGCCGAGCAGGATGCACAGGTGCTACGCGCAAGGGTGTCTCCCCAGCACCCCATCTTGAATGATGTAGACGACCAATTGGTGCCCGAATTAGCTCCTCTGTTAGGCCCAGAGTCAGTGGACAGAGAAGACGATTTCATTGACAGGATTAATAAGCCGTGGTTGGGATGTCCGGAATTCGATGCAAAGCCGCCCTGGAGGCGTCCATCTGTATGAACGCACAAATCATGATCCTGCTCCGTTAAAACATGCATCTAACACACTCAGGTCTGGTGGATCATCCCTCCTACTGTTCTCTTTACACTTGCGTTTGGTGGAATAGCTGTTCCCAAAGTCAACCTCGCCCTTGCTGTCGTATGCCGAGACTATTTTGCTGATCAAAAGGCAAAAGACCCAGCCTTCACATATGCACCAGTGATCTTTGGGGACGACAATGATCAATGCCGTATACCGGCAGTTCAATCCATCGCGTCGCGAACTTTGCTTTACGTGAACCTGATATCAGGGTTCCTGTCGGCACTCGTAAGCCCGCGACTAGGCGAGCTGTCTGATAGACATGGACGCATGCCACTCTTGGCTATTTGCATTTTCGGCACTCTTCTGTCCGAGTTTTTCACCACTTTTCTTGCGGCCTATCCCGATAGCGCGTCGGTTAACTGGTTCTTCGTTGCTGCTTTCATTGACGGCTTATGCGGGTCTTTTACCTTGGGTCTTTCGTTGGTGCATTCGTATGCAGCCGATTGCACCTCTCCGGAGAGAAGGAATGTCGTATTTGGATTGATCCATGCCACATTGTTCAGTGGCATTGCACTGGGGCCATTCCTATTTGGACTCATTGCCAAATACAGCGGAGGCCTAGTGGCTGTCTTCCTTGCTGTTCTGGCTTTGCATGGAGTCTATTTCCTCATGCTAGTGCTTTTCATTCCAGAGTCTTTATCTAAAGACCGGCAAGCGGTTGCCAAAACGAAACATATTGCAAAGCAAAAGCGTTCGAATAGCACTTCCAGGCAAAACATATGGCGAGAACTGCATCCCGCCAATATCTTCAAACCTTTGGTGATCTTGTTTCCAAAGCCCAATAACTCAGGTTTATCATCACCAGAACAACGATCTCTGTTTAGGAAATTGCGCAAAAACCTTCTTCTGATCGCGGCAATTGATACGTTGATGTTTGGTGTAGCCATGGGTACACTACAGATCATTATTCTATACGCAGAGTATATATTCGGCTGGGGAAACTATGAGTCCAGTGTGTTCCTCTCAGTTGCAAACTGTGGGCGTGTTTTCACCTTGCTTGTTGTATTACCGGCGATAACGAGACTCTTCCGTGGGCCACAACAAAGAACACAGCCTAACTCTGGAAGTGACTGGCTGGACATTTTGTGCATCCGACTGGCCATTCTATTTGATCTCCTGGGGTATATTGGCTACTCGCTTTCAGGGTCTGGAGGGGTCTTTATATTATCTGCCGTGGTCGCATCATTTGGAGGAATGGGCTCACCAACTCTACAATCGTCACTTACAAAACATGTTCCTCCAAGCCAGACAGGACGGCTTTTAGGCGCAACCGGCCTTTTACATGCCCTTGCTCGGGTTGTCTCGCCTGTCATTTTCAACCTTATCTATAGCGCCACCGTCGGCAAGTTCCCTCAGGCTGTCTTTGTCTGTTTGGCATCGGGTTTTGCCCTCGCAGGCATTTTGAGCTGGTTTATTTCACCCAAAGGTTGCTATATCTGAAGATTCTTGTGATATTTCGATTGCTAACGCTCTCTTTACAGTGCATCTGCCAGAGACACCATCATCCAGTCCCCCAGAATATACAGGGGAAGATGTTATTGTAGACGCGTGAAGTTCCAGTATACGAAATTAGAGCTGGCCACTAAGTGAGAACATATCTGCTACCAATGCTGTACTGGATATGGCATCTTTTTCTTTTCTTTTCTTTTCTTTTTTCCCCTCTCGTGTTGGCTTCATCATTTATGGGTCGTGGAATAATATTAGACTGCATAAGGATATACATGCTATGGCGTTTTGGATTTACTGAATTGGCAATTTCTGCGATATAATATTTTCTTCGTCTTCTTTGTTTGCCCTGAAAAGGAAAAAAAAAAAAAAGAAAATACTAGAGATGTGTTGTAAATCAAAAAGTGTCGTATGATGTCGATGTCTTTGCCTGAGGCCTGCACACTAAACCGGAGTAGGATGGCAGCTCGCGGAGTCTTGGCATGCCAGGTTCCGATTCCGAAAAAAATCCCCTGCGGCATCATCACCACCAGTAGTTGCTGACCTTCAACACCTTCCTCAAAGGATTAATTCAAGGTGTACCTTGCCAATTCTTTAGCTCTCGCATTTTCTCCGTTGTCATTGTCTGAATTTCCAGCTATACATAATTCCTAATGTCAAACCATACGATTTCTTGAATCTCGCCCATCCAAACACCTCGGGTCATGCTACCGCAGCATACCGGAACCGCATTGGTCCCCTCGAGGAACGCCCTCCGAGTCCTACGTCAATTAGCCTTAGCAGGATCGACAATTGGAGGCGTCTGCACAGTAGCAGCAATCACCTACGATGCTCACCGCCGCGCCTCCATCGCCGAGAAAATCGTCCAGAACAAGCGGACCATACAAACATCAGCACCGTACTACAATGCCACCTCAGCGGCGAGAAAACTGGCATTGATGGTAGAAGCGGCAGAAGCCGGGGAATTCGATGGATTGGCGTCTTTGAAACAAGGTGGCTGGAATAGATCATCTCACAACCATGAGCATGAACATCCTTCCAGTACTATGGTCGAACAGGCCAGCACAGAAAACAGAGTAGTCGAGGGCTCGGGTTCTTCTGGCTTTTATTCGGATATCCCACCTACTTTCACCGAGAAAGACTTGCAATCGGCAGCTCAAGATTTGGAACGGGCAACCATGACAAAGTCTTGGTTGATGGATCGTTCCGAAGCCATCAATTTTTCTGTCTACGACCTAGAAACTATCGGGTCTTCTATGTACGACCGAGCGCCGGTAGAATTACCGAATTTATCTTCGGAGCAAGGCATCGATATTCAATCAGAAGAGTATTGCCAAGCAATTCGAGCCATCCGTGATCTTTTCGAGAAACGTCAAATCATTGAAGCCGCAGAGCTGTTCCTGGAGACACACCCGCAGACTCTGAAACGCCTATCTGCAAGAACACGAGAGCTCGCAGTGAATATTTTCTACGCTAATTGCTCGGATGACAACATCTGGGTGGCAAAGAGCTTGTTTGAACGCATTGAAGCTCTGGACAGCATTTCGCCTCGAATGTGGAAGTTCTTGGTGATTGCTTTGACCAAATCCGGGGCGCTCGAATCAGCTGCGCAGGTTATCTTAAGGTATCGCGATGCGATAGATATACCTTTTTATCTTGTCGAACTCGTGGTGAGGTGTCTTCTCGAGACCCGACGTTTTCAGGAGGCTTCGATCGTCATGTACAGAAATGTTGCCCACGACAAGGAATGCAGCCTATGTGGTGTGTTTTTGCATAGTATATGGAAAAAGTCAAGGAATATTGACCTTATGAATCGGGAGTTTGAAAAGATGCTGTCAATCATTGGGCGATTTGACATAGAGCCAACCGCAAAACTATTCAATCCTATGATTAAAGCCTATATTCAATTTGGTCGAATAGCAGACGCAGAAGCCCTGGCAAATGACATGGAGACAGTATATGGCGTTACGGGGAGCTGTCGGACCAAGGGTCTATTGCTACTTGGACAAGCGTTAGCTTGCAATTGGAACGAGGTCAAGGAAGGGTTAGAGGAAATGCATACCCTGGGGCTGACGTCTGACCGCAACTTCACGCGCATTTTCACCTCTGTTTTTCTAGAATTTTGGCCTATTCACAACGCCGCAGCAATACGCGAGTTCTTTAACAAAGCCGTCGAAAAATACTCGCTCAGGCCTGATCAAGTGCTCTATGAGCATGTTCTGAGAGCCTATATCCAAAAAGGTGATGCTGAACTCGTTACGGAACTGGAGAATCTTGCTCAAACTCTTCAGTGGGAAGTCAGCTTGAAAGAAGATGAGTTTATCGAAATGCTACAAGTTGAGCGACGTAGTATTGAAGGCAGCCACGTGGGTTTCTGGCAAATGCTTCATGCAGCACGGATTAAATATGGCCAGTCAGCAAGTTCGCAACGGATCATGGGCTATGACCAACGTTCATTGCCCTGGCGGGAAGCGAACCTGATCCCAAACAAGGGAGTATGGCCGAACTGGTACCGTCGAGCATTAAGTGGCATTATGACAGACAGACCTATTAATCAGTACTCGGCGTTGGACAAACAGATGGCTCATTTTCTGCATGCCGGAGATTTCGACTCGGTTCTATGGTGTTTTGAGAATGCTAAAGCTGCCGGGTTTGTGTTCAAGTCGTTCCATGTGGAACTAGCCGTTATTGCTATGCTTGTGGAAAAAGGCATCGCCCCGGCTCGTCAAATAATTGAAGATCATTGGAAAGATATGGAAGCTGATCTCCCCGTTATCCCCGTATTCTTCTCTCAAATTATGGAGGTCGATGCATTAAGTGATATCGAAATGCTCAAGCTGGCAGTATTCCATTTCTACAATATGTGCTGGGATATGCCAAATCTCGGTTTAAAGCACCATTTTATGAACAATATTTCTACTCGGCTTATCGATCAGGGACAAGCAGATGCTGCATTGGATTTACTAATCGCAGCGTACAAGTCTCGCTGGGGCCGCCAGATAAAATTTGACGGAGCTTGCATGAGGACTCTTTTGCGCGCTTTCGTCCAAACCGGCCACCTCAAAGGGGTCCGGTGGTGCATTTTGACGGCAATAGCCCGGGATTCAGCATGCAACAAGGACTTCGTTGTCGACGCGCGTCGAGCTCTGGTTACGGGGAATCTGCGAAAGGCGGGCTGGTCATCGAGACGGGAACTGCGTGTATCTTTCATGCAGCATCTCGGCACCATAGTGAACACGCTACATAGAAAAAGCGAGGGCGACCCTGAGCTGGCCCAGCTTAAAAACAACAAAGGCAGGAAGAGAATGTCTCAGAAATTCTACCATCCACAGGGGCACAAATGGCGTAACGACAGTTTTCCATCTCTGCAGAAATTGGTCCGGCATTGGGACGAGGAGCGTGAATTGGAGTGGATAACTACACCGCCCACCAACATCTTCCTGTCAGAGGAAAAGACATATAAGGTCTGGAACCAGCAGAGCGTTCTCGCCAGGGAGGAAGAGCACGATGTCGAGTCATAGTCACTCTTTCTTCCTTCTCTGTATCAACTGTGCGGTATCATTGCAGCACCATGAAGCCCAGCCTATGTATATAACAATGTAGCAATGTAATACTAAATACATCCATTACGTCGTGCAAGTGCATGTTGCCATGTGTGGACTCATAGCGTGTAGAGGGGCATATAAAAAGGGTCACCCTAATCCCGCGGGTAAAGTCGCCTCCGACGCACGTGCAGGGAAAAAGTCAGGAGATAGATCGGGGCAGCAATCACATGTCACGCCACCCGCAGCAGGAAGGGGACCCCCCAATTAAATTCGCCGGAATTTTCCCTCTCCTTCAAAAGGCAATCACTTTGATTTATCACTTCGTTGTTTCTCTACTGGCATTGGCATGGTCGAGCTCTTGTCCATTGCTCCCTGCTGATTGACGCCTGTCTGTTTGTCTGTCAGTTTACTACACTCGTTCTTATCGGTCGGTCGGTCGTCAATTTTGCTATTCAACCAACCATGTCAGTCAGCACCGCCGCTACCACTACAACCACAAGGCAGCGACAGCCCTCAATACCCGTCATCGCAGTCGGCAATGAGGACGACAAGAAGCCGAGGACAACGCATGAGTCGGATATAGTTATAATTGGCGCTGGAATAGCCGGCTGTGCTCTTGCAGTTGCGCTTGGGAAACAAGGCCGCCAGGTGACGGTGCTGGAGCGGTCGTTAAAGGAGCCCGATCGTATCGTCGGCGAGCTTTTACAGCCTGGCGGTGTCCAAGCACTCGAACAGTTGGGTCTACTAGATTGCTTAGAAGGAATTGATGCCATCGAAGTGGATGGTTACGACGTGATTTTCAACGGCAAAGAAGTCGAGATCCCGTACCCTGCAGACGAAAAGACAGGTTCCCTCCCCAAGGGCCGCAGTTTCCACCATGGCCGTTTCATCATGAAATTACGAGAAGCTGCCCGGGCGACGCCGAACGTGACGATAATCGAAGCTACTGCAACTTCCCTTATACGATCCCATTCAGATGTTATCGGAGCAGAAGCAACAGTCAACGGCAACACGGAGCACTTTATTGCGCCGCTAACCGTCGCTGCCGACGGATATGCCTCCAAATTTCGGAAAGACTTCCACCCACATACACCAGAGGTCAAGTCGAAGTTCTGGGGCTTGGAATTGATTGACGCCGAGCTTCCAATGCCGCTTCATGGCCACGTGTTTATCGGTAGCGGGCCGCCAGTGCTCATGTACCAGATTGGAACACATGAAACACGGGCGTTGATAGATATACCAGAAAACCTACCTTCAGCCTCTGTTGAGAATGGCGGGGTGAAGGGGCATATGAGGAACGTGGTCCTGCCATCCCTCCCAAAATGTGTCCAGCCAAGCTTCCTAGCTGCCATTGAAAAGGGCCGGTTCCGATCGATGCCCAACTCATTCTTGCCTTCTGCAACGAACAAAACCGGCGGATTAATCATCCTCGGAGATGCATCGAATATGCGCCATCCGCTGACTGGCGGTGGCATGACGGTTGCTTTCAGCGATGTTGTGGTATTGCGAGATCTGCTAAGTCCCGAGAACGTGCCTACCTTCAAGGATACGCCTTTAGTGAGAAAAACCATGAAGACCTTTCACTGGCGGAGGAAGAACACCGCATCAGTCATCAATATACTGGCACAAGCTTTATACTCTTTATTCGCCGCAAATGGTACGTACCTTGACCCCGCTCCATCTAACAAAGTCAAAGTCAAGACGCTAATACTTGCTCCCAGACCCCAACCTCAAAATCCTCCAGCGCGGATGCTTTCGTTACTTTGAGATGGGCATGATCGAACAGCCCTGCGGCATGTTAGCAGGTCTCATCAAACAGCCCACAACGCTGATACGGCATTTCTTCGCCGTCGCTTTCCTCGCGATTTGGATCAATATCACTGAAACTCCCATCTATCTTTTCCCGCTGGCGCTGTATCGAGCTGGCGCAGTTCTCTGGACTGCTTGCGAGGTCATCATGCCATATGTTTTTGTGGAGTTGCAGAGGTAGATGGCCGTTTTCCCTCTTCTTTTCTTTCCCAAGAGAAGCGGCGTTTGTTTTTTTTTTTTTTGAGTTCTTCATACCCCTACATGTACAATAATAATCACCAGTATCTGTATATCACTTCATATATTTATTGCCATTGCTGATCACTCCCTCATTCACTGACAGGCAATTCTTGCCCTTTTTATAATACCTAAGTACAATGCTAATGAAGATATTTCAATCAAACAATCCCACTAAACACGGAGAGAGAAAAAGAAGCCCATTTCCACATACATCAAAAGTAGAAAGGGAAAAAAAAAAAGACAAGGAAGACAAAATGATTTTCGCTGGCCTGAAATGCAAACATCCTCGATAACGCCTTCTAGAGGGTTTTGAATAAACAAACAAAAAACAATGGAAACACCTCAGACATTATGCAGTGAAATATTTTTTGAGCGTGACTAACCGAAAAGTATCACCCCAATCGAAAGTAATCCTTTGTGTGAATCTGAAGATCTCCAGGGTCAATTCGGCCATGCAAATTGATGAGGCCGAAAGAAAGTTCAATCACGACCATGTCTGTCTCCTATCTCAACCACCCTTTCTGAGGGATTCATCCAACGGTAGAGGTTCGGCCAAATTGGAGTGTTGTGTCTCTACCATAGACTTTGCGTTGCGCTTATGCTTCTTCTTGGTAGTCTGCCAGCCTCCATTGACGTGATTGTGGTCCCGGCCTCCTGCAGGTAACGGTAATCCGTCAGGTTTGCGTGGGAGCGAAGCCAGTTGGGGATCTTTTCGACTTAATGAAGATAAAGATGAGACAGCGTGTGTATCTTGGGAATTCTTCGTCTTGAATTTATGGTTGTGGTGCAACCCATTCAACTTGTCTGAATCCAGGCCGTTTACACGGTTCCGTGTTGTAGGTGAAGATGGCAAGCTCTCTTTATACGATGTATGATTCGTCGTTGCCGAAGACTTCTCGGTTGATTTTCCTTGAGACCGTTGATGAACAGCATGCTTGGAGGGCAAGTCACCGTTAGCTTGACCTGACTTCGCACTCTTTCGTTCTGAGAATGACTTTGAGTCTTCAGTGCTGCCAGAAGTCGTCACGTGCAACCCTTGGAGCTGGCTGCTGAGAGCCGAATCAGGGCCTCTAACCACTTGTTGTTGTTGTTTATGAGCCGCCTGATTATGGCTGTCGTGTTCACTATTCGTCAAAGAGAAAGGATCCATCTCGAATGTGGTTGGTTCATGGACTCCGTTTGAAGGAACATCGGGTTTCTTGGATGGCGAATCCCAGCCTACTGCAGTCTCACCAAACCCAGGAGCCGGTTGGTAAACATATCGATCTGTGTAATCGTCGCGAGACGATGCTTTCGACTCCTGAGGCGGGACGGAGCCATCAATGATTAGAGGCCCACGGTCACGAGGAGCTTGTCTGGGTATTGACAGAGCACGGGGTGAGGCGGCCTGGCCATTGGATGCAGATCCATGGTCTGACGCAATACCAAAAGGATCGGGATACACAGGCATGGCTGAACGATAGTCCGCAGTTTGAATATAGGCAGTGGCAGGAAGAGACATAGCCATCAAGTTTTGATGGTAATTTTGCGGCATCACATAGTATCCGCCAAATTCTGTGGTTCGATGATCGTCAAAGAAAGTAGGGGTGGGTACCGTCGAAACCGAAACAGACTGCAGACTTGAATCGGTTTCGGTACGGCTTGGAGAGCCCGGCGGTAGACGTTCTCGTGAATTACGAGAACTGTCATTGGGTATCGATGAGTATAACGGAGTCAAACCTTGCAAAACTGGAGAGTGTACTGATCTCGCAGGCTGTGAATGGGATCGCAATGATCCACTCGGAGAGCCATTAGCAACGGATGACCGGCGATGGTTACGACGAAGTTCAGGGACAGCATGAGAAGGTGACGGAGACGGCGGGTTTGTATTGCTTCCTTGAAGATTTTGTGGGGCGACTTGCACGTAAGCTGGAGCATAAAACATTCCTGGGCGGAAAGAGGTCAATGGCGGATGGTTGACAGTGCCCGCCCGAGCTCGAGAGCTGTCATCTGTGGCGACCTCGTGCTGTGGAAATGAAAACTGAATCAAAGGTTGGCGAATTAGCACAGGTGGAGGCCGGCCAGTTAAAAGAGACTGGTTATGTAGCTGCATTCGCAGCTCCTGCTCTTGGGCCTGGAGAATTTGTATTTGTTGGTACAGTTGATCGTGGAGTAGATACTGCGCCTGTTGAGCATGAAGGTTATTCATGTCCGGTGACAATTGGATATGATTTGAACGGAAGCTGTTCCCAGTCGTGGTACGATTTGTCGCACTGGAGGAACGACGTGACGAATTATTGCCACCACGACCAAATTGATTCGAATGCCTGGCGCCACGGCCGCCGCCTCTACCACCCCGCCCAGATGGTTGCGAAGATATTGGAGCAAGGATCGGTCGAGGTTGTGGAGCTGGTCGTTCGAAAATGCGCTCTTCCTCAGGTGGAAAGACGAACTGTTCACAGCATTTATCTAGATCAGCCTCGGAGATGGCTTTGAATGCCCTGCGTAGTTCCGTGTGTAAGCCACGGAAGGACGTATCATCGGCTGTATTTCCCAGGTTTCGAATTGTATTGAACGGCTCTTCCACACATAATCGATTGTTTTGCAAAAGATGCCATCCCTTGCCCTCCTTCGATATTAATTTACCCTGCCGGACAGAGACGACGTGCTTTTCATAATTCATCTCATGGCCGTAATAACGGAAGAAGTGAAAAAGTAGCTCTCCTAATGTTTGCGTGTTATATTGACCATAGCTTCGTAAGGATTCGAGATCATCGTCAAATGATACTTGGATACCATCAATGATTTTCTGGGGTTTATGAGGGCGCTGTTGCAGGCTTGGGAGAATTGGTGGATCACGAGTTTGCAGGAAATTTATGATCAGACATATCCAGGTGTAGGAACTCAATGTGCCTCCTAGTGCTATATATCAAGTACATATAAAAAGTCAGCAAAGCACATGCAAATGATATCACCAAATTGGATACTGACCAGCATCATTGAGAACCCTCCTTTTTGTCCAGTGCTTGATTATCATAGCTAATGGGCGGACACGCTGATCGACATCCACGTAGGTGCGGATCATACGTGTGTTTTCCAGAGCTAATGTGTTATTCACGTTCATGTCACACGCCAATTTCAATTGCGGGTCCCATATCTTCACGATTGGCACCCTAGCATGAGAAACACAAACAACTCGCTCCATTCCATCTTGATTCAAAGAAAAATGTCAGCCATGCACTTATTATTTGAAGTGATAACAGACAGTGCATCTTACGCTGTGCCAAAACCTCTGCTAATAAGCAAACATTCTCTAGTTGCTTAAAGGAAGTGGTGATACAGATATCAACTATGAACATTAGCGTCAGGGGAATTTCACACAGTAAGGGTCATCGTCACACAGGTGGTTGCAAATACCATCAGAATCACTTGAGCATAATTTATTCCCCGAAGAGCCAAAGACGTGAACTTTGATGTTATTGCCTGGCCACTGCTTGTTAAAAAGAGTTTCCAATTTTTGGACAAGCTGTCGTCGGCGATCATCACTCTCAGCGGATGGCAAGAGTTGCGTATAGAGCTCTTGCATGTCTGCACTTAACCTCGCTTCCTCTTGGCGGCTAAGATTTTCCTTCAACCCAATTTTGTCCTCGGGTAACAAATCGCCTCCGATGCTGTACGGCATCCGCCGGCGGAAATATGCCATTGCTGTTTCATATTTGCAGCCGCCGAGGGGTTTTCGAAAAGACGATAGAGAATTCGTTTCAGACTGTGTGGAACGTGGGGACGTACTTCGTCGCCGTGGTGACGGTGACCTTGAATGGAACGATAATCCACGGGAGTGCTGGTATGGGGTCGAGGGAAGTGAATTAGACTGTTGCTGATTGAGAGGTGGTCGGGGAGGAAGGTTTCCGTCTAACGCTGACGTTTCTGTCGGCGAATGCCATGCCATGTTTGATGGCGATTGTGATGTGGTTGGTGTCGCACTTGGACTCTGGGATTTTGCAGCAGTCCCATGAGTATTTTCTCGCTGCATTCAGAGAATCCAACGTTACTGAGAAACGTCCCTCAAAAAAAAAAAAAAAAAAAAAAAAAAAAAAAAAAAGGCGTCGCCCGAGGAGCTGATGTGGATTGAAAATGACTGATAACTGATATAAGCCGGATTTCAGATAACAAAATTCAAATCACTCGCAAGCATCAAGATATGGAAGTATGTGTGGCGTCTGTAATTTCGGCGCGGGTCGGCAGGAGATTGCCCTATGGATTTGAACAGTTTCTTTCACTTTGTTTTCACTTTGTCCTTGTAGCTTGTCCAACCGGCTAGCCGACAAAAAGAGTGACCGGGTATAAGACCTGGAATGGCATGCAACAGAAGGAGGGAATATATGCGTAAGGAGAAAAAGGCAAATCTATCCAGTAGACAAGTTTTGAAGATCTCAACGAGGCGGTGCCGTTCAAATGGTGAAGCAAATGTGCGATTGACGCGAAAAATCGAGAGAGCACTACTACTTGCACGGAGTTGTCAGTATGAAGTGATAGAGAAAAGAAAGTGAGCGCAAGGAGGGCGGCTTCCTCTGACCGCCGAAAAAAAAAGACCGGGGGAAGAAAGGGCTCAAAATGTAGTCATAAATGAGCATAAATGACTCTTGTATGTTTCTCGCATCCCCTCAATTTACCCGGTCCTGTGGTCGACAAGTTCTCCTGAGGCGAAGCGACATGCGTAAAAAGAAAAAAGGACTTACGCGAGAACAAGGGAAAGAGAGAGAAATCACCGCGAACCAGGCGGCTCCGCAGACGGCTGATCTGTGTAGAGAAGAAGCTTGGATTTTTAAGGTTTCCAAAACAGAAATCGCAGTAGTAGACGAGAGCGGGTGGGAAAATGGAGGAGTCGAGGTGATGTTTAACTAGTCGTAGTGGCAGGAGTATCGGTACGTGGTGGTGTACTGGCGGTAGTCCCCGTGGAGGCAGCGCCGCCAACCTAAACAACTAGTTATGTTATGTTATGGCAAAGAACGCCGCTTGCCTCTTCTCGGCAAAATGAGTCAGGAAGAAGAAGGGACAAACGAAAGGAAATAAAAAAAAAAGAAAAGGGAATCTTGAAATCAGAGGCTGGAATGTCTGGAGTGGGTTGAATTTGTTATGGAGGAGAATTACTTGGGGGGACTCGGCGTGACCAGAAGAGCCCGCGCTAACTACTTTTCGAGGGAGGAAACTGCGCGAGACGGACTGTACGTACCGTTACGGGGGCAGGTGCGGCCATGGGGTTGGTCTTTCCCTATGCGTCGGGCGGGAGCCTCAGGCAGCGCTGCCATCTTCCTTTACTGTGCGATAATTTCTGCCTTTCAAGGCACGCCGCCACATTCTAAACGGCGTTTATACTGCAACTACGCCGCGTGAATACTACATGGCGGTGCAATCAGCGGCACATTCAACATATGTCGCGGCAAAAGCAACGTTCAAGAGATCGAGACAGGAAATCCGAAAGGCATTTGTCCGTAGAGCTGGTCCGGGACATGAGGCATAACATGGTATGCATCGTTCTCTAGCTATTCCCACGAATGTATACATATACGTATCTTCAGCTGGACGTTACACACCGTATAATTTCTCTGTCCGACTAGGTACTTAGTTAGTACACTTCGCTCCTCGATGCTGGCGTCAGACAGAATTCCTACAAAACTGAGATGCTCACTCATATCGCACCTGAACAAGGGAGCAATGTTATCAATCTCAGTGGCGCTGGATAGTTGGCTATGTACTGGGTATTATATCATATCCGCGCCGAAGAAATTTCAGATTGCCATAGAATGCATTCACTCTTTGATCCCTAACCAAACAAATAGGCTTGAGAGGATAACTACATACTATATAATTATATGGATGTCACCCTGAACCTATCCATACCGTTAGAATTGCTACATACTGCACAGTTACGATGCTGTCACAAGCCGCAGACTGTAAGCTGATTGGACAGGCTTGGGGCTAAGTCGTAAAGCCGATACTAGCGCGTATGAAAAGCGCCGTATCAGCGCGAAGGGAATAGCCAAGACTGGCTTGGATTTGACTTTGGAAGTCAAATTACTCGGTATTAATACGTTGATCCTTACTAGCGCCCGCGGCTCGTTGGCGAATGGGCTGCAGTGCTTGCGAGGCAGTTTTTGACCTATTCTAGAAGCCCGGGAGAAGTACGGATGTATAAGAGCATGTCATATAACTATCCAGGGATTGTATGATACTGCGTGTTGGATGCCGAAATAGTATCCCCTAATCAAAAGCGCAAATCTCCGGTAAGCGACTGATCCATAATGGTAACTACGTCGTACGGAGTTACGACGCCGTTAGCACTGAGCAGTCTGAACAAGTTAGACGCTCTCCACCGAACGGGGCTGCGTCCTCCACTGCATCCATCGCAGGGGAAAAAGGAGTACTTCACCGAGCGCAGTTCTGAGGTGTAGTCAGGATGGCGCCGCGAGGTTTATTAAAGAGGCAGGCAGCCGGAGTACAGCCTCGAGACGAAACCAAAAAAGCAAAATAATGCAACACCAAACAAGAAATATGAAAAAATCAAACGAAATCTAGTCAGTTAACTACTAAATGATACATGATTATTAAATAAGCAAGCTTGCCCTCAACTAAACGTTAAGCCGCTAAGGGAAAGCCCCCCCCAGGAAAGGCGCTGGGAGGGCAATCTCGCTCCCTCCGTGTCTCTCCGCGGCCTAAGCAATTCTGTCCTTCTCTTTTTCTCTGCCGCTCTCTCTCTTCCCCCCCTCTTCTTCCTCCCTCTCAGCCTTGGTTGACATTCCTTTCTTTCTTCCTTACCCCCCTCCTCTTCTTCTCTTCTTATTTTCCCCCGGTCTACCCGGTCGTCCTACGTCAAGGAATCGCCGTCCTGCGTTTGGCGCACTACCCCGATCAGCTGTCGTGGTAGGGGAATCCTAAAATTTTTCCACGGGTCGGTTTACGGTTTGTGTTTGGTGTAAGTGAGGTCTTTACTATGGTCCTTATTATTAATCCTATCATCGTCTTTCCACCTGTCCTATTTTTCTTATCAGTCCCTCTGTCGTTTTTTTTTTATTCTTCTCCGGCGCTGCTCCTTTCGTCCCTCCCCTGTTATTCATTATCAGAGACGATTCTCGGCAATCGGATGCGTCGTGCGCCGACGGAGCTTCGAGAGGAAAAAAGCACACCCCTATATCATCGCTGTCACTGTTGGCATCTTCTATAGCCACGCTTCGGAATTGCCTTTTCTTCTCATTGATTACCGATGTTCCACACTGGCTGTGAATATCCCGCTTACTTGTGTGTGCTGTCGACCCAGAGCCCTCGAACGGATTACCTTGGAATATTTGTCGAACATCGCCTCACCCGCCTGAGCACCCCTTCTCCCCCTCGGTTTTTATCACAGCCATGTCGTCCGCATATTATGAGCCACAGGGCTGGCAAGCCCCTGTTCGTCAAGCGTCGTGGGAACAGCCCGTCCCCCCATCTCGGTCAGGTAAGCAGAGTTGCTTCCGATAATAAAAGGAAAACAAAACCGAGGTGCTTATCTTCATTTCGCTTCCCAGGCACCAGCTCAGTCTCTCAGAGGGATGAACCGTCCGCCTTCTCATCCCAGTTCGACGAGGTAGATCGCGCAATCGATAATCTAGTCAAGAGTGGGAAACTCTTCGCCGGATCGCGGAGGGAATCCATGCCGATGATGATGATGGGGCGCCATTTTCCGGAATACGGTATGACTCGCACGACCAGCAATTGAAAAGAGTCGTTTCTTTGTCTAATCGCACGCTTTATCTAGATCCCCGTATGGCAGGAGGCATGCCACCCCAGCGTCACCATTCGGTGAGCGATTTCGACCAGTCTCGCATCCACCCAGGAACAGCCCTTCAGGGATTCTATGCTTCGCAGCGCTTCCAGGGTCGTCAGTCCGAAACAGAGCAGATGCTGCAGGCAAAGCGCCGAATGGCCGCACAGCGTGAGCGAGAGCTCCGCAACTATCACCAGGAGCAGCAGTACAATCGAAGTATGTGATGAACGCCGCTTTCTATTTTTTTTTGTCACTAGCCCTTACCTTTCCTTGTCTATCTTTATTTGATCTTTCCTTTCTTCTGTTTGGCGTAGCGAAGCAGCCTCTTTTTCTTTTATTTTTGTATCATACAAAATTTTAACATATCCTTTCTATTTTCAAAGGCCTTCTTGCTGAGATGTCGGGAAACAAATCCGACCGCTCTCTGAGTCCCGCTGCAATGAGCGAGGAAAGTCGCCGCGAGCTGATTGCACGCCAGCATCGTGCCTTGTATGGCAATGAAAGCCCGGCTTTCTTTGCCCCGGGTTCTCTAGGGGATGATGCCAACAGTGTTCGCGCCGACAACAACAGCGGCACTCCAACTTCTGTCAGTGGCGGCGTTCGTGGACCCTCCCCTCGAGCAGTTGATCCGTTTGGTCCACAATCCGAAGGACTGGCCCAGGGCAGTGGGCCAAACTCGTCTGCAGCAGGCCGACAATCCCCGCGAGGCAGTACCAATAGCACCACTTCTCCAAACACCGGTGCCAACCCTTCATACGGTCTGTACGACGCCGCCAGCGTTGAGCAGCCTGTGACGTCGACTTCCTCTCCTGGAGCGGACTCGCCCTCATCTCGTCAGTTGTCATCCAAGTCAGCAGCCGCTCCTATCGGCTCTGTAGGACCCATTGGCTCTCGACCTTCTCAGCCAGCTACTAGCCAGGCACCCAATCCAGCGTTCACTAAGCGGTCCACTACGCCGTTACCTTCGCCATTAGGCTTCGGATTTGCCCCTAATGAAAGTGCCAATACTGTCAATGAGCGATCGACATCTTCGGCATCCAACCCTACCAACTCCGGACACGCCGGTGGGAAAGAGAACGCATTCACTTCCGGATGGGGCAGTAACAGTGGTGTCTGGGGTTCCAAGAACCTTGGAGTACAGGCCTCTGTCTGGGGTTGATCTGACTTGACCTCTGATATTTTCTTCCTTTTCTTTCATCTCTCTCTCGGGTTATACCTGCAGTGTATTCGAAGCACCGTTGGCGTTGTGAGTTGCAGCATTGTTGGATTTAATTGGCAAGAAGTTCGAGTCATTTCTTGGGGCGACAAAAGCGAACGTACATATTATGTGAGAAGTCAAGGCAGGGGTATTTTTCTTTACTCTTTTCAATCTGTTTCAAGTTTTCGGTTATGGGAAATCGAGTGATATATGGGATTGTCATTTTGTTTCTCTATGGAGCACGGCTTGTTTGGATGGTTTTTGCTATGTGTTTGTTGTTTGTTCACTTTGTTTTGGCCCCGGACTGGTTGGCACAGGATTGGCACAAAAGGGGTGGGTTTCCTTTTACTGGGGTTTTCTCGAAGGAGTTTTCTATTCCCATTATTCCCAATATTTGGTCTGATGCATGCATCTCTGGTCTCGTGTTTTTCCTTACCCACTGTTTTTCACGTCTCGGCCCTCATCTTGTTTATTTCTTTTTTTTGTTTCTTGTTCTGCTGCCTCATTTTGGGAGTCTCACCATACTTTTGAGTCTTTCTGAGCGTTCTGATGACTGCAGGTTCTGCTACATGGAAATGGTCTTCTGTTGACCGTTTGGGGTGTCTTTCTTCTTTTTTGAATATTTTTTATCCCCCCCCTCTGGTGTAGGTAATTTCTATTATTCCTGTCTTATATCACTTTTCTCTTTTCCTTCCCTTTAGTTATTATTGGATGTTGCACCAAAGGATTCATTGGTATATGGTACATTAGTACACTACAATTTGTACAGGAGAGGAGACGGGTCGGTCAGTTAGTGACCCAGTCGATTAGTTCGGTTAGTATATGCTTTCTTCGGTGTGAGATAATTTATAATGTATGCGATTGTCTATTCGTGTATTCTCTAATTGTCCAATTCTTAGGCCTAGGTATGATTTGCGCCTTTGAATATCAACCTACCGTACATGCTGATTATGACTTCGTGGCGTATATAGGTATACCTATTGCAGTTGGGGTGCGAATTGCCATTCCGGGCAAGCCTGTTTGCACAGCTTTCCGATTTGTTCACCCAGAGCATACATGCCAAAGCATACAAACCTGGCAAAGGAAGCAAACACTTCATACCTAGAGAACTGGCATATGAATCGCTGAGACTGATACGAGTAACTGGAAGAACTCCGGATATCGAATATAAATAGACTCGATGGTACCCTGGATACCTAAAAGTCTGTCTATTCACTAGTCATAAGAACATATGCTGCCCCGATCCATCACTATCCTTTATTCGGATTAATTTCTGACAGTGAATCGAGCGCCGACATGTCCACCATGGAAGCCATCGTCATATCCCGACTCGACGGCCCATCGGTCCTCGAGTATCAACAAATGCCGAAACCAACACCCACTCAAGGCGAAGTCCTCATCCAAGTCAAAGCATTTAGCCTCAACTATGCGGAGATGCACATGCGAAAAGGCGAATGGGACGAATGGAACCTAGTCACGGGACTGTAATGCGTCGGCGCGGTTGAATCATGTCTATCAAACGAAATATCTATCGGAACTAAAGTAGCCGCAGTCATGGGATGGAGAGGCAACCGTCCAGGCGGCTACAGGCAATACGTGACCGTGCCAGTCTCAAATGCCATACCCATCCAGACATCGTTGTCGTGGGCAGACCTCGCCGCATTGCCGGAGGTTTATTCAACCCGATGTGGAGCCAAACGATAAGAGGCGCAGCTTCTACCATCGGCCAGGCCGCGGTGAATCTCGCTGTCAACGCAGGTACCAGAATCACTGCAACCACCAGACGCAGGAACGATTTAATATGTTGCAGAAAATGGGCGGGGAAGAATCGAAGAATCTAAAATTTAGCAGAGGCAACTAGCGTCTCAATTCCCTGCAGACCACACATTTGACAAAGTACTCAACTTGATTGGCAATAGTGTCTTGTTGGAATCGATTAATCTCACTCGTACGGGCGGTCGAATGCTGCAAGCAGGATGGTTGGAGGCCTGGCGCCTGTGCCAGAATTTAATCCTGTGGTGCAGATAAAGTCTGGCATTCAATTTTGTTTGTCCCATAGTAGAGTCCTGGGATCCAAGGATTTCCCTTTGTCTGCCATACCTTTGCAGGAGATTATGCGGAAGCGGGAAAGAGGGGTATTGGATGCTAAGTCGACGCATTGTTTTGAGTGGAAGGATTTTCATAAGGCGCATGAAATGCTCGATTCACACGATGCCGGAGGGAAGATTGTCGTTAGGCATTAATTCTAAGATACTTATCTAGATGGGTTGCGGTAGAACCTGGCTATAAGGAAAGGCAGGCCACCCTATATTAAGTCTATTCAATGTAGGAGCAAAGGGCATTCAATTTGTTGATAAGTTAATGGATTAATATCAGAACACTCTTCATCTCCAGGTCAAACTCACGTCTAGGTATATTATTGCCCTGAGAGGCCCTACGTTCTACTCAACTACCCTACTACAGAAGAGGTTAGTATTTAATGGTTCCCAACCAGGTATAGTTGCCGTCTGCCGAGTAAGTTAGTAACCAATCATCAATATATAGAGGCCCACACCACCCTTAACAAGTCCACCGATCCACCGATCAGCTGTTGTAAATCTGCCTCCCGACGACACACTTATCACGTTTGCTGCCTATTTCCTACCCCTATATGCACATGCTTTTAGTCTAGTTGATTCTTGACATTTGAACTCATCCGATGACTAAGCTTTGGCGGGTTTTGAAAGGGTTGCAAGGATACTAAGCCTAGTTATAAGTAGGTACATGTGATGTTGGGCAGTACTAAAATCTGTGGTCATCTAATTCGTACAGTTGCAAATACTCACGTTTAGTTGGTGTTCCCATCGTTATTTTCCGTCGTTGCTGTGGCTTTGGAGTAATGTGCCTCGTCAAGTCCCTGGTGCGTTTCACGACCACTCCAATGGTCTGTCATGTCTTAGGGGTGTTGTAAAGGTGAGGTGCAAAAGATCTCTGCAAGGCGTTGAAAGGAAACAAAAATTATATCTGGCCGGTGCGCTTATTTCAGGGCTCCAATTCTACATATTTAACAAAATCTATATTCTAGCAGATGGTTTGCAAAAGGATTGTTCAATGGTCCTTCGCTGACTATAGGCAATGAACATTCTTTCTGAAGACAAATTCGCATCGCGATAAATCTCCTTGGACCTGGCAGGCTTTGCAGTGGTATCTTGGTTGTGTTTGCGAGTTTCTCCGCCTTCGGCGCATGCACGCAAGCGCTAGTTAAGGTACACTAGAGCCTCGCGCATATTGAGCAATAACGGGAACTATTTTCACCTTCCATAGCGTGTTTCGGTGCCCTAACCAGTTCTGGCTCCTTGATGTGGAGTGGAGGTGTATGCACTGTCACCAAGAAGAGCGCCACACAACTTTGTAAATGTTGGCGAATGTGGATGTATATGGTTATAACAAATACATACCCTAGTGCTAGCAATTACTTTGATCCCTGCTTCTCTAGATAAGAGCCTTTGCAAAAATGAGGTATTGAATACAAATATGCCCGGATATTAAGATGACCAAATGATTCCTCACTGCGATGCTCAACATCGACCAATAGTAAGTAGAGTAATTATCAATGTATCGAACTATGAAACAAGGACAAGATGCCAGGATCCTAGCACGCATAATCATAAAGCAGCTGTTAATCAAGAAGATGCTAAAAAGGGAAAAACAGAGAGTGGAGACGACACCCGATGATATTCTATCAGGCCATGAAATAGGAAAAAGTATGATTCGTCCATTACGGCGAACTCTTAAGGCCAATAAGATGTTGCTGGCGTTTTCTAGCAGCTATTAGGGTGCCCTACATGTAGCATCCGAGATCCTGAGAGCTTGTAATTGAGGATGAGAAGGCATCAAGGACTCAGCGCAACACCTATTATTTTGGTAGCTATGTCACAATAAACGCCCTGCAGGGACGCCTGCAGGACACAGACAAACTGACAAATTCTTCGACTGCCTTGACCAATCAATCTTGCCTGCTGCCTACTTGCGACCCTATAGATTCCACAGCACGGGCTGCAGCCAACACTGATATAGACAATGGAAAGAACGGGGAGATCAGAAACAGGGAATTGGAGTCTACAGGCTGCTCGTTATTTGTCAATATCCCTTGCGTTACGTTTTGAATCCACGTGATTCTTCCCCAATGGCATATCGCGACGTTTGATGAGACTTGGAGCCCGACCTAGGCGCTTGGATTATAGTCCACAAGTGCGTGAACACGGCAGATTCTTCAATCAGTCTATTCCTATTTTACGCTAATATAGTTTTGATCTCAATATATCAAGCTAAGCACATCTGTCCTCAAAGGCTTAGTATCGTGCATCTAGATACTATATGCGGTCTTGACTCGAAACGTCTGGTTATGATTGGCGAGCGAGAACTGTCGATACAGCAGTCAAGTTTCTGGGAGTGGTCCCTGACATGGATATGATCCGTAGTGCCGTACCAGAGCCTTTTTGAGACAATGGTGCGATGCGGTAGCTATCTGCGATCTGGGGGCCGCACACCATCTATTTTTAGGCAAGCGGCCTTTTAAGAGGTATATAACCCCGTGGATTAAGCACGTCAAGAATCTCTTTTGATGTGCCAGGCTGTGTTGGGACTGGGTTTCAACTATTGTTCGTTTCTCAAGAAGTACAATCATGGCGAATCTTTTTGAGAATATCGGAGAGATAGAGGTAATGGGAGATATTTGGAATTGTACTGCCCAATCTGTATGTCGAGCTCGACTATTACGATTACCGCTTGGATGCGCTCTAACCCTTGCTGCTAGCCGCACAACAACGACGTCAACATAATCGCAAGAAATGACCAGTTGATGCCTCTCGGAGGTACTCAGTATATGGGCCCCGATTACGGTTATGTTCCTCAGACTCTGCTTGACAACGGCATGAATTATCACGGCACAAGCAATATCAACGCATATCATGCACCATTTCTGCTTGAAGATCTCAATGTGGATCTAAATGTTGATTTTGAGCAAGATGGGACGATGATGCTCGGCGACGACATGTTTGAATCAGGGCGCGCGTCCCCTTGCCTACTCCCGCCGATGAATATCAACGTGCCAATGCAGCCTCAACCTAAAACTAGGCGGGATACAACACGAGAGAAAACAAGACGCAAATCCGTTCTACATACAGAGAATAGCTTTATTCAGAGCCTTCGAGCCCAGAATATACCTTGGAAGAAAATCTCCGAGTTATTTTCCCAGCGATTTGGCAAGGTTATGAGCAATGCGAGCCTCCAGATGCGCATGATACGCCGACGGAAAAGGGCAGGGATATGGAGATACTCAGATGTATGTGTGTTTCTTGCTTCTAGCATTGTTACTCCTTCGGTTAGCTCTAACATTTCTATCCAGATCAAGCTGCTTCGTGAGGCCTACAATTATTGGGAAACAAAAAAATTCGCTATCATTGCGAGGAAGGTAAGGCACCAGCCCTACTGTCTCTTGATAAGAGGACCCTGTCAACTGAAAATTACCTGCAGCTACAGGAATTAGGAGCTTCGCAAACATATACGGAGCGGCAAGTTGAATTTCAATTACAGCATTCTCAGCACGAATAGGGCAGAGATGATAATTAATAAGCAAGGATATATATCTCAGTCGTTTAAAGATTAATTTGAGACACAGCAACTCTTTTAATATCCATTTTGACTGAGGCAGGAGTACTACACATGGGACGGCGGTGATGTATTTACTCGTAAGTCGCCTGGTATCCAACTAGAATTCATAGTACTGTACAATGGTCCACTTCCTAACGATGAGCTGAAGCATGGTTGGTTTATCATACAACGTTTCCGCAGCCTCCTTTCATAGTACGACTTGCAGTAGAACATGCATGTTTAACCGACTGTATTGCACCGCATTAGCATTGGTGGTTTTCACTGAATCCATGTAGTTCCTAGAATTCTACTGACTAGTAGTGGAAATACCAAGATTGAATAATTTCTAGAACCCTCATCAGCGAAAACAATGACCTTGCATGACAATTCTAGCTGCATGTGAATACAGTAAAACCGGTTCATAACGTACTCCGATAAGGCGCCTTATATTTGCGCGATAAATCTGAAAATTTTTTTGATTTTTGTCAAGCTCATAGGTTTCTAGAGCCTTCGCTTTTGCCAGATCTCCTTTTTCCTACTGATTTGAAGTCATTTGGACGGTGTTTTTGGTGTTTTATTTGCATATGACGACTGAAGATCTTTCGTTGAGCCGGAGCGCACCCACATCGGGAGGGGCACGGGTATAACGGGAACAATTCTCCACTTTACCCGGTAATCAAGCCAGTAGAATGCTCTAGAACTAAAGCACCGTGGGTATAAGGCCCACTTCCACCTCGTTCTTAACGGAGGCAGAGGCTATAATTAGGATAGCCAATAACATTGCTTGAATTTCCCTTTATATAACTGCGAATTGATCTGTTAACATATAAACTGGGTTTACTGTATCTTGAGGTATTTTTTAGTCCCCGCCAGTCACTTGTGACATTATGCATAGTGTCAGAAATTGCAAATGAAGTCTGAATAATACCCTTATACCTCCCCACAAGGGACATTCCTTTTTGGTATAGAGATATTTTTGGTTCGACATACTCATAGCCTCTATCTAACGCATGCTCAGCCAGTGCGTGCAACACCTTTCTACTTCAAAATCTGCCTGGCTTCAATGCGTTATGAGAACTCTGTTACAAATTGCCCAATGACAACGCAATTTGTTAACTGGTATTACCATGTCCCCCCAGAACAGCTGATGTTTTTGCCGCCAGTGCATCATCTATTAATACCAACCAGAGAAGCATCATAAGTATTTCGCATATGCCGATTCAAATTAATCTCTGAGATAAGACAACTTTCTTTCCCTCCTTCCTTGTTCAAAGAACTAACTGTACCCCTACTAGCCCAAGGCAGAAACAATTATGGAAAAAGACGTAAAATCGGGAAGGCAGTTTCGGATCAGGGCTGTATCATAGTTCCGAAGAAATTATCTGCACTCCTATGTAAGGTGTAGTATTTCTGCCTCTCACTTTTAATAATAGAGTGAATTGAATTAATTGAGCTCAAAGAGAATATTGGCTAGGGGATGACTAGGCCGCCGGTAAAACTAGAAGATTTTGTTTGGAAGGAAAGCTGGCAGGGTGAGTATAACACATACAATAAATGTCATCATAAGAGCTTGGTTTGCATTATAACAGACGTCAGATTCTATATAACGAATTTCAAGCTGCGAGACCAAAGATTAATCTTGCATACTACGATAAAAAGTAAACCAACTTTTATCACTACACACCAACAATCAAACAGCGTATTTCGGTCTTTGTGGCTTTTTTGTCCGACAATGTGTCACACATCGAATGATCAACTTTATAACTAGTACCTAGTCATACTTGTGCGATTTTTTACTACTGTCTTCTTTGTTTTATACTTCACCTCGTTCCCTTATGCTATTGAAGCTTTTCGTCACTCTTCCAAACTTACAAATTTTGCAATGAACGTTACATATGAACAAGATCCTTCATCGGCAGAAGGAATTCCCAGTGAACTATGGAGATTAGACAAGCTTTATACGTTTGGAATGGTGGATTTTGATCGAGGTTCAAGAACTGATATGGAAGTTAATCTCGATCCTATATTTCATACCGATATTGAACAACCGCCGTCCCTATCTAATGCCTTAGTGTGGCCTTCATTATTGCCAGAGATCCAGCAACTAAATACGAGGAGCTATGCAGTGCATTCTTCACAACCTTCATATTCTACCCAAACACCAACGTCGTTCACACCACCAAGCAGCACGAATTCTCTTCGGAGACAGCAGCAACAGCAACAGCAACAACAGCAACAAGCAAAAGATAAATCAGATCAGTCAGAAATCAGATGCTGGAATCATAATTGTGCTGGTCGAAGATTTTCATCTTTGGGGAATTATCGCCGCCATATCCGAGAAAAGGAAGGAAAGGCAAAAAGGTTCCAGTGCCTAGACTGTGGCCGGTTCTTTACGCGTTCCACATCTCGCAATGTTCATCGTCAATCAGGAACATGTAGAAGAAAGAAATACCAGCACTTGAGAGATTATTATCGATGAATTTACTATAACGGTTTCAGTACCCTACCGTTTTGAGCAATTCAAAAATGCCGTGGTTTGGTGTGAGTTCGCCCTCGGATGATGATAATATAGACCCGAGTACCTTCGCTAAAGAGGCGATTCAACAACGAGAAAGATCCACTTGCTGCAATGTGAAAGCAATAATACGGAAAGAGGGATACTTGATTTTCGCATTGTCGCTGCCAGAGACGAGGGAAATCTCTGCCTTCTTATCGCAAAGAGTGACCCCTTTCTTAGGCCAATACCCATTCTAAAGTCAATTTCTTATGATTTCTTCTTTGTCCAACGGCTCTGGCAGGTCTTAAGTATTGGGGGAGTCAGACCCACGGGAAATGTAAAACAATTGCCATCACGAGGAGTTTTTGTTTGTGTATGTAGCTGAAGTGGAGGAATGTAGTTCTGATAGCTTCGAGGATGTCAATTTTGACCAGACGTAGCGTCTGTTCTTTTGGTTTCTGTGGATCAACGTCATCTTCAATTCACCGATTTAGTGCACTTTCTGTTTAGGTGGAGCTATACTTGAATCTCTTGTCCTATGTAATCTTACGTGTCCGTGCTGCGAGGGCTCCGTTCAAACGCACATCCGAGACGTTGCATGACAGGTCAGTATCATGACTCCAGTTCCAGGTCCAATACACTATGCTATAAGAATCTTCTCGGTACGGCTACCAATCACAAAAAGCTGAAAGCCTCGTCGAAAAGACGGAATGCACTCTGTGGCTATGACATAGTTGGCCTCTAACGAACTATTACTTGAGTCAGCACTTCCCTCTGGTGCTGGCGTTCGAGACATACACAAGCAAGGCAACCGGAGCCATCATGAACGTTGGTACATCAGAATGAAGCAAAGGGACGGTCACCTTCAAGGGGATTGCACTGATGACCACCGTGCTGCTCTTGTTATTTCGGACTTTTCGAGGTCCCCGAGCGGGCAGGGCTTACAACACCAATCCGATCAACATCATCCCAAATACTTGTGACCTTTGGGAATGAGAGAGAGGCAATGATAGAACGACAAATACCGTTAGGATCGTCAAACCCACATCCGACACAATATTGAACACCGCGATTGTCATGTAGATAGTTGCACGATTGATACAGGACCCAGGCTGGGCCACATGCCAGGCTTTTGCAATCGGGTGGCAGGCAAAGATCGAACATCCCAAGATGACCAGCGATGAATTGGCCAACAGTGTACCCACCACCCACAAGCTTGCCGCCAAGGGGGAAGGCTGGGGCTGCTGATAGGAGACGGTGGAACAGTAACAAGTGGGTGATTCGGGTCGCGGTGGTGGTCATGACAAACGCGCATGCTGCCAACAGGAAGCGCTGTGATTGTCGTCAGCCAACACCCCCTGATTCATTCAAATTTAATCATATCTTCTGATATGACTCGATTGTGGATGACTCAAGGAAGACGATATGGATCCAAGCCCGCCGTGATCTAGACCATCTGTGGGACACAAGTACGTATCCAGCTTGGGGGATCAGAACTCTTACAGAGAATAGTGATTTGGGTGATGAACGAAACAGCTAACAGGTTCAGTCACGACATCGAAAGACCAGATCTCCACGAAGCAACCTACCCAGGCCAGGATCACACTGTCTGTCGGTTATCAGTAAATTGCACCGATCCATGGGAACAGATGAATGCTTACAGTCGTCAGCGGTAGGTCCTGAAACACCGAGCCATCTGACAAGTAGTCGGCTGAAAAGTGCTATGGTACTGAGGAAAAGGCCGGTGATGGCCGTGTTCTGTATTCCGCTGTAGGAAGACATCTGGATTACATGTGTGGGTTTTGACCGAAGATCTGTGGCAGCAGAGGGAGGTTGCCTGTAGTAATATTTATACCCTAGGCAAACTAGCACGACGTGATGGAAAATGCAGCCAAGCGCGAATTCCCATAAGATAACTCTATCATGGTTAAATGTGAGGTCCCCCGTGCTTAGTCAACCGTAGACCAGCTTTATTGGAATATTGTTGGATAGGCTGGTTGAAGGTGCGATGATTCATTTGTAAGGAAGGGTATAGCTGTCTCTGCTGAACTGTTTGGTTCAGCTACAGAATGAAAGCCAGGCTGTGAATTTTGCTTGAAGGTGTAGCGAAATACAAGAAGCTGTAATGCTCAATGTTAGTATATGCTAACAGTGTTATCGATACTATATATTCTGTTGGCTCTAACCTGTTACTGCTGGTGGAATGTATAGATGATAACGCAACTGGATGTAACATATCCCATTCTTTTTGCCTCTCAAGGTTGTTCAAAGTCGATGTGGCTCACCACACAACTCCGCCAGAATATCTTGATTGAAATTACTATGCAACGAATCTTCCCTCATATGGAATTATGTTGAAAATCTCACAAACAGCCGCCAACCTAGCAGGACAAGAGCTCTGGACTGGCGTCGTCTTCCGATCAAGCCCCGTTTCAATTAACCAAAAGAATTGTTAGTATTCATGCGAGGAATACACCTTCATCATTAGAATACACGAAAGGGTAAATTGCTCACAACAAGCAATAACATTGTTATATTGGCATTATGATGAGGTGGCACCTTAAGGATGTTCTTTCACTGTCCATGATGGTTGCACCTGCTGCAGACGATATTAGACCGCTCAGTTACGCCAGCTATCGTGGTTATGGCCAGGGGAATGAGTGTCGTTTCTGGAAAGGAATGCGCTATGCCGCATCTTCTGTAGGCGAACTGCATTTTGCAGGACCACAAGATCCACCAGCGACCCAAGGTAATCAAGATGCCACAGCTCTATGTTATTTGTTCGATTACTCCGGGACTTTGGCTTTTAATTCGTTTGAATTGATGTATGATATAGAACGGACCAATATGCATTGCAACATGCAAATACCCTATTCCGTATGGCCCGTCCGAGGACTGCTTCTTCCTGGACATGTATGCACCGAACCAAAGCATCAAAACCTCCCGTCTTTGTCTGGATACCGGTTGGAGGGTATAACTCCATTGCAAATGCCAATTACCACGGCACTGAGCTTATCAAGGTTTCTGGACACAAGATTGTCGTCGTGACAATCAATTATAGGGTTGGACCATGCGATTTTCTAGCCTCGGAGGAGGTCCGAAGACAAGGTTCTTTAAATAATGGACTTAAAGGCATAATCCAGGCGCTGCAATGGGTTTAGAAACAAGTAGCCGCTGTGAGTTCAGAACTTGCCCAATATCTCTTGAAGTTTTTCCTTCTTGTTTTTGCAACATGCAGACGCTAACAGTGTAGTGTGTATTTTGGTGGTGATCCCAGCCATGTCACTATAGGAGGCGATAGCGCTGGTAAGGACGCAATCACCCTGCTGCTCATTTATTATGGGGGACGTAGCAAGCTAAGCAACCTCTTTCATGCTGTAGCCGTGGAGTCTCCATCACTTGGAGCGCTAGCAACGGTTGAGGAGATTGAATTTGCCTATGATAACCTCACTATTCGCACTGGTTGTGCAGGAAGTCAAGATACTTTTGAATGCCTGCGCAATTTAGACATCAACTCTTTGCAAAAAGAAAACTATAATATACCCTTCCCTAATGCGTCTTTGCAGCCGCTCTATTTGTACCGTCCAACGATTGATGGCAACCTGGTCTTGGACCATACATATCACCTTTTCGGTCAGGGAAATGTGATTATCTCGCGTCCATAGCCCACGATCTGGCTCAATGATGGTCTTTTAAAAGTGAACTAGTTCTCTGAATACATATGTATTTTTGTAATTGTTATCGGAAATGTTCGATGATGAATTAGCAAGTCTCCCCTGTCTGGTCCGTTGAGCACAACTTGATCACAATAGGTCTTCTTGTCCTTCTTATAGAACCTGGCATGCAGACATGGAGTTTTACTAATACCGCTAGCGTGGCGCATAAATCCAATGCTAGACAATGATGCTAGTGGAAAAACAAATGTCATCGAATAAAGTTATCATCTCTACCATTGTCGCTATACGGCAAAAGGCAACTTTCATTCCATGATCTAGAAGCCAAGGAAGGAGCCAGAACTTTAAAGTAGAAAAAGACAGACATAGCGATTAAGCAAGATAGTCACGCCACAATGGTACAAAAGTGTATGTTGACTGCTAGGTGACGCATTGTGGAAGCTAAGCTTCTAGCATCTCAACATTTGGAAGTCATGCCTGTAACTGTTCCAATATCTCTATATCCTTGTTCAATTTCTGAATGAGTTTCACTTTGCCGGCCCTAACGCTGCCGATGAGATCGCCCAGAACTTTTATACTGCTTGCCCCCAAGTGTTCCAATAACCATGTCTGGGGTTGGATTCGATCCAATCCCTTACTGCTCAGTGTATGGTGGAAGTATGTTGGGATGGCGCGTCTTTCCAAGGCATCTATGTCGGTCGGTTGGTTCGCAAAACCTGCTACTCGAAGAATCTGTGTCAGATATTTACCTATGTTTCAATGATTAAATAAGTTTTCCTACCCTCAGAAGCCTCAGATGAGATAACGCTATCAAGTTCTGACAAGGCTTTCGCTGCTGGCATACCAGCAACACTGTTTGGGGCCATAATGCAGATTGCTACCAAAGCCTGCAGTCCAAGGGTGGAGAAATGCATGACGAAGGAGATAAAAATACCGTGGTCTCTCGGATGTGTAAGAGAAGTGCGATTTTAATCAAGAAATAAAATTGAGGGCCTGAGAATTAGGTAGATGGGTTATGGGATGGCGAACTTCAGTTTATATGGACTCGAGTAAAGTGGTTCACCTGCAAAATTGAGCGCATCACATTCTAGAACCAACAGTCATGGGTGTGGCAACAACGTATGTGAAACATCGAAAGAAAAAAGTAAACACGTTATATTGGGTCTTGGAGAGTGTAACAGATAGCAAGCATATAAGTTTAGAAACAGGGTAACAGTAAAATTCGTTATGTCTGCAGACGATGTGTGCTTTAGAGCGCCTGAGCCCTCGAGCTAGTACAAGGCTACGTACCAATGGATAGTTAGACAAGTTACCACTAAGCAATATGACTCTATGTATAGCAGCAGCACATGTAAAACTTCTCCACACCTACTAGCTGTTCGGAGGCCAAGTGACTCACGTTGTGTAATAACATAGTGTGATTACCATGGGGCGAAAAATTATCTAACTATTGAGGATTCGCGTAATACCTAACTGTTAGCCAACAAACCAACACACTGAATAATCTCTGCAACGCAGGCCATTAGTATCAGTGAACGACTAACAAAAGCAACAACAAAAGCCCAGTCAATCATGCATCAAAAATAATGCTATCAGCCTGGCTATCCCTAGTAATCTTGCAATATAAGCTGTGTTAAGGGGAATCTATAGCTTCGTCGAAATTCTCGCCGGTGGCTTCTGCTTGTTGATCGGGGCACCGTTGGGTTAAACTGTGATACAGCTACCTATATAACAAAACCGTCACATATTCCATTATTGACTCGTCATAATGCAGGACCATTTTTCGATAACGAGAACTCCATATGCCAAGTACATTAAGGTTCTTCGTTCTTTCCCCCTCGAGCTTTTTTCCTCCCTCCCACTTCATTCCTCTTGACTGCTTCTTGCTCTTACAACGCTACACTTTCAACAATAGCCACATACCAACAACAATCCTAGAGACAACCGAAACCAGTAAACGCAATTAATGTCCCCCACTATTGTCTGAACTTCATGGTTACTCAGTGAGTGGTTCGACATCGTCTGGATGCAAAATCGGCTGAAAAAGGTCTGTTATTTAGTATCGCTGAGGTCAATAAACGGCTTGCAATATGTCGTCTTTGACCGGCTTCCTGTCGAGGATCAGAAGCATCGAAGCGGATGAGATGATCGATGTGAAAGCTCTTGCTGCTAGACATGCCACCAAGCAACGCTTTACAGCAAAATCATTGTTCACCCAGCCAACAGAACAGCCCAGTTATCGGCGGAACAAGCTAAAGATAATAAGAGATAAGATGTACTCTTCCCAGTCGGAAATAGCTGTGGCCGATATACCAGTTGCTAGAGGCACTTGGGATGAGAGCCCCTTGGCGGCAGCATCACAACGCTCAACCGACTCCAAGACTTTTGTTCACAAAACACACGTATATACCCCTACTGGACAGGATCGAAACAATGCAGCTGCCCTGGGGAATACTGTATCTCCACCATACCCCCCTGTACCCGAGAATGACTTGGTAACTATGGCCCCCCTCTCGGTGAGTATGCCTGAGCTACGCCGTACCATTGACGAGGTCGTTTTCGAAAATTATCGACGGGAAAATGGTCTACAAATGCCTCTGGCATCCAGTTCAACTTGCTCTACCCCTGATATCATGAGACCTGCGCCTTCTTTATACAGCCAGTTCTCCTTCAAATCCAGCATCTCTGACTTTTCCACCGGTAACTCGTCTGTCAATCCGGTAGAAGCTAGAATTTTCGACGAGTCGTCGGTGAAATCAACTGAAAAGTCCCCTCCTCAGACTATCACGAAGAAGAGCGCAAGGACCACAGAGAATACGAAAAGGTTTACGGAAAGTAATACGAAGCAGCAGAAGCCGCGAAACAATAAACAGGAATTGTGGAACAAACCTCTACCAGCAATACCAATGTCGGTGTCTGCTATCAAGCTACCAAGGGAACCGACTCTGCGTGCGTCAAATCATGTCGCCAATTTGATGTCGAAATACACGGCGTCAGCTCCTGTGTGGGCCGACTCCAATGAATCACCCACCGACAAGTACTTTCGCCCACATCCCGTGGCCAACGTAAAGACGCTCCCGCAAGAGGCATTCGATCTGGAGTTTGAGCTAGATAAAATTACCGCGGAGGCCAAAAACGGCCAGAGTGGGCGGTCATTACAAAACGAGGAACACGTAGTGGCGCCATTGAACGTTGTTGCACGGAAGCACGTCTGGAACGTCCCGGCGCCGGCCCGTGGTCAGAGCGGCGGGTCCAGCGATCTCCCGTCCCCGAAGCCCCACCTTGAGTCCACCAAATCCACCATGCAACGCCAGCGACCACTAACCCCGAAGCTTGATCCTAAAGAGGCAAACCTCTTAGTAAGATCAAGGAGCACTGACTCCCAAGTTGCCAAGGCGCTGGGTGTGGCCAGCGAGGGTGACGAAAAATCTAATAACACCAATCCCAGCACAATCCCAGCAAACACTTTCGTTAGGGCTGGAATCACCCCGCAGCTACGACCAGCCGTCATAAGTAAATGCTCTGAGACTCCAGACAATGTCGGTCTGTACACGCGCTCTTTTATCGTAGATCCACCATCCATACCGTCGCCTATCGATGATAAAAACGAAGTGGTCGAAGACGATAACGAGACCATGCCGCACGGTGATAAAATATTCATAAAACTCAGCCACGTCGAAAGTGTGGTTTTGAATTTCCATCTTCTTCATCCTTGTTCTTAGTACCTTTTGTGGGAGACTATATCTTGGGATAGCCCAGATATCGATATTTTTTTCTCTTTTCGTCGCGTTTTGAGATGTCATATTACCACTAAGCTTAGCTTGTTGGTGATTAGGATGTATTCTCCGAAAGATGCCAAATTCAAATGAATACTTCCATAGTTGGTTGTTCTGTTCTGCAAGGCTATATGAAACGAAAGATTATTATACCTCTTTTACTTTGCTTTATTTATATATGCTGTAATCTCCACTAGGTAACCTTGATTGAATCTGCCATACATAGTTCCTAGGGCTCAGCACTCGAGTATCTACGCTGCTTTATGGGAATTAACTTGAGATTAGCGCATGGAAGTTGACAAGGGAGGAAATAAATGGCATGCAGCAAAAAACACCAGGTCAAGATGTGGATAGAAGAATTGATCGATGAGTATCACAAGATCGGCTATGAATTGAGTTTGAATGGTATGATGGCCAAGCCGCCGCTCCAGCCAGCAATAGTAAATTCCACCACATAGCTTCGGTAGCTGAAACAGGACGATATAAAGATCGTTATGTCCGTATAACGCAAGGTATCTAGAAACGATATTTGACGGGGACCTAGTCGATGTTTCTGTTGGCCCTCGGACCCTAAACATTGTGGCAACCACCAGGACATTAGAGACTGCAGCGTTACCATTGTGCGGTTAGGACTCTGCAACTGCCGAGGAAATTATATGGTAATAAACCGAAAGGGGATCTCCGTGTCCATGGGAGTAGTCGCCAACTAGCAAAACGTGTGGTCTCCGCCGCTAGTGATAGCACGAGCAACCAGAGTGCAATGGATGATGCAACATTAGTCAATGTTGAATGGAATCTCCGTTTTAGCCTGCTTGTCTACGCAGTCCTAAATATAGGAACATAATGAAATTACAATGCTATCGAAGTTTTTACTGTTATGCTCTAATTGCTCATCTGGGACGCTATTGTGGTCTGCCACGGTCACGAAACATAACGTTTGCGACTTATCGCAATGCAGACATTTATTCACAACGCAAAAATATGAGACACGACAGTGTTGGGATCCTGTTCCGCTGGATGGCAACAGGGCGTTATGTTTTTCCTGAGGTTGTGTTTCAGGATCAATATAAAACTGGACAGATATTCCGAGTGTAAACTTGATTTTAACGATCAATCCTGATTCAAGAACTTGGATCACCACACCTACTATTTTAATCAGGATTTTGTCTCTCATTACGCTCTGAAGACACCGTCAACTTAAAAAGAAATCAACTCTCAGAATGGTTGACACAATGACTACCCTGCTTTTCCTCGGACTATGTTTTGCTACTCGAGTCACCTCAGTACCAACTGCCAATGCTGTAGAGGCACGTGATGACAATAGTGTCTTTTCAGACACGTGGACTACGCCTGCATTTATTGCCTGCCTTCAAAACAGGTTCCCGAATTTCCCTGACGGGGTTACTGGATCCACTGACATTAATGACTGTCGAAACTCTATCGGGAAGCGCGATATTGACGCCGCACTCGATCCCTCTGACATTGTCGGTGAATTATCGACGCGAGATACTAATGACGAACTTGATTCCCACGACATCGTGGGGGAATTGGCCGAACGAGGACTCGATAACAAATTTCGAACTCGCGCTAGCCTCACGGACCTCATTCCAGACTTTCAAGCCGAGACGCCTACATGTCCCGAAAAGTCCTTGCCCAAGAACTTCGAAGAAGCCGCTCCAATGCGCGCAAAAGCCCAGGAATTATGCAAACAAATTGGCTCTAATCTGCTTAGTCAAGGTTACGCTTTGCTCAGTGAAACACTTCCAGATGCCTTTACAAAGAAGGATATTTGGCTTTATGGTAACCAGAAGGTCGTCCTGGAACTCGTGCTCTCTTTTACTCCTCAGGGAAGAGCCGCCATGACAGCCGCGAAAGTGAGCCAAGACACCGCTGTATCCGTATGCACAGCAGCATTGACTATGCTCGCGACAAAGGGCGAAGGGTGCACGAAGGACATACATTTCTCAAAAGATTTCATCTTCAAGACAGAACAAACCACCGGAGTTACTGACGGCATCATGGATTTGTGGTTCAAGAAAAGCCCAATAGGTTTTATTTCGACATCATTCAGTAAGCCATCATAGATGGAAGGCTCGAATTTTTCTTTGTTAGATTCTATTCACAGCTTTGGTGATAATCAGCTATTCTACGCGCCTTTGCTGGTTCGACGGACGCCGATGAATATCAAGATAAGTTGATGAACGATCAGGGGAAGAGGTTGGTCTAAGTCTGATTGTGGACCGTTTCTCCGAAGACGGGATATGGGAATGTCTACATCAGTCATGTCTTTCTGTGGATGGTTCTGCTGTTTTGATTTCAAATTACATTCGTTCAGACTATTTTGATCATCTATGTTCGAGCTTACGCAGTGTCGTTTACTGTCCTTGTTTAGGAATTTTCCAATCAATAAATTGAGCACCGTTAAGGAAATCAGCTATTGTACCCTGGAATGACTTCATTCACTCTTCAACTGTATTTAGTATATATCTGTAAAGTAATGGCTGACGGTATTTTAAGTCTATTGGCCATGTAATCAATCTTCAATGAAAATCTTTAGTTTATAATGGGAAATTTGGTTTAGAAATTTCTGAAAGCATATCAATATTCCCGGCTATGATTTTGTTAGTCATAAATTTCGAAGCTTATCATATGCGCCTTGTGACGTTTGATTTCCTCTAGATAACCCTTACCTGTCTTGATAGATGTGACGATGCAACAATGTCAAGTCTATTGGTAGCAACCACACTAGGAGACAAAGCTGGAGAAAGGAAGAAAAGAGAAGAACTACTTGACAGGCCCCTCTCCTTATGCTTCGGGAAATTTGTGTAGATCTTGGAGCCTCATAGCCCCATATATTTGACGCATGTGATTCGTCCACAAGAGCTGGCCGGCGGATCCATCCGCAATATTCACGTGGAGGCATGAGCCGCATTAGGCCGTTATGACGAGCTAGATCTGTTACTAGAGAGAACAGAATAGAATTCCTAAACACATACTCGCGATAAGACTATTACAGATTCTATTGAAAGACATAATCCCCAAGCATTACGCCCATTTTTATCGAGCAGCTATGAGTGTGTTATTTAGTCTATAGTTGTCAATTCTTTGCCATTGAAGACGTACTCGCGATGAGAAATCTGGCACTAATTCGTCTTTAAAAAGCTAATCCTGGCCGCGAGGCGGATTATACATCTTTACACACCCCATTGGGTCGATTCCCATTGGCCCCCCATAACGAATTTTCCAGATGCTTGTGCAATCTTTACTAGTGGGATGAGAACCTCTTTGCCCGGTGCCGAGGTGAGAAATGGGTGCTTGAAGACGTTAGCAATATATTAATATTAGACCATTTCTACTTACATATGATAGGCCTTTCCATGACACACCTAAGACGGTCTGAAAGAAGAAATCGTTAAACGTCACCGACCATTCATTTAGGTCCTCAAAAACCTCGCGGTAATCTCCAGGCCAGATGCCCTCGCCTTCTCGGCGTTTTTGGATGGCCTTCACCATAGTCCGGCTCAGTACAGAGACATCACCAGGATGCCGATAAGAGTAGCAATTGTCAAAAGATGCTGAGGCCGTCAGCGATCTGAGGTACACGGACGAGATAGGATGATTATTACCAATAGTCACATGCCCTGAATTGGCCACCAGAATGTCGGATTCCTGGAGGCACACACATGCCAAGTCACACGAAGTAAGGTACTTCATTCCACCGACAACCTGATGAAACGTGGCCGCGATCTGACCAGGGCTCGGCCCTAGGGTACAATCTAGGATCATCGACAAGGAAGTGGGAACATAATCGGTCACGACATACAAAGCGTCATGTGGGACAAATACCTCGTACACCTTGGCAATATTTTGGTGTTTTACTCGTGAGATGTTTGAGACGCTGGTTCGTGCTTCGGACGAAAGGCAACGGACAGCAAACACATTGGGTCTCGGGGTCTTGTCAATAGCTAGGATCACTGACGGATCGAAACCAGACAAAATTCGACGGTATTTGTCCCAGGGAGGTTTCTCTTGCCATGGGATGGAGTCATTCATTTTATTAAAAGATACAGTTAGAAGCGTTTACTGGGATGAATTGCGAGGTTGGTGACTGCCTTTTAAATTTCCGCTCGAGGCTGCGTATAGAGTCCAGTTGCAACCCAGACCTTATTTTCTCTGCTCAATACGGATGCTATGGATTTAGTGCAAGGTCTAGTGGGTGTAAACAATTACTTGGGGGTATATACGGGTAGTTATTCAACCAACGGAAATGTGATATGAAGAGAAACATTTTGATAACACTGTGATATCGTGAGAACGTGCTCGTATACAACCAATGGTTATGGGCGTGGCCTACAAGACACCAATGTCATATTTTGAGGCGTCAAGAGAAGAGTTGGCACATTATATTGGATCCTTGAGAGTGTAACAGATAGCTAGCATTGAAAGTTACCACCCCCAGTGGTATAGGATAACTATATGCACGGTACCTCTTGACGATTTCGAAACAGTGGGATTTGAGTTAACAGGTAACTACTCTAATTGAAATTTAACACTACTTTACGTGTGCTAGGGTTCAGGGTCCCAGGCTGTCCACCAACATTAAACACCGACTCAGTCCACATTGAGCAACTGAGAAATATAACGGCAAAAATTATTATTGTTCTGTTTCCAAATCGTCACAATCGTGCACACTGTTGGAGATGATAATCTTACAGTAACAGTTATAGTTATAATCCAGGACTTGGGGCTCTCCTATCACATAAATTAGTTTCTAGTGATGCTGACTGTGGTTACTATCCCCAGCCAATAATGAAGACAAAGCTTTACTCCTTAATCGTAAATCGTGGAGAACAAATTGATAGACATTAAGGCCCATAGTTGAAGTTGTTTTCGCACGATTAGGTTAGATCATGGCAAGTATAACGTTTGACCTTGAAGGAAAAATCCTCCGTGACTGTTATTTTGGATATTGCTGTTATGTTGGGCTCATGTAGCAAAGGAGGAGACTGGTGGATAACAAACGTAGCAAAAGCAGAGTTGGGCTTTATTTTCGTAAGTCCTTATTTCTGCGAAATCTATAAGACCATGAGCATTCACCATTTTATGCAGCATTAATCTCCTTCTCTCCACTCCTATCCTAGCCAGCTCTATCATCTTGCCTCTATTTCTCTATTAAGAACTAAACTGTACTGTCCTAATATAAAAAAGCCAATTCGAGACCATGAAGTTGAGCACACTTATCCTTGGTCTTTTACCGCTCGTCGGGGTCCTCGCTACACCGTGCGATGATTGCAACCGCCAATCCCCCGATCTCTCGGCTCTCTCACAACCCCTGTTGGAAAGGGATTTGACTTTCGACGATGCAAAGACAAGAGGCATTAAACGCATGGCCGATATGACGAAGGCCGTCGCTAATGGTGTCGACAAAACAGGCGGCGACGAGAAGCTCAAGCAGTTCACCGAAAGCCCGGCGGCCAATAGACAGTATACGCAGACGGCTAATATCAACTACCGCACCCAACTTCAGTCCTTCCTAGGAGTTGATGGCGGAAAAGAGACCTTCTATAACGTGGAGCTGAAGGACAAGGGCCTAATTGGCGGGAATGTGTACTGCGACGCCACGTACAGTCCTGAAACTGGCGTCATCGCAGCTGACAACAGACAGAAGACAGAGTGTATTGATATGTCTGAAGCCTTGTTCTGGGAGTATATACAGGTCGCCGCGACGCACAACATCCCCGTGACAGGGATCAAAGGCCTCGTGATGCACCAGATAACCAATGACGATACCAAGGGCATCATCGAGGCGATCTATAAGAGGGAAAATAAGGACCAGACTAAGCACGATCTAATCGTCCAATTTGGAACGGACGAGTTCTACGCCATGCTTGGCACTCCCAATGGTGCGTCGGCGACGTACATGCTTGGGGACCATCCCAAGGCAATTGGCAAGACGACAATAGGTTCCATTATGCTCATCGGGGGCGCAACGAATTCCCTGATATTCAAGTACGCGTAGCGGAGCTTATTGATCGTTTGGCCGTAGAGCAACGTTGGAAGAAATCGCCAACTGGTTTAGGGGTATGTTCAGTTTGTTTAATTGCCGGGGGATGCCGTTCCTTAGGGTTAAATGTGGTATTTGCTGTATACGTTATATAACGAATAATCTTCTGGTGTAACATTCCTACCTGCATTTTAGGGTATCTTTGTGGCTGTTCTGGCAAAAGGGTATACTATGTAACTACTAACCAAGTAAGTCTATAACACTTTTCTAAAATAACGCCTTGGAGTCTGCCTCGCGTTATCATGTTAGGTGGGATCAGGCTGCAGGCTGAGAAACAAAGAATACAATTTGACAGCCAATCAGAAGTATAATATCAGCGTTAGCAGGTCATGTCATGCAATAAAACATAACAACGTATGCCATCTCCGGAGTTGCTGAGGGGTAACTACCTAGGTAACTCCGTATAAGTGCAGCTGGCCCCGAAGAATATGACCAGAAAAAGGTCGATATTAAAAAAGTCAAAGTCAAAGTCTCATACAATGGACGACACAGAAGACGACTGGGCTAAATGGCGCCACCCTCTCGACCTTAACCGCCCTCACCCTTGGGTTCCCTCCTGTCCCGTACCTTTCGACCCCTCTCCGGAGACGCCTTTCGGCCGCTCCATGGTTCACCGTCATAATCGTGAAACCAGTAACTACCTGTATCTCATGATCTCCCTCTCAGAGCCAACTTTTGAGCTCCAGGATCTCTCCCTACAACAGCCATTTTCGTTGAAAGAGCTGCATTCCTTCTGCGGCAAGGCTTCCGGAATGTACGCGATTGCGGACCTGAGAGAGAAGCCACGCTTAAGACCGAGGTCGGTTGGTCTGTGTGGACGGCTCTATGACGAATGGTTTAAGCTGGTTGAGAGCGATTCGATGCATGAGACGCGCTTTTTTGCTCGGTTCATGCAGACGGATGGCTTGAATGTTGCAGAGATTATTGCGCGTCATAGGACGTTGAGCCAGCAGCTCGAGACACAGATGAGAGTCCCCATTGAACGGGCTGTGGAGGGGGAGAGCTACTCCATCGGAAAAGAAAGGGAGTATCATTGGGAGTGCACGTTATTACCGAGCTTCAAGAATCTAGTCATCATAGTCGAGGAGCAGAGCTTCAGGGCTCCTGCCGTACTTTTTGTTTTGGATCCTGAACTGGCGCAGGGGATCAAGGAGATGGAACAAGCAGAAGAAGACGAGATTGGGGGACACAAGGTTATTAGACTGAGAGCGGCTATGGAAGATATCATGCGCGCTGTGGTCGCCATGCAGAAGAAAACTACTGCGGAACACGATGCCATCACGGGATGCTATAGAGAGGACTAAATGCTTGAGGGATGTCCACTAGCTAGGTATCAAGCTGGCTGTGAAAGCCTTTCTCTTTGGAGAAAACCATCCGGTCATAAGAATGCAATCAATACGAAGCCTCCTCAATGTACTTTTCCATAGATTATAATTCTCCTGTCACATCGTCATCGTGCATATACTTATATTATATATGTTGACCTCGTATTTGATCTTGTGTTTTCGTACTCAGTTTTGGCTAATACATGTTTTCTTCATCGGGGCGAGAGACAATGACTGGAGACTTGATACCTAGGTATGTCCAGCATACAGTCAGGATATTGGTCGAATAAGATCCATTCTTCCGCATCAACTAGACTACTAGTCAGAGGAGACTATATCGATTCTTATCTCGTTAGAGCCATGAAGGCGTTCCTTTTGATGATGCCCAGTTTTCATGTGATGTGTTGTTGTAACGAGGCTGACGAGGCGTTGCTTTCAGACAAGCATACGGCCAGGGGAAAGCCCAATGCAAAACCGTCTTGCCACTTCTTCGCCGTCCTGCTTGTTTCTGTACTGTCCTCACCAATTGTGATGGATAAAATCCGCCGCGTCAAAGCTTCTTGGCGGTTGGGCAGAAATTCGAAAACCGCCACGCATGAAGAGTGTACGGGATTCGCGACGAAAACAAGAGAGGATCTATGTTCTAAACCATATCTAGGAATCATTCCCACTACCGAATCCAGACCGTCTACCTTCTCAATATCGAGTCCGTGCGGAAGCACGAAAATAGATGGTGCGAAAGCCGACAATGCGCGCAAGAAGAACATACCTGTATCCCTCTGGGACCGGGCATATGATTCTGTAAAAGAAGAAAAGACCGAGATATTTGCAGAATACGAGATTCTTTTGTCGTGAGTTCTTGTATGCAGTAGCATATCGTCAACCCCTAGTGATGCGGAGGCGAACCAAATCCCCCAGAACGACACCGTCCGACGCCGCGAGATGTTGGAGAAGATCGCAAGGCTTGGTCTGAAGCACATGGAAGACAAAAAGGTCACTGTGACTCTACTAGGGCACAAAATTGACGTGCAGGACACCATGGCAAATGTGGGCGGCGCTGTCGATTGGGTCTCGACGTACGTCAATGATGCCATCAAAAATGTCCCGTACGCACCCGCGGTGATGACTGGAATCTCGCTCGTCCTTCCGCTCCTTAGGAGTCCAGCTGCTGTTGAGGATGCAAACCGCGAGGGCTTCACCTATGTTACGTCCCAAATGCGCTACTACATCGAAATGGAATCTCTCGTGTTGTCCGAGGACTTGACACCAGACCAAAAAGACTCCCTAACAGAAAGTGTTGTGAAGCTATACAATCTTATAATTCAATTCCAGGTGGAGCGTGATCAGATTCTATCGCAGCCGCACCAAGAACTATTTCAGAAGCACTATCAACTACGACGGCTGGGACGAGAAGCTCCAATGCATAAAAGACGAGGAAACCAAGATTGGCGAAAGGCTCGAAAAGAACGTAGCAATCACAAGCATGCTACAGCTGAAAGAGGTTTCATGAGAGGCCGAAATTTCACGCCAGAAGTTAGGACATCGGCACTAAAATCGAGAAACTCATTGGCCTACAGCGAGACATGAAGGCAAGAGATGAACAACGCCTGTCTAATGAAGAGCGGCAACAATACCTCGAAGCTTTACAGGTAACGACTCACCCTGACCTGGACAAGGAACGCATTATGCGTGAGAAGGGCTACCGTCTCAGAGATTCATTCTGCTAGGTCCTTGAAAACAAACAATTCCTGCAGTGGCAGAACAGGGTCGAGAACTCGCTTTTGTGGGTCAAAGGCGATCCTGGCAAAGGCAAGACAATGTTGCTTTGTGGTATCATAGATGAATTGATCGGGCTACAGGCCAGCAAGCATCTCTCTCAGGAGGACGAGGCCACCCCAAACATATCTTTTTTCCTCTGCCAAGCTACTGACAAACGTATCAACAATGCTCCGGCGGTATTGCGAGGACTGATTTATATGCTTGTAGAGGAGCAGCCTGCGCTCATCACTCATCTGCGCTCCAGCTGCGATTATGGGGGAAATTCGCGCTTTCAAGGCATAAATGCCTGGGAGGCACTGTCTAAGCTTTTCACTGACATTATCCAAGACCCACAGTTACGAAAAACATATCTGATTGTTGATGCCCTGGACGAGTGTACGGACCGGCTGGACTTGCTTCTAGGTTACATTGTCAAACATGCATCTGCTCTCCCGCATGTCAAATGGGTTATCTCCAGCCGCAACTGGCCGAGTATTGAGAAAGAGCTCAAAATGATTGAGAACATGCAACTTAACCTGGAGCTGAACGCAGAAACCGTCACGGCAGCGGTTGGCAAGTACATCGAGTTCAAGGTTAATCTGTTGGCAACTAAGAATGAATACGATAACGCAACACGAGCAACAGTCCAGGGCTATCTCTCATCCAATGCAGACGGCACTTTCCTCTGGGTAGCATTGGTCTACGCAGAACTTGCCCATATCTCGAGATGGGAGGTTGAAGATACCCTCAGAAGGTACCCACGAGGTCTGGATCCCTTCTACAGCCAGATGCTAAACCAGATTCGCAACTCAAGGCACGCTAAAATTTGCAAAGACATACTAGCTGTGGTATCACTTGTCTATAGACCTGTAACTTTAGATGAACTAACATCGCCGGTCGATTTCCCAGCAGGAGCTGTGCATAGCGACAACGCTCGGGTAGAGATCATTAAGCTCTGTGGCTCTTTTCTTACGCTGAGAGAACGCACAGTAAACTTTATACATCAGTCTGCCAAGGACTATTTGCTTGATGAAAATGTATCAAGTGAGATACTTCCTGATGGAATGGAGGCTATACAACATACTATATTCTCTAAATCCCTCAAGGCTATTGCAGCTAATCTACGGCGTGACGTATATGGACTCAAGGCTCCGGGAACTTTCATCGAACAAATGATCCGACCTAATCTAGATCCCCTGGCCACAGTCCAGTACTCTTGTGTCTTCTGGGTGGACCACCTGCAAGACTGCTCTCCAAGCAAAGAAAAGCATTTCTAGGATCTTCAGGAAGATGGCCTAGTTGAAAGTTTCTTCCGCCGTGACTTCCTACACTGGCTTGAGGCTCTGTCTTTTGAAAAGTATTTCTGGGGGTATATCTTCATTGCTGAGGCTCGAGGGTTTGCTCCAGGTACTTTTCTTTTTTCCCATGCATGGGTGATCTTGGAAGAAGTTTCTCACCTGTGTCTAGAATCTACTAGGACCTTCAGCGCTTGGAGACCGAGTCGAGGACGCATGTCGATTCATGCTGCACAATAAGTTTGTACTAGAAAGGTTTCCTCTACAGGTATACGATTCAGCACTATTATTTAACCCAACCGGCAGCATCACAAGAAAGGAATTCGAAAGAGAGACGGCCGGATTGATTGTGCGGCAACCTGCAATGGAAGAAGACTGGGGTGCCTGTCTTCAAGTCCTGCATGTCCTGCATGTCCTGCATGGGCATACTGATATGGTCTTGTCGACCGTGTGGTCGCCCAATGGGGCGTGTATTGCCTCAGCATCAGTGAAAGAAATTGAGATCTGGGACTCTGCAACTGGTCAAAACATACTCACGCTCGCAAAGGATGCTCGGCAAACTAACTCAATAGCCTGGTCGCCAGATGGAAATCGAGTTGTGTCAGATTTGAACAGCGACACTGTTATAATGTGGAACTCAATGACAAGCGAAAGGTTATCAACGCTTCCCTTTCCTGAGAGACGGAACCTACCATTAAGTTGGTCTTGCGATGCGACTTACTTAGCCCAGACCATTCGTCGACACATCGAGATCTGGGATCTGGCAAAAGCCCGATGCATATTAACTCTCGGAAACTTTACATCATCGGTTTCCTGGTCGCCAACCGGTAAAAAACTGATTCGTCCTCATATGAGGATAAAACTGCAAGGATCTGGGATGCAGAGACAGGCCAATGCATACTGACACTCAGGGGCCATTCTAGCGGCATCTCGTCAATAGGCTGGTCGCCGGATGGAAACGGAATCGTCTCAGCATCGAAAGATCATACAGCAAAAATCTGGTCCCCGATAACAGGCCAGTGCCTGTCATCGTTGGAAATGGCAGCCTAGTGATGGTCATATTAGAACAGTGTGCTTGTCACTCGGTTCTACCCAATTTGCGACCGTATCGAGTACCCGCATTCTCAAAATTTGGGACGTGGCAACAGGCCGGTGCCTGTCGACATTGCAAAATGCTGGTAGTAGGAGCATACCATCCTGGTCACCTAGGGCTATCCAGCTTGCGATGGCATGCGGCAGGGTTGTCCACATTTGGGATGTGGCAGGAGTGACACACGACGATGCTATTACTTCACTGGCCTGGTCACATGATGGGAGTCGGCTCTCGCCTCGGGATCGTCCTACGGCACAGTTAAGGTTTGGCGACCCGCATCGACCCACCGCAATAGCGATGCGTCTTATACTTCGCAGCCACAATTTCCACTGTTTCCAACCATCTCTCCCGATGGGACCCGGCTTGCCTTCACCGACCGTGAGTACAGGAGTGTAATTAGGATCCTGGATACAGCCAGTGGTCAATGTCAACGGGAACTGGCGGCCCATCAATCATCGGGTATTCGTGGCTTCGCCTGGTCGTCAGCTGGAACTTGGCTTGCATCGTACTTCGATGACGGCACAGTCAAGATCTGGGATACAGCAACGGCCGATTGTGTACTTTATCTTCAGTCCGGCGGACACGTAGAAAAACTGGCCTGGCCACTAGATGAGTCCCAAAGGCGGCTTGCATCAGTATCAGCGAATTCTGTCAGTATATGGGACATAGTTACTGGTCAACGTACGTCGACAATCAACACAGATAGTGGGTATGATAAGATTCACTTAGCTTGGGCTCCGGATGGAACTCAACTTGCCATAGCTACAGGCGGCAGAATCAGGGTCTGGGCGATGGAAACCAAGCAGTGGATATTCAACAACCATGTTGCTGGATTGATGGTATCATCACTCATCTGGTCTCGCGATGGGACTCAAGTGCTTTCTTCATCAGGCAGGGAGAGAGTAGTCGAAATCTAGAATATCATCACGGCTAGGGTTCTTTCGAGGTTTTCAAATCCGGCCTACAGTCTTCAATACTTCGATAGCTCGCGCCGGGACTCTTTGCATACCGATATTTATTGGTGCGTTCGACGTACCACGGTCTGTCACCACTCCAGATCCCGATCATGGATCTAGACCGCCTGACTTGGTGCCAGTGGGCTATGGATTAGACTTCAATAAGACGTGGGTGACGTACAATGGAGAGCCTTTGATAATGCTTCCGCAAGGATTTCGACCACTGAGGGCTTCCGAGTTTTCAAGGGTTGTGGGAGCTACTATTGTCATATGCACCCAGACTGGCCGTATCTTTAGTCTAGAATTCCCAGAAGACGATCTTATTTTATAGGGAGAGATGCCAAATATATTATTACAAAATATAATAATGTTTTGATTAACCTAGCGCAATGATAATACAATTTAGTATTCTTGCGAAGGGGGCTAGTATAGAGCGTGAAACGAAGGTGATCTGATATGAATCGCGAGCAACCGTAGTATTCCTAAACGTACTCCGTAAATCTACACTACCTAGGCTCGCAAGCCACATCATCATATTCATATGCTTAGGCTTAGGTTGGGATATTTGTCAACCTCATATTTAATATTAAGTACATGGAGGCGGGGTATAATACTACCATTCTGTTTCGTAGATGGAATCGATATCATCCTGCAGGACAGTATTTGCATCTGCATCGATCGTGCGCTTCGCGGTGAACACGCCCGACACGCCCTGTTCCTGGTTCTGACCTAGCCAGGGCTTTCGCGCTTCCCCAAGGATATTTCGACCTAGATAATACACAAACTGACCGAGAAGAATTAGGACAAACGCAATCGGATACATCCAGTGGACGCGCAGCTGCAGCACAAACACGCCGATAATGACCCCCCAAAAATTTCCCGTCAACATGGACAGGTTCATAAATGCTGCTGATGCTAGGCGGTAGATCAGCGGCGCAGTGGAGTAGAATCCCGCCAGACACAGCGTATACCCGACCAGGTAGCTCGCTACTTGTGCATTCCATGTGGCCTTCTCGAATGACGAGCGATCAAAGAGCGCGGCTTGGATGCCGTTGATAATCGAGGCCCAAAACGCTAATTGTCCAATGACTTCGTACATGGGCCGCTTACTCACAAAGTATTCTTCGACGACATTGGAGAAGCCGTAGAAGGTTGCTGCAAGTAAAGCAAAGAGGTCCCCCATTACTGCATCTACAGCACGTCCATTGTTGTCCCGGTCCTCAATGCGATCTGATGCTAACAATATTCCCATACCTCCAATGCAGATCAGGATTCCTATTATTTGCATGTAGTGATAGCGCACGTGCAGGGCGAGGTAGGATAGTGCAACAACGACAATGATGGCCCAGAAATTGATCAGTTGTGCACTGAGAATAGTCGTGTAGCGGTACGCCAAGACGACGAAGAAGTTTCCCTCGACGTCGCAAAAGGCGAACAAAAGGTCTGCAAGTATAATCAGTTCATATTGCTTTGAGGGGATATAAAAGTCTAAAACAGTACATTTCCATCCGTCAGTCCATGTAACTCGCACCCAGTCCCTGAATCCGTATTTGTATACTGTAAACGAGGTGAAGATGACGTTCAAAAGGACATAATTAAAGAATGTCTGAAAGGCCGGTATGGAAGTGCCCTGTTTTTCGAGCAGCGAGGTGAAGGTACTGCTGGATGTGTTGAGGATGGCTAGGACCTGTCTGAATGCTTTATCGTTAGCGGTGCAGGTATAAATCACGCTGGCAGCGCTGCAGTCATTCTCTCACCCAAGCAGCAAAATAGTCCAGAACTCCTTGGTACGCAAGTATGCAAAGAGAGTCTTCCTTTTGTGTTTGATCGCGTCGGCCGGTCCTTCGTCATTGTGTTCGCTGTGGCCTTGACCGAGTAGAGAATCGTATTGACTTTCTGGCAAGTCTGTTCTAGCGATGATCAATGGCTCGGCCTCGGCCATTGTAAAGTTTCCGATTCCGTGTTGTTTATGCGGAACTTCACAGAGTGTGAAGCAAGTCGAGAAATATAGCGACTGCGCGCATCCTTTTTATATACTATAAGCGGGGCTTCTAAGAAACAATGGACGCAAAGCTCCTGAAGTCGTCCTCTCGGAAGGATGTTATGTGATGATGATCATAATTCGGGAAAAGAGAGGAACGCCCCAATTGATACTCAAGATAAACTTGGCGGGGCCGCATCTGCCAATCACCAATCATAAGCGGCGATCGGGTAGGACCCGCAGGTCGGTGTGCCTCAGGCTTGTATACGTATAGAACTACGACTGTCATTTATTTAGTTACTTTAATTACGAGACTCCAAAAGGCAAATTCGAAGCCGATGGCTATGGGTTGGACTTTGCTGGCTGACTATATATAGAAAACAAAAAGTAATGTTATTACGAACTCACCGCCGAAATATGCTTGGCACATGCTTGTTACACAAACGACAGACATCTACCCCTCCCACAAGGCTGTCGGTTTCCGTCCTCAACCACACTCACATTTCCCATCCCAATCTTTGCACTATCCTGCCATACTCTTTATCATTACAAACCCGTCAGCCAACAGAAATGGATCTCCTTCACAGCATCATCGGACGCCTCTGTGGTGGGCCTTTGGAGGGGGCTGAGGCTGATCACGTTGAGAACGTTGCTGAGCAAGTCGTTCAGATCATATCGAATGCCGAGAAAAATGGCCCTTCTCTACGAGCTCAAATAAAAGGCACTGTACAAGCAGAAGGATGGACTGAGGGGATCGCAAAGACTATTTTAGCCAAGTTACAGCAAGTAGTCGAACAGGGGAAGGAGGATTGGGGTCCCGTGATGCGTGAAGCCATCAATACAGCAAGGAAAATTGTACTGGATATTTTCCAGTTGGCACTGGATCACCCTGTGGCTGCAACCATTTTTTGCACACTGGTTGCACTGGGAATTCTCGTTTTGATTACACCTTGGGTGATCGAGGCACTGGGGTTTGGCAAGCTTGGTCCCATCGAAGGTAGGCGCTCTTCCTCTCGCTCTCTGCGTGCTACGCTACGAACAAGGCTTGTTTACTAATCTTGCTGTAGGTACTTTCGCTACGTGGTGGCAATCGACATACCGCGGGTATGTGCCATTGAACTCATTGTTCCCCTTCTTCCAACGATTGGGAATGACATGGCACACTGGCTTGTAGGTCGAGGGTTCTGAAGGGCGCTGGATGTAGCCATCAGGCATCATTCATGTTCGGTGATTAGAGGTCAGCGGTCAGTGGTCAGTGGCAGTTTAGTCTAGTTCAATGAAATAAGGCGTGAGGTTCCATAAACGCGCAGGACATTGGAATAATAGAATTGGAGCCTGCGGGGCCGATCTGCCAATCAGCAGCGGCAATCCGGCGGGAAAGCCGCAGCGCATGGACAGCGGGTGCCTCAGGCCGAGCTCTTTCGTATAAAGCACGAACTGCGGAGGATGTATACTGGCGTTTGTTATAGCCAGCTTCTCACACGTAAGAGCGAAGATCGTGAGGCTTGTAGTCTGGAGCTTGAGTTTTAGTTTCAACCAAGGATGCATCTCCCCTACCATCCCTGCGCATGGGATAGCAGCACCTACTGTAACTCTAATCCTAACCCGAGGGCCTGTTTCATCGGGCAGCGTAGCGATGAAAGCTTCCTTCCACTCAGGAATGCTGGGAAACAGTCACTCCACAGCACTCTGGTTGCTTCCCCACAGTCTTGCTTCCACGTCAATGAGAAGAACGTAGATTGTCGTCGGGTCGCTATGCTTTGCTGTTCCCCCGCGTCAAGCCACGCCTCGGCCAGTAGCAGACGCCAGAGAGGCCAGCCCAAGGCGACGCTAAGAGGGAGAACCTCACTATTTCTTCATCGTTAGACGGAGAACTCCGCATTCTGTGAAGAGCGTTTTTCCTTTCTTTTTCGTTTTCTATATTCTCCAGCAGGTCTGGCACATTCCAAGGCTGTGGGTAGACACGCCGTAACTAACTTAGCGCCTTTTAACGTTCGTTGGCTAGCGCCTTCCCGACCGACGTACCCGTCAGCTGGCCGGTCCTTCCTGCCCTGATCCCCTCGCCGCGCTCTTTCCCCCATACTAAAGTTAGCAGCCGCCACGAGATTTCCCGGCAACGCAAAATCTCGTCTCGACTCTTCCATCTCGAATTCCTCCCGACTGCGCCCGCCCATCGCCCATCTCCCCATACCGTGCGACTATACACATCGCGCCTGCGCTTTTGCTCGCTCGCTTTCGCCCTCTCCGCTCGCCTCCCGCGCCCCTTTTCGTGATTTGTCCGCTCTCCGAACAGCTATCTCGCGCGGACGGAGAGCGAGAGCCGTGTCGGAGTGACAGGACGCCACCTGTCACTCGCGGTCGACATGGCCCTGGCGATAAAGCCACCCCAGGACCGAAAACGTGTAAAGGTCTACGAATTACGAGATAATGACTGGTTTGACCGCGGAACGGGCTTTTGTACGGGTGCGATCGTCGAGGTAAGGTCTTCTTCCGACACCGTCGTTCACCAGCCCCGGTGATGCGCGACTGGCAACAAATCGCCAGGATCGCAGTATCTATCATCCATCCATCCATCCATACATATGCTTTGGTGATGATTCACGGGACTGCCGCCAGAGTTTATTTTGTCTTTTGTTCTTTTCTTTATTATTTCGACCTCTCTTTATCTACTTTCGCGTCCCGTCGCTCTGTTTCCGCTGGTCGCGATCCCCCCCCGCTGATTGCATGTGTCACGGCGTAATTTAGGACATCCCGAAAATATTCGTCGAGTCGGAAGATGAGAAAGGTCGTTGTCTGCTGAATACGAGCATTGGAAAAGATGACGGATATCAAAAGCAGCAAGGTGCGGTCTCTTGGGCAACTGGGCAAACGGCTCTGATTCTGATTCGATCTTTTCTTCTCATAGAAACACTCATCGTCTGGACCGAGGCCAATGGAACCGATATGGCGCTTAGTTTCCAGGAGGCGGACGGATGTGCAGCAATATGGTCCGTACCCTAGAGGAGAAATGGTGTCTTATAGTGTACTCTGACACGCGAGTTTGCTTTAGGGACTATGTCAATAGCGTTCAACATCACCTGCTCGCTTTGGCTGGAGGTGCGTGCACGAGCTAACCGCAATGATTCATTTGTACGTATTGACAAGCGCTTCCAGATGACGCCCTCTCCGACGAAGCCATCGAGGCATACCATCAAACTATAATGCTTCCAGCACCAGAACTCGGAAATCTTCCTGAGATTGAACAAGCAGTGCGATCCGCCAGCCTGTCGCAAGTCGGCCGCGATGCCTTGGGCAAATTTGTTCTGAGTGATAATTATATCGATAAATTGATACCGCTGGTCGAAACGGCAGAGGACCTCGAGAGTCTACCTGACCTTCACCGCTTATGCAATATCATGAAGTCTTTGATTCTATTGAACGACAACATTATCATAGAGCATGTGGTCACGGACTCGATCATCATTGGCGTCGTTGGCGCACTTGAATGTAACTACGCGCATCGCTATCCCACGCAAGGCACTTTACTAACTGTCGCAGATGACCCCGACTTTCCTACCCATAAAGCTAACCATCGGCAATACCTCCAAGACCAGTCACGATACAAAGAGGTCGTTCCCATGAAAGATCCAATGATTCAGAAGAAAATCAGACAAACATGGCGGCTGCAATATTTAAAAGACGTTGTCCTAGCGCGCATTCTCGACGACCCGACCTTTTCGGTTTTGAACTCGCTCATATTCTTCAATCAAGTTGATATAATCAACCACATTCAGACAAATGCCACTTTTTTGAAGGAACTCTTTGCGATTTTTGATCCCCGTAGTACAGATCAGCGGCGAAAGGACGATGCGGTCTGCTTCATCCACCAGTGCGCTTCGATCGCGAAAAACCTACAAGCTCCTGCACGCGCTCAGCTTTTCTCACAGTTCATTGGCCACGGTCTCTTTCCAGTCATAGCCTTTGCCGTTAAACATCCTAATCCGGCAATGCGCACTACTGGCATCGACATTCTCGTTGCGCTACTGGATCATGACCCGATCATGATGCGCGGGTATATGCTGAAGGCTGTCAACGAAAAGAAAACACCGCTCACGGATACACTGATTGATTTGCTGCACACTGAAGATGATCTGGGCGTCAAGAATCAGCTGGCCGACGCCATCAAAGTTCTACTTGATCCACAACAAGTGCATATACAAGATCCTATGGGCAGGCTTGGGACGGAGTTCCCGGCCAAGGCTCGCCCTGCGAATCAGATTCCTGATGCTTTTATGCAAGTCCATTTCGACGAATCCGCAAAACGACTTTTCGCTCCTCTAAAACAGCTAGAAGGACGTCCTTCTCGTACGTGCTTTGGCCATTTACTCTCATATCCACGCCTCGGCATAATATACTAACTTTTCGCCTAGTTACCGACTTGAGCTTCCAGGATGTATCACTCCATGCTCACTTAGTAGACATATTGACTTTTTTCGTTCGGCAGCATTTATACAGGAGCCGCACTTTTATCCATGGAGAATCTCTGGCTCCTCGTGTGGCACAGCTCTTGACTGTGCCGCAAAAGCACTTGAAGCTCAGTGAGTGTGCCTATTTCGCATGACGATTAGTGGACCGTATGCTAATGGGGGCATTTTCAGCTGCTTTGAAATTTTTCCGCACTCTCGTCAGCCTTCAAGATACTTTTTATCTCGCTCAGTTGACACACAATAATACATTTGGGCTTATCATTGACATCGTTTACGAGACCATGCCGCGTGATAATCTTCTGAATTCGGCTTGCTTAGAAATGTTCGAATACATCAAGCGCGAAAATGTCAAGCCCATCATCACCCACGTGGTTGAGAAATACCGCGACAAGCTGAAAGCGATCACGTTTGTCGATACATTCGAAAAGTTGATAGCGCGTTACGACGAATTGCAAGGAGATGGGATTGAAGCAGACACTACGCTTTTCAGCCAGGATGAAATCACACCGGCTCAGCGTGGCGCTCTTAATGGTCAGCGCTGGCAAGGAGTTCGCGAAATGGATGCTGCTGAAGAGGAGTATTTCAACACGTCAGATGACGAGGAAGAGGTGCGTAACAATTTTCCTTATAAGGATCAGGAAAATCATTTTGTTGATAAATGTAATTCTGCACAGTGGCCACCTGAAGCACGTCAGGAAGGATCGGCTATTGCCAATCAAACAACCTCGCATGTTAGACTAGTGGACTACCCTGATGACGATGACGAAGTAATGGATGCGAAATCTGAAATAGTAACGACGGACAAACAAGAAATCGAGTTACCCGAACGCAATCTTATAGATACAGACGTGTCTTCGACGACGACTTCAGCTCGCCAGAGCCCGCCAGAAAGGCTCTCGGAGAAGCGTCGTCGCGATGACGAAGATGACGAAGATGAGTTGGTGCGACTTGTACAGAACGGACCCAAGCGTCGAAGTTCGAGCGCAAGCTCTACCGCTTCAATGTACCTACGTCGTCGACAGAACTCCATTGAGCGTAAAACGAAAAACTCTGTGGGCGGCGAAGTGCCTAGCGCAAACGCAGCCCCCAAGAAAATCGCAATCAATCTTAGTCCAGCCTTGAAAACACATGTCACCGTTGAGGCTGAAGCGATTCAACTCAGCGATTTCAAGCGAGATGTCAATGGTGATGAACATGAGCCAGCGAAGGATACGAATGCCAATGAGAATACTACACAGAGCTCCTGACCGACTAATCCAACTCTCTATCGGATTTGTGTTACGCAATAGAAATCATTGGAGTTGGGTCATGATTCTTTTTTTCCTTTTGCATTGAACGGGGGCTCGTCGATGGAGATACCATTGATCTATGGAAATGTATGCATTATATTGTGTGTTTTTCTTACCATGTACATGAGCCATGAGAATGACTCGTGTTTGTCTTTTTATATGTTTTGATACATCTGCAGCCCTTTCTCTTCCTTTGCAGATGGGCCTTGAAGGGATTTCATTATACCTTTTTTCATTGTGGTACAAATTTGGTTCGTTTCGCTTTGCGCTAACGACGAGGCAGCATTTACGGCGTCGGGGTTGTGATGAACATCATATTCGACCTTTTGTTTTTTACTTGTCAAATGGTGGTCTTGACTTCTTTTTACGCTTCTCTCATGTCTTCTATTTTTTTAATATCTTGACAGGAAGCCTTTACATTAATAAATGGGAGGCATTGCCCCAAAGGGATCTTTCAGGCGGAGAAAGAATGGGGGTATATGATTATTATCATGTTCTATCATAATCACAATGTGAATACATGAGTGTTTCTGTCTGGAAGGTATCATTCAAGCGTATGCCTGATAGAATAGTATAACTATTCTGGAATGGAGATGTTTTTTCCTCCCTTTCCATAGTAACCCTCGAAGGGGAAAAAAAGAATGGTACCATCAGGATTACAAAATCCTTGGTTCGCCTTCTACTGTAATATAACAAATCAGCTTTGATTTACCAAGCCAGCCCTCAGAAAAAGATCTGTAAGAACATTGCCGGCCGGCTGATGCATGACCTGAGCTGTTGATGTTGGTAATTGGTCTGCTGGTGGTGCCGCATGTCCCCAAGCCATGCCTCCTCCTACTTCTCCGTTCGGCAACATTTCTGTGCCGCTACCACCCCCTGCCAGATTGTGAGAAAACCCGTCGTCTTGAGCACGTTGTTGACCGAAGAGTTCTTTCAAGGAAATTTGGCGGCCCATAGGTACACTTGAATACGCCTGTTGCTGTTGTTGCTGTATAGCTGCCATACTTTCCCTGGCCAATTCCATACTTCTCCCCGCGTGCGTTGCACACTCCTTGATCACCTCGGCATTGATCTTGCGCGTCTCCGCTGTAGAATTGGGCGGCGGCTCCGAAAATATCCACAGACCGATGATATGCGACGACGACGGGCCGTTGTTATTGTTGGTAGTACTGATTCCACTTACTTCGCTGCCCTGATCCGCTTTCAGAATGACGAATTCATCCGTAATCTCCACGTTCTCGCCGTCCGTCAACAGAATGTCAAAGTTGTTCAGCCCGCGTCGATTGAGCACAAAGACGCTGTATCGCTCTTCGCCGTAGGACCCCTGCGCCAACTGGCAAATGAACATGGTCCCTTCGATCCCGTTCTTCTCCCATTGCTGCGTGACCGGGCTGAATGTGTAGACAACCACGTACGGCGCCAGTGATAATATGGAGGTTATTGCGGGGTTGTGTCGGCGCAGCACGGAGATGTTGAGTTCTTCGTTGGAGCGGGGGGGAGGCGGCGAATTTTGTTGTTGTTGTTGTTGTTGTTGTTGTTGTTGTTGTTGTTGTTGTTGTTGTTGTTGTTGTTGTTGTTGTTGTTGTTGTTGTTGTTGTTGTTG